AATACTTATTTTAAATATTATATACTTATTTTAAATATTTATTATACCTTATATTATCTTAAAGTATTAATAGGGTTTAATTATATTATTATTAACGTTTAAGGGCTTTATTAATATTTAATTTTATAAAATTAAAGAAGCTATTATTATAAAAGTAAAAGAAAATAACTTGTTTTAAATTAAGTAGTTTAATGCTAATATTAATAATATTTCTTAGCTAAGCAATTAATTAAGTTTTTTATTAAGGTTTATAAAAATTATAATTATATAAAAAGCTATTATTATTTAAAAAAATATTAAAATTAAGCTATTTGCTTAATTAAGTTAATAATTAAAGTATTATAATAAAGGATATTATTTTAATTATAAAAGAAAAGTAAAATTAATAATATAATGCTTTATTAAAAAGGATAGGATATATTTAGCCCTTATATATAACGACCTACTTAAGTAAGTTAACTTAATTAAAAAGAAATAAAAAAGGGCTTTTTTAAACTATATCCTTAAAAATATATATAACTAAGCGTTATTTTGCTATATTAATTAAAAGCAAGGCAGTTAAGCTAAAGTATTTAATACCCTCTTAACCCTTAAGTTAAATAATAATATTTTCTTAGCTATATTAAGGCGCCTAAGCAAAGCTAATATATTTAAGCTAGGTAAAAGTAATATAAATAGCGAGAATATTATTAATATTAATAAAGGTAATAGCGATAATAATTAGCTTATGTTAGCATTTATAAATACCCTTAACGGCCATTTAATACTTTAATAATTAACTTTATTGCTGCCAGTATTATAGGCAGCTAAATATATATATATGCTGCTTATAGCCCTTTCTTTCATTAAAGTGCTAGTAATAAGGATTATGCTGCCTTTATTATATTATTTATTAATATTTTTATTATCCTTAATAATACTTAATAGCCTTAAGGGTAATAAGTTACTAAATAACTTTTTTAATATATATATTATTAAAAGGCCTATTATTATTAAGAAAAGCAAGAAATAAATTACTTAGCTATAAAGCTTTAAAATGCAAGCTTAAGTATGCTTAAAAACTTTTTAATATAACTAAATAAGTAGTTTATTAATTATTAATTTAAGAAGAATTTAAAAAGCTTTTTTTATTAATATATAAAGGACTTTATATAAAAATGCAATATATTAAAGAATGGTATATTAAGCCTATTAATACTTTTAAAGGTAATTAAGGGCTTTGGAAATAATGCTGCTATTAAAAGTAATTAATTATAACTTATTAATTATATATAAAAAAATATTTTAAAGATTGCTTTTATTATTATAATAATAATAAATAAAAAGTAATAAAGTTAATATTAATGCTTATAATATAATAAGTTTTATAAATTAGCTCAACCTACTTATACTTATTATACCTTAATATAAAATATTAATTTTCTTTATAAATTTAATGCTAATTATAATAATAATATTATTAATAAAAAGAAAAAAACTAAATTATTTAATATAAAAATTATATTATATTTAAATTTTTTTTAATAATATTATAGTAATTTAAAGTTAATATATATATATAACATACTTACCTTAGCTTATGCCTTTTCTAGCTATATAAACTACCTTTTTCATTACCTTTTATTTAATAATAAAGAATCTTTAATAATTTAAAGCAATAATAATTAATATATTATATAATTAAAAGGTTATAGGTTTAATTTTATTGCTTTAAATTATTAAAAAGGTTGTTATTATTAAACCTTTTTTTTTATTACTTAATAATATTTACTTATTACCTTTTTATATTATTAATATTTAAAAAAGCAATCTTATAAGATATAATTATAACCTTTAAATAGCCTTAATATTTAATAATTAATTAATATACTTTTTTTTAAATTAAAGCTAATTTAACTTAATTATTATATACCAACGCTAGCCCTTATATAATTACTTAGCTATAAGTATTAATCCGCACCTTCCTTTATTTATAAGGTTATTACTTTTTAATAAAATATATTAATTATTAAGTTAATTTATTAGCTAATTAGCATAAGTATAATTAAACTTAATATATAATAAAAAGGTTATAAGTTTAATTATAAGTATGTTAATTAAGCATTAAGCTAACTTATAATTAATATACTTTTTTATATATATTCCTTATTTTAACTACCTAAGGCAACTAACTTTTTAATATTATATATATATAAAATATTGCTTATTTAATAGCGTAAAAATAAAGCTATTTAATATAAAACTTATATTATATATATAACTTTTTTTAATAAAGGTATAATTATATAAAGTTAATTATTTAAATATTAACTGCGTTAATATTATATATTATTATTTTATGCATTAAGTATATTTAATTATCTTTAAGGTAAAAACTTTTTAATAAGCATTTAAAAATAAATAATATATTATTTAATTTATTTAATTAAGCTTTTTTTTATAATATATTTTTTGTAAATATATACCTTATAATTATTAACATATATTAAGTTATAATTAAGGCATTATAATTAACTTAATTAATAAATATAATAATATATATTATTAAAAGCACTTAAGTTATTTATATATTATAACGCTTATAATAATAATTAAAGCTTAAAAATTATATATATTATTAATATATATATTAAAGTATATAATTAATTAGCTATTTAATTAATTTAAGCTTGCTTTAATTTAAAAACTATAGCCTTTTAAAAATAACCTTAAATTACTTTTATATTTAAAGCAACCTTATATATTAAGTTAATAAGAAATTATTATTAATTCTTTTATATATATTATTAATCTTTATAATATTAAAAGTAGCAATAAATATACTTTTTAAAATTATTAAAAAATGCTTAAATTAAGTTAAGATTAAGTAAATATAAAGGTAAATATTTAAGTTAAATGCTAGCTTAATTATATATTTATTAAAGGTTATTATAAAAGTAAAAATTAGCATTATTTATTATTAGCATTAAGTTAAGTCTTAAAAATAATAATATTTTAAGTAAAACCTTACTTTTAATAAAGTTAATAAAGTTTTAACTATTTATATTACCTTTATATATAAATAAATTAAGTATGCTTATAATTATAAATGCTAAAAGTATTTAATATTGCATATTATAATTTTTATTACCTTTAAATATAAGTTTCTTTAGCTTAATACCCTTTAATAATTATTTTATATATTATAGCTTATTTCTTTTATATATATTAAACTTATTAATAAAGATAAATTAATTTATATAAAGTTTTTAAGTTTTAATAATTTAATTAACTTAAATAAAATAATTTTATTAAGTAATAATTATACTTATAATCTTTTTATTTTATTTAATTTCCTTAAATGCTTAATTAATAATACTTATAAAAATAAATAAGTTAAAGTTTTTTAATAATTATTATTATATTTTATCTTAATATAAATTATTCTTTAAAGTAAGATAATTAAAAAGGGCTTAAGTAATAAGATAATATATTAAAAAGGGTAAATATTTAAAACTTAAATTATATATATTATAATAAAAGTTAGTTAATTAAACAGCCTTATATGAGTTTTTAAGCTTAATAATAATGCTAATAATTAAATTTCTCTTTCTTAGCTTATAAATCCATACTTAAAGTTGTGATTATATCTGTATTTATTGTATTTATATCTGTATCTGGATATAAATACTGTATTTGTATTTATATTTAAATATAGATATTGTATTTATATTTATATTTATATTTGTATTTTTTTATATTTATATTTATATTTATATTTGGCTTCTTTATATATTTATATTTAAATATAGATATAAATATAGATATAAATATTAATATGGTATTTATATTTATATTTATATTTATATTTATATTTAAATATAGAATTTTGTATTTATATTTATATTTGTATTTAAGATTTTTTTTATATTTATATTTATATTTATATTTATATTTAGGATTTTTTTATATTTATATTTATATTTATATTTATATTTTGTATCTGGATATAAATTTACAATTCTGTCCATACCTTAAAATACTTTATAATTCTTGCAATAATAATATTATTTATTTAGTTAATATTTAATAGCCCTTAAATTATATGAAACTTTAAGGGGGTTAAGCAATAAAATATAATTATAAAACTATTATAAATTAATTCGCAATAATTAAAATATATAGCGTAGTAAAAGGCATAGCGTAAAAAGGGTTATAAGATAAGTAATTATAGTTAATAGTTGGAAAGGGCATGGTATAATAAGTATATATAATTTTTAATGTGATGTATTATGTGCAGGCTGCTAGCGCCATTTTGATACGTTTGATTGCAAATGAGAGTACGCTAACCCAAGTAGACTGGCCACCTGGTGGCTTGGTACACAAAGAATTAACCTGCTGCCATCTCCGAAAGATCCGAGGTCCTTTCTCACATACCATGATTTTCATGATTTTCTGGCTATCAACTGAGCAATCGAATAGGTACCAGGAGACATTTTGCAGGCCATGACATTCATGGGAAGCTTCCCTCTTTCATGCCAAGTTGCTTTATTTAGGGTGGCAGATGACGCGGATGCATTTGGCAAGTACCAGTATATACGCAAACGGAATCCAACGCTTTTCAAAGTCCATTGTCACACCCGTGAATATCGTGGGATTACATAGCCCAGACTAAGAGTGCTATCCTAGAGCTTATCCTGACAGAAAAAGAGAGCATTGATGTTGGCACCCGGTGTTACCAGTTTCTGGGGGATCTTGATTGTTTGCCCCGGCAGAGTGATGCAGCGGCTGGCGACCAGCAAACATGAGTTACATTCAGCGGAATAGCCTGCTCACTGTTAACCTCTGATTGCCAAATACTGCTACACATCCGTAGGTAACCAAGCAGTTTCCCGTCTCTAGCTCAAGACTCCATCTCTTCTCCAGATCAGACTGCACTGTTCTTACTAGACGCCTGCTGTTCACTTTGCTCCTGTGGACATCCACCCATCTCACAGTCAGTCCGATCACAGAATAGCAGAATGGTGTTCCTCGGATATCTTCTCCCGGCACCAGCCTCCATCTTTGCCACTGTTGTCTCTGTCTCCAACATCCGGGCTACTCCACATGACGGTCTTTCTGCCCGCAGCAGTCCACCGGCATATGTGGCCAACAAGATCTCGTGGGACCCAGGCGATGACGGTGACCATACATTCTGCAAATGGGAAGGCCCTGGTCTAGTTGGCATTGACGACCCTGACTGCGAGCTCAAAGTCGCAGACTGCTCGTTCCTCAGCCTCGGGTTCCAGACTGGCTTCCTCCACCCCAAGGGCACTTGGTTCCAGGTCAACCGCCAGTTCACTCAAAGTGTCTCCAACCTCACCCAGATTGCCAGCTATGGCACCTGTTCGATCTTGGTTGCTCTTCTGAATGGGCCTTCTGCCTCGTAAGATGTCCCTGGAGTAGAGGCAACGACGCCTGCTTGACTGACCGCCCTCTTCTCAGTGTATCTGTACTGGACATTACGGCAAAATTCAGCAAGAACACCACCGATCTACGTCCCAGCTACGGCCAGATGCAGTGCCCAGTGCTGCCCGATTTCGGGGACAAAACTCCTAATAGTGTGGCATGGGTGATTGGCTGTCCAAAGGCCGGTGTCCCTGTGACAACTCTTCCGGGCATAGTCAAGAGTTAGGGTAGGGTGAGGGAACACTGAGATCCCGGAGCTTGTATTAGGCTGGCCAAAATGCAACGGGTACCAAAGTCTGTTTGGAAGGATGATTAATCATTTTGACTGGGTTTAGTATTACTCCTTTATTTTTAAATGAAACCCATCTTTTGACGCCGTTGCTCATGAAGACCGTACTGCATGCTTTATATTCTACTTCCCATTGCGCCATGCTTCCCAAAATACATAGAATCCTCCCAGCCTCTGCCTCACTGGGTCTCCAGGCCGTTATGTTCGTTTAAGAACCAAGGCATCTTCTGAGAGTCGTACTTGTGTAAGCCGGGCACGGACAGCCTGCGTTGTAAATCCTTGGTGGCCTCCCGGATCGAATCCTCAATGTCGAAATTCCAGATATGGTTCAGCCGCTCGTTCAGCTCCTTCTCCATCTTGCCAATATCTTTCCCAACGTCCTTGGTCAGGTACTCGACGAGGTTTCCTGCACGTCTGCTGCTTTTCACGTGCCATTGTGTCCGCTCGCGTCTGTTGGCATCATAAGCTGCAAAGACCTTTTCGAGAGTCTCGGTTCCTTTGATTTCTGGAATTGATAGGAGGGAAGCTAAAACTGCAGCGTCTTCGATGCAGAGGCTCGCCCCGGCCTCGTGGTGTGGACTCGAGCCGTGTGCTGCTTCGCCGAGCAGGCATATTCTGTCTTTAAAATAGGACGAGAGGGTGTAATCGCTGAGGTCGAAGATCGCCCACTATTTCTGATGTCAGTGGTCGGGTCCCACAAGCTTTTTGTCAGGCCGTGTTGATAAGTGGAGTCAACTCACCCTCTCGAAGTCTCCTGTTGCGAGCTTGATAATGTGCTTGACGTTTGGACCAAACGCACGGAAATCGTCCAAAGCCTCGGCTTTTGTTGTGGATAGGCATTGTGTCTTGTCACTCGGCCAACCCTCGCGGTCATTGGTCGCGAAGGCCAGAAAGCTCATGTTCTGGCCCTGGTCCACAGGGAACGTCATACAGTGTCTGTTCTTCCCTAGCTGCAGGTCTTTTTCAGTCTCTTCGTTCTGGTCGTAGGGGGGGCGGGGCTGTCCGTCCACGCACCCAGCATGTTGCATTCATCGCCCTCTCCGTACCCAGCGCCAGGGACGCCTGTGACATGGGCACGAGGCCGCGGTAGGCGTATTTGTGGGTGTAAGATGCCATTGCGGCAGGATGATCTTCGCCAACCATGATGGCTCTTGTCCGAGATCTGACACCGTCGCAGCCAATGATTGCGTCTGCTTCTGCCACGGAGCCATCACCAAACTTCATGAGCACTGCGACGCCTTGATCAGCATTATACATTCCATACTTGAAGAGATATGTCAAAATGGTAGAATGGCGATCGCTGTTCCGAGTACTAAATACTAGTGAACATTCTCGACACAAGGCGAAGGGTCTTTCCAAATGGTACAGAACCGTGAACGTATCCAACACGCTGCTTACTCTTGCCAGATCCGATTCTATCATCCAATACATGTTTCAGCTCCTTCTCGAACCTCACCGTGTCCCTTGGTAGAAGCCTCACCAGCTCGTCCAGAAAGCGTGTGCAAGACACGACATTATGTGCAACATTTTCCGCGCCGAGAATGGAAAACAGGGGCTCGAGATGCGTCGCCGGCTGTGGTGACATGCCGTCCACGAAGTCACACCACACATCCCTCTTCGAGACGGATTGGTTGCGCGTCGAGGCGAGGTTGTAGGCGCCGAGGACACAGCGGTCGACCTGCTCCATAGCACGCAGGGCATTGCAGCTGATTGGTACTGCGCCGCGGATCCCAGTCAGCTCCGAGGCAGCCTCGTAGACGGTGCAGCTGACTCCTCGCTTGTACAAGGCTATCGCTAGAGTGATACCTGAGATGCCGCCGCCGATGATGGCGAGGTCCAGGGGCCTCGGGGACTGGCCCGTCTCGGCGGCCATGGTGTCGACTTGGGGGTTTCGATACTTGCACTCGCACTGAGGTACTCGGTTGTTGATGGACTGCAGCATGTGCTGTGCTTATCGGAAGCCGCTCATGCCGGGCTTGGGAGGAAGACGCCGTCCGTTATCTTGCTGGACTCGATGGTACGTTGGGAGGGCGGAAGATGCCAGTTCGGCTCGATTATGCTGATGGCTGTTCAAGCACAACCATCTAGAACTAGAAGCTGACCATCCCGTGCTTGCACTGCCTTGATATTTATTGCTCTCATTGCAGACATCCTGATCCATAGCCAAGTGACATAAACATGGTTTTTCCGCGCCTCAGTCAAGACGCAGCTGCTCGGCTTGACAGTCAGTACAGGCCGAAGTGGGCGGTGACGTCATCGGATCCCAGAGGTGGCTCCATGTGCAAACAAGCACGGAACAAAGGCTGACTTGGAGGCGTTCATCCACGATGCAGCAGGCCAAGTCAAGATCCGCGTCACCGTTAGCCAATGTGCCAAATCTTCGATTTCTGCTAAAAACTGTGTTTCCGCAGAATCCCATACGTCTACATGGCGAATCGGTGACGACATTGCTGTGGTCTGCCATCAAGAAGCAGTCCAAGGCCGAACATTTCCATCTTTTGAACGCACACCCAGTAGCCTGCTTACCAAAGCAGATGGACCTACCGTCCTGGTCGTCCAAGAACCCCTAACCCTACTCGTCAGTCTTCATTGGTGATGCCCATGTACCTGTAGTCTGCTTTCCGGCACAATGTACCTCAGCCAGCGGCCACAGGCGGCTGGATCTGTGGAAATATACGTTTCTCCTTTATCAGTCCAATCGCCATACTACAGTCCATGGAGTCTCGGATTTGGATAAGGGCCAGCAACAATCCAGGGTTTCCAGGTGATCGAGGTCACTACCTCCTGATTACATTCCCGATGAGAACAATATGGGCTTCACCGGGGCTACCTATTTCTGAGCATTCTGTATTCACAGACTGCAGGCTTTGATCAAACTATGCAGGCTAAAAACCACCGATTTTATAAAGACTATGCTGAAAATATTGTAGCTGCTGAGAAATCAGTTCCTAATGAATTAGCTAGCCGCTCACAGCCACAGCCAACTTGAGCCAGCGGAGACATGGAATAAAGCAAGGACATTGTCTCCAGTTCTTATGAAAACTCCTAAATCAAACAGCAAAAGATAATGCTCTAGAAACAATACCTTCCAAATGTGTCTCATCTTGTATCAAAAATCAAGTTGAATTGTAAAGTCACCACCACGCCTCCTAGGCTCTCAGTAATTCTCTGCACTCTGGAGTAGTTCAGATGGTTACTTCCAATAACTGCGAATCAGGCTATTTGCAGTTAGATTGTGGGTAAGATCTGAGTGTGAGCTGGCTGGTCTTTTCAGAGAATCAGCATACGTGAGCAAGAAAGACACGGCTTTATCCAGCTCAACAATTACCCTGGTGTCCTGGACAGCTGTAACAGTTGGTGCCAAGTTCACGCCGCTCCATTCGCTCCTTCCTTCTCTTCCCACAGAGGTCGAGAAATTCTTCAAATCCAGACGCATTGCTCTTGCTGTTTCATAGTGAATCAATGAATGCCACCATGCGGGAATCGCTGGAAGCCTCCTGGCATCTGAGACTCAAATGGACGGGAGTCTGCTCAAAGATGGAGGCATGACCCAGCAGTCCAGCATGCTGGTTCTTAGACATTTTCAGGAGCTCCCCGCAATCTTGTGAAATAATTGCTGCTTTAGGGGGTACAGACAGACGCGCTACCCAAACTCACCCCACGGGTCAACAGTGACCAGACTGAAGTCGCCTTGTCGTCCCAAAGGTTTGCAACCCAGGCAACAACTCAGGGTGAATCAATGTTTTCAATTGAATACCAGAAATCCTATTCTATCTTCTCCCATGCATGACCAACTTCAAATACCTTTCACGAACAAGCAGACACTGCTAAATAGCATCGTCTCACAGTCCTCGACGACGCTGAAAAGCACATCAATCTCTCTCCAGACCCTTCTGCGATTCTCCTCTTGAAAACCAGCATGGATCCAGCAGCACAGCAACAAGCCGATGCAGACAGAGCCGCTCTCAGAGCAGAGGCGCAAGCATGCTACCTCCAGATGCTTCAGACAACCAGATGCTTCGACACATTTTGCAACGACATGCAGGCCGCTGTCAACGAGCTCAGCCAATACGACGTGACGCGATACCTTGACGTGACTCTGAAATGCGACTACCTCAAAGACCTCATGAGGACCGCGACAAATCAAACAGCAATGTTCTTCAACCGCTGGCAAGACCATCCAAGCCCTGTTATCACGCGATACCACATCAACCAGATAACGTTGCTACTTTTACAGCTGCGCGGCCACCGCAACAGAATTGCAGAGTTGTACCTGACAAGGATGGATTACGACAACCCAGAGCCCTGGGACCTGGAGGATAACTTGAACAAGCATTTGACGGTGCTCCAAGATGATGTGCATCGGATTTTCATCTTCACAGGCCTGCAGGTTCGCCTTACCGAGTCGGACTTTGAGGATGCCGGACTCATCTCGAAGAAATCGAGTCCAGCACCACAGGAGGGCTAGGGCGAGGGACGTCCTCCAGAACCAATTGGAAGGTGGCAGGGGACCGAGGAGAGTGGTGCCGACAACACAGCCCTGAAACACTACACAACCGTACGGCGGATGCATGTCATTCTGGAATTGAGAGAGGAACATCGTTCTGTACCAACCTTTTCCTGAAGTGGGAGAAAGGGGGTTATGAACTGTCCGCCAGAGGCAAACAAAATTCAAAGCCTCAGTAAAGTTCATGCAACACTGAGGCTTGATCAGAAAGTCTCAGCACATCACACTTCAATCACATTGCTGTCAATACCACAAAACATTCAAGGCCATGTGAAGCTTGTGCAAAGTATTTGAGGCTATTCAGGGCTTAACATGCGTAGAGCAGGGTTGACCAACATTGGCCTGAGCCTGTGAATCATGAAGTACTCATCTGCGTCAAAGACTGGGTGTAGCCAGCTTGCTTGGCCGTGGCTTTAGGGACCCGCCTCATGCAGATCATACAGCTTGTAGCAACATGGTTCAGGTTGGTTCATACGAAGGAGGAATCCGAGGGACCCGCTGAAGTGCAGGAGTATTTCTGACTAGCCATATCACTAGGTATCCTGCAGCGAAGGATGGCAGGGTTGCTTCACAGGAGCACGTGAGCAGGTAATGTCATACGAAGAAAGCATAGTCCTAGTCAATGTGAGGCAGGATTGTTGGATCTTGTTGCCTATGGCTGACGCCATTCCTTCCGCCTTTCCAAAGGCTCATCACCTTGGCCAGTACATGCACCTGTGCAACAGGTTTGATCAGACAGCAACGATGTTGCCGTAGATCGTAGCTTGGGCAGCACCGCTTGAGCAGACTATCAACCTATGGAATTGATGTTTCAGCACTGCATGTTCATCTATGCGGCGTGATCAAGCGCAAGAAGATCAGGGTCCAATCTAGGACAGCAGCCCAACCACCTTTGTAACGGGCTTCCGAGAAGGTTTCAACCATTCCTAAATAGTAGTATCACTTCCGAATGTCAGGTACCAATAGATTTAGCGATTACAATGCCTGACCTCAGCGACAGCGGCGGCTAGGGCGGCGATTATGGCGGCTCATGCGTCCATGCAGGCCGGGGGACGACCAAGCATGGCGCATTCCTTGGTTGGGAAAAACGAGCGTCGGTTAACCGGAGCTTGGGGTCACGTCTCAGCAGTACGGCTGCGAACTGGTGATCAGTGGGCCAAGACGGCACGCCTAAGCCCATTCCTCCAGGTCCTCGCTACGGCAGCGGGCCTATTCAGGAAGTCAAGAATGGGTAATGTGGTTCCTGCAGACGATGCCGGTCATGTGTGGGGGGCGTCCAGAGTTGGTGCATTGGCGCGTATGGCGACTCCATACCAGTGCCTCTGGGCCATTTGATTTGGCAATTGCGAGAACCGGCGGGCCTGCGTCGACGTCGTGATTGGGCCTCAACTCTCTGTGGATGAGGCTTCGAAATTTTTCGGGCTGCAAGTGCTGCTCTTGGGTGGAGTCAGGATCCGGAGGATGTCAACGTGGCCGCGGGTAGTTGGCGCCACATAGATTAAATGCGAACGTTCATCATCTATGGATTCGAAATGATTTAAAAAGGAGGATCGCATACGAAAAAAAAGCTTTGTTGAGTGCTGTCATCCCAACCGCGATGGGTCTCTCTGAAATCGTGGCCGGCGGCCTCCCAAGAAGCCTGTTTGTTTGACTATAGGCTCCATACCTGCACGATCATAAAGAATGTCCCATCACCAATAAGGCAACAACAATTCTACCCGCCACTCCGATTAAGCACATCATCTCGCGCCGGAAGACTGAGCCCCAAACCTATTGCTCCAGGATTGTTACTTTAAATACCTCATCTGACGGTACACGGCTGGCCAGTATCGACACGGGTCGGGGCTTTTTTTGAGAAAGTGATCTACAGTGTTCAAAAGTGCTGGGATCAGTGGTCTTTTGTGAACTTGGTTTCGGGAGCCTGTGAAATACGGACAAGCAGTCGAACTGTGGGAGAAGAAGTGTAATGTGCGTTCAGTGTTTTTGCGTCTAGGGGAATAGTCTGAACAAACTCCAGTCCTCAAGTCTAGCCATTATGGATTTGCTTGCCTCAAGTGTACTGCAAGATTGCTGATACTGTTGATTTCAGTGGACCGTCTTCCCAGCAGACACGTCAGTCCTCATAACGCTACGCGAACTACATCTGGAGACACAACTTGGAGTGTAGCCGACCGATTGCCGGCAATCTGCAACCTACACGACAAAAGCCACCAAAATTCATAAGAGCACAACAGACTCTTTGGGAACACTCGCATCATCGGAATCTTTTACTCTCCGGGTGCGACGTCGAGCAGACAGTCATCACATTACTTCGTCAAGATGACCCGTAGCGGGTACGACACGGTACGTGACACATTTCTAATTTTCGCATCGGCGTGGGTAAGAGCATAATTCCACCATGTGTGATGATGGAGGGAAAATTCTGGAAGCTGTGTCTGCTTTGCCCACATAGTCCGAACGTCGCGGGCTTTTCGACAGAGCGCAAATTTCTTGCGATCAACCCACAAGACCAAGCTCTCTATATCTCCTATGTGTTTGCTAACTCGAAATTCTACAGACCGGCACCAGGAAGCCGCCGGTGAAAGAATAAATCGACAGCATTGTTAGTTGTTTTGCGTTACTATTGCAATTGGGGTTTTCTTTTCATATGCACTATGGAGTAATATCTGCGGCAGCAGAGGCAGGGTGCGGTGGGCTATAAAGGAAACTGGTCGGAGGACAGCAATTTTCAGAAATTTTTGGTGTTAAGGGTAATTGCATTGGATAGATATCTGGTTGTGGGAGCGAAATAGGAGTTATGGGTTTTTTTTGTCAAGCATTGCAAGGAGTTCAATATATTCAAGCTGCTGGTACTCCGTCCGCTGGAATGCGAGCCAACTTGGGCTGTGATCCAGTTTCCTTGGTGCTATTGGCTACGGTGGTTCTTTGAATGTCTTTTTCGATGGCTGAGACTCTCTCAGTCTCTGGCTCGACCTCTATAAGTCTTTGTGCGGTCTTTGATCGTTGTTGTCTATCTTAGTTGTTAGCCAATGACCGCTATATGAAAAGAAATGGAGAAAAAGAAGCTCACCCGTCGCTTCCAAAAAGGTAGGATATTATGTGTCATTGTAACAAGGCATAAGACCATGCAAGCCGAGTAGACGTGGCCTCTAGGGAACCGTGGCGACTCCACGGTCGGATAAATCAACAATGGAATCCATGCGTTGGTTGACGTGGCAATAGCAGTCATCAGCACAAGCGTCAATGCCCTCTCTTCGATGTTGTCCTTCAAGATGATGTTGGCCCAGCCGTAGAGCACCGAAGAGACAGCCACAGCCGAATGCGAAACACTGAAGGCGAACCACTTCGCGGCCTCGGGGACATTCCAGACCGCGAGGATCACGAGCCCGGTGAAGTTAAAAGCTGAAGCGAGAGTAATAGCTGCAGCTCGCGAGATCCATAGATCGGCGCTGAAGTTGATGAAGAGGACGAAGAAGATCCCCAGTGCTGGACTGATAGCGGAAAGATTGTTCATCGTGGCTATGTCATACCGATGTAGACTTTTGATCCACAGCAAGAAGGCTGCTGTGTTGGCGCTGGTGTTGAAGAAGAACACGTCCCAGAGGATCAGGATATAGAATCTCCAGTTCTTAAAGATTCGTTTAAGCAGTGACCAAGAGAAGGGGACGCTTTTGACGACCGAACCTTGGCATTCCAATCGAGACCTGGCCAGCGCCAGCTGGTGCTCACTTATCACGAGCTTGTTGGGCTTTGCTGGCGTGCCGGGCCAAATGAAGTAACCGATGAAGGCAAGTGGAAGAGTAATTATCGCGTTGATGACGAAGAGCCATCTCCTTTTCATGCGTGTTAATCACCTGCTACGGAGCCGAAAGTGGTGCACTCTGGGAAGATTCCACAACATGAAAGATGGAGAGCCGTAAAAGGAGAAGGATGTGCTTACCAACCCGGCAATCCGCTATGTCCATCCAGATAGGTTGTCGCAGCTGCTTGGAGGAGGCTGGCAGTCAAAGTGCCGAGGGTTAGGCCCACGTAGAAGATACATACCGCCTCGCCTGCCGATCTCGTCGGATTTGTACCAAGAGCCCAACACAAAATCGACACCTGCAATCCATTAGCAAATAGACAACGTTTCTGGTATACTGCATACCACCGTCCGCCCCCGCCCCCCTCTTCACGGTTGATTGCGCCGTTCACTTACCAGGGAAATAGGAAGCCTCGAAGATGGAGACCATGAACCGGTAGGCCATAATTTCCCCATAGCTCTGTGCGCGGTATTGCAAAAGAGTGAATATTCCCCAGCCAAGGTCTAAGGTAGGCACCAAATAGTGCATGGGCACTCGTGGAAAGAGGTAGATGAACGGGACGAGGCCTAATACATTGCCTACAACAAATATTGTTTGGAACTGGACAAGTTCGTTGCCGTTGAAGTTGAGCTCTTCGGACATTCCAGAGACGTAGGCATTATCTATCCCGAATCAGCTTTGCGTGGCAGGACTGGCTTGGGAGTAACGTACTGATGTTTGTCTGGTCGATATATTTCACCCAGTATATGTTACGGCACAAGAAAGCCTATTGCGCCAAACACCACAAAAGAGGGACGTTGTAATGCCGAGAGCATTACCGTGGCTATCACCTATATATCGTACTGTAACAGTATAGAATGAAGGCATATGGGACGATTAACAAATCTAATTTGAGAACCAGTCTTCTTTCTTCTGGTGACTGATCAGGAGAGTACCAGTCATACCACTTCCTGGTAGAGGATTGGCTGTCGTTGCCTCCCATTTTCAGTTGATTTCTGGAGCTTAAAATGTGGTAGCAAACATTGAAACAAGTTGACTTCCAAGTAGGGGGTCGCAAAGTTATCTACTACGGCTAGATTTCCTGCACGAACTGCTCACCGCGAAACACAACATGGATATTTGCCAAGTCGTCACACATGCATTCAGTCACATCACCCACCCTGAAACTTAGCTTCTCGTAGCCAGTCCCACTGAACATAGATAGACACCAGATTGGTAAATTCCGCGGCAAAGATATGGATGCTGATGATGTACTAGCATCATCTTCAGGCAAATTTGCTGTGAGCTTAGTGGTCATCTTCAACACCCCACATGATACCATGTTCTAACAGATGGCGCAACGTACAAGGTAGGGAGGGCTGGCTCCCTTTGGGCCGCAATCGCGACAACGGACAGAGCTGCAGCAAAGCTATTGAGTTCAGATTCCCTTACCATCAGACTATGTGACGCGTATGAACGAAAACCAGGCAGTGACGCTTTCAAATAACAGGGAAGATATTTTGTGACAGATTCTTCCCAGTACGTAAAGCCTACATGCGTCGTGCTTCCGAGGAAACGCGTGTCTGCGTACTTTCTCAAGAAGGCGGCCCATGGGCTGAAATTACAAAACAAAGAAAACGTTTCCTCGTCGGAATTGAAAGGTACGTTAACGAACAGATGACGGCGTGATAGAATATTTGGAGCTACTGTAGCCTACACATCGTGCTTACCGTATTTCTGATCTTGATGGTACGCGTTGCTCACACGCCTCAGAGTCGAGTCCCCTGCCACCGACCACCTGAGGATCATTCATATACCTGCTTCGGAAGTGGGCAGCCCGTGAGGCAGAAATTCATATCTTCATGTGTTACTTGATCAAAATTAGAAATGTGACTTGTTCGTCCCTACCTAGGTATCCCAGTGAAGCCCCACTAGCCCCCACCCCCGAAGTACGAGGGTTCGGGTCCGGGGCGCTACAGCCATGTTCAAGCTCAAGCAGTGAACATCTACAGTTTCGACAACAACAGCATACCTCGTAAACATCGCCGAAAAACATCGCCGAAAAAAGCTCTGGCTCTCCCTTCCTGGACCTTCAGTCAGTCTTCGACGCTTCTGCTACACCAATCTCCACAATGTCAGCACCACACACAACACTCAGCGCCGCGGCAGACGACCGCAAAGCGCGGCTCGCAAAACTCAAGTCCCTCAAGCGCAAGCAACCCGAAGACGAGATCGCGCCCCCCGAGTCAGACCGCATAGCGTCGCCGGCGCCACAAGCCGCAGAGGCACCCGGCACAGAAGCCCAGAACGAGGGGCAGGAGGAGGATGACGTCTCGAGGAAATACCTGTCCGGGCGCAACTACGACGCCGAGACCAAGGGCCCCAAGCTGGGCTTCGAGGCGCCGCCCACGCTGGGGCCCGAGGACCAGACGCTGGAGGAGCAGGCGGCGGAGCTCGAGGCTGAGGTGCGGAGGAAGGCGGCCGAGGACGCCGGGGACGACCGGGGCATCGACCTGTTCAAGCTGCAGCCCAAGAAGCCGAACTGGGACCTGAAGAGGGAGCTGGACAAGAAGCTGGAGGTGCTCAACGTCAGGACCGACAACGCCATCGCGAGGCTCGTGAGGCAGAGGCTGCAGGAGAAGAAGGCCGAGGCGCAGAACAAGGACGGGAGGCTGGCGGACGGGGACGCCGTCGCTGCTGGCCTGGAGGGCGGGGAGTTGGAGGAGATTGTGAGGCTGAGGGAGAAAGAGGAAGAGGCGGAGGAGCAGAGGGAGCGAGATGCTATCGAGGCAGAGTGACCTGTGTCAAGGACGGCAGATTGAAGAGAAAAAAAAAGCTGCAGCAAGATTCTATTTCGGCAAAAGGAGACGGGCCTGCACTACTCTGGATGGAATTAGATGAAGAGGGTGCTACAGCGAAAACCACACGCGGGGCGTCACAAGGCAGGCACGGAACCACGTTTTCCAGAGGGTGAAAAGTCCTTTCTTCTTGAGGTAGAGTACGAAAAATGATACCCTTGTTTATCTACCTATTCATGGCTTGCGTCAATGCTAATCGCTTGCTGAAGGGACTCAAACTGCGCTCTCGCGGTGGCTCAGGTTCTGGTGGAGGACCTCTATGTCCACCACGCCCCTCGTCCCGATCCCTGTACTCCCTATAGCGACCTTCTTCTGGACGGCGTCGATCCCTGGGATCCGGTCGGCCCGGCGACCGTGAGCCGTACCTCTGCTGTCGTCTAGGCGCTGGTCTCTCATCGTCAGATACAGAAGGGCGACGTGTTTGACGCATAGGCGGGCGTGTGTCTCTTTCAAAAGAGTCGTCACGAGGTCCTCGCCGCGAACCGGGACGCTCACGACGGTTAGGGGATTCTTGTCGTCGACCGGGACGTGGTCTGTATTGTGCATCTGGAGTGGGGGAGCGTCCTCGACTGCCGTCACTAACAGAATCAAAGGATCTACTTCGCCTCGGCCGCCGGGCGGGTGGCGAAAGATCCTGGGTCTGGCGAGGCGAGGGCGACGCTCGCCTTCGCGGGGGCGGTGATTTGGAAGACCTCGTCGAGATGGAGGAGACGGAGTCCACAGAGCTGGAGCGTTGGCGCTTGAATTCGGGCTCCCGTGCGCTGGGTTCATCATCGTCCTCTAGCTCCCGCTTGCGAGCCCTTTCGGCCTCCTTTTTGGCCAGTTCCTCGTCCGCAACTCCCTTCCTGATGTGGAATTAGCGGAGCCCATAATGGAGGGAAGGCAAGGGGAGTAAATAAAGGCGGGAGGCATACTTCCGCGTAGCATCATCCGGCGTGTCGTTGGTGAGCTTGGGAACTAGCTTGGGATTGAGTAACTGCTGGGTACGAGACGGCCTGGGGTTGTAGGGCCGCTCCTGAAGTTGGACCTTGCATTCGTACGAGTAGTGGCGTGCTGAGACAGTTAGCCTGGTGAAGATAGGCAGAAGTGAGGGTCAAGCAAGGCAGACATATCTCGTTTCAAACACTTTTGACATTGGACATTGGCTGGTGTAGGCTTCCTTGGGCCCCCACGGCCCCTGTATGAGTTCATGCCGACGATCGCTTAGGGTGTATTGCGTGTGTGAGTGAGTTTTGTGATCAGGAGGATGGCGGCAGAGAAAGACGGGCCAGGTAATCGACTGAGGCTGTGGCTGACCGCTTTTGTGTATGGCAGCTTGCAAGCCTCGTATGGCTGACGGTGGCCAAACTCGGTCAGTCGGTCGGTTGCCTTGATTGATACTGAGTAGTTCACTTGACGAGTTGAGCCTCAGGTCAAGCCTCGGGCCGCTTGGCGAATGGAGAAAGCTCTCACCCGCCCAGAGTCTGTCCTGCCGCCCAGGGGGGGAGATGCTCGCCGGCTCTCGCCCACTCACCGTCAGGCTGACGGAAACGTCACGTGGGGTCGCAGGATGACTAAAGCCGGCGCGGGTCCAGACACGCCAGAGCAGGAGGAGCAGCAAGGACGACAGGCGTTAGCGGAGAATGACCCGCCCTGGACCTGGACCGTGCCCCTGCCCCTGCCAGCTAGCTCCCTTTCCCCCCAATCCAAAGTTGGGAGTAGTCTAATGGTACTCAGTGCTCATCCCACAGCACCCGTCTGTCAAGTCGAGGCCCAATCCAATCCAGCCAGGCCAGGCCAGTCTAACTAACTTTCTGCCGAGATTGAGGGCCTCTCTCTGAAGCTATTCACAATCCTTTCTTTCCCACGCGCGGACGACGAGAAAGGGGATGGGAGAATAGCCACTGTCCCTCAGCTACTCGTTTTTTCTCTCCCCCCCCCCAATCTCTCACCCATCGACCAACGGTCCACGAACCGCGGAGGTGTCAGCGCCGCTCCCGTCCGGTCAGATTCTTGTATTCTTCCAAGGACGACCGACGCCTACCCGCACAGCTCCCGCCGCCCATCACCACAACCGTGCCTGACAGACTTTGGAGGCGCGGCCGTTCGGCTCCCAGTCCCATTCCCAGTACCAGTCCCAGTCTGCGCGGTACCTTCGCTGGCAGAGCTGGCTACACCGTGCCTGTGCTTCTCAGAGCGCCTCGTCCACCACTCCCCTACGTCTTGGTGCGACCGCATTTCCATATTCTGGCATCGCATCACTCCCCATCCTCACCTCTGCACGCCTTGTCGGCAAGCCTGCAGCCTGCCCTACGGCCCCCGCCTCACAGCCTTTCTGTCGCCTTGCATTTGTCGACCTCGCGACTGCGGCTTGTCCGTGCCACCTCGGCCACTCGACATACACCCCAAGGCTTCCCTTTCCGTCCCCTGACCGATCGAGGATAAATTCCTGGGCAGGACAGTCGACCGTCTATCCAACAGACCAAAGCCACCAGAGAATGAACCTCGACTCTCGACAATGAGCAACTGCACCTCCCTCTCGATCCGGACCGCTCTGATCCATTTTGTTTCTTAGATTTCTTCAACTGCCCGTCTTTGGAGTTCATTCCTTGAGTGCGACTGAACCTTGCGCGACTGGACGACCACACTCGCTTCTTGGGGGGTTGCCAGCATTCTCTCCGACGTTCGCAACTAGTTCTTACTAAATACCCTTCCAAGCGCCCATGGCAGCTGTACGAACGACTATGACTGACGTCAAGAAACTTTCGTTCGCCAAGGTCAGCTCCCCTGGCCCTGACGTCTTCTGCTCTGCTCCAGCTGACAGTCAACCGCCCAAGGTCCTTGCCTCGGCGCCGACAGAAGAGAAATCGATATCGTCCTCGACTAGAGATGCCGCGCCGCATCCTGGAACCGAGGACCAGTTGCCGACATCGCCCAAAATAGCAAGCGACAGGGCGGCAGGGAACCCGGTTGTGGCCAATGGCGCCAACACAGTCAACAAATCTACGAAGACAGGGGACGACGATACCTTTGAGCATGATAAACTTGTCGATGATCTGGACAATCTGAAGATCGAGCCTTCGGCTCCGAGCCTAGTGGTCAACGGCATCAATTCCGCCTCAACTGGGCCATCTTCGAAGGCTCAGAGTCCCTCGGACGAAGCTTCGCAGAAGGCAGATTCCAGCTCGGAGCTAGGCACCAAGCCTCCTAGCCTCGATGGCAAGAGTATCACTTCAGGGACGACTTTCAACGCGTTGGACGAGAAGGAATCGCTTCGGCCTGACGACAGTGCGAGTGTGATGGCAGCTGATCAGGACGACGATGTCTTCTCCATCCGAGGCTCCCTCATTGCTGGCTCTCGCATGGGCTCTGAGGTGGCCGCTCGTGTCTACCGTATCCAGCTCGGCGATATGCCCCCACGCAGTATTGCCCCCCAGCATGTCATCGTCGAATCCGGGAATCGTGCAGTCACGGCGCCACAGTCTGTGTCTATGGAGCAACAGCCTGTGACAGATGCAAAGATTGCTCTCGTTGGCGCTACGTCTGCCCCTAACGGCATGTATGGACAGAACCCCGACGAGAAGCTCCTCGAGGCGATGCAATCGCAGAAAGATCGCTTCTTCCTCTTGAAGCTGGAAGAGATGGTTATAGAGTTTGTGCAGGATTCGAAGTGAGTCAAGGTCCTGAAGTATTCCCCATCACCATCAATTTGCTAATGGCCTGATAAGAGAACCTTTCATGGACTTGCCTCCATCCAACTCCTTCTGCAGGATGTTAACCCACAAGCTGGCTGATTACTATCACATGACGCACTCCTTCGAGGCTGGCGCGGGAGCTGTCCGCATTTTCAGAACCCCTTTCTGCAGGGTGCCGCCTTCATTGGCCAGTATAGCGCAGAGCGCTTCTGCTGCAAGCACTCCTCCGCCAATTGTGATGCCGAAGAAAATCATGCGGCGTGGAGAAGAAGGGGAATTCGGCCCAGGAAGTGCTGGCCCCTCGAAGCCAACCTCGGAGTCTGGAAGCGACTCCAAGGACAAGCAAGCAGCAAAAGAAAAGTAAGCCTAGCAGAATGATGCCCCGCAGGTAACGGAGAGCTAACATGTCGTGCCAGGATGTCGAGAGAAGAGAGAGAGGAAGCTTACAACAAGGCTCGGGAAAGGATCTTCGGGACAGCATCCACAGAGATCTCCACTCCAGGTATGGACGAACGCCCTCAGGTTCTGGCGTCTTGACAGTGCTGACGATTATGTAGAGAACGACGATAGTACCGGTGTCTCTCGTGCCAGCTCCGTGTCGATGCGAGATAGGATCAACGGCGCAAAGAAGGCAAAGAAAAGGAGAGATTCTGATACCTTTGACACCCGGTCCAACTACGTCGCTTACGCACCTGCCTACGGGCACCCTCACCAGGCCACATGGGCTCAGCCTCATTACATGCCAGCAGGTGCCCAACTCAACGGCTCAGTACAGCAACAGTCTTTTCCACCTGCGGTGCCAAACATGTACGGTGTCCCAAACCAGCAGTTCCCTCCAATGGTGCCGGGCAACGGTTACGGCCCGCCATATAACAACATGCCGAACGTAAGTCATGGCGTACACCTGTGGATTGCCCTCCATGTCACGATTGATATACTGACAATGGTTTCGACAGTATGCCCAGCCTCCCGGCCCGCCGCGTTACCAACCCCCGGTGAATCAGATACCTCCCGCACCATACGGACCACCCATGCAGGGTCCACCTCAACCGCAGAGCGGGTGGCAGCAGCCTCCCAGCTTCAACTCGAGCCCTTACCAATCTCGGGCCACGCCCGTGGCTCCAAATGGGATTCCCTACGCTTATGGTGCCCTCCCAGCCAACGTCAATCCAAGTGACCCAAAGAGCCAGCATCCCATCCCTGGCAGCTTCAATCGTCACGCATTCAACCCCAAGACTCAGTCTTTTGTGCCCGGCAACGGGATGGGACCAATGCAGCCGCCTCCTGGGCCGTATAGTGGCTATGGGCCACCTCAGCAGGGGAGCCCGCAGATCACGCCTCCTCACCTTCACTACCCGAGCTACCAGGCAGGTCCGCCTATGGGTCAGCCCCCATACGGCAACGCGAATGGGTACAACATGATGCGCCAGGGGTCTAACAACTCCCTCCCTGCCTATCATGCTCCGCCGCCCAACGTTCAGCACCCGCCTCATGTCCCTCACGTCCCTCACCAGCTGCCTCCTCACCCACCAGCCCAGGGACCTCCTCACATACCCAGCAAGCCCTCTATGCCGCAGGGCCTGCCCATGGCTCATGGCCAACCATATAGCAACCTGCCAACCTATGGCAATCCTGCGACGCTGCCGCAGAAACCCACCACCTAGGAGTTTGTAGCATGGGATGGTGTTCACGGATGACAATTATCATGACGGCGTCACGGAATTTTCTGAAAGCATACAGGCGTTCAAGGAGGGTCTTCTGGTCTCGAAAGATCATCATCATCACCATCATCATCATGACAAATTGCCAGCGTTCAGGGGTTCGTTGTTTTTTCGACCTCACCGGACAAAAAATGTTGCACTTGCTAGAAAGACTGATGATGGCTCTCTACTACTACCACTACACATAGAACAACCCTAATGCGATACAGATTTCATTTCCCCATGGGTGGCAGTGCATTTACAATGCGTATCTCACTGATCTCTTGTCACGGGAGTTTGAATCACTTCCATCCACAAAAACCAGAGCTATTTGTACCCATAGATTCAGTGCCCGGAGAAATAGATTTTTTCCGCAATACCGATGACGATCTAATCCCGCCTCTGAACGCCAAATCTTGGGAGATATCACTTTTGGGTGTAAACAAAGCCAGTGTTTTCTCTCCAACCCCTGATGCCCCCTCTCTTGCGCTTGATCCCGCTGTGGGGAATCGGTATGACCTGGGTCATCTCATTCCTCATGCTTCGTTTCTCTGCACGCCGCTGGCCCCCCCTATAGTCCATTCCACCCCTGGGAGGCGGAGCATTAGCACTAAGGTATGTTGTGCATGTCTCCTGACGTGAATCTACATTGCCCTTTCGATCCAACCGAACTCGTCTTCGAAATTGGAGCCATTGACAAAAGCCGCTAGAGACGGCGCCTACTCGCCGTTCTCGCGCGGCTCACGGGGCTCCCTGGGCTCCCTGGGCTGGCCACCGCCCCTGCCGCCGCGGCCACCTCGCTTGCCGCCCCTGCCTCCGCGCTCGCCGCGCTCGCCCTTTCCTTCCTCGCCCTCCTTGGGGGGAGCGCCTTCCTTGTGCTCCATGGTGAGGGCGCTCGTGGCGAGGCGCTGCGACAGATCGATTTGGGTGCGGATGGTGTTGGCCAGGTAGCTCACCATGAGGACGTCCTGGATGTGGTTGTTGAAGTCGTGCTCGATGGACTCGGGGGCGACCTTGGGGGCCAGCGACAGGTTGTTCATCATGTACTGGCCCAGGGCCTGGTTGGGGTCGCGCTCCTCGTCGAGGATCTCGCCGACGTAGCCGGAGCTGCGCTCCAGCAGGTCCTCGGTCTGGGCGATGGCCGTGGCGAGGGCCTCGATGTCCGGGACGAGTGGTGCCTGGCGCGACTCGTTGTTGGCTGCGGCCGCGATGGCCTCGAGGGCGGCGCGGTCGGCGTCGCCCTGGGACAGCTTGTGGGGCACCTCGATGAACAGGCACGACTCGGCCGCGCGGTCGGGGTTGACGGCGGCCGGGGCGGAGATGTAGGCGTGAGTCTCGATGTCCTTGCCTGGCTCGGTGGAGATGGTCAGGTGGACGGCGGGGTGGGGGAAGGTGCCCGTCTCGGGGGAGGCGAAGAAGTTCTGGATGAGGGCGGAGAAGCTGTTGAGCTCGAGGCTGGTGGCGTACCAGCCCAGCAGCGTCTCGCGGGGGCTGGCCTTGAGGGACAGCTGCAGCATGGTGCGCTGGTACTCAACGTCGACCTCGACCTGCTCCTCATTCTCGACGTGGGGGATGGCGAAGGTGTTGCGCACCTCGACCTCGGTGCCATCCTCGGATCGCACGCCTATCAAGGCGCCGATGACGCGGGGCTGGGGTGCGTCTGGCGAGGTGTCTTCTGGGGCAGTATCGTCGCGACGGATGGCATGGTCGAGGATTGAGAGGATTGCCTGGAGAGCGGGGGAAAAGAAGAGATCAGAGCCTGCACCGCGACTAGGCGTGGAAGATAAGTGCAAGAGGGAGGCTTACTTGTGGCTGGATGTTGACTGTCATGGGGGAGATATTTGTGTTGAAGCCTGGGGCGGCGGGGGCAATAGGCCGGGCCAGGTGGAGGAACTCCTCTGAATCAATCGCCATGGTGAAGATGTTTCCTTGAGGTCGGGTCGCGTGGTGGTTTGCGAAGGCTGAAAACGGTGGGATGAGGTCGGGAAAGTGGCGGGACGCTGAGGCTGGAGGAGAGTTGGTTGATGTGTCGAACCCCGCGGTGGTGTGTAGGGACCTCGATCTTGACCTTGGTCCTGCTCCTGGTGTTGCATGCAAAATTCCGCCCGGTTTTGCTCTCACCTTTGATCCGTCGTGTCAAATTGTGGGGTCCTCGCTGGTTTGTGTGCGCTAATCGGAATGCCCAGACGGGGGGTACAGTCCAGTACCTCACCCAGCGAGGTGAACAGTGCTGCAGGCCAAGTGCTTCGCGGGTAGACGGCCGATAAGATAAGGATTTTATTTTCAATAACTCCCCAGTTCACACCTCGAGAGTACCCAACTTTCGACGAGCACATATTTCACAACAATTTAATTTTCAGTGACTTTCCCTTGTACTACTTGACCCAGCTTCTCATTAATATCCCACACATCTGCGCCCTCGTATCAGGATCATGGCTCCAGGAGGTCGGGCTGGCTTCCGTGGAGGTTCAAGAGGCCGAGGGGCACCCAGAGGAGGCGGCAGGGGGAGAGGCAAAGGAGGACTAGCCAGGGGAGGCAGAGGGGGCAGAGGCAGAGGCAGAGGAGGTGCATCACAGCCACGAGGGCCAAGGTTCGAAAGTGCGCGAGTGGAATATAGGTGAGAAACCCCTGTTACTTCGGTCGACGGCCCATACTCAGAAATGCTAACGCGAGTGACAGTGATTCGGAAGATGAGTCTGGCCAGGAGGAAGAGGACTCAGACATCGATGAAGGTGACGAGGATGTTGAAGACCCCTCAGAAGATGAGGAGGCCAATAGCAAAGCAGCTGCCCGGCCTTATATGACCCTCGTCAAGAGCTTGACAGATGAGAGCGCTGCGCCTCGTGCCAAGAGGAGGAAACTAGACCATGAAGCAGCCCAGCCAGAACGGCCAAAGAACCAGCCTGAAGATGGGCAGGTTGGTGTTGAGGTGGATAGAGTTGAGGATGTCGACTTCGTGGAAGAGCCTGAGGACGCCCCAGAAGAGACTGCCGCAGAAGACGCCTTTGACCAAGACGACGAGGACGAGGTGGTGGACAGCTCGGATCCCTTTCAATGCCATTTCAGTGCTCCTGACGAGTACAGTGTAGTGAGGAGGCTAAAGGCGATCGAGGAAGCGAAATGGGCAACGAAGAAGGTAGCGGTCAAGGGCACAAGAACGGTTCTCAGCGCACCGGACACGAGCGACAAGAACGACGAGCTTTCGGTGCCAGTTCCAATTTCAAACGCCTCAGATCTGCATTTGAAGCAAAAGTTGGCCGATTCTATGAGGGAGAAGCGAAAACTCGATGGCCTCGAACAGTCCCTGGCACCGCACGTGTTCGGATACCGGGATTTGCTTTTCTGTCAGAGATCACTGAATAACGGCAAAAGTATCCGGCGGTTGGCCTGTCTCCATGCCCTTAACCATGTCTTCAAGACCCGCGACAGGGTGATCAAGAACAATGCGAAGCTTGCTCACCAGAAGGACGGAGAGGAGCTCGAGCTCCGCGACCAGGGCTTCACGCGGCCAAAGGTACTCATGATTCTCCCGACACGAGAGTCATGCTATAAGATGGTGGAGGCCATGGCAGCCATCTGCGAACCCGAGACGCAGGAGAACAAGAAGAGGTTCGAGGATTCATATCATGACAAGGAAGAGCGGTTCTCAGGGGAGAAGCCGGCTGACTTCAAGGATCTCTTCGCCGGAAATGACGACGACATGTTCCGCATCGGCATCAAATTCACCCGCAAGACAATCAAGTTCTTCTCGCAGTTCTACAACTCAGACATCCTGTTCGCCAGCCCGCTAGGTCTGAGGATGGCCATCGGCTCCGAGGACGGCAAGAAGGTCGAGCACGACTTCCTGTCCTCGATCGAGCTCGTCATCGTGGACCAGGCCGACTCACTGCTGATGCAGAACTGGGAGCACGTCGAGTACATCTTCGAGCACCTCAACCTGCAGCCCAAGGACGACCACGGGTTCGACGTCAGCCGGGTGCGCAGCTGGTACTTTGACGACCAGGCGCGGCACTTCCGGCAGACGCTGATCTTCTCGCAGTTCAACACGCCGGAGCTGTCCAAGCTGTTCCGGGTGCACTGCCGCAACTGGGCGGGCAGGGTGCGCGTCGAGCCGGAGCACGCGGGCGTCATCGGCGAGCTGGGCGTCAGGGCGAGGCAGACCTTCTCGCGTATCGACCCGCCGTCGGTCGAGGGCGAGCCCGAGGCGCGATTCGACTACTTCACCAAGGCGGTCGTGCCCACCCTCGTCAAGCGGGCCAAGGACGCCACCGGCACCCTCATCTTCGTCCCGTCGTACCTGGACTTTGTGCGCGTGCGCAACTACTTCGCGACAAATCAGGCCGTGGAGAGCCTGGCGTTCGGCACCATCTCCGAGTACGCCACGGTCCCCGAGGCGTCCCGGGCGCGGTCGCACTTCTTCGCCGGCCGGCACAAGGTGCTGCTCTACACGGAGAGGGCGCACCACTTCCGGCGGTACGTGCTCAAGGGCGTGCGCCGGGTTATCATGTACGGACTGCCCGACAACCCCCTATTCTACAAAGAGGTCGCCGGGGCCAACCTAGCAAAAGCAGAGCAGGACCTGGTGATAGAGCCCGGGCAGGGCAGTGTGCGGGTCATGTTCTCCAAGTACGATGTGCTGAAGCTGGAGAGAATCGCTGGGTCACAGAGGGTCGGCAAGATGATTCGCGAGAGAGGTGACACATTTGACTTTGTGTGACTACTCTTCTGCTGCTAGGGCAGTCGTTGTTAGGTAGATACACATATGTCTTGCTCTTTGGCAATGCGAGTCGTAGTATCTTAGGGGCAGCACCCCTTGGAAACCTCTGGACCAGACCCACGAGGTCTTGGTATCTTCCAGCCCATATGTTTTACATTTAATGTGCAGCCCTCATACAGACTCAGCCCCCTTCTAGTCCAGTTCACTCTCTTCCTCATGCTGGCCCCCACTGCGCCGGCGCCTCAACTTCGGCCTATCGATGTGGAATTTGTACAAGCTGTCCTGGGCGGCGCGTTCCTTCTCGGCGCGCTCCTGGATGGCCTCGCCCTCTCGCTCCTTGATCTCGTCGACAAGCGCACGGAACTCGCGCTCGCCGTCCTGTCGGAACGCCGTGACCTTCTTGACGTTCATCTTGGTGATGTGGCCGCTGTCCCGGCCCAGCACCTCGCGCGCCACCGTCGCCGCCGTCATGGCGAAGCGCATGTCGCGCTGCCCGTCCACCAGCTCCAGGATCGCGCTGGGCGCCTGGTCCGCCTTGTCCTTGGGCTCGGTGCGCAGCACGCGCGTGTAGCCGCCCGGCCGGTTGAGGTAGCGCTCTCGCAGCTCGCCGAAGAGCTTGGGGAGGAGGGCGTCTGGTGTCTGTTACCATGAAGGTGCATTGTGCCCCGGTCAGCTTTCCATGCTATCCAACAGTGTGTTTCGTCATGCTTTTCTGCAACCATCCACCCGCCCGCCGTGTGAGAGCTGGGTGGCACGAGGTGTTCGGGGAACGTACATAGAGGATGCTCTGTGCTTCCCGCCTCGACGTCTCGTTGTTCCTCTTTGCCAGTGTGATGAGCTTATCCGCCACGCGCTGGGCCTCCTTGGCCTTGGGCCATGTTGTCTGTATCGACTCCTGCTTGACCAGGGAGGTGACCAGGTTGCGAAGGAGGGCTTGTCGGTGGGACGAGTTGCGGCCGAGGGTCCGGAATTTCATGTGGCCGCCTGCCATCTTCGCTGGGTGGTTGGAGGGATTGCTCCCTCACGATCGCTCTGTGGGTTCCTCGCTGCTCTCCGGTACCTGTAGCTACGGCAGGAGCGGTGGTTTGCTGTCGTTGGAGAGGGCTGTTTGACGTCGGATTGGGAAGTTGGGAATGAATTGTTGATGTCTGCGCCGGTCCATGATACTAACACGGAAGGCGGTCGCGAATTTTCTGGACGGCGCGGCGGGAGCTGCAGGCGACCTGAATCAACGTCTATCGGGTACTGTGGGAACAAGTACAGTCGGCTTTGATGTCAAGGTTTACAGCACCATTCCATGAGTTATCTCGGTAGAATTAAGTCAAATGGTTTTGATTACTATCAAGCCTCGAAGTAGCCTTTTCTAGGTGGCCCCTGAATGCGTCGTAGCTCGTTAGATAGCGACGTGGTCACTTCGATGTACCTGCAAATTGCGTATCCTCCCGCTGCCAGCTTAACGGTCCAGGACTGACCTCATCCCCTGGAAGTGCTCTTCAGGGAATCCGACCTTCGGCGGAACCAAGATAGCTCTCGAGCTTCGCATCACGACACAACATGAGCCTGCCTAGCCTTGAATTCCTTTCCTCATAGCCCAGCACTATTCTGCTTCCCTCGACTCCCTCAATTGGCCCGACAACCCACCCAAACATACTTGCGACAGGTCTTGACGCCGCACGAGCAACACCCACCCACCATGGGCTTCACCACCGGCTTCGTAAGCGTATCATTTGCTCTTCATGAAGGCCTATCTCGCTAACAGATTTTCTACCCTCCTATAGACCGGCGGTGTGACACTCGTACTCGGCATATCCTACCTCAGCCTCCAAGCACACAGGCGCACCCGCGAGCGCCAAGCCGAGACCCTTCGCGCAAATACCTACATCCTCAACTCCCTCACCTACATCCCCGCCACCACGCCACCGCCAAAGACGCTGGCCCAAGAGCTGGCCCTTTTGGAGCAGCAGCAGGAGCTCCTGGCGCGCGCCGACGAGAAGCGCAGGAACCTCTCCGGAAGAAACGAGGGCTTTCTCGACAAGGCCAAGGACAGGTGGAACACGGAGATCGAGGGCGCCGTGCGGTGGGCCGCCAACAAGGACTGGGTCGCCGCGCGCGAAGACGCAGAGGTCGCGGCCTCGAGGCTGTGGGCGCGTGCGAGCGGCGGCGAGGCACCGTCCCACTCGGCCCAGCGGGCCGGGGCCGCCGTGACCGACAAGGCCGCCGCTGCGACGACCACAGCAAGAGGTGCGGCCACGGAGAAGGCCGTCGAGGCCAAGGAGGCCGCGGCCAGCTTCTGGGAGCGAGGCCTTAACAAGGGCAAGGAGATTGCCAGCCAGGCCAAGGCGGGCATTGCGAAGGCTGAGGAGAAGGCGCAGGACGTGGTTAGGGGCGCGGCGAAGAAGACTGGCGAGAGCGACATCGAGAAGGTGCTGCAACAGCGGTATGAACGGAAACCGGACGAGTCGCTGAGCAAGAGCCCCGAGCAGCTGCTCGAGGAGAGGTACCGACCCATGGTGGAGCAGGACAACACCAAGTTGAGAGGTGTTTAGGTGGGCTGGAAGACCAAGCGACTATTGAAGACATCGCCCACATTATTCCATGGAAATATACCAATTCGGTTGTATGACTACAATGCAGGTGTCATCGGGCGGGCCGTCCAATCTACCGTACACCCTCTTGTCAATCCTCTGCCCAGCTGAAGCAGAAACAAGGGGTGCCTCTTCGGCAACATGAAAAGGCATCAAGCATCACCACTACACACAATAAATCACGCTTATCTCGAAGTAATGGGCGAGTACAGGGCTAGTTAAGAAAAGTAGGCCGTGCTACGTAGGGCTTGCGCGAGTGCAGCATTCAGTAGTGGGTCAGGGGCTATTGAGGGTATCATAACCTTGGCGGCCGCGTCAGCGGTATGACCGTCCTCGATGGAGACGCCCTCGAAACTGTACACCCCGAACCTGACATTGTAATAAAATGAATTCTCCTCCGACCCTTGAGCACGGCTAAACGCCATTCCATATGTTCTCGTCCCGCGTAGTTCATCCAAGGGATTTATTTACCTGCTCGTCTCCATGTCCAGCTGGAAAGGTAAAACCTCTTCACGCAGAGAGCATCATCCAGTGATATCAATATATAATATATATTCGTCTTCGTTCTCATTCAAATGCATAATGGCTACCGGATGGTATAGGCACCGCCAACTCCAAAGATGCCCAGAACGCCCTCTACACTATTAACTATGCTAGCTGAACCGGGCCCAACCGCAACGGCGAGGCCAAACCGGCTCTGGGAACCGCAAACATCTCGTCTTCCCACAACCCAATATCGATAAAGACTGTGGTATGCAAATGTACAAGAGCTGTCGCCGGAATTATATGCGGCCCAGATCTTCAAATCGTCATCCATCACGACCGCCCGTGGGTCTGACCGTGGCCCTCCTCGGGGACGATACACCTGCTCTCCAACCACTTGGCAAAGCGGACGACGGGGGCGTCGACGGAGCGCCAGAACAGGTCCGCGGCCCAGACGACGCTGGGGACGACGAAGACGGCGGCGAGCGTGAAGCCGGCGTTGTAGCGCCAGCCCTCGATGCCGGTGACGCCCCAGGCCCAGCGCTCGGTGGCGTAGCCGATGGTGTGGATGACGGGCCCGTGCATAAGGTAGATGGCGTAGCTGATGCGGCCCAGGTACTGCACGACGGGCGTCATGAAGACGCGCTGCCAGGACGGCAGGTGGCCGACGCACAGCACGAACAGGATGCTGCCCACGCACTGCCAGTACCGGTACTTGTCCGAGAACCACTCCGGGATCAGCGACGACAGGTACACCCACCCGGGCGTCTTGGCGAAGTGGACGTCCGGCTGCGACATCAGGTACAGCCCGCCTATCGAGAGCAGCATCCACGCCGCCGTCTTGAGCTTCCGGCTGGACACCGGCGACGCCTGGCGGCCCCTGCCGACGAGGTCGAAGGGCTTGGGCTCCGTCACGGGGAGCTGCTGCTGGGAGCTGCTCGAGGCGGAGGCGGCGGCGGAGGCGTTGGACACGGGGTCGGTGTGTGCGCCGCGGATGACGTCCAGCTCGGCGAACAGCATGCCGGCGTAGAACAGCACCATCTCCCAGCGGTCGTTGCGGTACGAGAACCACACAATCAAGGCGAGGAAGGCGAAGCGCAGCCACGTGCGCATGCGGGCGAGTCCGATCATCGTCAGGAAGAGCATCATGCTCGCGCGGAACTCGACGGGGATCGTCCACAGGTGCACGTCGTAGTAGGTGCTTCCCCCAAAGGGCTCCCAACCCCAGATGTGGACGAAGTTGAACATGTTCCAGCCCCAATCGGAGAGCTGCTCCGACAGCGAGTCCTTGAGGTCCGGCGCCGTCTCCTGCACGTTCTTCATGAAGGTGCTGTCCCGCGAGAAGTCCCTCGTCCATTCGTACGCGCCGAGCCGCAGCAGCACGACGATCATGAAGGTCGAGATGGCCGTCGGGAGGAACAGGCGGAGCGCCCGCCGGAAGACGAAGCTGGCCATCGTGGTCGCGAAGCCGTCCCACTTCTGCTGCCGCGCCAGCTTGACGGGCTTGAGCGACAGCGCGTACCCGGACACGACGAAGAAGATGGCCACCTGCGGCGGCCCGGCGTAAATGAGCCGCACAAAGGGCAGCTTGAAAAAGTTGTAGTTGTGCTCCTCAAAGCCCCACCCCTCGGCGATGATGAAGCATGTGTACAGGTAGTGGCACAGGAACACGTTGAAGGCCGCCACACCACGCATCCCGTCGAGGTAGGCCGTCGGCCCGAGCTTGTCGGACGCATGTTTCCTCTCATGACTTAACCTGCTCTGGACAAAGGAAGGGAGGAGGAAGAAGCCCACGCGGCGCAGGAGTGCGAAGTACGCGGACATTGGCGGCGGCCGTTGCGGGACCGGTAATGATGATAACGTCGACCTAGCTGTGTTCGCCCATGCCGCGGCGGTTGGGAACCGGGTCTCGTTGTCTGCCTTGCCGGCGTCGCTGTCGACGTCGGACAGGTTCTTCTCGTCCAGCAGGTTTATGCTCTCCTCGTATGAGAGGGAATGTTTCGAGAAGGCATGGCCATTCATTGTCCAGCAATGCGAGATTCCGAGTATGTGCCTGAGGGATCACGAAACAGGAACAGCAAAGCGCAAAGTCTAATGAGAGGTATAAGTGCGACGGATGGATTTGGTGCGTCTTGAATACAAAGGTCCTGCCTTGCGAGAAGGGATGGAATTCACAAACAGGACATGAAGAAGTCGTGACTTTCGTTCTTGGCAGACGCGAGCGCAACAGAGAAACAAGGCTGGTTAATGATCTCCAAAGAGAAGAGAAAGCAAAACATCCGTGGTGGTCTCGACGGGTAAGAGAATCTGTTGCCTCCCTCGGGTCTGGGCCGATTATCACCAAATAGTAGCTCTCCCGATGGGTAGTAGTCTCAAACGAGAAGAGCAGCGGCCAAGGAACGGGGATATGTGGAACGGGTGGGAGTCAGCGAGGCCCTTGCGAGAGGGTGTGTGGTGAGAGATCTGGCTTGGTGAGAAGCTTGGCCGCTGGGAGCGGGGACCCTTCGCGGATTGTTTCAAGTCGATGGGTGATAGATATAGCCGCACCAAATCGGAGGCCCAGCCAAGTTTCAATGCCGACTTCTGAGGCAAGCGCTGGCGCTGTGGGTCAGGTAATAAGCATAAACAGCCACAGTGCACGCAGGGCGAGTGTCAGCTTTGAACGGCATCGACATAAACTGTGGACGCCTGCTATGTTGATCAGCACCCTCCCTGTGGCTCAGGCTGCTCATGACGTTGGGATAGGCCATTGCACAATCTATAAGAAGTTGATCACGTTCTATCACTTCGACATCAAGGATAGTAGTTTCGGGTTGAGTCGATGGTGGAGATGATCTGATGGCAAGAGGTAGTAGACCGCGGTACGCATTAATCTTGGGCATATAATTGTTGACTCGTCACAGAGAGAGCAATTCAAGGAGACTTTCGCGTGGCAAGGGGGCTTCAAGCTCAAGAATCTTACTCTCGCCCTCCCCCTCCTCTCTCCATTCACTCCTCAATCCGCAGCCCTCAATGCAAAGAGAAGAGTCCTTGCAGACTCAATCCCGTCGTCAAGGTTTGGCAAGGCTGACTGAACGGGCGAATATCGAGGTGCTGTTCCTCGCACACCTCGGTCGTTTTGAGGCTCTCAGGCCACTCGCTCGACAGGGCTGTGTCTTGGCTTTTCGGCTGTCGATCCCGCCCCTACGCCAATAGCGTGCCGTAGACGGCCCCACCTCCTGACAGCAGACCTGTTCCAGATCTGGGGATCGCCCACTGCGGTTGGTCTTGGACTGTTTTGGAAAACGAGCTAGCCGGGCGCGGGAAGGGATGAGAAGGCTAGTGATCCGCTCCCGCCGGCTATGTGACACAGCGAACACGAGGAGGTCCCCGAGTCGTATGGGCCTAGGTTTCGCCTGAAGTTGAATGGTGTGTGCCCGACACGTACCAGCCGCGATATTTGTAAATGGCGATGTCTGTCACGATCTTTGAGGAGCTAGGAACAGGCCGAAAAACATCAGTTGACCTCTGCGAGTGTGCTCGCTCAAACCAATTATATTGAATTTTCCGATGTTGAGGTCCCATCCACGCATCGTAAACTTTTGTACCACGGGATCCCATCCATGAGTCCGCATGTAGTAGAACGCCCGAACTCCACCTCAAATAGTGCCCATCATCCCAAGTCTCGTTAATATTAGGTGGACAGCCAGTCCAAAAACTCCGGTGTGAAGTAGCTGATAACTATCGTCGCTCCTGCTCTCAAAATGCCCTCAGTCGATTCGAACGCCATGGTCTTGAGGTCGAACACGCCGGCTTTTGCAGCAGCATGGATCATGGCGAACTCCCCGCTGACTTGGTAAGCGGCGATAGGAAGGTCTTTGCCAAGCTCCTTCGCATCTGAAATGATATCCAGATACTGGCTTGCAGGCTTGACCATGATCACATCGGCACCTTCGCCGATGTCGCGCACAATTGCGCGACGGGCGAGACCGCGGCCTCCTGGCGGCAATTGGTAGCACTTCCGGTCGCCAAAGGAAGGGCACGACCCAGCGGCGTCGCGGAAGGGGCCGTACAGGCAACCAGAGAACTTGGCGGCATAGGACATCAACAGTGTCTTGTGTGCGATTCCCTCCTCAATCAGCTTGAGCTTGATGGCACGAATCCGGCCGTCATTCATGTCGGATGGCGCTACGCAGTGAGCGCCTGCCTGGGCATAGGCGATGGCGACGTCGGAGATGCGGTCCACAGAGAGTTGGTTGTTCAGACTGCCGTCATCCCTAAGGATACCGCAGTGGCCGTGAGAAGTGTACTCGCAGAGGCAGACGTCTGCTGTAATGTAGAGCTGGGGGAAGCGTTGTCGAAGAAGTCGGATACTGCTGATGACGGGACCCTTGGGGTCGTCTGCGGCGGTGCCCAAAGCGTCTTTGGTGCCGGGGTTGAGGGGCACACCGAACAGCATGACGGCACGGAGGCCCTTGTGGACCAGTGGCTCGAGGAAAGGGATCAGTTTGTTTATGCCGCGGCGGTACTGGTTCGGGAGGGATGGGATGAGGACTTCTTCGTCATCTTGGTCGGAAACGAAAAGGGGATAGATGAGCATAGACTGCGATGTGCACTGTTAGCCTGAAGCAGAGAAGCAAGTACAGGCAGTAAAAGACCACAAACCTTTGTGAGTTGCCTCTCTGCTTGCCACGACCGCGCCAGGGCATGGCTGTATCCTCCGTGAAGCTGGCTGGAGATGTCTCCAGAGATGCTCACGCTCGTGGCAGCAGTACTGGTGTAGGACATGGCACGAGAGATGTGGGACGTCCGGGAAGCCAGGCCATCCATCGTGGAGGCGGCGGATGTCATCGAAGCGTCTTCGCGGTTGTTGCGGGCGTCAGCAGCTGACCGCATTGAGAGGTCCTGGACGAGGCTGGAGAAGGACATGATTTTGATTGGCGTGGACGTGCGTCGACAAGGTCGACTCGACAGTCAATTGCAGAGAGTGGGCGAGGGGGTATCAAGGGATGAAGTTGCGCAAACAGAGCGGTGTACAACAGGCCGATGTTCGCAGAGATGCACCAAGGGATATATGTACGGAGGGGCAATCTTGGAGGACGGAGATTTGAGGTGGCGAAGGAGGAGCTGATGGGTATGTTCGGGAGCCGTCGCACAAAAATTGGGGTCAGCAAGCGACGCCGAGGATGTAATCGCAAATCCTTTGCGTATGCGTCAGACGCCGGCTAATGGCGTATCCAATTGGATTCGGCTGGATTGAATTGCACGGTTCTCAGCGGCGGCTTCGCCGCTTCTCGGTGCTCGGCTTTGAATGAAGGATTCGTCGACTGGGGAATGTGCGGCGGAGCTGCAGCAGCAACGGGCGAACAGGACTGATCGAGAGAGTTGTCTCTTATCTTTGTTTCATCAACAAACCGCAACGGAAGGAGCGGCCGCCCGACTCGACGGCCTCGGGGTGCTGCCGGCAAGCCTGGAAGGCGGTCCCAAACTAGCCAGCTGCCGCAGGCCAATCACAGCCCAGCCATCTCCAATGCCTGCTCTTGCCAGGCCGCGGTCGGTCAAGTGTACGGATACACTGAGGCCGGCAGACCAACGACAGTCTTACCGACTGCCTGTTGTGCGTGTTACTTCACTCCATCCTCAACACCCCAATCCGTTAAGATGCAACTGTCCACACTTCATAATTCCCAAAGACGCCCTGTGGACATTAAGCCCAAGCGAACTCGCCGTTTGGCATCTATCCATTCAGGCACGAGAACATGCAAGTCGACGTTCATTTTACGACGAGGAGCTGCTCTTAACGACGATCGAATTGTAGGCCACCGAAGAACCACATGCAACTTCAATGGAGCCAGTAGCACATCATGCTTTCGCCTTAATTGCCCCAGATCTACCCCTTATCTTGATATAAATACTAGTCCAGCCTGGCAGTGTTTTTGTTGAAAGTGGGAGCCTGTAGAGGCTGTCTTTGTGTGATCATCGAGAGGAAGCCAATCAGATGTCAATTTTGGTGTTGTAAGGTGGCAAATCATCAGCGATGCAGTTACAGATCTAGTATTTCTTGAAGTCAAGAAGCTGCAAGTCATCCACTGCGTGTTGCTGATTACCTAGGTACTCTCTGGATTTCGAATCAAGGGCTGCTCAGTACGAGGCCTTGTATTCGCTAGAGCTCTGGGTCACTTGTGCAAGTGTCAAGGCCCATGGAGGAGAGCAATTCGGTGTGCTGCTTGGCATGAGATACAACCATACTCATGCTACATGCCATCGACTAGTCCAGGGCTCTCATTTCGCGGCAGATTTGACAGTCGGTTGGCAGGCTTCCTCAAACGCTTGATTGGAAAGATAATTTATGGACCCATTGTCCGTGTGGTCGAGACCTGGATTGAAGGTCGATTATTTTCTCTGGTAACCTAGAACGTTTCATGGCCGACTGGGTAAGGGAAAGAAGGAAGAGAGGCGACAGCACATGTCTGCCAAGGTAGGTACGCAGAGACATGCCGAGCTGATTTGTGGCTATTACCCATAGAATTTGCGTTCGCAGTCTCCGGTACGGGAGGGGGCCTATCTTGTCGAGGAAGGCACCCCGTTAAACGCCTTCCTTACTACCTAGGTACATTGTTCTCAAGCTCCCCCTGGTCTCGGTCGCAGCGTGGAAAACAGAGCATAGCACACGTTTGTCAAGATTCTGTATACGTAGATTCCAGACCGTCAAGGTTCCTGTCAACATGCCAATGTTGAGGTTTTCCTAGCCTCTCTGACCTGCTCTTTGGTCGGCTCAGAAAGGCAGAGACCCTTCTTTCTTTCTTTCTTTCAGTTGAAATAGTCGATGGTGCCGTTTCCTGGCCAGATAACTTAATTCGAGCTCCTTGCCAAGCAGACAACCCAGGGCCAGCCTTTCCGATGAGCTCCCCTCATCGTGCCCAGTTTTCCCTCCTACTTGAAAAATTCACCTCTGCTTCCTTGACGTCAACATCTGCAGTTGACCCGTCGACCTCCCCCAACTCAAACAAGCTTGGACTCTTCAATTGAGCTTCTCGATCATCCTCGCTTGTCAACCACGTATCGCCTACCTGGTTTACACCTCCGAGTCTTGCGGGCTTCACGGTCCGCAAGCGTGTCGTTGCAGCAACAGCAACTCATTTCTGCCAGGTCTGGCCTTGCAAGAAACGCGGTCCTTCACCTTGACAAACCCATCCGCCCGACGAAGCCTGCCTTTCCTTCGATTTTTGGATCGACTGTGCGTTCGCACTCCCTTCACTTTTCTAGTCATTCCCTCATCGAACCCTCTGCACCATCTCTGCCGTTGTTTTGGCACTGGTCGCCATACCGCAACCATGTCAACCAACAGCAGCAAGTGGAAGAAAGCTCTACTTCCTACCCTTGGAAACCGTCGCAGAGGAAGGGACCCCACTAGCCGCCTCCCTGCTTCAAGAACAGGTGCGTTGTTTAACACAGATCTTTCGAGATATTACGTTCCAAGCCGATAATTGTCTGACAAGTCACAAGTCTCCGATATCAGCGTCACAGCTGCAATACTGCAGCACGCAGAAGAAACTGCTCCTGGTTCTGTCGACGATGAAGTCGACGAGAGAGTCGTCAGCGTTTTGTTAGAGACCACAAATGAGGCCGACAACGAAAGCCAATCTGCCATCATCGGAAAGGTATGACCAAAGACATCTTTGCACACTTTGGGACAGGAGAGGGATTCCTAACTCGATCTATGTGCAGAATAGAGGAATCGCTCACAGCCAGACCGTGGGCGTGATGCCCTGTACAGAGAATTCAAGTGTCGCGGGCTCGCCTGCCAGAGTCCACAGCAAGGTCACCAAGCTTGCCACTCCACCCCGCAGATCATCGAAGCGCAACCTCCAAGCCGTCACCCATGACTTTGCAAGGTCATCGCCAAAGCGAAGCGCAGATGGGCTGGTTCGACCTTTGCCCAAGCTCCGTTCGTCGAACCTCCTTAGTCGAGAGACCCGTCGAATTGCCCAGTCGCCATCTGTGTCTCCGGGCAAACTTCCAGCTCATTGTGGTGGCAAGGGCACGATTCGAAAGAGTGGAAGTTATGTCGACAAGACCAACGATCCGTTGGTGTCCGTCTTTGCCGGAACCGATGACCTAAATGGAAGTGCCGTGGACTCGACTGGATTTGGGTCTCTCCCGAAGATGTCTCGCCTCAGGAAGAACAAGGTCTTTGCCAAATTTGCAACTGCCCTTTCGGAGCATTTCAGTAGACAGGAAACCCGGAAAGAGCAGAAATCTGGCGACGGTGCCACCGAATCGCTACCTGTGTCCAACAACGAAGCCAGCAAGCCCATCCTGCATGGTCTGCCACTGGGTAGACTTACACTGGCTCAGCTGCCTCTTCCTGACGTCGAAGCGTCTTCCGCATCGACCGATCACCTTCCCAACGAGAATGGCAGTCTAGAAGACCGCAAAGGCAGCAGAGCCGTGGCAACAGCCCGTACGGCGCCTTCAATGCCTCAAAAGCGGCTCAGCATGGTGGAGGGCAGTCCGCCTCTGGAAGATCCCTTTTCAGAGGAATCTCCTGGACGACAGTCAACCGAATTCGAAGCTCGCTTGAAGAATGTTCAAGCCTCGGGAGCTGTTGGCGGACCCAACCCCGTCACTTCACTGACCGACCCATTCTTGACTGAGGCGATCATGGATACCAGCGACAACTCCATCTTGAAAACGCCTCCAATCGGTAGTTCCACGCCTAGGGCCCGAGTCCAAGCTCTGGTACCTATTAAGATCTCTTCCGAGGGCACTCAACTTGTCCCAGATGCTAGGACCGAAGTGACCATCGTGTCTCCCGATGGACCAACAACGAGCCCTTCCAAGCGACGCAAGTTTGCTATCGTATGCGACAACCCAACCAAACTTGACACTTCCCTTCGGCCAGGTCACCAAGATATTGGCTCTGGTTCTCCGTCAAAGGCTCGTGGCAGTTCCGATTCAACTAGGCTGAGTTCCTTTCCGCCCGGATCTACCATTCGACATGTGCCACGTTCGATGGGCCGCCTCACTGGACTTCCTGACTTAGCAGCGTCAGCAGCGGCTCGGCGAAGATCTCCAAAGGTCGGGCGGAAGAAGCATCCATCACCTAGCAAGCGAGATCTTGACCTTTATGGCAAGTTCATGGAGGAGAGTGTTGGCCTCGGCGTCTTCAAGGACACGGACGAGCTGGCCTTGAGCTTCACCTCTTTCGCGGCCACCAATAGCCCTGCTCTGGCGCCTCGCGATAAGAACAACCTACTTCGAGGTTCAACCGACAGCCATTGTGACTCGGGCAAGGGTTTCAGCCCGAAAGGGCCTGTTGCTGGCTTGAGTGCGAAATCTCGGAGCCGAATTCCACAACCAGTGAGCCAACGTGCTCGGTCTCGCTCGGAGACAGCTTTCGCTCGGGACTTCGCACCTGCCAACCACGGCGACTCTACCACCGAGGATGAGTTGCAGTGGAACTCGTCCACCTACGTTGTAGGCCGCGGACGTGATCACCGCTGCCAACGTTGCGGCAGCATGACAGAGACATTGTAACTCTTGTACCAACATCGACCTGAATCTGCTCTGCTGTGCAGAGATCTGATGCAGCGGTCACTGAAAACAGCATGCCAAATACCGTGAGCACCGAAGAACCGATATGGGCACTTTGGCTTTCAGAAGATCCGGCCTGGTTGCTAGGAAACATAGAGGCGGCTAATTTTTCCGTCTTTTTCGGGTACACAAGGTTGTTTCTGGACATTTTGGGAGCAAATTCCCCTGATGTCTGTCCATAAGATGACGAGGAGCAAATCGAGGGAGAGCTGTGAATGTTTTACGGTGCTCAGGCAAGGTTTAATAGAGACACCAAAAGAGTTCTCGCCACTCTAGCAGAGTGGAAATGAGACTACGTTCTAAGTGACCTTCTACGTGCTTGTACAGTTTCTGTTTACACCGGCTAACAAAGACAGAGACGTGATGATGTGATGATAACTTCATTTACATATCTATCATATATGGGTATCGTATCGTATCAAACGCTCGCTTCGTTCCTTCCATCTCCACTCGTTTGAAACCTGACAACTTAAGTATCAGGTTCGTCAGACAATATCGTACAGCCGCTCCGCATTAACTTATCAACAACGCTGCCTCAAATCCATGATAGTGGTTGAATCTAGTGGCGGTGGCTACCCCGACCATCGGTACCGTGCATGCGACGCGTGCCAGCAGCCTATTTAAGACGTGATGTTAGTGAACGGTGTCCAAAGGAGGAAGAGTAGAAGGAAGAAGAGGGAAGGCTTCGTACCTTGACGGCGGGGTTCCTCGTCAGAGTGCCCTTGAGCTTCTTGAGCCCGCCGGCGATCTTGTCACCCAGGGTGGCGTGGCGCTTCTGGTGGTGGACCTTCCTGCGGAACAGGCCGCGGCGCTCAGTGGTGGTGTGCGAGGCGTACTTGCGTGCCATTTTGTTGTTGGAACTTGATTTTGTTCTGGTGGTAATTTTTGGGTTGAAAGAGGTCAAGACTTCTGACGTGGGGATCCTTCTTGGACTTGAACGTCTGATGTGGTGGATGTTGTGTTTGTGGTTGATGAACATTGGTATGAGCAATCAGGGAGCAAGGGGTGGTTGTGGGGAAGACGGGGCGGTGTTTATGTACTCGGATTGCTTGATACTGTTGACCTGTGTTTTACCTGCTTTCCTAGGTTCTTTCATCATCGGTCACCTTGGGACCAGTGCACACGTGCGGTGATGCCATTCCGGAGTGATGTCAGCGCGGTAGATCTGGCCTGGGCCTAGATCAGCACCAGGGTAGGTGTTTCGCTGTGTTGTTCTGGTCACCACAACAAGGGGTCATGTGTGAGACACCGCCTATTGGAGAGTCAAGCTCACCACTCTGCTGTGATGATATCCGTCTAATCTTCCGCACTACGAATGCACAGCATAGGCAGAGGAGCGCTAGGAGAATTTCCCTTGACGACGGGTGAGAATCAGGTTTTCCGGGTGTTGATTGTCAGCCCTGAAAGCGACCCTGTGGCTTGCGACGTCATAGCTGGGTCGCGTCGCTGACGGTGTAATACGTGATTGGGCAGACGCGCAGGTTTAATGTGGGCCCCAGGAACCCTGGATCTCAAGGCTGGAATGCCGACAAAGGGTCAGGAGGGTGTGGCTGTTGATGTCACCTTTTTCTCTCGGTTTCTATTGTTCCCTGTTTGAGATGGGTGTTCACGCACAACCTTTCCGCTTCTAGAACTGCGAACGCATCGAGGGGATCGGTGGCGGAGAGCGTTGCCCGGCCCGGCATCCGGTCGCGAATGATGTCGTCTGCTCTGCCGGGAGGCCTTAGGGGATCTGCACAGGCGCATGTCTGGGGCACGCCGTTGCCCTAAACAACACCCAGCGCGGGAATATGGGGAGACAGAAGCGCGTCAGCCGTCTCAGGATGACGGAACCGACACTCCAACGTGACTGCGGTTGTGCTCTTGATGAAAAGGCACTTGCGTGTCTGTGTGACAAAGCCCTTGGCGACAACATCACAATGATTTTGGAGGCTCTTCCCTCCTCTCCTTCTACCGGCTTCGGTCATCAAGCTGACGAGCTGCCCATCTTGAAAGCGCTAGTGGTTTAGTCACAAGTTTACCTAGTCCTCTTGCAATGCGTAGGTGCGACAAGGTCCGTCAATCTTGAGATCGTCTGGGCTCTGGAGAATTTCGTCGCTCAGGAGTTGATTCCCTGGTATTCCTCTTGGTTTTCTTCCTTGCTGCGCCGCTAATTCATGTACGTTGTTCACCGGTCCACACTTGCATCAAACTTCTATACTTAAGAAGTTCTTACCAGGCTCGAGAAAATGTTTCTTTTTTGACGTATATGTGCCGACTCAACACTGCATGGGTCTTCACTATCTGTCTTGCGACAACTAGGAGACTTGGGACTTGAGTTCTCAGGCCAAAGCTTGTACTGGCCTGCCATCCCGATTGTTCCGAACGGTACGAACTGAGCTTTCGGCCTAGACTCCAAGATGAAAGTTAGAATGCAACTCCAAGATGCTAGTAGCCTTGGCTTGATGGCTGGCTGCGACATCATGAGATGCGAGCTTGGCAGTGCTTGACACATTGCTTCGCCGGCGACGTCGTTCACAAATGCCGCTTTGAGAGCCAAGTTCTCACAGGGACACTGGACACGTGCGGTTTAAACCCTCGCTGAATCAGTCAACAAGGCATCCAAGACAGAATCCACAAGTCCACACACACCCAGATCTTCGATCGTAGCTTTGGGTGGACTAGTGGTCATTGACAGTGGGGCTTGTATAAGGCTGATAAACCTTATATGCAATGAGACTGCCGGACTGCAGCATGGGAAATTTCGAGGACTATTATACGAGCATTTGATGCCGCGCATCCTGGTTTTGACGCGATGGGCGGTAGGCAACCGGCTCCGTGGGCGGCTCCGTGGGCAGTGTGGGACTCAAAAGAGACGCCGGGACGGCCCCACCTCTAGGCTGTGAGGGTTGCAGTGGTAGCGCATGGTGCCCCTGAACCCGCCCGTGAGGAAAGCGCCTGGCATTCCCCTTTTGATGTTGCCCAAGTCAATCTGGCACCCAATGTGTCTCGAGAGCATCTTTCGAGGTTCCTCACCCCATCAAATCCGAGAGACGCATGACTACGACCCCCTATTTTGGTACATAGGCCTAAAGCAGAGGCTTGAAACTTGCTTGCGCCTAGGCTCAACTCTGATTCAGCTTGTCGAATGTGGTCGTCAACCAGTCCCAAGTCACTCACTTCCACGCCAGCATGGTCTGGCAAGTGGCAAGGGAATGCCGGCTCAGTGCACTGGATGGCATCCTCTTCCCCAACCATGGGTCTCTTGAACCATGGGTCACGCAGCTAGACAACAAGACATCCCGTCAACGATCACTCCAGGCACAGGGTCGGCAAAGTGACAACCTCAAACCATCATCAGGCCCTTTTCAACTTGTCAAACGAGGCAGGCAGGGACACACAAGGCTCAGCCCTATGCGACACCGTGCCGCCCGTAGAATTGCCGTCCGCGCCCGCCTCGCTTTGATGGCCCTGCCACAGCGGTCGCGTTCATCACCTCGTTCGCAGCGGATTATTGGCCTGGGCACTCGATCCTTGGAGTGCCGCATCCAAATTGCAACTGCCTCGTCACCACCACTAACAACCCACCTCCCGCGCCGACAGTGCGGGTTGGCTGATTAGCAAGCCCTCGGCGAACTCGTTCCCACCTCGTTCCCGGGAGATCAATGGTGCCAACTATATCTCTAACCCACGGACCCTCTTGTCGATCAGGGAAGTATATCCTCCCAATCGCCGAAAAACCCAGATCCGCGGGTCCTGGGCGCAGCGTTCCGCGACCGCGAACCCGAGTGTACAGCGGTCCTGACTCGCTGCGTGCGCGCGCGGGAGAAGAAGCCCTGCTTCGCGTGTGTTGCTTGGCCCCTCGTCGACGACTCATCATGCTTCCCTGGAACCCACGGCTTTCCTTTTCGTCCCAAGTCCGGGCCTCATGCCAGCAAGCCCAACCCGGCAGTGTGGAGGGGCACGTCGCTCTCGAGACCAATAATCAGGACGGGCGGGGCCGGAGATATGTTTAGACGTAGCAGCCATCCTGGCAACGGTGGTCTGCTGGTGCTGCAGCCGGTCGAGCCTTGTACCAGGCGGAGCGAGAAGTCAAGTGGTGATCCCGCATACCCGGCCTTGGCTTTCCTCACTAGCTGAACTATGCGATACAGCCCCGGGGATCTTGGATGTGTGTGCAGGGCTGTGGGTATTGCCCGCCGGCTCAACGCAGCAGTGGTGCCCCTTGGTGTTGTACAGGCCCGGTCGGATCTAAGGGGAGAGTCATGAACCATATCATCTGGGGGACGCCTCTACATGGCGCGAGGCTCCGTCAATTCTTTCACACCTACTCGAGACCGTGGCTGGATTCCCGCAACCCACCAGACATCGGAACATGTGTTGAAGGAAGAGAAGAGACCCGGGCCGAACTTTACATCCATCACTCCGACAGCACAGACCTCCAAGCCGTCCTCGATGTCCCCCAGCTTGTTTGGGTGATTCAAAGGGTCGACGCAGTTCCCAAAGCGACCGAGACGATGTCGACGAGTACGGAAGACATTGTGCAAAAGGCGGCCCAAGCCAGGTCGTTTACGCGCGATGGGTTTATATTTCTAGGAATTGCTATTGCCGTCACCCTCCTGAGGACGTACGCCAGGTGGGACATGGCCGGGTTCAGGAAATTTCAGGCCGATGATTATCTGGTCTGGCTCGCACTTGTGAGTGGGTGCCGAACAAGAAGATTTATGCGCTGGAATAACTAACGGGAGCGCTGTGGAAAGGTGCTGTATGCTGGAGAGACGGCCAGCAATTTTCTATTCGTCAAAATCTCCCGAGGGCTCGCCAACAACGACATGACAGACGAGGAGAGAGCAGCTCTGGACCCTAACAGCGCGGAATTCAGCATGAGGTGAGTGTCGGAGAAGACCTGTCCTCCGCAACAAGGCAAATACTGAGAGACGGCCACAGAGAGAGGGGATCCAAGGCGAATTTTGCTGCTTGGCCACAATACGCATTAATAATGTGGTCTTTGAAGGCTGCGATGTGCGTCTACTACCTACGTCTTATGGTGAGATCCTGTCGCACGCGTGTACTCCCTTTGCGGCACCATGTACCCGACCACATCGCAAAAGACCACGGGCTGACACCCCTCCAGGAAAGATCAAGATACCGCAACAGAATATTTGTTGGATTCGGCATGATTGGTGTGACCTTCGCTATCGTCATAATCGTCATCTTCGTCTCGTGCACCCCGATCACGAAATGGTGGCAGATGAATCCAGATCCAGGGCGTGAGTAGGCCAGAGTGGGCAATGCGAATTAAACGCAGGAGAAATCGAACGACTGACTGACGAGAATTGTGAACTTTCAGCCCTCTGCTACTCCGTGTCCTCCCCGGCCATCCTGTGGACCTTCCTGGCATGCAACATCATCACGGACCTCTACATTATTTGGCTTCCAATGCCGATGCTATTCAAGTCGACGCTGCCCACGCCCACAAAGATAGCGCTGGCGACTCTCTTCGGCTGCGGTATATTCGTCACCATCGCTGGTATATTGCGGGTCACGTACATTGTCTATGTAGGCCGCCTTCACCCTTCCGTCTCCCGTGAAGAGCTGTGTTTGACTGACACACCGGTCGCAGTCGCCCCATGACCTCCACCACATCAGCTTCTGGGCTGTGCGGGAAACATTCGTCGGTATCGTAACGACAAACCTGCCTTGCATCTTCGTGCTGGTGAGACGGTGGCTGTCGCCCTTCTTCAGCTTCCTCAGGACGGGCAGTTTCGGCAGCAGCGGGAGGACGAAGATGTCGAAGCTGTCGCGGCCCAAGAGCGTCTGGGCGGGCCAGAGCCAGGCGAGGCATAGCACGACGCACAAATCCTCCACGACTACGGCGACACGGGGAGGTCAGGGCTACCAGATGGACCGGATGGGCACGTTCGCCATGGCCGAGGGCAACAGCAGCCAGGAGCGCATCGTGCAGGAATTTCAGGACAACGACGAGAGCGGCTTCGGCTCCAAGCTGGGCCGCAAGGTCACTCTCAAGAGGATCAGGGGCAACCGAGACCCCAAGGCGGTCGAGAACGTGGTTGAGCACGAGGGTATACAAAAGATGGTCGACATCACGATCGTGGAGGAGCACAGGCCGGCGGCGACGTACGACATTTCGGACGAGGAGGCAGGCCGGCCCACCGAGTCGTTCGACTTCCCCGAGCCTCGTGCCGTGGTGTATAACAGGCGATGAGGTGCTTTAGTTCGCTGTGCTTTTGATTTCTTGGGCTCCTGATAGAACCAAGCTGGCTGTAATGTGCGAGATACCCAAAAGGGAGCTTGAGTCTGAGCACTTGTATATTGCTCTGGCGTGAATATATCTGTGACTGTGCAAATCTACAGAGTCCAAAATGCTGCGTCATGCTGGGGATTAGGATAAGAGAGTTATTTCACCACATGTATATTTGGAGGACGAGTTCCTGCTTCCCAAATCAGTCGAATCAATGGACCTCGGCACTTCGAACGCCATTAAATGGATAAGTCACAAAGACAAGGACAGGCGCAAGCCACAGTTCCACCTATCCAGGGGCTTCGTTCAAGTTTTTCTTGATGGTCGCCAGGTCCTCCTTCGAAAAGCCCAGCACCTTGGTCGCATACCCTTCGAAGCCTCCAAACTTCGTCCCCACAGCCTCGACGAACGCGTCCCAGCAAGCACCTTTCAAGCTGACCAGGTTGAGAAACCCAGGGACCTCATCGAAGGACGCCGAGCCGTCGTCATCGTCCTCAGCACTCATGCTATGCTTCCTGGCGAACGCGAGGAGGTGTTCGCGCGCCACCTCGGTGCCGATCCGCGACAGCAGGAAGTCCGTCCGCACCGTCTCGGCGTCGTACCCAGCCAGCGTCTCCAGCAAGCCCGACAGCACACCAGTTCGATCTCTGCCGGCTATCAAGCACGCCACACCACCCTGGTCAACAAAAGAGGCCCAGCACTCCGACCTCTCGTCCGTGCAAGAAAGGAGGAAGGGGGGGGGGGGGTGGCTCGGTCAAAAAAGGGAATAAAATGTAGCCCACTCACCTGTGCAGTGAAACAGGATCGCCTCGCCAGGCCGGTCCCTCACGCTCGCCAGCACCTCCCGGAAGGTCCCGCTGTACTTGTCCAGCACGTCCATGTACATGTGAATGTACCCTTCCTCCCCCTCGCCCTCGACGAACAGGCTCAGGTCCAACATGGGGTTGTCCTCCGCCCCGACCCCGTCGCCGAGCCACACGCCCTCGACGCCCTCGACCTCCGGGTCCGGGGCGCGGGAGTGCTCCTCGCGCGAGCGCAGGTCAAAGATGCGCCGGACATTCAGGGTGTCGCGCAGCACGGCCCGGCCGTCGCGCGAGCGGGCCAGGGCCTCGAGCCCGCCGGTGCGGAAGATGAAGCCCGGGCGGATCCTGCCTCCGGCCGCTTCTTCTCCCGCCTGTCCGCCATTCACCTCCTCGGGGGAGAGGAGGAGGCCCAGGTCCCGCGTGTTGAAGGTGCCCGGGACTACCACAAAGGGCGGGGCCTGCAGCGCCGACAGGAGGACCTTGGCCGGTATTGGGTCGCGGACGTCTGTCTCTGCGAGGACCCGGAGGGCGGCGGCCATGTCTTTCCTTCTTTTTTGGTGTGTTCTCGTGGTTGGCCTGTTGTGTGGCGTGGGTCAAGTGGCACCTTGGCTGTGCCGCAGAGGTGCAGCGGTTGTGTTTGTGGATGCTCTCTTCCGCCGTGCCGGGTGGATTGTGTGAGGGCGAGAAGGCGTCACACTACAAGTGTGTGGTGAAGTATCACGACGTGCCTGGCCCACCGTCTTTGGTGGCTCCCTATTCTGCTGTGTGGGCCTTCCTGTCTGTCTGTCAGCTTTTAGGAGTAGGATCCTGGCCACATGTGACTGTTGGGTTGGGCAAGAGACAAATGGAGTGAGGAGGGGGAGGTGGTGTCAGCACAGCCCGGGTAAGGCGGGCTAGCCGCACCCCATCCCCGCTGTTGGGACCTTGATGGTCAGTCACCCTGCATATGACGGCTCATTTCATGTTCCTTATTCCAACCTCACCTCTTCCACTTCGATTTCAACCGTCCCCATCACTTTCGTCACTTTCCTCCAGTCCTGGAACCCGTCACGCCTTCACGTCACACGGCGTGTCGGTCAAGGGTTTGGACGGCTCAGTGCTGTATTTTGGAACGATACCTTCTCTAAAACTCTATTGCCAACCGCCATGCATCACAACACCCTGGGTCTATCCAGTCCGTCCGACACAGCGCTCTCAGTGCTTGCCATAGTTCTCGTTGACCAGCACGTACCTGTACCTCGCCTTGCCCTCCTCCATGTCGACAACCACCTGGTTCGCCTCCTTGAGCGGCCTGGCCTGGACCCAGGGCTTGATCTTCTTCTCCGCCGCAAGCTTGAGCATCTCTGGGATCTCGTCGTTGGGGCTGCCGATCCCGCTACCGCCGATCTTGATGCCGCTACCGAGGAGGGTGAACGCGTTGATGGGAGGGAGGTTGCCGCCGTCGGGAGCACCGACCTGGATCAGGGTTCCCCTCGTCTTGAGGAGGCCCAGGTAGTCAGTCAGGGGCATGTTGGCGCTCGACACCGTCGAGATGATCAGGTCGAGTGTGCGCTTGTTCTTGGTCTCCCAGCCCTTGTCCTCGGCCGTGGCGATGTAGGCGTCAGCCCCGAGCTTCAGCACGTCGTCCCTCTTGTCCGACTTCCGGCTGATGCCGACGACCTTGTCCGCGCCCAAGGCCTTGGCGAACAGGACTGCAAAGTGGCCCAGCCCGCCAACGCCCACCACGCCCACCGTCTTGCCCGGCCCGCAGCCGTTCTTCTTGAGCGGACTGTACACCGTGACGCCGCCACACAGCATCGGGGCTGCGTCTGCGCTGTCGAGGCCGTCTGGGATTGGGACCACGAAGTGGCCGTTGGTCCTGTTGTAATCCGCATAGCCACCGTACGTCTTGCCTTCGTCGTTGGGGTAGACGGAGCCATAGGTGGCGAGCATCTCGTTGGCGCAGTAGCTCTCATGGTTGCTGCTGCAGTCAGGGCAGTCCGACCTCAGGCACGAACGGGCCTGAGCGCCCACGCCCACGCGGTCACCTGGCTTGATGTGCGAGACGTTCTTGCCAACACGGACAGCGGTGCCGACAATCTCATGGCCCACGACGCAAGCTACGAGAGAAGGGTGTCAGCAGAGGGTTACAACGTGGACGCAAAGAAGACGAGTCTGAGCTCACGATAAGGGGTTGACCCCCAGCCGGACTTGAGCGTGTGCAAGTCGGAGCCGCAGACACCGCAGTGGGAGATCTCAATGTCGACGTCGTCCTCAGTCCACTTCTTGGGCTCGAACGCGCCCCATTCCATCTTGCCCTGGACCGACTCCTCGTCCTTGCCCAGCCATCCCTCAAACTTTGGTGCGGCCATGGTGATGTGTGTGGTCTAGTATGAGATGGGAGAAGACAGGATGTGCGGCGACGAGACGAGTCGAGTCGAGGTGAATGGGTATCAGAGCGAGTGGTGGTGGAGGTCGATTGTGAGTATCGAGGTGTTGTCCTTTGATCGAGTGATCCGGACAGGCTACGAGGTGTACCGAGGATGAGGGCGATTTGGCTTTTTTATGTTGTCTGACTCTGCCCTCCCCTCGCTATCGCCGTATCTCCATCAACCTCGCATTGTCCCTGTCAATGACGTACAGCACCCGACGAGCTTCGGGCCCTTGGCAGCCACCGCTCAGACAGACAGGAGACCACTGCCGGGTCCTGCCCAGACAAGGCCCCGTTACTGCTCCGGACTAGAAGACAGGGCAGCACATTTTCGAAGCGGCCGCTTCGACCGCCGATGGCACGGCGTTTAGCCTCCCGCCCGAGCCTTGAAATTCCTGTGCATGCATTGATTTGCTCTAACGCTCTCCACTCCCGAGGATCTCACCACGGAACCTGACCACTACTGAGTAGCCCTGCCGAACGGCTGGCGCCGACTCGGAGGAGAACCCAGCTCTGAGCTCGTGCCCCTGAAGCCCTAATGACAATTAGTAATTCGAGGGTGCATCCAGATTGGATCAGCGGGTGGCACGGCTCAGGTCCATGTGTTGCAATTGGCTCGAGTCTCGACGTCGCTGTCGCCGGGAATGAGTCAAGAAAAGGCCTTGGTCGTTGTGCGCAGCGGTGCCATAGAACCGCGCAGAACCTGGATAAGCGGCGCCTTAACCCCGACGTCTTAAATCCTAACCCCAAAACCCAGGCCGGGAACCGTGGGCCTCGGCCCCAGGTCTGTCAGGCGCTGCGGGCGCTGCGGGCTCTGCGGGCTCTGCGGGCTGCTCATGGTGTAACCCAACGCATTGATACTGCTTGAGGCAGCTTGATTGGGCAGCCTGTGTGTCCACTCGGGTAAATGTTTTGCAGCACTCTCACCGCGTGCCGGCATTTCAACCAGAACTGGTAAATCGTATTCCTAAGTATATATTACCGCTGAGTAAGTGATCGACTTGGGCACGACTCGGAACAATAGCTGCGGAGCAAGCCCACCCCCTACAGACAGACCATCCGGCCATGAGACTCACCACTTTACCTCGCTGCGTATTGGAAGAGAACACAGAAGGTTTCGTAAACTTGGCAACACTTTGCGACCCTTGGTATCGAGTCAAAATGCAACACTCAAAACTCCTCCGAGAACATGCCTTCGTCGCGTCGAGTGATCCAAAGCTTCCCCATCAAGCTGGCAAGACCCGTGATTATGTCTGTGACAGACGTCGGGTTCAGAGGCCCTGAGCTCTCTGCAGAAGGGATGAGATGGTCAGCAACGAAGACTGGCTCGAGTAAGCAAGTCAGGGAGGGTAGCACTCACTAGCCAGGGCCTGCTTCACCTGTTCTGACTGCGTCCCGTTGGCCACGACGGCCATGAGGGCGGAGTGAAGGCAGCTCATCACGGTGCTGGTCGACCCGGTGACCCTGTTCAGCACCAAGTTGATGGGGGTGCACAGCGTGTCCGTGTCATCTGGGTCAACATAGGACGGCTCCGTCTCGCCCTCGAATGCGAGCCGCGCAAGGGTGTCGTCTAAGAACAGGACACAATTCAGCAATTGAACAACTGAGGCCGGGCTGTTTCACTTCTCTCTGGAACGGGTCTGGAAGGGTAGACGGCATTTGGAAGAGACTAGAGGGAGAAAGGATCAACATAACAAATCAAGCACAGCCCTACCGTCGGGATCATATTTCGGCCAGCCCAGGTTCGCCAGCCCGTCCTCCGGGTCCCTCGCAAACTCGGCCCAGGCGTTCCTCATAAAGGCGCCCATGGACGCCTGCGCGGGCGTGTCCCGGATGCCCGTCAGCCACGACGCGGTCTACAGGTGCCAAAGACGACGGGCAGCTCGGAGGTGTGGTAGTCGGCCCCGACGTAGTTGACATGGAGCTTCGTGTAGTTGCCCCCGTACAGGCGGTACCGGTACGCCGTGACGCCCTGGTCCACCCTCAGCCCGGCCGCCTGCCGCGCCCCGCACGTGAAGCCGACGAGGTTGGCGATGTCCAGGATCGGCTGCACCACGTTGGTCAGCGGCGCGATCGTGTCCACCGTCGACCTGTCAAAGCACGTGTACGCGAGCAGCACCGGCCGGATGAACCCGGCCTCGTTCTCGGCGTTGCCCACTAGCATCGGCACCTTGGCGAAGCCGCCTGCGTTTATGCGGTCCACAGCCGCCGATGGCGCAGTTTTATCATCCGCCACTGGGGAGAAGCCTGTTTGGACTGGGGGTGTCGTTGGTGTCTTGTTCCAAGCTTGAAGACCACCCGGAAAGATGTAGCCACTCCAGAACATGTCACCCACTAGCGATAAGATCATTCTCATCAACAGCACCCAGGATCTCGGCCGTCGTCTTCATGCGCATGCAGTCAACCGTCCGTGGCCCAGCCTCCTCGCCACCGCAAGCCCGCCGAGGCAGACACGTCGTACCAGGCCGAGGCGGCGTCCTCGGGCGTGCCCGCAAGCGCCCCGACCGCGCCGCTGGCCACCCCGGACTGCGGGATGAACCCGTTTGCGATGGGGTCGTCCGGGTACATGATGTTGAGATAGTCGGTCGACGCGCCTCCGGCCGACTGCCCGAAGACGGTGATCTTCAAAGGATCGCCTCCAAACGCGGCAACGTTATCTCGCGCCCACTCGAGGGCCATGCGTTGGTCTAGCAGACCGACGTTCTGTTGTAGGCCGGCTGGTGCGTATTAGTATACTGCTATGCGAGCTTCAGGTAGTACCTTGTGGAAACCTTCAAAGAACAGCGGACAGAGAACTGTGAGAGAAAGCTTCTACTAACGTGCGCCGGGGAAGCCAAGGGTGCCATGGGCAGCAAATGCGGGGGGGGGGGGGGGGACCAGGCTGCTTGACAGGTTTGGCAGGCCGCGCGATCAATCGTCTGGACTTCTCAACTCAACAGGGGAGGAGGTATATCCGTGGCCGTAGGGTCGGCAAATCATCATCATTATCACCCTGCCACTCTCGCATAATATCACGGCCCTCATGTCCCCGCCTTCAACATGGGAACCCGATGCGAATGCCGAGCCGGACACATACTGCACAAAGTGACAGGAGATGGACCAAACTCATTTGGACAGTCCATTAACTATAGACTACATTATCTATTGCTCGGGGTATCGATTCAGTGATTCCCACGGTATTCGGAAAAGTGTGCGAACCAGTGGTTGAACTATGAGACCCTTTGCGCTGTGCGTGATTGTGAAAAGACAAGAGGCTGAAAACCGAGGTATCCCTGAGCAGTAACAATGCATTCCGATGTTCAGACTGGCGCCTACCCATGCCATTCGTTAAAACGCCTCCAAGATCCAACTCCGTCCCTTCACCTGGTCTAGTCTAAACATGACTGACCACCATAAGTTTCGCCGGTGATGACAAAATCGCATCAAATGACTTGGAGTCAACAATCAAAACAACCGACGTCCATACAAACCGGTATTCGACACATTTCAACTTGTACGACTCTCGCCAGGGCACTTCATCAGAAAGCGCCCCGGGCACCACTCCGAGTTCCAACGTTCCTCAAGTGCTGCAGCTAGTTCGATCTCCCACCAGCTCTAACGTGAGGGGGTTGATAATGCCAACGGCATGGTACCGGTGGCGTGGACAGGCGTAGGTGTTGACGTTGTAGGCGCCGCAGAAGGAACCGTAGGAGGCGCTTGCTTATTCCTGAGGTAAGCATCTATCCGGGGTCTCAGGCTGTTGATAAGCGCGTCTTCCGCTTCCCTAAGGCCGAGCTTCTGGCCTTGACTGGTGTGCGGGACGATTGTTTCGGTTGTGAACCCCAGTACACGATTCACCGCGCTCATCACCAGTATCTCCGCCTGGAGCTTACCGACCTGGGGAATCAGGACTTGCTGGCTGAGCCTTTTGTAATCCTGAATCACTTCAACAAGCTTCGGGTCCAGGAGCTGCACGTTGTTCGCATCGGGAGCAGGGGTGCCTGGTGCTGGTGTCGCGCTTGAGCGGGATGGGACGGGGCTGTTGACCTTTGGGACACCATTGGATTGGGGACCAGTCGATGATCCAGACGGGTTGCCAGCACCGACAGCGGTGCTGGTTTGAGCAGATTCCGGAGCAGCAGAAGGTGTCGTGGGGCCGGCCGGAGCAGGTCCAGTAGTGGATAACTCATTGCGACCAAGCACAGGATGTGTTCCCACAGTGGTGCCATTTGGAGCGTTGGCGGTCGCAGTCAGAGATCCGTTGACTTTACTTGCGGCGGTACCAGAACCGTTGGAAGCAGAATCATTGGGGCCGGAGACAGTAGGAGTAGAGCCAGTCGGAGTAGAGCCAGTAGGAGCAGAGCCACTGGGAGCGGAAATCGGTGTTGCGTGCACCGGAGAAGGCACTGCCGGAGCCGATCCAGCTGCGGCCGCGGTCCCGGTCCCGTTCCCGTTCCCGTTCACAGCTGGCGCTGTTGTAGCGGGCGGAGGCCTAGATGGCTCCGTCGCGGTCGTTGACGCTGTGGTGGCCTTCGGCTTGGAGTAGGTCAGCTTGTGTGTGTGGAAAATGCTGATGATCGCCTTCTCGAAGTTCTCGTGCTCTGGCGCCAGGCTCATGTCGGTTAAGCCCAGCCCACGATTGATAACAGACACAGCAACAGCGTGTGGGCGTTTTACGCGGCCTTGGAGTTGCTTAACAACCTCGCTAGAGAACTTCCCAAGGAATTCTCTCAGTGAAGGCTCCACCGCGGGCCCTGAAGCCGCGGGCGGTACAGTGTTTGGCACGGGCTGCTGTGGGTGCGGTAAGCTAGGAGCTCGCTGATTCTGCTGTACCGGACCAGTATGGACGTTAGCCGGACCTCGCTGACTTGTCGTCAGCGCGCCCTGGCCAGGTCGTCCTGCCAGAGGGTGCTGAGCGTGGTTCTGTGTCTGGTGAGTGCCAGCGGCAGTGCCATGTACCATTGGTGGCTGTTGTGGCCTTTGATTGAATGCGGGATTGTAAGGATGCTGCTGGGAGCTTGGGTATTGTGGCCTTGGCGGTCCCGCGGTAGCGGCATAGGTACTTGGCTGGGACACAGTAGTCGGCGGAGGCGGCAGTTGTTGTGGCTGCTGCTGCTGCTGCGGTGTATGTTGTGGGAAGCCCGGGCGAGTGGCGGCCTGCTGGCTCGGCGTAGTGCCAGGAAGGGTCGAATTTGGGATGGCAGCCGGATGCGCCTGACCGCTGGGTTGATACCGGGACATCCCATTCATCCCATTCATCCCATTCATCGGAGGGCCACCTCCAGCGGGGACCATGTGTTGATTTGGATATTGCTGGGGGTGCGGGGGTTGCTGATAGCCGTGAGAAGGATTGAAGCTGCCGTTGTAAATTTGTGGACCCCGCGGCTCTGCGGCAGTGTCGCTCGGCTTCCGCTTCTTACCCGATTCCAGGGGAATGCCTTGGACACGCTTCCAGAGATGCGTTTCTTGGTTCTTATGGAAGCAGTGACTCCCGATGAGATTGTGTCGCACACTGCTTTCCCAGCCTTTGGTGTCAACCATGAAGAAGAAATACGGATACTGCCTGGCGATCCTCTTGTAGATCTGCTTCAGGGTGAGGCCGTCTTCAGGCCCCTTGGACAAGACCTCGTCAATCAACGTCTGGTAGTTTTTGTTGGGCTTCTGCAGCTGCTCTTCCGTAAAATTCTCCTTCTTGCCTAAGTCCAATGGTGGAGTCTTTGGCTTTTGAAGTCGCTTCTGTTTGTCAGCCTTGTCGCCCTCCGGATCTTCATCGTCCTCCCCATCTTCGTTCTTTGGCTTGCGTGGCTTGTATTTGCGCTTCTCCGGCTGGTCGCCCTCATCTTCAGGCCGAGGATGTTTCCTGGGGCGCCCGACCTTCCTCTTCGTTGGGGGGTTCCCCGGCTCTTGAGGTGGGTTATTCTTCTTATCCTCCTCTTCGCGCTTCTTCTTCAGCTCACGCTCTTCCCTCTTCGACATGACGCCGTTCTTCGGAGGCCGCCCTGGCCCACGTTTCTTTGGAGGAACCACAGCCTGTGATGCGTCCGGCTGCACCGTCTGCGTGGGTTCTTTGACATGATCGGACTCGATCGTTGGCCGTATAGGTTCCTCCGGCTCGGCCTTGCGAGCAACATCCTTGACAGCTGGTTTGAGGCTGGTGGACCCGTGAGCCTCGCTATCTGAGTCATCCGAGTCATCGGTATCGAGCATTGCGGACGCAGTAGGCATTTGTACGGGCGACGATAACGCGTCGTCGGTGGATCGCATGTCGGATTCTAAACGGGAGTTGGAAAAGTCGAGACTCATCTTCTTACCGTCCTCGAAGTAGGCTCTTGGTTCTTCATTACCAAGCTTCCCATCTTCAACGCCGCTGATCGTAAATATGAAGCCGACAGCTTGGATCTGAAGGTGAGAGCCAGAGCGGAGAGTGACAACCTCGTCCTTGTGGTAGAGCCTCTCTTCACAGAAGAAGCCATTTCTGCCGATGGCTGTTGCCTGCCAGACACGATTTTCCTCATCATACTGTATCTTGAGATGATCCCTCGAGATGCCCTTGGAAGTCTCAATGATGTCGGGGCCGGCACCGTGGATGTCTATTCTGGCTACATCATCGGATGAAGGGCGAAGATTATCCATGTCGACGGGTACCGCTCCTGGGGTATGGTCGACATATTGCCGACTGCTGATGACGTTGTCAGGTGCTGAAGGGTCATCCGCGGCTGGTGTCTGTTGCTTGGGCGAAAGCGTATATTGGCCGTTGTCAAGTGTCCTACGTCGCTTGGACGATCTGGACCTCCCCTCGCCGTCCGACTCGGGGCCCAGAGCACCACCCTCTTGACTAACGTAGGATTTGCTGTAGTGGCCACGTTTTTGTGGCACTGCTCTCGACATAGGAGACAAGCCGCCCTCGGCGCGTTTTTTATTCATTACAGCCCTTTTGTAGACGCGCTGATCTCGTCCTATTATTGTCGTATTTGTTGTTATTGCAACGAAAGTATCAGCAAACTCTAGGCGTGCCATTCGGTCGAAACTGGTCCCATCCAATACTGGCTCGTCAAGTGAGGCCGCGTCATCAGACATATCTTCGTCATTTCCCTGGGAAACGCTGACGCCAGGCTGAAAGACGCCAGGCTGGAAGGTAAATGGCCCAGGGAGCGACCAAGAAAGAGGTAGATTTTCGCTAGATATGGGGAGGTATGAGTCTCCCGTCACAGGGAGATCTGCGGGTAAGCCTTGGACGAAGTCATGCGGGATGTCTTGTCCTAGCATTGCTACGTCAGGTTTGGCGAAGTCGCTGGTAAGTCCGTTTGGTGCGTGGGACTCGACTGCTGTCGCTGCGGCTGCCGTAGAAGCAGCAGCAGCAGCAACAGCAGCGTCGGGAGGCGCGACATGTTCAGCAGTCCCAGCCTGGACGGACTGCGGCGGCAGCTGGTCAGTCGTGATGAGCCAGTTCTCAACAAAATCATTGGACTTGTTCATGTGGCCATCGTCGGGGCGGCGGCGCGGCGGAATCCCCTCGCCGTGTGATGTCGAGGTTTGGACAGGATGGGCCGGTGGGTCGGATGATGGGGGCAGACTCCTGGACGGCGCCGACTCTTGGTTCGTTGTTGTTGTCGTATCGTCGACACGGCTCGTCTGAATGGGTGTTTGGTCGGAGGGCCGATCGCTGGCGGGCGGTGTTCTCGAGGCAGTCGGCTGGCCATCTGCGGGCTGGGGTTGCGACTGGGCTTGTGGTTGCGGTTGCGGTTGCGGTTGCGGTTGCGATTGCGGCTGTGGTTGCGGTGTACTGTGGTGGCCGCTGGGGCCTTCCTGAGAGTGGGACGAAGTCATCGCCGGTGGCTATGAACAGCTTGCCCGTGGGGTATACATGAGATGCGGTCGGGGGTGGTGGTTGTCGAGGAGCACATGTATACAGCCAGGAATGCAGAGAGTAAGCAGTCGAGCTCAAGTTGTTCGAGGTTCAAGCGGCCAAAAGGTAGCAGGGAGGAGTAAATGCGATTAGATGCGATCGCCGACGGGGTAGGTGGACTTGGAGAGCCCAGTGGGGCACTTTCCTGCCGCAAAGACCACGGCAATACAGGTGGCCAATGAGATGCTATGATTACGGTCAGGACCCACCAAAAAGTTTGGACTTGGAGGAATTGACTGAATTGGCGGCAGCGGCAGCGCAGAGCTTGGGCAGGACGGACGAGGCCATTACAGCTCGGAGGTAGGCCATGCCAAGACTAACCGGGCTAGACTGCATCCTGATGAGGTACCTGGGTACCTTCCCCTCGTTTCCTCTTCCCTGGAGCGCCGCTTGCTCACCTTGGGGCTCTCACGCGCCTGTTCGCTCCCTCTACACGATGCGTATGATAACAGCAACGTTGGTACGTTGGAAATACCAGCAAAAGCTCAACAGTGACAGTGACAGTGATGGTGGCTCTTTCCCGTGTCCTGCATGACCCATTCGTTCCGTCTGTTCTTCATCCATCAGATGACGGAGGCTCTGTTCATTGTCTTAGGCAGCCGCCTCCCACTGAGTCACAGAGAACAAGGATGAGACAAGAGTGAGCACCCTCTCCAACCCTCTCAACAGCAGTTGAAAATGGCTAGCTGGCTTCGAGTCGCTTGAGACTGCAGAGAGGTTGACCAACACTGCCTACTTCCCACCTGAGGACTGGACAGCGCGTTGGGGCCGTTGCAAAGCTCTCATCCTCTGTGGTGGCGTGGGTGTGGGTGTGGGTTCTCTGCGTCTCGATTGTGCCACAACAATAACGATCCACTCACTCCAACAGTGGTTTGGTATCCAACCCACATCAATCTGACCAGCTCGCTCTTCAAGGCCAGCACGGCCGGACAGACAGACAAACTCTCTAATCACGACTGGGGGTGGGCAACGGCTCTATATTAGTATCGAGGGTCTCATCTCACCTCCATCTCCCTTTCTGCCGCCTGCCGTTGCAGCTTACACCACACCTCCACATAAGTACATGTTAAACAGGTGGAGGTACGTACACTCTTGCACTAACTAGCCGGCTTGGCCTCAGCCTCGCCCAAAGGATCGGCCAGATCCATCCATCAACTTCCCGCCCCCGACCTGCATGCTTGTATCTTTATTTATATACACCCTCGGCCTACACCTGCCCTCCCGTCTTACAGGAGGTCGCTCTGGCGGGACTCCGAGAGCACCCGCCGTATTCCTATCGTCCATGCTGCTCTGCCACCTGCGCACTACTGCGCTCTCCTGGCTGCAACTGTTGTTTCTCGTCAGGCCTGGCCCCGGCCCCCCACCTCCTCCTTCGGGCGAAGAAACGGAGCTCATCACGCCTCCACCGCAGCCAACATGGCCATCGGGATCAATATAGCACGATGCGGCCAACCCGACCACAACTCACAGCCCACAGCTTGGGGCATGCCTGCGTATTTGATCAGTAAGGGGCGCTCGTCCGCTTTCTCTATTCTTCTTGCCTTTCTGCTGTTCTGCTGTTCTGCTGTTCTGCATCTCTCCATCTCTCCATATTCTTCTCACCTCCGCGCTCAGTCAGCCTTGGCTGGGCTTCTCGACCATCGTGTGTATCACAAAGGATTCCCCACCCAATCCTGCCCTTCCATCCGAACCCCTCCTCTCGTCCTTCTCCGTCTTGCCCATGTTATATCATGAGTCGTCTCTTTTCCGTTTCCGTTCGTTCGGCTTCCCTCCTTGGTTCTTCCTAGTCTCTTTGCATCCCTGACTGCAAAGTACGCCATCACCGATCCAGGCGCCGCTCAAGTTTGAATGAGCCTCGGAGTCCCGCCGTGCAGATATCGTTTGGGACAAGCTCGACATTACAGACCAATATGGATCGGCAATCGGGCTCTCACTTGCCCATACCGGTTACGCCAAAGGAGAGTCCATCACAGGAGCCCCTTCTGCCCTCCCATGGGCAGAAGAGAAGGAGTAGGGAGAAGAGATCAAGCCTTGGGCTTTTTCCCAGACAAAAGACTTCGCCAATATGGAGGCCATCAACGGGACACTCGCCACCCACGCCGCAGTGGCCTCTACCGCGGATGCCTATTCGTATCCACGATGAGAACCCAGCCTTGACCAAGACCTATACACAGCCTCGCAATGCACCGCTTCCTCCACCTCCCAGCGCCAGCAGCCCTCGGAGCAGCACGAGCAGCACGGCGACCCTGTCGAACGATCCGAGCCGGAGTCAAAAGCCGGGAACAGCCATCAACCTCGTCACCATCGCCCACAAATCCACACCACCCGCGCTCTCCTCGCTCTCCAAACAGTCCTCCACGCCCGCCCTATTTCCCCCCGTCACATCAGCGGGGCGGTAGCGGTTTCCAGACAAGGTACTTGAACATGTTGCTGAACCTTGACAAAATTCCAAGGGCCCACAACATCTTCGCCAATCTGTTCGCGTGGATGGTTCTCGTTGCTTTTGTCATCGCCCCTTGCAACTTCACGGGCTTCCCAGCCGACAGGTCGTTGATGGTGAGCGACAACGATGAGCTGTCATCTATACCTCTCACCACGTCCTCCACACTCAAGAAGATCCCCTCCGTCCCTCTGTTGGCGATCTGCTGCGTCTTTTTCTTCCTCGGCGTCCTCGGCATGCTCTGGCTCGCGGTTTTTTGGCGACGCAATTATATATGGTTGATGAACCGAATTTACCTTCCTTTAATCCTCAACAGCCTGGCGGGATTCATAGGAACAATGGTGGTAGTCCATGTACAGCACGGCTGGCACTGGAGCATCGCCGCCCTGGTGACCGTATCAATTGAGGGCGCCAGCCTAGCCGTCGGACTGAGCTTGTTCGCCTTGTACCAGTACTGGCTCCTAGCCAAGCTGAAGAGGGAACATTACCGGGAGACCAGCAGGAAGAGGACTGTCGACCTTGTCAAGGCCGGCAAGGCACCGCCCTTTGCGCCAGGAAGTGTTGTCTGATGTTGTAAGATTTGTGATTGTCTTCTCTTCTGCGCAATGCGCCCATGTATTCTTGAATCATTTCTTTAGAGCGGGGTGCTTTGGTGTCGATCGTTTTGGCTTGTAGACTTATGTTTTTATGAGGGCAATGAGATACCATGATGTTATACACATATACTTGCCATGTTCTTGGCTACATGCGACGGGCATGCTGCAACCGAATGAAGAAGCCTTGTGAGACTGCTTAGGGCCTCACTGTCAGATGAAGTCTTGCCACGGAATTCTCCTACGCATCTCTCCTGGCGACTGAACTGCCTCGGGTACTTTGATGCCTCATGTACTTGGACCTCAATTTGGGTCACAGTTTCAATGGCATCTTTACGGTAGATCTTTGCGCCGCATTTCACTCCAGCTTCTACATATATAGACTGAGCAATTCATAGCCGGCTTGGGTGGTCACAATTTGGGAGATTCATGAACTTCACAGTCAAGCGGAACAGGAAGAAGACAAGATCATTCTTACAGAGACGGTGCCTGGTTTCAATATCTGCTGTAAGCAAGTCGACATACCGTTGTCTCGTTCGCTGCCCCTCCCGGAATGATACAAATGGAGCTACTCCATGTGTATTTGACGAGCTTCTCTCGTGTGTATTTAAATCCCAAATCCCTATCTCCTTCAAGCGCCTTCAAATCTCACTTTTCTGCCCCAGGCCACCTTATTCTCATCCCCTTCTTGCTGCTCGCGTACTTGCATGATTATGTCGGCTAATGCAACCGACCCATACTTACCGCATTTCCTGCTGCATGGCAAAAGGACGTACCAGCATATGACCCACACAAGATTGTCTTGGATCTTGGACTTTTGCATATCACCAACACTCCATCCCGCATTGCTCTTCTCGTTCCCCCCCCCTCCCCCCCACTTCCATTGAAGTCACCTGAGTGGGCACCACTACCTATGTTCAGCTGATAGGTATTCTCCACATACACACATAGAGGACACCAGAGCGCCGGAATACAACTAAGATGAGTATGCTTTGGGGCAAGGAAAGCGAGCGGGTCCCTTTGACTCGGGCCTTTCTATTACTGCGGCGTATAAGGCAGAACGAAGGCGTTCGCATTTACTCCAGGATGGACACCTGGGTTTGGCATGCATTCGTAGTGTCTTTCTGTGTGATTTGAGTCAGCGGTCCCGTTCTAACCTTAACCCTGCCTTCCGTTGTAGCCGACATGCCGCTCATTGTCCCCAACAAGAAATGAGTACCTTCCTGTGAGAACCTCAATTGGCCAACCAGACTCCTTCAAACCTTTCTCCGCCGTTCGAAGCAGACTGAGATCGCTTCCTGTCATATCAGTCAGCATAGCGATATTGTCAATTACTCTGGAAAGGGACATACCTCGCGGACCGGCCAAGGAGGCAACAATTGGTGCATACTCTGTCTGGTCGGTGACTCGAGACTCGTAGGGATTTTGGCCGAGTAGAATCACATGAGTTAGTTCTCATAAAGCCAGTATCGGAGCCAAGACTCAATAACTCAATTCCGTAGTCTGAACTTACTAGGGATAATGACCTGAGGTAGGCCAAGCACAGTACAAAAGTCAATCGGGTCGTAGGCCGACTCCGAAAATTCACCTCTGGGAGGATTGTTATTAGCGAATTCTGTGTTTTCGAAACTGACTGAAATTCAGACTTACCCTGGATGTGAAAAATTGTCCCGATAATTGGCCCCTCGGCGCCCTAGAGGGAGAAGAATCGCATTCTGATTGTCTCCGGGGGTCAATATGAAGTCACGGACCCAGTTGTAATATTCCTGCAGCTCTTCGATGCCCTTGTTTCTCTGGTTTTCAGTGATGGAGTTTGACAAACCCCTAAAGGCTTGTTAGTTTTATGTGTGGAGTGGATTGGTCACATAAACGAGGCAGTCGTGCCGCCGTAGTTACGCTCACCATCGCTTGGTCATGAAAAGACTGGTATAGGGCTTGTGGCCATACTTTTCAAGATGTTCTTTCCTGAAACAGTCGTAGCTGTGGTAACCATAGTAGTAGTTAGGCCAATAAATGGACCGTTATAGGTGGAACTCATAAGCCCAAATCTCACAAGTCAGAAACACCAGGATTGAAACGTACCATATCAAGATACTTCGACAGTGTCATGTCTCAGACACCTTCTGGTCCTGTATGAGACCACTCAGACTCGAGTGACAACCTTCGAATTTGTGGGATGTCCAAGAAACGGTCTACCATGCACTGCTATTGATTATTGCTCATGGGGAACCAGTCCGTAGGATAGATGATGCCGCTTGGTTTCTGGTTCTGTTTAGTATTAGTCTGAATTATCAATCCCAAGAAGTGATTATCACCAGTGCTTTCTCTTGAGTCAAGTTCGGGCAAGACTCGACTACCTTGACAATTGGCTCAGGCGAGCGTGCCAGAAGTCCCACAGTATCAGATTGGCTTCTCATCATCAGAACAACGAAATCCCGAAGAAATTACTGGAAGGGTATACGAACGGGATATTCGCCACAATAACATCCATTTTGAACGATGACCATGTGCTGCGGAGGCCCCAAAGCCCGTAAGAGGCGGCTGGCATTCTGATGCTTCCCGTGCCTGCAATTGAAGTGGTCAGTCGAAATTATTTCTAGAATCAGTACATCGTGCTGTACTTATTATCAGTTCCTACTCCAATGTCGATCCAGTCGTAACTAGCCACAGTCGATCCAGTCCACTGGAACTACCTGAAGGGCCCTAGTAGCCGTCTCCGCGCGGGTTCCATGGCGGGAAGTAATCCACACATTTCTACGGCGGCAGTCCAGATCCAGCATGTGCGCCAAGCTTCGTCTTGCCAACGATCACGGCCCCCAAATCAATTAGAGTGCGAAGGGTATCCGCTGTCTCAGTCTGTGTTCCATAGAGCCTGGTATAGGACCTACTTCCCATGGTCTGTACAACTCCTGATTATTTGTAATTGTCTTTCACTGTCACGCGGAGGCCTGCCAATGGCTTCTCCCGCGACGGCTCAAAGTACAGCCTTGAAGGGACAGCGACCACCCGGTGTAGTCCGGAATATGCTCCGGCCTTCAGAGGTTCGAACCTGGCTTTGTCAAATATCAATTAGTATCACATTCTCATTGAAAAAGACCAAACCACATACTTGTACTTCTCTCTAGAATCTGCAGGGATGACGGAGAGAGTGAAAGCGGAGCTGGTATCGCGGTACAGTTTCCAAGCACGATGCAAAGTTCTTCCCTGGAGGAAACCCGGGCCTTCTTGAAGCTCTTCACGACTTGAAGATATAAAAAAAGTTTGCTCGATGCCAGGTTGAGGTGCTCAGTCAAAGATTCAGGTAGAGCATGCGTTGATGCAGGCAGTTCATCCGAGCGTAGGATGAGAACGCTGCCCTCAGTGAAGCTCATGTGGAAGACATCATCCCGATGAGCAAACTCCTCAAATCTCTCCAAGACTGCGTGTTTGGTGATCTCTTGATCATTGAGTTCGAAGACGAGCACGGGGAGTATGGCCCCAGCAGTGTCACATTCCTCGGGCAGAGACAGCTTCGTAGTCATCTATTAGCGCCTCAGAAGAATCACAATTATCTTGCCACATGTTCTTACCTCAACAGCATTGCCTACAAAGTAGGAGATCCCACCAATTGAAACCACACTGAATGCTTTCAAGGCCTTTCGGGCCACACCTTTGAATAGCTTGGAGGGAGGCATGATCGCGCATGCTGTTTGAACGGGAAGGGGGATGTGAAGCTATGCGAAGAGCTTTTCAAAACCCGTCGCAGACAGTCAAGCTGCTGTGACAGGTGCGATTGATGCGATGGATACTTGGATTGCAGGGCAGGAAGCCTCAAGGTGAAGCATTTCCAATGGTCGGGAATGTCGATAGCTCGGAGTCTATCACAATACTTGTCGAAGGAGGTGTTGCTTCCGAGCCACCGGTAGATTGCCACTGGACGTGTCTGACGTGCGGGTGAGATCGATAAAGATCGGATAAAGTTTCGTGACCGAAAATGAGAGCACCCGTGGAGTACGTCTTGCGTGGACAGATTACTGTACTTGAGTGATTCACCGATTGACTGAATGACTAACGTCCCCGGCCCAGATTCCGGCCGCCCCCTGATTCCGGCCGCCTTTCCCACACAAACTCACACTTTTCAACCTTCTATAATAAATCCAAATTAAATCCCATAACCCTAACCCTAGGCTCAAAATATAATATTTTAAAGGAAATTTATAATATATATATTTAAAAATATTTATTATAATCATATTATTTTTAAAATAATTCTTTAAAATAATACACTTAAAATGTTAAGGATCTTTAATATCTTATAAGTAAATATTTCTTTAATAAAATTAAATAAAATTTTTATTTCTTTAAATATTTATTTATAAATTAATATATAATATAATATTTAAAAAAAATTACATTAAAAACCTTATTTTTATAAAAATATTTTAAAATATAATCTTTTTTAATTTTTTTTATAGAAATTTTATATAAGGAAAATTTAAACTTATTAATATTTTCTTATAAAAATTTTAAATATATAAAATAATCTTTATATTTTATAATAAAATATTTATTATATACAATAAAATTTAATTATAATTATTTTATTAAAAGAATAAATATAAAATTAAAAAATATAAGTTATTAAGAATTCCTTATATTATATATATAAATCTTAATATTTTTAATAACTTAAGTTTAAGAATTATTTTTAAATTATTATATTAAAGCTTTATTTTTTAAAGTATTTTAATATAAGAATGTATTTAAAACCCTTTATTTTAAACTTAGAGTTAGGGTTGTAGGATTTAATTTGGATTTAATATAGAAGATTGAAAAGTGGGTATCTTATAGTGCCAGTGCACCAGAAAACGACTGGCCGGAATCAGGGGGGGGCCGGAATCTGGGCCGGGGACGTTATGTTATCAAGGGCAAGGCAGCTCCAAAACGCATCGACCAGTTCATTGGGAGGATTCCAAATGCAAGGACCTATCGATCGAAGTCACTTTAAAGTAGACCTTGGCATTTTTTTCGATAGTCGACCAATGTCAGCAAGGTCAGAAAGAGGGCAGAAATGCGGCCCCATTCCGTGATTACTGCAGATTTGAACGTCCCCGTGATTGCAGGGATGATACCGTGTCACTCAATCGTAGAATGTACCCACTCGTGGCAGATGTAGTGGTTGTCTTGTGATCTGCCATCCCGCGGCTCAATTAATATCATTCCGGCCAGGGTGCGAACGGGAGATCGACAAATTGCTTGAATGCTAACCTCGCATTGCATTCGACTAGCTACAGCTATCTAACCAAGGCGGGTCCATCCGCAGGCACTGCTTTCTAGCAAGCCGTGCAACAGGGGAGACCGTAACGAAAGAAGTAAATCTAAGATAGCATTCACTGCGCCTGTGGAAGGGATTTCCGGATTTCCTGTCCCACCTGACACCCAGCAGTCCCAACCGGGCCCAGCGGAGCGTGACCGTCCGCGGCCCAGAGCGAACCGACAAACACCAAGACACTGCGCCGTATCCAAAAGCCACCCAAAAGCCACTCAGAAATAAGACATCCAAACACATCAGAAAATTTACGATAGTGGGTATCGGTCCGACGTGGGAACACGAACAAGGCCATAGCCAAGAATGCGGGTGGCCACACCTCCACCAAATGCACCGCACTCCGAGGACTGCCCGGCTGGGCGCCGCCCGCGAATCACGGCATTCGGGCCGATGGAGATCCATGCACACGTGTGTGCAAAGAAAGGGGGCAGATCACCACCCGAACTGCTCGCAGTGCAGCTCGACCCCCGGTCCGTCGCCGCTGATCAGGCTGGCGGTCGTGTCTCTGACGACGCGCATGAGCCCGTCCGGGCCACACGCCGCGACCAGCACGCGTTGGCGCGGTGGCGTGGACCGCACCGCCTCGCGGATCAGCGTGGCCGTGTCGGGCCGACCGGACTTGAGCACGTCGCGGTGATGTTCTGCGGTGGACGAGCCTGCAGCACTGTACGCCGTAGCTAAGCTTTCATCGCTTGGCGTCCGCTGTTGGCTGTTCGGGCCAGCGAGGGCCTTCTCTGGGTCCGAGGAGGTGGTGTTGTGGCCCTTGCTCTTGGTGGTGGTGAAGATCCCCCGCTCGAGGGCCTTCTCATTCATCTCGTGGTCACCCATTACGCTGGTAGGGCTGCTGTCGGATTTCTCGTCTGAGGACGTGGTGGTGACGCGGTGCATTTGTCGGATATCGGTGATGAGGACTGAGCCGCGGCGTTGTTCGGCTGAGTCGTGGGCTGGAGCTGCTGTGACGTACAACGAAACATTGACTTTGGGGGAATGCTCGTGGGTTCGGAGGGTGTTGAGGTGCTGGGAGAACCATGAGAGATTATCTGTTTCAGGGTAATACATTAGCCTCGAATCCGTGGGAAGCCTTATTTCAACTGAATAAATAGAGGCGGAAATCCGTCTGGCGCAGATATTCAAACCAGGATGGAAGAGCTTTGACTCACCATGCTTTCTGACAGCCCAGATGAAGGTAATATTCTTCGAGGACTCCGGGCCCATCCTCTCCAGGAGGTTGACAGCCAGGCCGAAGGTGAAGCTGGCACCGCTGCCGCCAGCGATCAAGATGACTTTGTCATACTCCAAGGGGTCCGGGAAAGTGCCATAAGGCCCGTCGACAGAAGCCTTGAGTCTGATACCAGGATGATCCAACGCGTACTTGCGCAGGTCACGCGTGAAGCCATCATACGAGTTGACGACAAATTCCATGGGCTCGCTTGCAACGACAGTGAAGGGGTGCGCTTCGAGAAGGCGGATCTTGGGGATCCACACAAAGCAGTGCTTTCCAGGGACCACGCCATGAGGCCTCTTCGCCAACGTGATCTTAGTGCCGCCGTTGGGCAGCGGTTCGAGGGTGGCCTCGTTGTTGACTGCCCGATACCACATCCTCGACGCGCGAAGGAGGCGATCAGTGCCCCACATAGCAGCAATGAGCGCAAAGATGATGATGAGCCCGTCTTCGAGATGGGGTTGGTGATATGCGGAGCAAATGAGAGCCACAACGAAAAATAGAATGTGCGAGACGTAAAAGGCTTCGTACCAGATACGTCGAATAACGACAGCAGAGAAGAGAACACCGAGAAAGGCAAAACCCGCCACGATGCCTGCAATAGAGCCCTGCGACTGCAGCATTTCAGGACGGTTATTCACGAGGAAGTAATGTGTGTACATGGCTGCATGGAGTACTAGGTAGACGAAGGATGTGTACCCGGCAATCTGGTGGAGGCCGTTTAGACGCTCGTACGAGTATGCGGATAGGAAGGCCAGCGGGGTGTTCTTCAGGGCCAGGAAGACCACGACGGCGAAGTTTGCAGAGAGAATCCTAAAACGAAAATCTGTCAGTCCCGTTCTTCTGATCAAGCGAGACTGGAAATACCTACCACCCGCACCTGTTCGCAATACTGGAGTACACCAAGTTGACGTTGGTAAAGGTCAAAGCAATGTTGACTGCCAGATATGAAGCGACAAGGAGAGCGTGACCGCTCGAGGTAAAGCCAGGAACCTTTCGGACGAGGAGGTTCCTTACGTTCCTAGATACATGTTCAGTAAGAGAACAGCACATTGTGCGAGATTGACAGCGTACCTTGAGACCAACCTGAACGGATAAGTGACCCCAGAGTTGGATCTCTTGTTGGAATTCGCCCTGTGGAAAAGATATCGGATCCAATGGAAGACGATGAAGAGGCCCATAAGGGCACACATTCCGGCAGCAAAATACCGAAGCTGCTGCTGATTTGTGCGGAGTCTCGCAGCGAACATCGCCGGTGTCATCGAGCTCTTTCCAGCCATGATGATGGTCCGAGTCTGTCTGTATGTAAATCGAAATGGTCGTATGAGGGGGAAAATGGACTCAGAGGTGGAGGGTAAGGCAGAATCGTGTAAGAACGTATAATGTTGGTAGCTAGACCAGGAAGGAGAGAAGGAAGTCCTTCGTCGAGACTGTGTGTCCAGGTAACGGCCTCAAAGCCTCTCGATAGGGGGTGGACTGAAATCCACCTGGATCGGACCAAGGGTCTTTATAATTCAGAGGTGAGTATCGTCGGTGGCTTAACGATGATATAAACTCGTCTCAGATTAACAAGGGACATAAGAGTTTATTCAATCTGCGGGTTGCCAACCGGAGACGGATTCAGGAGTCAGTTACACAGGAGGAAGTTGGTTTCGATCGCGCGGAGGTTGAGCCTAATATATCGACAGAGGCAGAAAGCGCATGTGGATCGGGGATGATGTTGGGATCCAATCTGGTATATGCAGCTATGCAGATGAATCCACCCAAATATCCTCGCGGGTGACCCCCATGGCTGCTGGTAAGGTAGTGCCAGGGTGACAGGACCACATCCCGAAGGGCTTCATGTCCGAACCGAACATGATGGAACTTTGCCCTTCCTCCCGACTTTGGTCCCGTCCGGGCACCGTCGTCCGTCCTTGTCAACATGTGGCAAGGCTTCCTTCGCAACTAGGGTGAGTGTTCGGGACCCCCCAGGATTGGGTGGATGGATTGATAGGAGATTTCCACGTTGACACTGCCGCTACAAGGGTACAGTTGCAACGTCCGATCAGGGATAAGGGAGTGATCACCGATGCCATAGATGATAGACGTGTGGAAGCATGTTCCTCGGTACCCACCACACTGACAGGGTCTAATCGAGAAGGTTTAAATTGTGTAAGCTTGACAAAGCACCAAAGAAGAAGAGCAGTGTACACGTCTGGACGCCTCTGGGACGTGATCATCCGGACTTGGTTGTGTCAATCGAGGCATGGGCACGCTGATTGGCTGACATGCAGTGCGCGCAATATGGGTAAATCTACCCGAACGGCCGCGACCAGATACAAGAATATTCGGAGGTAGCACATGACCGGTTCGGCCACTGCAAAGATATAGGACATGTATACAGTGGGTGTACAAACAATATCTGTTCTGCGCGCCGGGTCGACCACATTGGGTGACCCCCCCCCCCCCTTGGTTGCAGAGGATCTGATATGTCATGTACCCCTCGGTTGGTATGGTATTTGACACACGCGTATTCGCCGCATGTGCAGGCAGCGGCAGATCGGCGGCTTCGCCGGCTGCAGGATGATGCGGGCAGATGTCTGGAACTTTAGACATAAGGCAGAGTAATATGCAGAAATGCAGCGGCGTGGTGCTGTGCGGCCTTCAGCCAGCTCGGTTCCAAACTCCAGGCGCAGGCGAGGCCATGGACACATTGTATCACCGCACAAATTGTGTGGGGTACTATGATCAGGTCACAGCATCTATGTGTGATCGAGATGTAATTTGACGCCTGTGGTGGAATCTGCCTGCATGGGCGTATGCATCCTCGCTTGACGACACGCTGCATAATCACAGGCCTATACAGTAAGCAAAATGCATTGCGAGGCAAGGACGGCTCGCACCGAGAAAAGCGTCCGCCAACGTGGCCCAGCCCAAGTTGAATCGCCGAGACAGAGAGAAAGAAGGTTTGATCGCCACAAGGCGCAGGTGGGGGACATCCGCACTGCGATCTGGAACATGTTGACGTGGAAATGGCTCAGCAGGGAAGGCATCCCCGAGCAGGAATGACGTTCCCGCCAGGGGCAGCAGGTTGTGCAAAGCATGATGAAGAAACCAGGACAGAGGTTAAGCACAGTGAGAATGGCTAGTGAGGCCCCTGGGGGCCAGTCTGTTGAATCCCACTGAACCGGACTCCGGGCTCTTGGCGTTGTGGTGTATTCGTAGTCGGCCTGCGGCCGCCACGGCCAGGCACGCTCGAGGTTCGTCAGATCCAGGGGCCAAGCACGCTATGGTTCCGATAGGGCTTGGGGCGAGCGCAGGATCTGGGGAATTCCGTTTGCTGGGTGACGTGAGTGACACAAGGACAGACAGGGACTCGAAACGACGGTGCTGAACACTGAGAACCCCCTGCAGAGCGGTGAAAAAAGTCGTCCACCAAGGGGAGGAGTCAAGCCGCGACAGATGTCGAGTAGAGACGTCAGCCAGGCGGGGAGCTGCAGGTTGGCTGTGGAACACCGTCAGCACCGTCACGGTTGGTATTGCAGGACTGCCAGCGCTTGCCTGGGCGCTCGGTTCAGCCTTGGAAGGGTGACTCAAGGGTTGGACAGGGCAGCCACAACGAGTGGGCTTGGTTTCCCAGCTAGGAAGTTATTCGTCAACAGACTTTGGATATCTAGACATCTGAACGCCACGGTTTTGCCTGATGGGATGAACGGTACGTGTCTGCGTGGGTGCGTGGGGCCGACGACGTTGACGGACTGGGAGCGATGGGGGAGATGCACGATACCCAGTCGCACTCTCCGGCGGGCAGGCACTCCCGGCGCCAATGATGCCAAGCAGCTGTCGTGATAAGGTTAATAGTGCCGAGTGGCATGGCAGCATGTGAGAGCCCGGACGGTCGTCTGGAGGCTTGCGCGAGGGCCAGGTCTCCCTCGGCAAGGGGAGAATCAGGCAGGTTGCATTACTGGTGGAGAGGCTCTGAGGCGTGTATTATCAATCATACCATACATGGAAGTCGCGTCGTACCGGCTCTGCAGCCCAGAGAAGGAAGGAAGGAGGGAGGGAGGCCCTGGGAGGGCCTGGCAGCGCCCAAATCATGCAGGCAATGCCTCTGCAGGGTAACCATGTGATTGCCGAGCAGACGCATCGCCATCGCCGGTCATGATATCGACGTGGTATCCAAGATGATGCAATGCAGAGAAGCCAGGCTGGGGACTTGGGGGCAGATAGAAAGGATAGTCCAGAGCGGGCTGCCAGGTCGGGACGAGGACAGAATGTGCACATCACCACAACCAGGACAGGCAAGAGGAAACAAAACTCCCACCCGTTCCGGCCAGATTCTTGGCAAGGCAAGGGGCACGGGCGGTGGAGGGCCCACCTCCATGGGTCTGGCCTGGAGCCTGGCAGGGGTTGGTGCCTGTCACCCCACGAGCTTATTCGGACGTCTGGGACTTGCTGTGCAGTGCTGAGCTCACTCCACCACCGAGCATATTACATCAGAACTAGCACTGTCCCACCCATTTCATCCCACCCATGCTTCTGCCACGAGCCATTGTGCTTCACTATAAATGTCTAATAGATTCAAGAGCAAGGTTGGCCGCTGATGACATGATGTGACGTCACTTTGGTCTCAGGCTGAACCGCTGGAGAATACTCATGTTAATTCTATATTTCTTGCCATCCATCCCTCAAACACTCACAATCTCTATTCACTACCGCGATCAAAACAGCCAACTCCAGCATCCGATGCTCTCTTAGAGTTGCACCCGGCAGGGCCCACCAGCAAGGCCCCGGACGCCAAAACTGACCAGTCCGAGCTGACCCGAGTCAGTAATAAAATTAAGCCAGCCAGCCACACCACCGAAGCCCCCACTGGTTTCCCCTAGATACCGGGCTTCCACGCTGCCACATTCCCGATGAGACAAGGCGCGCGCGTCTCAACCACCCATGTAATAGATATATGCTCTCACCAATGACCTGGCCTCGAACCTTTCGAATCTCGTTGTACAGCCACGCGGGTTGCTGTGCCTGTGCACCTTCCTTATTGACCATGTGTGAGAGCATAAGCTTGTGGGTGGGTCTCGTGGGGGCCCCTTGTTCCATTTCGGCTGAGGCTTCCACGCCAAACCATAATCTCACTCATCATGATGAGACAAGTCGCACAGCTAACGCCTGAGATCCGATCAAGACCGATACAAGATTGCCGTCTGCTGGGGCCAGCCGCCGTGGCGTGTGCTCTTCTAGATGCTCAGGGTTAGCCCGAGAGATGTTCACTCCCCCTTTTCCCACAGAGCTTCAAACCTCGCTCACCCTGCAAGCTGGTTGCACAAACAGGATTTCATTGATTGACAAACATGCGAAGAGAGAAGGTATGATTGCCTCTCCGAACCTCCTCACATTACATTGGCTGTTATCCCCTGCAAAAGCTTTGCTGGATCTCGCCAAGTGATCACGCGGGATCAGCGAAACAGAAATACCGAAAGTCCGAGGCAATTCGCATGTCTTATCCTGCCCCCTTATGTCCGCGTGCCTGACTCTATCTACAGGTGAGCAATAAAGTCGCAATTCTCGAAGCGTGAAATGAAAAACGTGACGTGCTCCCAGATGTTATGGTAGCCCTCGTATCCAGGCCCCACTTTGATGTGTAAATAAATATCTGGATCATCGATTCAAATGCATTACATCAGAGAATAATCGATGTGGAAAGGGTAGACTTGTGAATGATGCATCAAAGTCAACAAACAGAGATGAGTGATGGTGGCCGAGCTGTGAGCGACCTGTCTCAGCAGAAGCACTATGATCCAGTCAACGTGTTCTCTCGGATTACACTATTCTTGCTTCATGCTCCAGAGTATTCTTTGTCCGTGCCATGTCATAATCCGAGTGGGATCGCCGTCCGAGGCCAACGGCTCGGACTCCGGCTACTATGCGTTTGGCGGCAGTCTCTTTGTCTAACTAGGCATACTCCCTTCCCCAGGGCTTCTGTCTGGTGGTGGAGCTCTGAAGCTTTACTGTGGATACCAAGTCGACTTCAAGACGAGAGAACGCGGTGTCCACTTCGTGTCCACATTACTAAACTTTTGAGTCGACTTGAATGTGAGGAACTCAGCAGCTTGTAGACTTGAGCAAAGAAGATAAATGCCCCTCTCCACTCATGTATGTAGAAAGACTCCGTTCGAGATATGTCCCGGGATGCACATCATATTTCACTGCACCTTCAATACGTTGCATCGCCCAAGGGATCTGCAGCCTTTAGGCTAGAGCAGAAGTCGCACGTAAAGCCGCTGACATAGTACAGAAATGCGGTCACATCGTCAGCGAGTCGATCGTCGGCAGATGGCCCATTGGGCGACGGCTCATGGCTCAGCCGCCGAGACACATTCAACATTTGCCTGCAAACAGGCCATTATATCGATCAAGAACCGCTGTTGGAGTGAGATTGGAGTGCCTGCGCAGTTTGCAGCCCGAGGCAAAGTAGAGAAGACTCGCATGAAACCGGCGCCTAGAATTATAGTCCTTGTGCAGATGCAGAGCGTCTATTTGAAGCTTCCGATGCACCATACCCGCCAGTAACTACTCAAACCGCAGAAACCTTTGACCATCGGTCTGTTGTGTAGTGATGGCGTGGCGTCGCATGCCCACGCGACCAAATATGTCAAGGCTGTTCCGAAGCAACCCCTCGCCCTAATCACCGGCTGCAGAGAATTCTTAGATGGTCATGTTCATGACATCTATCGGTGCTAACTCCAAATCTTTAGCGTCCCAAATGTTTTACAGTGCCGCTACTCCCTGATTTCCATCTCTAGAATACATCCCTCTTCCCAAAGGGCCGGAAGGCGGTTGCGATACCTCGGCAAGTGAGAACGAAAAAGCGCAGAGGATAGGATGCCGAGTCGCATGGTGTGCATGCGAAGAACTAAATGCATAGCGTGCAAAGTTTACTAACATTAACTTTATATATTAGTTTGCCGGATTGCCTGTTTCTGAGTATCACCCAACTTCTGGGTCATGTCATGGTTTCCGTGACGCGGGCTTCTTCTGAATACGCGATGCCCACACGTGCGGCAAGGTTACCTCTGCAAATTTACATGGGGCTCTTGCTGGGTGACCTTGGCTAAATGAATGGAATACGCCCGATGCATTGGGCTGGGCGATTTTAGCTTTATGCTAATTGACACCTCAGCAAGATTAAGGTACCGCTTGACTCCCTGGTTAATCTTACCAATCGCGAGACCCCTCCACATGGCACTATCTTTCTTGGTAACAGGCTATATTGAGATTGGCCTGCTCGACTCCGCACGAGCGTCCACAGGCAATTTAAGGAAGTTCCAAGCAGTTCAGCAGGGGTCGCTTCTGGCGCCGCGGGTGAGGCTTTGAGTTGCCAGTATCGGAGGCTGCTTTATACCGAGTGGACAATAGGTTTCTGTTGTTAGATGCATCTTGGAAACGTGTACAGGGTGACCTAAAAAAGATTATCCATGTCGCTACAACTCCCCGGAAAGAATGTAACCAAATCTAACCAATCACAATTTCTAATTTATCCTTTTTGTAATTAAACTTACTCTGTTACAGCAAATTCGGGATGTAATGCTACAAAAAAGCTACCCTTTTCTCTCTTATTTTTATCTTAAAAAGCTGGTATTATTTTTGTGGTGACGCACAAACAAGAAAGGAGAGTCAAGGGACCCTTCGCCAACGCCACGGAAGTCACGAATTAGGCTTCTTTGTCAGGTTTCCCTGTAGAATGTGTGCTGGGGGGGATCCTGTTCTTTTGGAGACAATTCATACCGTGGGCGGATAGCCAGCCTCCGAGGTTACAATTGAAGGATTTCTCACACACCGGAGTGTAAGTCAATATTCATCCTTCATTGGAAGCTCGGCAATAAAGCTCGCGGGTGATGCTTCTCTGTGTGAGAAAGACTAATAGAATACAAGACATGTAGAAACCCCAGCCATGGCGCGTATTCAGCTGCTAACTAGTAGGCGCTCATCCCTAAATTGCTTCCGAGTCCACCGGAGGGTTTTATGTAATAGGGAATACCTTGATATTGTCGCAACCATTATGAAAAGTCTCAGTACTCAAAGCGGACAAAGTTGAACGCAAATCGTAAGCGTGTGTCGGGACCATGCGCTAGAACGGGGCTCGTATAGTGCACGGTAGTGATCACGCCTTCAACTCCTTTGTGTTCCAGGATGCCATAATGATGATTGGAAATTCATGAAGACTGAGAACTAATTTGCTTCACCAGGTATTTTCTTGTGCTGCATAACCCCAATCCCTTATCGCCTCATTGAGGGTACCCTGTGGCAGGTCCATGTTTTCCTCCAAGAAATCGTTCATCTGCTGAAGTTCAAGACTGAACGCGTCGAAGAGTCCTTTGTTCTTTCCACTAGGGCCGTCACCCCTGCCATCCGCATGGTTCGCCGCAGACCGCACCGCATCATACAAGGGGCTACTCTTGTCAAGGAGGTACTCGCACTCGGCGAGAAGAAAGCGAGCACTACCGGGCCTGGGATAGTCCCTGGGAGTAACTGGTGGCCCTTCCACGGTCGGGTTGAGCTCCCTCTGGACCGCATTTCGGAACTCCTCCTGGTCATTCTCGAGTTTGATCCGAGCAGCATCATCGGCCGCAGACTTCCCACCACCTTCCACTATAGCCGTCAGCTTCGCCGCATTATTGGCGTGTTTCTCCATCTCTTCTTGGAACCCTTTGATGCTTTCGTTTACTCGATTGTCGAATTCCTCGTCGAATTTCATCTTATCTGCCTCCCTGGCTTGATTGGCCTTCTGTATGGCGCGCTGGAATTTTCTCCTATCAGCTGCAGCAGCTTCCTCGTATCTTTGCTCTCGAATCTTCAACTCAGCCTCGAGCGTATTCACTCGCTCCTCAGCAGCAAGCCGTTTTCTGACTTCTTCTTGAAACTCCTCCTCTGTTCGCCCTGATCTCGCGTCCTTTGCCCCTGCGGCTTCACCTAAGTTTTCGCCTGGACGCTGCTGTCCAGGGTCGGCGCCAGGGTGTTCTTGCCGTGATGTGCTTTCATTTTCCACCTCTGGTTGTGTGTCTTCCTCGGAGCCGTCCATGCTTTCGCCTCCGAGCTCAGCAGACAGATTATAGGAGGGTCGACGCAACTCCGGGCTGAGTTCGCCCGCGTCGTCAGGATTTCCTAGTAATGACTGGTCTGCGTTGGCCGGGGACTGTAAATCCCCACCAGATTTGTCATTTGCAGGGTCCTCTACGACGGCGCCGAGCGCAGGTTCGATTTGAGGAGAGCTGAGAGGCCCATTATCAGCAAGCAGCACAGGGACCTCGCTGCCTTGAGGGACACCCTGGTCTTGAGGATTCGAATCGTCACGAGGTGTCTCGGCGGTCTGAGGTAATGCCCCGTCGTCATCCTTCGAATCGGCCGGCGGCTTTTCCTCCTGGTCGGTCGGAGCCCCAGGGGCAGGTGCAGAAGAGGGAGAAGGCGAAGGATCCCTGGAGGCGGATTGCGACCCTTTCCCAGACGGTTTCCGCGATCGGCTCCTCTTATCCTTTGCCATTTCAGATAGGATGAAGATGCTGCGTGTATGAAATGTTCCCAAATGACCTGGTAGCCGAGATGGAGCAGCTGCACTAGCGGGCAGTGGAATCATTCGACACAGGCCCTATTAAGAAAACCAAATCTTCCGCATGCGATTCTACTCCCTTCTGTAAATTGTCCTGCCTTTGTGAACAAAGAATGTGCGACGGAATGGAATTTGAAACTCTTGCCGGGAAAGGACCAGGTTGGCCTAATGCGGCGAAACCGCCCAGCAAAGCCGTGGCGCTGAATAGCCAGGTACCTTCCCGCAGCCGTCATTTCCAACAAATCGCGGAACAATACAGTGAACAAGAAAATCTACCCTACTATCTCCAATCAGTATGATATGGTCGTATACTAGATTCGAAATTACAGATGATCACAAGCGAGCTAGCAGAGGGAGCTTTTTGACAGGCACACCCATACAACCGGGATTGACCTTAAACGAATTACATTGGTTCAGAACCTTGGTGTTGTTAAGATTAAGAATACCGGTTGCAATTAATACAAACCAAATTATGAAGTAATCAAGCTGGGAGAGAAAAACCTTATTCCTTGAACTTGGGTTTGCGTCGTAGTTTGGGCGCATCGGTCAAAACAGTGGCGAGTCTGCCCTGGATATCTCTAATCTGACGACCCTCTAGGACCACTGTTGGAAGGCCTTGCCGCTTTTGGGGTCCAGATGTGGGCACAACTTCACCTTTATCAGACCCGTGTGGGTCTTCCGCGGCGAGAGTCTGCTCCTGACCAGAAGATGAAGGAGATTGCTCATGCTGGTCATCTTCCAATAGCTGAATGACCTCATCAATGGGAACGCCATCTACAGAGGTGACACGTCTTTCATCCATGCCCGGCAGTGACTCGAACTTTACTTCCAAGTTATCTACCATAGCGGCAGCGATGATTCTAGCCTCCATGGCCTCTCGTCGTCTACCCGCGATTTCCAGGAAATCGATACTGGCCAGCTGCGCCTCCTGTTCAAGGTCGGGGCGTTGGATCTTCTTTGCCAAATTCAGTGCAACCTTAGCATGAGACAGACACCGCGTGAATTCCGAGGGTGAACCGTTTTTTCTGGCTTCCTTTGCTGCTTCCTTGGCGAATGTTAGGTGAAACCTAAATGTAGACTCAGGGTCGCCTCTTTCAAATCCTGACTTTGAATATCCTCTTTCTTTCCGCTGCTGGGGCTCCGCCATGGTGGATATCAATGACTGTGTCGATTTATAGTGGAATAGTGAGCTCTGTTTCAATGACAATAGCAGTGAAATTGAAAGAATAAAACAGAGATACATAGACAACGCCGGGATAGTTAGAAGCTTCTAGTTTTAAGTTCAGGCAAGCTGAGTCAGATCTTTAACGGCAAATATTTGGTGTCTCAAAGAAATATTTCGTCATGCTTTATTGCCATTGTTAATACGCATAGGTAGCAAGCCATGCTAAAGAAAGATGTCTTACAAAGAAAAGTGTTTGAGGTGCTGTCAATCTACTTGTTATAGCAGGTACCCCGTATTTGCAAACACACGGGAATTTTGAAGACGAGCCAGATCTGAGCAAAATTTGTGCCAGGAGAAGAATTTAGAAAGAAAAATAGCATTAGACAGGTGATGTTATTTTTTGATCAAAAATCAGGAATAAGACGGTGAGACTGTCATTATTACCATGTAGCTTCATTGCCATGAAAATTTTCTACAGTGCTCTGTGTTTCTGTATGTGAATTATTTTCCGAGCTATAATGAAGCTGGGACACACAGGCGAGCTTATGCTGGGATTCGAATGATCATGGACTATGAAGACTTCCAAACCTATGACTTTGGTGTTCAATATGTTTCGGGATAAAAGTTTGAATTATTATGCGAGTCCACATCCCTTTCCCATAATCTTTTCAATATCATCTACGCAGTACAACGTATTTCTCGATAGGTGAGGATCTTCGTGAAATTTAGGTTTCAGTTTCAATCTCGCCCAAAATAAATTCCAATCATCTGTGGGCTTCATAGGTACACGTAATCATCACTGGACGAAATGGATATGCTTGGTACTTCAATGAAATTCTAATTGCTATCTACGCTCAAAGATACTGTTCTGCAGAAAACCTCCTCTTGATGGCATGAATGAAGTTAATAAATTTGGAAAACCACAGTGTAATCATGGAGTAGTTTAGCACACTGACCTCATGAAATTAGAACCCGCATCGAGCGTTTAAAGAGTCTTGACTGTTGATTCCCTCTTGCGCAGCCGAACATTCAGACCGGACTGTGGTACAAACCATCTGTTCTGCACAGTCCAGGCTTTCCCCCCGTCAACGAGCTCAATGTCGTATGCCTGGAGTAACGTGGGCACAAGCTTATATATCTCCAGATATGAGATGTGCTTTCCTAGACAGACTCTGTGGCCAGCACCGAACGTCACTTATCACAGCATTAGTGAAGAGTCATGTGCAAGGAGAGAGTAGGCACACGTACTGAGTGCGGCGTCCATCTTCTTGATGCGCGCCTCGTCTCCTTCGAGCCATCGCTCAGGTCTCCACGCATCAGCGTCCGGGCCGAATATTTCCGGGTCTCGGTGGACGACCCACGCGTTCATGCCCACGATGGTCCCCGCTGGGAGCGCCGTACCGCAGACATCCAGACCACCCGCGGGTACCACGCGCTCCAGGTGCAGGCCGAAAGGCGGGTGCACGCGCCCAGCTTCTTTGAAGCAGGCGCTCAGGTAGGGCAGGGCTTGGCTCTCCCTCCAGGTGGTCGTCTCGGAGAGGGCACCGCGGGCGGCTGCCGAGTCGAGCTCTGCCCGCAGCCGGGCGAGGCTTTCCGGGTGCGTGAGCAGCTGGTGGAACATGGTCCTCAGGAAAATGGCCGTGGTGTCACTGCCTGCAATGATGTTGGAGGATGTCCATGCGCGCAGAGCCCTGCTCAGATAGTCTCTGTTAGTAACTTTCACGGCTATTACTGCTTCTGATGTGCGAAAGGATTTATGGATCGAGGAGAAAAAAAGGGACGTGCCAAGGTGGAATAGACGGGTCTTTCTCCAATGCGGCCAGGAAGCGTGACAGGAAGTCCCGGTTATTGGCTTGGCTGACTGCCTTTTCCGACCCGGTCAAGGCACGTCTCTCTTCTTCCCGTTTGTTGGCAAACTGGACCATGGGAGACCACCTCGTCGGCCTGAGGCGAGATACAATCTTATTTTTGACCCACAACGAGTCCAGCCAGGGCATTTGACCGACCTTGATTTGGACAGGGTGTCAGTGAAGAACGCCGTATGCGGCTTAGAGAAAGACTCACAATAGCAACATATTCAAACCAATGCCAGATGCTGGCCATGATGCCCTCCACGTCCCGGCCCTCCTCCAGAAAGCCTAGCCGCTTGGAGAAAGTGATCTCGCCCACTACGTCGAACTTTTCGTACCCAGTCAGCATCAAGGACGTCGTCACGCAAGCGTTGCAAGAACAGAACATACCGCAAAGTACTGCAACCAAGCATCGAGGTCGCACGCATTCCCCTGGAGCACGAACCGGCGGTCGAGCTCCTGGCGGAACACGTCGATGGTGCGGTCGACGAGGGGCTCGAAAGATACGAGGTTGCTCATGGAGTAGACGGCGGCGATAGGCCGCTTGAGCATGCGATGCAGCATCTCATCCTGGGTGGCGAAGATGGTAGGTAGGATCGTGCCCTTGCGCATCGGCGGTATCACGCTATAGAAGTTCGACTTCAGCAGCGGGTCCCCTCGGATGCGGTAGATGGTCTCGACGGCCGCCGCCGAGCCTACTGACACCGCGTTGGGCCCATATCGCACGAGAGGCGCCCACTTTGAACCTGGTGTGGCATACTGACTGTGCTGAGCGATGTGCACGTTGTGAGCGTCGCGGTGATAGACCCATAAGAAACGGGGGATGTTAGAGAAACGAGCTAGGAAGGGCCCTGGGATGTGAGAGAGGCGATAGTATTGTCTGGCGTAGTAGACTACCAGGGAGAGGAAGAGGGCCAGAAAGGCCAGGGAGGCAGAAAGCTTTGGGGAGGAATCGAGAGACATTTTCAATTGATGGTCCAAACGATTTGCCTCCTCAGTTGCATCTCTCAAAATGACTCTTGATCGTCACAGAACGAAGTGTGTGTAATGAAGCCAGAAGCCAGGCTCTTCATGATACTGTCTTCAATTACTCATGACCGCGGTCTTTCATACTGCTCAGTGATATGACGAGTGCCATGGCCTCAATTGCCCACGGCATCGTTCCACCGTTCGTAATACTCGCTCAAGCTCGTAGAGCTGGTTTTGGGGTCGGGCCATCTTTTGGCCTGGGCTGAGCACGATGCAGGCTGGCCTTGGCTTCACCCACGGACTTCGGGCAATAGAAGTCGCGGATAAGACTCGCGTTACAGTCGGTCTGACACACGAGATTGACCACCCCTGTAAACGAAAAATGCAGTCATATGAGTTGAGTCGGAGCCGAAGACCTCTATAATCCTTTGTACGATGAAACCTTGGCGAATCCATCATGTCTATTTGCAGAGATTCTCGCGAGCGGACTTAAGCTCGTGGGCCAAAAGCGAGCGCACGTTACGGCTAGCTGTTCGGATTAAGTAACGAGTCAATATTCATGTACATTGTAGTAATTAGTACTTGTGACTTGACGGGAAAGTGCTCGTGTGATGGGGGCTAAAAATGACTTGATGTGGACGAAAAAGCTCTACCCATTTCGTGCTATTCCGACAGAATTCGTTCGAACAAAGGGAAACAGCTCCATTTTCTGCTCCCGTTTATTATTCGTATGCATCATTCACACGAAATGATTGCAATCGCTTACACAATACCTTGTCATGTTCCCCACCAGGGCAATCATTGTTGTTTCGGCTTAGTAGAGGAACTCAAAGAATGGAAATAGTCTATGGATAAGTGACAAACCAATTGTCCGTTCTGGAGATAGAGTCCAGGGAAAAGTTGAGGTAGGACCATAACCATCTGAATGTGTCATTAAATTTCAAACATTATGTGTAAAGTGCTCCTGTCTTTCAAGCTTCTGATTTTGAAACGAAACCTGGGATAATGTAGTTGATCCGATCACAATAAATTACACAGCCAAATTCAAGAATACGCACAGAGTACTCGGAGATATTGTAGCAGAGTGGTTGTAACAATGTATGATTCTACTTAAGGAAAAGTAGCCAAGAGCTAGATACAAGAATGAAACCAGATCGTCATTCCACTATGTATGCATGTGACTGACTGTGACAGAGTTGAGTACTGTCAATATCCCTTACCAACCAATCACTCATGGACCCTGCGATCCTCCACGCGCAATTTCTAAATTGTAATCTGGTCCCTAAAGGTTTTATCCAAGTATTGAATTAGAAGTGAAGGTACTTTCATGTACACAGAGAACGTTCGTTGAATATGCACAAAGTGTTTTACTGCGGCTTAGTTGCCGTTCAGAATGTCATCGACGATCTTTTCAGCGAGTGCGTCTATTAATACCAGTCAGTAAAAGTGAAATAGAACAGGCAGATGTTCTCCGGGTATACCTACAGATGACAGACATCGGATGCCCGGGAGGCAGAATGGGCAGGCTCGAGGCGTCCACAACACGCAGGCCCTCGACACCGCGGACCCTTGCCTGGGCGTCGAGCACAGCCATGCTGTCGCCCTCGGGGCCCATGCGGCACGTGCAGGCGGCGTGGAAGATGGGCGAGAAGCTCGCCTGGATGTGGCGCCAGATGTCCTCGTCAGTCACAAAGCCGGGGCCGGGGAAGTACTCTTCTCCCACCAGAAGGGGCTGCATGGCCGGGGACTCCCAGACCTGGCGGGTGCGCTTGAAGGCGGCGATGGCAACCTCCATGTCGACGGGGTGGCTTAGCCAGTTGGGGTTGATGATGGGGTGATCGGCCGTGTCGTTGGACTGGATGGTCACGTTGCCGGTTGAAAGCGTCGCCACGAGACCCGCGATGACGGATGCGTACTGGTACTCGTCCTGGGGCTGGTTGGTCTGGAAGTTGGTTGCGTTACCGAAGTAGCCCCCGTTGGGGAGATACTCAACCTCAGGCCAGTCGGCCGAGAAGGTCGAGTCCAGAGTTGAGATGGTAGAGTTGGTGAGGTTGTTTCGAGGAAGACGCTCCCAGCCTGTGAAGTGGTTAGTCAATCCCCCACAAAGAATGCAATTTGGACTGATACAGGGTTCCACATACCGAGAATGTCAATACCTGGGTTGGTCATGGGCCCATTTCCGTGCGCGTACTGCTCCTCGAACAGAGCCCGCTGCTCAGGATTACCAAAGGCAGAGCCGGTGACAACGTTGACCCTGTACGTGCTGCCGAAGAGGACGTGGTCCTTCATGTTCTGGCCTACACCAGGGCTGTCCTGGATCACCTCGATACCGTGCTCCTCCAGTGTGGCCCTGGGCCCGATACCCGATACCATCAGGAGCTGGGGGCTGTGGAAAGAACCGGCAGACACGATGACCTCCCTGCGTGCGCGCAGAGTGTACTGGAGACCTTGAGTGTCGACGAGGACGCCTGTGGCCCGCCTGTTCTCGTCGAACAGGACACGCTTAGCCATGGTTGATATGAAAGTGATCAGGTTAGGTTGGCGCACATTGAGGTGTGGCCGGAGGAAAGCTGTCTCAGACGACTCGCGAGTGTTGTCGTCGTTCCGGATCGTCGCGAGAGGGTAGGCATAGGCACCTGACAGGTCGCCGCTCTCGAAACCGCTCTGCGAATGCAGTCCGATGGCCTCGAAGCCCATTGCCGCCCAACTGCCAAAGGGCTGTGCGTATTTGGGATAAAGCACTGACAGAGGCCCATCGGTGCCGAGCATGGCCGGGTCGTAGTCGGGTGTTGAGTTTGCGAACCGGTCAAAGGTGCCGCCAACTGGTGGTGTGAAGTTCTGGGATTTTGTGAAGTAAGGAAAGAAGTTGTCAAATATGTAGGCATCAGAGTCGGCCGCCTCTGCCATCTGCTCAAGGGACCCCCGAGTAGGAAGATGGTAGGTCATGTAGTTGCGTGCGCTGCATCCACCCAGCACGCGACCTCTTGGATAGTGGGCCCGCGCGTTGAGAAGTGCCTCCTGGGGCTCAGTGACGAGGCCCCAGTCAACACCCGGGTGCCAGTTGTCCATGTCTTTGCCGGTGTACCAGTTATCGTAGGACGGAATCTCGCTGAGGTTGCCGTTGGTGATCTCGTAGAAGCTGCCAGCCTCGATCACGCCCACACTGAGATCCCTGTTCTCAGCCAGCCTGCCAGCAACTGTGAGGCCGGCCTGACCGCCGCCCACGATAATGTAGTCGAACTCATAGTCCTGCCCGGGGATGCCAAAGCTAGTGCTTAAGAGGGGGTTTTGAGTCGCAGTGGAGTTCTGCAAGGGCGGGTTAGGAGCCGCTCGCACCGAGAGCCCAGGCAGAACAATAGCTGCCAGGGCTGATAGCTGAAGGGTATGCATTCTGATGGTGGAGTGTGGGAAATAAGAAAGAGATCGTGTGGTGGTACTTGTGCTCTGTATCGAAGAACTTGAGCGACCTGGGGATGAACAACTTCGATTCGCCTGGATATCGTCGACGACTCCCCTCTATATATACGCATTCTCGAGGAACGGCCTTGGTGGTATCCTCCGCCCCCTTCCCTCGCTTCCTTCGCGAAGTGTGAGCCTTCGCAGACAGTCTCGTGGTGGGTGACCTTCGGCCGTAGCGATGGTGTAGTCTTGCTCACACTAATTTGCGCCATGCTGAATCAAGCCCAACGTCTTCCTGAATCGGGGTTATTTGTCTACATTGGCGACGAGATGGGCTGGCTTCTCATCAGCTGACAATAATCCATCCCGTCCTACCCTTCCAAAATCTCGTAGACTATCCGTGCGGACCCGTGAAGGAGGCCATGCTCCCGACGAACCCATCGACAGAGACCATGTGAGCGCCACTTCATCCTTCCCGCCATCTACTAGGCCACCCGTACGGGGCCATGTTCCTCAACTGTTTTGTGTTTCCAACCATGTGATTCAAGGGCGTACAAGTCACAAAGAATCCAGAAAAACGTGTCGGAATTGACAGTCGAGCCGCAATCCTCCCCGAACATGTACAAAGATAACCTGGGCTGGCTGCTTTTTGGATGATATTATTAGGCGCCCCCATCTGAACCTAAGTGGCTCAGATACCCGATGGGTCAGATAGTATACTCCAGGTAGCCGCGGTGCGCTAATCAGAATGAAATGAGAGGGTAATCATACGCCCAAGAATCTCTGTAGGGCTGAGGCTGATGGATGTCCGACCGTCTAAGCGCGCCCGCGGGAGTGACTGGCCCGCCAACATCCGCTTCGATCCTTCTGGAAGGAACAGGCAGCTCTTAAGCCCACGTGGGGTTCCATTTCATCGGGATCTTCCATGGCTGTGAAACTTTGTGTTGCCTGAGCCTCCCTCAACAGCAATTGTAAGCGGGCCCAGAGCTCTTTGCACCACTTACGACCCGGATGATTCGACTTTCCTTCCGGGCGTCTTCTCGAAACCACGTGCGCCACATGCGCCAAGTGTCACGGAACATGCTCTTGACTCGTTGAACTCTAATCTTGGGCTTCGTATATCTTCCTGGCACAGGAGCTAAAATATTGGACAGGGAGATTCTCAAGGAGGTTAGGATTGCTGTACAGCCTACTATTACAATCCCACATCCAAACCATGCTCACAATCGTGGAAGATGCGGCAGCGAATACTAGTAGCGTGCAACTCGTGACTAATCTCCAATCCCACAGCCAATGTTACATCTGCTGCAACTTTGACGGAAAGTCACCCACGCCTCCTCGTCTTATACGATCATGTGCTGTAGTGCAGCATTGTGCAGATTGGCGTTTCGTAGCACCGAAGGATGTCTCCCCCATGCCAGATATGTCTAGATCCGGCATCAGCACTAAACGTTACATACAACACAAATTTGTCCTTCTGCAGCCTCCCAACTGATCTTAGTAAAATGGAACAACGTGGTATTATTTGCGGCTGAAACGACATTGCAGCAGTAGCTCGACTTCAACTAGGTCAATCCAAAATTCACAGTCAGTGAAGGGAATGTCACCTTCTTTCCAATAATTCAGTCGGATCCATCCGCACACAAACTAAATATAGGTACATTGCCACATTAGCTAGGTACAAGTGACCACATAGTTTTGTTGTTACGCAAAAAGCAAATACCATTCACTCGATTGATGTATTGAAATAGTAGAGGTTCCATATCGACAGTACAAAAGAACAAAAGACGCGGCCCCCGTGCTATAGAAAATTGTCTCAAATTGAAGACGCGAAGAAGTAAAACGTTCGGAGATAAAACAAGCAACAACGGAAAACTGGGAAAAACCAAGCAAGTCAGTTAACCCGTTGCCATTCCCATCCCTATTTCTCTTTGTCAACACATGTTCGGAGATTCCCAGGATGAAAGGAGAGGATGTGTCAGACTAACCCAAATTGGGCATATTTGATGCTGACAGGAGTACTTCAGGACTGAGGCGTGTTGAGGCGGCCCAGGTTGAAGCTACGTCACACAAGGCGTGAAGTGGCGGGCACATGCAGCCAAAATGCATTCCCACACAAAGAGCGAATGCAGCAAAATCCGAACAATAACTCGGCTGCTTGTCCCGAAACCCCGTCGCGATCGGAGATACAAAGTACCTTTTGCGGTGACGGAGTTATCGCGCCTTTGAGGCTGAGTCTCACCGGTCCGCACGAAAGGAGCCCCAGGTATTAAAGGTCCAAGTCCAGGGGAAGCCGAAGGGGCTCGTGATGTCTAGGCATTACATCTCCTACTGTTCAACTCAGGCCACCCTGAAAGAAACCAGTCATCCACTTTCGCATCCACGGCCAATGAGGCAAGCTATTTCCAAACTCTCACGCCGTGTCAAGCCAGGCAACTCTACTTTACCAGATTCAGTATCACCTTCAGTCTCAGCTACACACTCTCACCCCAACACATCCAGCATGACTGCCAACCCCTCCGCCGCTCCTCCCACCCCATCCCTCCAAGGCAAGGTTGCCATCATCACTGGTGGCTCCAAGGGCATCGGCAAGGCCACATCCATCGCGCTCGCCCGTCTTGGCGCCACTGTGGTAATCAACTATTCCTCTGACGAGGAGGCCGCACAGGGTGTCCTCACCGAGATCCAAAAGCTTGGCGCGGGTGAGGCACGCCTCGTGCGAGCTGATGCTAGCACGCTGGATGGCGTACACTCACTCGTCAAACAGACGGTTGATGCCTACTCCAAGATCGACGTGTTGATTCCCAACGCGGGCGTGCTGCCTATGAAGGACCTGCAGCACACCACGGAGGCCGACTTTGACCGGACCTTTGCCATCAACGTCAAGGGACCCTACTTCCTCGCCCAGGTAAGCATCTCTAATCCCTATAAAATGTGGCACGCTTGGCACGACATGGTCTGATCGCTGACCGCCCTCCTCCTCGCAGGCTGCCGCCCCGTACTTGGCGCGCGGCTCCCACATCATCTTCGTGTCCACCACCCTAACCACGGCCTCTACCGTGATGCCGGGATATCTGCTCTACAACAGCACCAAGGGCGCTATCGAGCAGATGACCCGCGTCATCAGCAAGGACCTCGGGCGAAAGGGCGTGCTCGTCAACGCCGTAGCCCCCGGCCCCACGGGCACCGAGCTCTTTTTCCGCGGCAAGAGCGACGAGCTGCTCAAGACCATCGCCAATTTCAGCCCTCAGGGACGGATTGGTACACCCGAGGAAATCGCTGAGGCCGTTGTCTTCCTTGCCCACTCCACCTGGGTTTCAGGCCAGGTACTTCGTGCTAATGGTGGTATGGCCTAGGATGACGGGGATTGTATCTTTCTTACTGAGCTGAGGCTAAGAATTCACTTGTTTACTTGTTCCAGACAGAGTGGAACTTGGAGTTCCACAAAAAATGGCTCGGAGGCACAGAGTTGTCAGAGATTAGCAAACTATTCTTCTCCAAAATATCAAGCCTAAATTGAACCTCCCACGCCCCATATTTCTTGAATCCACACTATGAAATCTCCCAAAGACATGTCGTTTATGAATGTGCTTCATTGCAGCATTTAGCCAGATGTTACTAACGACGGGAGGGCATTCCATGCTTGTAAACATTGCATCCTTCTCTTATTATCCGCATTTCCATACCACAGCTTGTTGCTGCAGTAAAATTCGGAAACCGATTTTCGTACTAGTCAAGACTCGGTCTAGTGTACAGAGGCAAAAGAAACATCAGGATGCCACTAATTAATGTACTAGAATCTCAAATGGGAGCATGATCACGAAATATGTAGGCGTGGGGAGGAGCCACTGTCGCTCAAGACCCTGCATTGTGCAATGTGACCCCATCACACACTTAGGCTCCCGAGCTTACATGCACCCCTCAAGTGCGGTTATGCATGTAAGACGGGTGGATCACTTTTAGGTCCCGGTGAAAACCTCAAATCCTTCCGAACGTTGGGGGCTAGCTTGCTTACGAGATGGCTCGGGCCCGGAGTTTCTCAATTGTCTCTCACGATGGGACCACATCCTTCTCCCTTCATGAAGCCATCACCGCCACGCTGTGGCCTGATCAGAATAGCCTCGTGCGGCTGCTCTGGTTGCTGATCGAATTCGACTAGGTGCGGAAGAAATACTTCTCATGTCTATATATACTAAATGTTGAGTTCAAGTATGAGTGCTACTCAACCATGATTAAATCCTGCAACCTGGCAGACCCAACCTTGATTGCACAGCACACAGAGCCATAGTCATCATGGGGAGCCAGAGCAACGACAGCCCCATACCCACAGTGGATGTGAGCGCGTTCCTGTCGCCCTCTGCCTCCGAGGCGGAGCGTGGCCAGGTCGTGGATGATGTGCGCCATGCATGTACAACTTACGGCTTCTTCACTCTCGTCGGGCATGGTATTCCGAACACACAGCTGAACCAGGCTTTCGAGAGCAGCAAGCGCTTTTTTGCACTGCCTGAGGAGAAGCGCAAGGATGTCCACGTCGGGAAGGCCGTGGGCAGATCCTTCAGGGGCTGGGAGCCGCCCTTCATCCAGCAGCACAAGGGAGACCTGCTGCCTGACACGAAGGAAGTGAGTCACCACACAAGTCCGATACTTCGAATCTGCATATTTTCATCACAACTTCAAAGCTAACATATCATGTGTGCAATTAGACATTCATCGTAGGCCGAGAGGTCCCAGCAGATGATCCTGAGGCGGGCAGCTTCCTGACCGGCCCAAATCTGTGGCCGGATCTCCCTCGTGAGGAGTTCCAGGATGTCGTCCTGGCATACCAAGCCAGGATGGTGGCTCTTGCTAAGGTCATCGTCCGTATTCTGGTGCAAGGCCTGCCTGAGAAGTGGGGATGCCCACCCGATGCGCTCGACGGCCTGACCGTGGACCCAGCGATCCCCATGCGCTTCCTTCACTACGGCCCTGTCAAGGAGAAGGACCCACGCCAGTTCGGAGGTAGGTCCCGCTGTTACCGTCTCCCTTCCCTCTTCTAACCTTACCCGCCCTGTCCAGTCGCCGCCCATACCGACTTCAGTGCCATTACCATTCTGCTGCAGCAGCCTGGGACCGAAGGCCTACAGGTGTGGTATCCGCCTACGGAGGATTGGATTCCTGTACCAGTGGTTGAGGATGGCTTTGTTATCAACATTGGCGACCTGATGCAGAAATACACGGGCGGATATTACCGTAGTGCCTGCCACCGTGTCATCACTTTCAGCGACAAGGACAAGCACCGCTACAGTATTGCCTTCTTCCTTGACGGAAACTTGCGATTCAAGACCAAGGCACTGGATGGTTCGGGCGAGGAGACGGAAGTCGGTGAATATGTCCGTTCGTGTTTGATGGGTACTCTGGGAACTAGAGGCCCGTTACTCTAGACATGGGTAGATTTATTTACGCAAAATTCCATAAAAACATATTGGTGACATTTGGTCACTCTCTGAATGCATCAGACGCTTCGTTATGCTGCATGTGGTACGCGGATCATCACTGGTAGTTGATCAACTTCAACACCGTACTATTTGAATAACAATGAGATTTCTAGATATTCCTATATGTTATACATGGGTCACATAGAGAATACTTGCACACAATGGAGTACCAAAGATTTATCTCTCAAACCTTCCCGCTCATCCAAAGCCTCCCGGTGTGACCCATGTAAGCCGCTCTTGCAGCCATGAAGCCTACAACACCCACCAGCATGCCCAGCGCACAGAAAACCTTGAGCCACACGTAATGGTCCCGGCCCTGCTTACCCGCCGCCTCGGAAAGCTCGCCACCCACAGGCTGGGCGATGAGGACCGACGGGGCGATGACAAGGTAGACGGCACCGAGGTGCAAGCCTAGCTGGCTCATGTCCGGACAAATCTGGGCCACCAAGGTGGGCACCATGGACACGAAGGTGCCGGATCCGAAACCGTACAACGCTGCAAAGGCGATGCGCCCGTCCTCCCACGGCGCGCCGATCCACACGCCGAGAACAAGCGCCACCGAGAAGAACGTGAAGGCGATGGTGGTGTTGAAGCGCCCGTACCGGTCGCCGAGCCAGCCAGGCATGACACGGCCCACGGTGCTGTCATGTGGATTAGTCCCATGCTGTGCAGCAGGATATATTGGCAGTGTAACGTGGTATAGAGTTGACAGGAACCAACGTACCTTGTGGCACTTAGGATGACGAGCAGGTTGTTGGCCGTGCGCTCACTTTCTCCATCGTCCATCGCCTCCACAACCATGTAGTTGTAGGGAATGAAGACGCCCAGAAAGTAGAAGAAACACGCCAAAGCCAGCGTGAGAACAGGGCCCTGGCGCAGGAGTCTCACTGGTAGGATATTGGACGCACGGAAAGGCGCTCGAGGGCGGCCTGCTGGCAGAGGCCGGCGGGACGTGGTGGCGATGGCCAAGATCATGAGGACAAAGTATGTCAGGGCGACGGCGCGCATGGTCCAGGGGAAGCCAATGCGGTCGAACAGGACGGGGATGACAGCGGTTCCAATGACAGCGCCCAGGGCGCTCCCAGCACTGACGAGGCCGAGGGCCAGACCCCGCCGGGCGTGGAACCAGGTGCCAGCGGCGGTGGTGCCGGCCACGAAGATGGCCCCGGTGCCCATGGCACTGACGACACTCTGTGCAGCGAAGAACTGGCCATCTGCTACCTGTTAATCACCTGCTACAGGTCCTGAGGTGACACATTCTGGAACTTTCTGAACCACAAAGACCGGGAAACTGCAGCAGGAGAAGAGTGATACTGACAGGTGCGGCAGCTCGCGACGCCCAGCAGGCCGCCCACGTGCAGCGCCGTCCCGACCACGAGGATCACCGTAGGGCCCAGGCGGTCGAACAGGGCGCCGAAGATGGGCACGCCAAGGAAGAGGAGGGTTACTTCAGCCGAGGAGATCCAGCCCACGGCGCTGGGGCTGTACTCGCGCAGCTGGTGGGTGCTGTAGTACGCCTGGAAGACGCCGATGCATGTGATCCAGCCAAAGGACACAAACAGGCAGAGGAACCCGCCGACCACGGCCAGCCAGCCACGCAGGGACGTGTCAAGAGGGGGGAGGCCGTCTTTGGCTGCCAGCGCACCGCCGGAACCGCGGCTGGGCTGCACGAGGTCCGCACGATTTGGGCTGGTCTTGGCAGCCTTCTCAGGATCGCGCCCATCGCTGCTGGACATGGCTGAGTCGGAAGTCGAGGACATGACCGTCACTGGTGGTTCGATTCCGCTGCGTGATGGGATTCTTGGCGTCGGGATGGCTGGACCTCACATGTGTGATATACTGTGTGTAAGGTAGACCGGCGAGCGTTAGGATCAAATTACTTGCGCAGTATTATTACTAGCAGTGCATGCTGTACGGGCTCGGTTGGCTGGACTTTATGTGTGTCGAACATTGTGTCCACAATCGTACATCAAGGAACAACGGTTCGGAGCTAAGACGAGCGTGTAAATGCTGTGTGACGTCGCGCTCTGGTCGCGACCATAACTCCGTCTCTCAGCTCGTTGAGGCTGGCTGGCTGGGCGTGGACAAATGCACGACGGGAACTAAACTGTTTGCATTTGTGTGTGTGACACAAAGAGCTGCGTGCCCAGCTTCCAACGGCGTGATAATGTGCGGGACCCGTGGCTCGACCTCCTTTTGTCTGCCGGACTATGCCCAACGTGGTAGTTATGGACCCGGCAAGAGCAATTGTGGTATAATGAAAACACCAATTAAACGCCATGCATATTAAAGTACCAGGGCAAAGTACTGTCTACTCTTCTAAAGTAATGGGTACGGGGTCCTGCATGTAGGTCCATAACACTAGGCTATTTGTATACGCGGAATCGGCAGTGCAGAACCCCCCCCCCTCTGCCCCCGCCCTCCTAGTCTTGAGATCATGCACAACATCCAGGCATGTCAGCAATACGATCAGGTACAAGTTACAAACATTCAGCCGCTATCAAGGCGCTCTTGGCAACTGATTGGTGCTCACACCGGTCACTGAAAGAGCCTACCCTGATGTAAGAAATCGGACTGGAGCCGCAGGAGCCGCAGGAGTGCGATGATCGTCACCTACAGCCACCGCCATCCCTCGGCCTTAGCCTCAGGAATTAAGTGTTAAGCGGAAGCACGAAGGTCAGCCTGCCATGGCAGCTCGCAACGGTGCGCCCATTTGGTTCGTTCAACGAGCGGTGAACAACCTTAGCAGGCAGTCAGCACAGTTGCGTGAGTTGAGTGTGAGTGTGTTCGGGCCCGACCCGATTCGAGAATCAAAATTCGCAAAAGTAAGGACCTCGCTCTTGACCATTGTTGTTTCATCGTGGCGTGGGATATAGCGGCGTTGACGAGCAGGGGTTGATGATCATTTCTTCTTTAAATTGCTCTAACTAATTGCTTTACAGACCAGCATTGCTGAGCTATCATCCTTGAAGTGACAATCTGCCTAATTATTAAGCGTGGCCCTGTGTCTAGGCTTCAATCAATCAAGCAGAGGATTCCTCCGTCCAAACTGGCGGCTCTGGGATGGCTTTAGACTAAAACTGTGACTTCAAGCTCAAATTCTTAGTCGCCTTGTACCACCACATGTAGACTGGTGTGGGATGCGCGTGGGTTGCCTGCATGCATTTGCTAGTTAGCTGTGGTGTAAATGGGTGATCCGTCCATTTTCTCCCTTTCTTCTGTAGCTTGAACACGAGATCCGTCAGCCCACACAGGCACCTCTGCTCTTCTCGTTCACCAACATCAAGACCTCATGGGAGCGAAGCATAAACCTTACAAAACACCGTCCCTTACTAAGGATCAAACCTGTTCTCTATCTACTCAGCGTACAGTGCTGTGCTAACGATCGCAGACTGATTTAGTTTCAATTTGAAGGTTTCTTGTAGGAACGAACCCTGTATTTCAGACGGCCAAACGGATTCCATGTTAGTCCGCTCCAGTGCGGGCAATGACAGCTCGGACAGCTCTCCTCAAGCAACGCGAACTCGGCAGCAACCTGGGGCTGCCTGTGACGAGTGCCGTCGCCGAAAGCTCCGGTGCGATCGCCAAAAGCCGCAGTGCGGCGCCTGCCAGACATCTGGCGTCGCCTGCATAGTACCAGCTACCAAGCCGACGCGCGGCCCCAAGCGAGGGTATCTCAAGACGCTGCAGGCGAGGATGTGTATGGAACTTGTTTTCATCTCTCTTGTACATACTGTGTGCTTGCTGACGCAATATTGGCCTGGGCAGCGGCTCTCGAGGGGGCCCTCGGCGGGCAGCCATGTGTGCTGTCCAATCCGCCGTCAGCTGGGGATGTGTCCAATACGTCGTTAGACCTTGGGGAGATGCCGGACTTCACGGATTTAGGAGATATGAGCGAGATGGGACTGAGCCAGCTCGCATGGCCACTGGACAGTTCAGGCGAGGGCGACTCTTTGCCTAGCCCACGTCCCATTTCGTATGACGACAAGGACATCTTGTCGTTGCTGGAGACTCCAGACAGCTGGTCTGTGCTGATACAAGATGCCATTCGGCCAGGCGCTACTCCAAGACCAGCAAAGAATATCATACCTCGCCCCGATACCACCACTCGGCCCAACTCAAGCCCACAAACCCCCGCAAATACCCACAACAGCAGCAGTCCAGGATGCTCTCCGGACGTAACAATGCCGAGTCTGGTCCAGTCTGACCTGTAAGTTCTAATAATGTATCCTCCTTACTTACTTCGGCCCTGAGGTCCCCAGCTCTGACCATGCACAGGGACCAATTATACATGGACAGGATACATATGTTCATACCAATCATACACCACGGCCGCTACACCGAGTGGGCTAAATCCGAGCCAGGCTCCACGGGCGAGGCACAGAATGCCCTACGGAATGCCATGTGGACTTTGGCTGCCTCGGCCTCGGCTTACCACCTGACGCTCCGGGACTCGCTCTACCAAAGGACAAGGCAGGCTCTTGAGAATCTCGACCAGCGCACCGGCAGCGCAGACGAACCCACTACCACCACTACCACTGCCATCACAGCTACTGCCGACACGGAGGTCGTGCAGGCGTGGCTGCTACTGGCTGTCCACGAGCTCATGTGTGTGAGCTTCCGCCGCGCCTGGATCACAGCCGGGCGGGCCTTTCGACTCATCCAGCTAGATCCTTCGTGGACAGCCGCGGATGGTGGCGTACCCACTGAGATGAATATTGACAGTCAGAATCACCATGCGCAATGGATTGAGATTGAGCAGCGGCGGAGGACCTTTTGGTTCGCGTACTGCCTAGACCGGCTCATGAGCCTGCGCAACGGATCACCTCCTACGTTTAGCGAACGAGTAAGTGCTCTTCTCTAGGTCCAGAATACCTGCAATAGGTGTTAACCTGTACCATCGCGGAACAGGTATCTGTGCGGCTCCCCTGCCCCGAGGTGGCGTTCCAATACGGCCAGCCCGTGCCCATGGGCTTCCTCTCAGAATTCAAGACTACAAGTATAGCATCCACATCCACCTCTCCCGCAATGGTGCCCTCGTCCCCATTTCATGAATGTATAGTAGCGGCTACAGTAGCTGGGCATGCCCTGTCACACCGCCGGCAGGCGGTGATGGACACAGCGACCGGGCGTGACACCACCACCGCGCAGACACCGCACGACATGTTCGCCTTCTGGGACCGCCACGCTTGGCTCGACTCGCTAGCAGCCGACAGCATGGGCGCCTTTGCCGTGCACCATCCTCCAGCGGCACAGGAGCGGGAGCCCATGCTGCTTTTTCTGGCTATGGTGTGGCGCGCGATCGTGCTTTACCTGTGGCACACCGCGGACGGTTATCCGACTCCGGCTCCGAACCTGGATATGAGTCACGTTGTCAGCATCGAGTCGCCTGCGCAGATGGCCGATAGGGCGGCTCAGGAGGTGCTCCGCTTGATGGGGAAGATGTCCGAACTAAATAGCTGGAAGGTCTGTTGCATTTTGTCTCCACTTTCTGATCGTAATCTGTTCTTCATGATTTTTTTGGGTCCTGGGGTTTCGCTGACTGGACCCTGCTCTTCACAGGTTCATCCGCTCATGAGCATCCCCTTGACGCTGTGCGCCGAGCTTCTGTCGACTAGGGCCGACCTGATGGCGGCATTTTCCCAGAAGCTAAGGGAAATCACGCAAGCTGCACATAGTCTGGGGCCGTTATCTGGTGCAGGGATGCGAGCATACCAATGAGTTGCATGGCTTGCTTCTTATTTATGCATCATAGTCATCTAGACGGCAAGTATAGATAGGGCGGCGTCCAGGAGTTATGGCTGGGGGGTGGATGAACTCGAGGGCTGATTGTCTCCACTCTGGAGGAGACTTGTTGAGTGCGCATGAGCACTTCTTCTCGGGTCGAATTGTGACAGTATTTTCTGGCAGGAGTTTCATTGTTACTGGCATCCGGTATTCCATCAGCATGACGAGCAATCGTGAGGCGTATCAAGAAGGTTGGAAATAGTCATTGCGATCATGAATGTCATCGCCAGGCTATGCTCAAGTGTGTGACAATGGCGTGATCGAAGACCGACGTCTGAATAAAGACCGCTGATCACGGGTAGATCCGTCACATGACCCGGAGAGTCATGTTTCACTGCTGCTCTCCCGCTGAGCCTCGTTTGTTACACTATGGCTGAGATAGATCTACTAGCAAGTCTGTCTAGATGTGTGGCCTCACGTCAGTCTGTTTGATTACTCAAGATTTTCAAAACCCAGGCCATTCACGTTCGAATTCTGGTGACGATATGGCAGAGCAATTCACGCAAAGAAGATTTGTGCCCATTTTTGAAATTCTCGATCGGGCTCTCCACAACCAACTCCTTTTGTATTCCTCTCACCGCAAATCTAAATCCATCAACGGTGGGCAAAGAATCCTCAAACGGCGCAATACATGACCACGACCATGAACGTGCCCAGACTCGTTCAAGTTCAGTTCGATAATCCCACTAACTTCAGCCGTTGAGGTACGTCGTGCTATTACTTCCAGGAGTAACCCCACGTAAGGCCAAGACGACGTCACAGTCTCGCTTCCCGAACCCGAGCGGCTGCTTTGTCTAGCTCCCGACTGGCTGCTGAAGGATCACGTATATTACAATCCCTCAGGCTGCGACGCCCTCGGCGCGGAGTTTCTCACGATTTGTCCCAATCTGACCTCATCTCAGCTCAGCGCAGCACACGTTACCGAGGGATGCAGCGCGACAGCCCGGCGCGGGACAGGCCGGACGGGCGGGCGGCAAATATGTGGGATGGATTCGCCTACGATGATGACTGCATGATACTCAGACGCGTTTGGGCAAGTCCCTTCGGTGTGGGTCAGCCTCCGGGCCCGAGGCGCCGATAGATGCCCAGCCGCATTGCAAATTGTGCAGATCTCACACCACGTTACGCGACCTTGTTATGTGACGAGCAAAGCCGCGACACGTGCTTCCATCCGCCCTGCCATGGCGTTTGGAAACCATCGTGGGGCTGGCAATACGCATCCACGGGTGAATTAGCCCGCACCCGCTGCAGGAGAACACACCGATCTTCTGAAAGCTGGCCGGTGTGTCGGGGCCATGGGAGCAGATGTGTTCCGACCGAGGTCTTTGCCCATTGAATGCTGGGAGTCAAATCGTTGCAAAGGGCGCTGTGAGCTGCTTGGCACGGGCTGAGACTCTGCGCTGAGAGAAGACCGCGGGCTTGGAAAGATGCGATGTGACGTACGCGGATGGCATAGAGTCGGACAACTTGGATCTTGGTGCGACCTGTCAAGCTCAAGTTGTCCGTTGAAGCGATGCTGGACAAGTTGAACAGAGTATAAAGGCTTGGGTTTGTCTTGTTATCAAGCTCAACAGCCTGGTATTCCGTGACAACCAGAAGTCCAGGGTTTGCTGTTCAACCAGGCTCTTGACCCAATATTTCTCCGTTTCGTTAAAATTCGGGATTTCAGGTTATCATACCTCAAACTCTCAACGCCTCTCTGGACTTTACCCAACCAAATAAGGGCCCGTCAACTGGCTCCATCACAGGGAATAGTCACTGGATCAAATTGGTGGATCAAGTCAGAGTCAGTCCATCACCATGACGAAAATCACCCACCAAGATCTCGGGTCCTTCCCAGCCGTGCTGCTCTTTAGCTCACTGGCTCTGTCCTTTGACGCCGCCGCATTTCACCACTTCCGAAAAACTGTGCTCGGAACAAATTCTCTGAGCTGGCTCACGGATGCCCTCTCAAACCTTGTCGACGAGTGTGAGGTCGTCTTCACGGAAATTCCGACTCTGAAGAGGCCCCACGTGCGTGAGCAGCTTCTCGACCTTCGAGATGCTCTTGCCACCGGTCGCTCAATGCATGTGGATGGCCCCTTACCCAACACAGTTCTCGTACCACTGGTTGTGGCCTCGCATTTGGCCCAGTATATGGCCTTGTTGGAGCACAGCGGGATGACGCATGAGGAGTTCGTCGCCAAGGTAGACGGCGAGACCGCGGGCCTCTGCACGGGTCTTCTTGCTGCCTTTGCTGTGGCCAGCGCACACAGCAAGAGTGACCTCGAAATGTACGGGGCGGCTTCAGTGCGTCTCGGCATGCTTGTTGGGCTTGTGATCGACCTGGGTGAAGCCGTCAGCCCGTCCAAGTCCCTCAGTGTGGGCTGGGGCTCACCCAAGGCATACGAAGACATGCTCCGGGTCTTGAAAGACACTCCTGGAGCATATAAGTCAGTCGGATACGATGAAAATCGGGCGACTGTCACAACTACAGCGTCTGCTGTCCCACGGCTCCAGTCAAACCTCAAGGCACTTGGGCTCACGGTGTCGGAAATTGGTCTCCACGGACGCTATCACTCGCCAGAAAACATTGAAGTCCTGGAGCATGTCGTGGCCTTTTGCGACAGGCATTCGCAGTTCCAATTGTCAGACGCCTCATGTGCTGCCCTCCCAACACGCTGCGATGACGAGAGCGGCAATCTTGTTGCCAAGGGAGCACTTCATGCCCACGCACTACGGGCTATTTTGGTAGACTCGCCCACATGGTACAAGATTATTTCTGCCGCATGGGCCGAAAATAGCAACAATGCTGTCCTCTTATCTTTTGGCACGGAGAAATGTGTGCCTCCCTCGGTGCTTCGAAAAGCGAGCGGAAGACTTGTGTACGTCTCGGACTCTTACTCGTTGCTCGAGAGCGCTGCGTCCAAGACTGGCCAAAGCCACCATGCATATCCGGAGCGGCCATGGCAAGATAACGATATTGCCGTGGTGGGAATGGCCTGTAAGCTCCCAGGGGCGAACGACGTGGGCGAGTTCTGGGACCTGCTGGCCTCGGCCAAGCCGCAGCACCAGGAGATCGGCGCCGAACACCCACGCTTCGATTTCCACGACACGCCGACACGCTCGGCGGACGACCCTGGCATGCGCAACCGCCGGTGGTTTGCCAACCTGGTGAGTGGCGCGGACCAGTTCGACCACCGCTTCTTCTCCAAGAGCCCCCGCGAGAGCGCTTCTATGGACCCTGCGCAGCGCCTGTTGCTTCAGGTGGCATACCAGGCTGTGGAGCAGAGCGGCCACCTGAACGGCTTTGGCACGGAAGGAAGCAATGTTGGCGTTTTCATGGGCACTACAGGCAACGAGTACCAAGCCAACGCTGCGAGCCAGGCTGCCAATGCTTTCACCACGACAGGCAATCTGCAGGGCTTCATAGCCGGGAAGGTCAGCCATCATTTCGGATGGACAGGACCTGCGATGGTGGTCGACACGGCCTGCAGCGGATCACTCGTCGCTATACACCAGGCGTGTAACGCGCTGGTATCCGGAGAGTGCTCGGCAGCGCTGGCAGGCGGCGCTCACCTCTTGACACAGCCGGCATGGTTCCAAAACCTGGCTGCTGGCCAGTTCCTCAGCCCCACGGGCCAGTGCAAGCCCTTTGCCGCCTCCGCTGACGGATACTGCCGAGGTGAGGGCGTCGGTGCTGTCTTCCTGAAACGTATGGACCGCGCAGTCGCCGATGGGGACTCGGTCCTCGGCGTCATCGCCGCCACGGCCGTGCAGCAGAACCAGAACTGCACTCCGATCTTCGTGCCCAATGTGCCATCGCTGGGTGACCTCTTCCGCACCGTGACCAACAAGGCGCGGGTGAGGCCATCACAGATCTCGGTGGTTGAGGCGCACGGTACAGGCACGCCGGTGGGTGATCCGGCCGAGTACGCCAGCATCAAGGCTGTGCTTGGTGGAGAGAACCGCGACGCGGACCAACCGCTCGTGCTCAGCTCAGTCAAGGGCCTCGTAGGACATCTCGAGGGTACGTCCGGTGTTGTATCTATGATAAAACTCCTCTTGATGCTGCACGTGGGCCTGGTGCCACCCCAGGCCAGTTTCACAACCATCAACCCAGCCATTGGAGCACGGCCGGCGGATAATATGGTCATTCCCACAAAGTCGCAGCCTTGGGATGCTGACTTCCGTATGGCTCTAATGTAAGTGTTCTTGGTTTCATTACGAAAGCCCTCTTTTCAGCGTTTGTCTCAATTCAGTTCCCAGTACGAGTAAATGCTGACCCTGAACAACGATAGAAATAATTACGGCGCCTCCGGATCCAATGCCTCGATGGTGCTCGCTCAGCCTCCGACGTTGCGAGCAACACAGACGAGTGCTATGCCCACTCGAGTCAAATATCCGTTCTGGCTCAGTGCTCATGACAGCGACAGCCTCGACCGCCGTGCCAAGCTCCTCCGCAGCTATGTTGGCCGAGTGCGTGGCCGCCATTCGCTCGCCAACCTGTCATATAACGTGGCCCGCCAGAGCAATCGCGCTCTGGACAAACGTGTGGTGCTGAGTGCCGGCTCTTTGGATGAACTGGACCAAAAGCTCGCTTCGCTTGGCGCAGAAGAGTCCCGCCCAGCCGGAGATAAAGCAGTCGTGCTATGTTTCGGTGGCCAAGTGTCTACCTTTGTTGGTCTGGACCGCCAACTATATGAGAACACAGCCATTCTGAAGAGACACGTCGACAGTGTTGATGCAATAGCCCGATCGTTTGGCGTCAAAAGCATTTTCCCCAGCATTTTCGAGCGCACCCCTCTCCAGGACACCCTGCAGCTACAGGTGGCTCTCTTCGCGGTGCAATACGCGAGCGCGCAAAGCTGGATCGACTCTGGCGTCCAGCCCGTCGCAATCGTGGGCCACAGCTTCGGCGAGCTGACAGCACTATGTATCTCTCAAGTGCTTTCGCTGGAGGACTCGGTCCGCATGATTGTGAACAGGGCCACCTTGGTCCGTGATGCGTGGGGACTTGACAAAGGAGCCATGATGGCTGTCTCTGACGTGGATCTGGCCGACATCCAAAAGATGCTTGTAGAGGTCAACATCAAGCACAAGGACTCCCCCGCAAACGTCGCATGCTATAATGGACCCCAAAGCTTCACGATCGCCGGGTCGACAGCCGCCATCGACGCAGTGGCCGACACTCTGGCCAAATCTTCCATCACAGGGACCAAGACAAAGAGGCTTAACGTGACCAATGCTTTCCATTGTGCCCTCGTGGACGGTCTTGTGGATAGACTCGAACAGGGTGCACAAGGACTCACGTTCCGCGACCCTGTCATTCCTATCGAATGGGCCGCCAAATATCCGTCTACCTCCGAGAAGCTCAGCCCTAAGTTTGTGGCAGACCACATGAGGAACTCCGTCTATTTTCACCACGCACTCGATCGTCTGGCTGCCAAGCACAAGTCGTCGTCTCTTGTCTTCCTTGAGGCTGGCTCCAACTCGACTATCACGCACATGGCATCACGGGCACTGACAAATGCCAATCTCAAGAACGTGCATTTCCAGGCCGTGAACATCACCAACTGTGACGATGGATGGAACAAACTGGTCGACACAACATTATCGCTTTGGCGAGCCGGCCTCGTTGTTAATCATTGGGCCCATCATCCCCTGCAGGCCCGCGCCAGCACCGACATCAGCACCATGTTGCTGCCGCCGTACCAGTTCGACCCCGAAGCGCGGCACTGGATCGAGCTCAAGAACCCACCAAAGCACGTTGCACCGGTTGCCGCTCTTCCAGCGCCGGCCACCAAGCCTGCAGAGGAAGAAGGTCTCGTGACCTTCGTTGGATACCAAGACGGAAAGGCGGAGAGGGTGGCTCGGTTCCGCATCAGCACCTCTAGTTCAGAGTTTGAGAAGCTCTTGTCAGGCCACATGACCCTTCAGACAGCACCCATTTGTCCCGCAACGGTGCAGATTGGACTCGTCGTCGACGGCCTTACGAGCATTCGCCCTGTCTACAAGGATGGTGGATGCACACCACAGTTCCAAGACATACAATACCAGTCTCCCGTGTGCGCGAGTAGCGCTTTCGCAACGTGGATCGAAGTAAGCGAAGAGAGCCCCGACAGCGCTGGCTCGTGGCGTTTCGAGGTATACAGCACCGATGGCAATACCGTCTCCAAGGGCACCAAGATGATGCACACGACGGGACGTATCGTTTTCATGCAAAGCGGAGACGCCTCGTTGCAGCGCGAACTAGCTTATTTCCCTCGCCTGTTTGGACACGGCCGGGCGACTGACTTGCTTACCCGTCCTGATGTTGACGAGGTGCTTGGCCAGCGCAACCTCTACCGCGTCTTTGCCGAGATCGTTGACTACGGTGATGAGTACCGTGGCCTGCGGAGGATGGTTGCCCGCGGAACCGAGGCGGCTGGTGTGGTGGTACCTGTAGCCAACAAGGAGCATTCTTCAAAAGATAGTCTGAAGTTCAACCCTCACCTTTCAGATGCCTTCTGCCAGGTGGCTGGTGTTTGGGCGAACTTCATGACCACTCGATCCTCGAGCGATGCTTACCTCGCCAATGGTATCGGGCAGTGGATCCGGGCGCCAGCCAAGGACACTGCGCCGGCGGAGCTGCACGTCTTCGCCACCACGCATCGCTCGTCGGAGAAGGTCCTGCTCTCGGATGTTTTCGTATTCGATGCGGCTGACGGTGCCCTCCTGGAAGTAATGCTAGGGATTTCCTACATCCAGGTTCCCAAGAGCGCCATGACCAAGCTTCTACGTCGACTGACCGATCCTCGATGGTTGGCTCCTAATTCAGCGGTGCCGGAAAAGCCTGTCACTATTATCGAGCCGGAAAGTGTCAGGCCTGTCCATGTTGCACCACAGCCAACTGCGATTGTGGCAGAGCTGACCCAGCACGTGGTCCAACCTACGCCTAAGGCCCCGGGGACAGGTAATGAGACTTTCGCTCGCGTCAAGGCAATCATTGCCGACCTCTCGGGCCTGGAACTCCACGAGATCAAGGCAGACAGCGAGCTGGCCGACCTCGGTATCGACTCGCTGGTAGGCATGGAGCTCATCAACGAGCTCGAGTCAGCCTTCGGGATCAAGCTCCCCGAAAGCGAGATCCAGGCCGTCGTGGACGTCCCCGGTCTGATGAAGTGTCTACTCAGCACTCTTGGAGATGACGCGTATGTGAGCGACGGGGATGACTCGGATATGTCTACCCTCAACAACTCATCGGGAGAGGCCGGTCAGTCCACTCCAGCTTCGATCCGGGCTGCGGACATGGAGGAGCACGCCTCCGTGCTGCCCTTCGACGCCGTCATGGGTTGCTTTAAGGAGGTCAAGGCCAAGACAGACGAGCGGATCGCCGAGGTCGGGCAGATACGCTACGTGGCTGATGCCCTCCCGCTTCAGGATGAACTCACCGTCGCATTGACTCTCGAAGCCTTCGAGGAGTGCGGGGCCGGAATCCGCGATGCTCAGCCAGGACAGCCGCTTGAGCGTATCTCTCACGGCTCTGCTAACAAGCAGCTGGTGACTTATTTGTATCGCATGCTCGAAACCTTGACGCAAGTCATCAAGATGGAAGGAGAGGATAGAATTACGCGTACAGCCGTGCCGCTGCCTACGAAATCTAGTCGTGAGGTTAGTAGTTTCCAGATTAACCTATCACTTTCCGCTGCAGTCCGTTGAAGTACTAACGGAAGATTTAGATATATGAGAATCTTTCCACTCGCTTCCCCGACCAGCAGACAGCAGACAAGCTCACCTATTATGCGGGCACCAACCTCGCGCGAGTGCTTTCAGGCGCAACCGACGGCGTCAAGCTCATTTTCGGCAGCGCTCAAGGTCGCGAGCTGGCAGCCGGCCTCTACGGCGACTGGCCGATCAACCGCGCCACATACGCCGGAATGGAAGACTTCCTCACGCGCCTCGCCAGCCGCCTCCAGGCAGACGGCGGGAGGATTGGCGCTGAGAAGCCACTTCGCATCCTTGAGATGGGCGCCGGCACGGGCGGCACGACCAAGCGACTTGTGCCACTGCTGGCCAGGCTCGGGCTGCCCGTCGAGTATACCTTCACGGACCTGTCCCCCTCGCTGGTTGCGCAGGCGCGCAAGGCTTGGGGCAAGCAGTACCCGTTCATGCGCTTCGCGGTCCATGACATCGAGAAGCAGCCCGCGCCCGAGCTTGTCGGCACGCAGCACCTCGTCGTCGCCAGCAACGCCGTGCACGCGACGCCCTCGCTCCAGGAGAGCACGCGCTGTATCCGCAACATTCTGCGGGCCGACGGCTTCCTCTGCCTGGTGGAGATGACCCGGCCCATGTACTGGGTTGATATCGTGTTTGGCCTGTTCGAGGGCTGGTGGATGTACAACGACGGCCGGGAGCACGTCGTCGCGCACGAGGAGAGGTGGGAGGCTGACCTGCAGGCCAGTGGTTACGGCCATGTCGATTGGATCGACGGAGCGAGCGAGGAGAGCAAGATATGGAAGTTCATCATTGCGTCGGCGGACCCGGAGACTCGGTAAGTCGGAGATCAATGATCCTTCCTTTTCCCCATGTATATAGCCACTGCAATTGAAGCTATTCATCGAGAGATTCTGAGACGTGTTCATGTTCTAGATGTGTAGTTGCTGCTCCCTCTCGGGCTCCTCTGGCCACCCAGAGCAGACACGGGGTTTCGCAAGAATGTGAGGACCGCGAGACAGTCATTGCCGGATACGTCTCTGAACTTGCGGCTGGATGGGACAATTCCTTGCTGTCATCAGACCCCCAGTCTCAACACACGTCAGCCAAGTCACACGGCAAATGTATTTTGATCACGGGCGGAACCGGCGGCCTCGGATCGCATCTTGTGGCCAAAGCCCTGGCCTGCCCCGACGTGGCACGTGTTGTGTGCCTCAACCGCCGCAACAGCAAGCAAGAAGCACTTCAAAGACAATGGCAGTCCCTGCTCAACAAGGGTACGGGACTGTCCAAAGAAGACGAGACTGTCATGAATAGGATCGATGTCATCGAGACGGACCTCTCCAAGCCCAATCTCGGACTGTCAGAGAGCGAATACAACAAATTGGCGGACAACGTCACGGACATCGTGCACAACGCTTGGCTGATGCACTCCAAGTGGCCCATCAAGCGGTTCGAGCCGCAGCTAAGGATCATGATGAACATGATCGGCCTCGCCCGCGACATCTCGGCACGCCGTTGGGAGGGCGGCACCAGGAGGCCGGTGACGTTCGAGTTCGTCTCGTCCATCGCCACAGTCGGCCACCACCCGCTCCGGACGGCTCCCGGAAGCCAGCGGCCCACCGTGCCCGAGGTGCGCGTATTTGTCGAGAGCGTGCTTCCCACGGGCTACGGCGACGCCAAGTACGCGTGCGAGCGGCTGCTGGACGCCACGCTGCACCAGCACCCAGACCGGTTCCGCGCGACAGCTATGCGACTGGGTCAGATAGCCGGCAGCTCCCTCAACGGGTACTGGAACCCAACCGAGCACGTCTCCTTCCTGGTCAGGTCGTCGCAGACCCTGCGGGCACTGCCCGACTTCGGTGGCACCCTCGGCTGGACTCCGGTCGATGCCATGGCCGGCACGCTGATGGATATTCTCCTGCAGCCAGAGGGCGTGCGCCTGCACCCCATCTACCACATTGAGAATCCCGTCCGTCAGCCGTGGGCCGACATGATCGCCACGCTGGCCGAGGCGCTGGACATCCCGGACGTGATTCCGTTTGGGGAGTGGGTGCGCCGCGTGCGCGAGTGGCCGGTCAAGGCGGACAACGGTGCGGACGGCGCCAACCCGGCGCACCTGTTGACTGATTTCCTCGACGAAAACTTTACGCGTATGAGCTGTGGTGGCCTGCTGATGGGCACGGCTAACGCGAGGGAGCATTCGCCTACCTTGGCCAAGGTGGGCCCGGTGAGCGAGGCTACTACGAGGTTGTATGTGAGCAAATGGAGGGAGATGGGCTTTTTGAAATGAATGGAGTTATTTTGTTGCACATCTTGGGAGATTCTGATTATTAAATTGGACTAGTTACTTGCGTAGATGCTGGCAAAGGTAAGCGTCATGTTGGGCTTGTCGGTGTCAGATATCAGGGCATCAAGGTTGTGCCGTAAACATTTCAAACTTGTCCTGTGGAGAGTAGACAACAACCATTGCTCACAACGTAACGGCGCTTGGGCTACTGGGCTCATGCAATTTTATAACTTGATCTAACAAGGTTTTTACATCTAGTTTCTCCAGCTCTACAAAACCGCACAGCCATGTCACAAGATTCAGCAACGCAGAACCTATGCGGAAACATCTGCCAAGAACCTCTCGAGGGCAGGAAGGAAGTCGTCGGGCTTCTCCCACATCGGGCCGTGCTGGCCACCGACGATCTCGACGGCCTTGCCGCTCCAGAGGTTTCCGTACGGCGGCGTCGGCCATCCACTGCTCGAACGGCCCGCCGGTGCCGACCTTGGCGGACATGGTGAGGTCCTCATCGGTGAGATCCTCTCGCATGTGCCACCTGGTGCGGTTGTCGTCGAGGGGCTTGTCCCAGAGGCCCACCAGCATCGAGCCGATCATCATCAGGCCCTTCGTACCTGGGAAGAGCGGCAGCATCTCGGTCCCGATGTGCCCGCCCAGCGACCAGCCGACCACAACAACCTCCTTAATCTCAAGCTTCTCCAGGACCTCGACGGCCGCCTTTGCGTAGCCCGGCATCGTCTAGGTGCGCTCAGGGTCCGCGGCGTCGCTGGACTGGCCGTGCCCGGGGAGGTCGAGCGACAGGACTCGGCGCATGAGTAGGATCTTGCTCTAGAGTACATGGCGGAAGATGTCAGAGCTCGAGGAGTTGCCGTGGATGCAGAGGACCGGAGGCAGGCTGCCAGAGCCTTCTGAGCGAACAGCCAGTCGGCCATAGCTTGTGTCCACGAAAATGGGCCCGGGGAGACGGGACATGATAGCCATTCTGTGAGACGATGGGGATTGCAAAACTTTTATTCTGTCTTTCACTTTGGGGTCTTGGATCTCTGGGTAATGATTGCAGTGTATCGGATATATGGCTGTATGATTTGCAACTGTATTTGTGTGACTTGAGAAGCATCAGCTACATATCGCACGAGACTATCGGAGTTCGGTACCACTGATACCACGACCGGCACCGTGTTCAGCTTGTTCCAACAAGATTCAGATGTTTTGTTGTGTCATCGGAGACCGAACTATCCTAGATAGTCCATTCATGGAAGCTATATACCGTCCCTGTATGGTAGCTAATAAACAGAAAAGTCCTAGAAATTCCATGTCGCACGTGCGCGGTGTAGAGTGTGAGTAGGACACAGTATTGATGTTGGTTTCCCTTGTCGAAATTGGACGGCAAGACTAAACGCACCAACGGTAGCATAATCGTCCGTCCTACAAATCTCACAGTCCGACCTTCAGCTGCAGCTCTGTCTTCACGGCAAGGAGGTGCCGAAACCTGAAAAGCATATCCTACTTCGTCCAATCAGATGTCTTGGCGGTGGTAACATCCGGCCCTGAATTTAGTTCGGAGCTCAATTCACTCTGAATTTCAGACGGCAATTACATTACAGTCTCCTCCGCTTACCGAACAAATGTTCCGCATACAATTCTCCGGACTGGTCTGCTGTGCCATGCCGCGGAAAATCTCAGAATGATGGGCACCGCCCAAATGCGGCACGTTGGAATCGTGTTTAAGTGTTTCAGCATCTACCCATCTTTCACAGAGCTTTGATGTAGCATTGAATGGCGCAGCCGCTCAGATTGTCCCTCAACTCCAAATCGTGATCTCAGACATCATCGACAAGAGCAACGAAATGGCCACCTACGCAGTCTTCGGTGCCACTGGCAACTGCGGCAGCTCACTCATTGAAGTGCTGCTTCCCATGAAAGATACAACCATCCACGCCTACTGTCGAAATGAAGCCAAACTCAGGTCCATTTTCCCTGAGGCCGTCGAAACGGGCCGCATCAAGATCTTTGAGGGGCAAATCGACAACGTGGACGTCTTCAAGCAGTGCGTCCGCGGCTCTCGAGCCGTCATGCTCGCCGTGACCATGAACGACAACATCCCGCGCGTTCGGGTGGCGCAGGACACCGCGCGCACGCTGTTGGCGGCGCTCAAGCAGATACGCGCCGAGGACCCCGCCGCCAAGATGCCCAAGATCACGGTTCTGTCGTCGGCCAGTCTCGAGCCGTGGATGTGTACCAACCTGGCTGGGCCGATGCACTGGATAGTGACGCATGCCAACCCCAACGTCTATGCCGACCTCCGGGTGCAGGAGAGCTTGCTGCGCGCTGAGGAGTCCTGGCTGACTAGCATATTCATCAAGCCGGGCGGCCTGGTGAAGGACACACGACGCGGCCACAAGCTGAACCTGAAGGAGCAAGAGACGTTTGTGTCCTACCTCGATTTGGCGGCGGTAATGGTCGAAGCCACCGACGACCCTGAAAACCGCTACGACATGCAGGATGTGAGTGTCAATAACATTGGAGGCAGTGCAAAATTTCCGAAGAAGCTCCCTCTACTGGGTTCTTTGGGATTTTGCGGCATTATTTCCCTTGGCTTCACCCATATCTTCTCATGTTGGGGTGAACTACCGCATGGGAGGACAGAGATGGGGACATCGAGCCTTTTAAGAGGTTGAAATTGGACCGTGGCCTGGGTCCAAGTTTGACCCTGATTTGTTCATATATAAGAGATGCCACTCAAGTACTCTTCAGCGTAGCTCTTATTGTATTGTATCTGTCTTGGTAGAACAAAATATCATGCTTTCAATCAATGTATACATCTGGCGACATATGATACTGATGCCTGTCCTATTTACATATGTGTGTATATAATACCGGCCCATAGGGATCACTAATGCAAATCACACGTGGTTCCTCATCCGACCAGTGCCAGGGTCAAGGGTCTTGAAATAAAACATATATTATTTGACATATGCATGTCATCGATACCGGTACAGAATGCTTCTGTTAGACCAACGCATAAGTATCTGAGAACGGGGAAGCGCATCACTCTGGAACTCCGTTGGGCATTCTCGGCCCGGTCTTCGGAGGGACGGACACCCTCGCTAGGCAAGACAATGGATTAATATCATGCATCGAGGTCCTGGTGTTAAGCTTTGACCTTGTGTTTTTAGGTAGCAATGATTAACTTAAGACATGAGGCTACCTTGCTCTTTGACAACAATTTCACGAGCTGCCTTTCAATCTCGCAACCAGATACCGCATCTGATCTGGATTTCTATGAGGGATAACCTTTTCCCAACTCACGGCACTTCGTATGATAGTCAGGGGTCTAGGAAACAAGTACTACATTGCTCACGTGCTATGTACCTAAATATGTTTTCCCCATCTCAACTCTAACCGTTGTGCAAACGGGGTGCTGTCATTTCGTCCCATCTTACTGATCAGTGCTTTTGCCCCTTCTATGAATTGGCACTAGCATGAGATCATAACGATCTGATTTCGACTGTGCTTTATCAATAAGCTGCAAAAGTCAAGTCTAGAGTAATTCCGGCTCGGAACAGACAGTACTAGTAGTGCTCTGTTCCAATCTCCATCTTTGTAGATCCATCAGCGTTCCAAACTACAGCGAGAATTGCGCGCTGCACTTTCTTTGTAATGCCGCCTCCATACTTGAAATTCAGAGGCTGCACCTGACTCTCTGCCGTCAACCTAAAGAGAAGGTTGTTCGTAGGAACCATCACGATCCAGGTGAATGGCACCATGATCACGGTCACGATCGCAGCAGCAGCGTAGGCAACCCAAGGTTGCTGGGCGGCGCGCCTCTTCATGGTCAAATAAGCATAAAGACCGCACGTAGCTACGGAGAGTGTCGGCAGGGCTTGGTGGCCATAGTGGTAAGTGCGGGCCCACTGCTGGAACAAGAGTGCCGGCTCCGGCGTTGTGTCGAGAAAGACCGGGACGGCGACGGCGCTGATACTCGTCATGCATCCTGGACTGTAGGTAAGGACCTTGCTGCAGTGTATGAGGCTTGGGAGCTCCATTGCGTACCTGACAGGAAGGAGCCTGCAATTATTGCCGTGGTCCTTGCTCCGGTGAGAGTACCCTCCTTAGCCGCCACAATGGGCAAGAGTCCGCAGGTGGAACTTGGATGGGTTGGTGCAAAGTAGTATGAAACACAAGTGCGTACGTCTGCACTTGATTGTTGTCTGATTGGTTCAAATGCTCAGCTAAGAAACGGCTGCTTGCTTAACACTACCTATATAGTTGTCCGGTAGGACTCAGCACGAAGTAAATATTGCAGACACTTGACGGACTCAGTCACGGTTTCCGGTGCTACTCCTCCTTCGCTCTCCGACGCTTCGACCCGGGCGACGGTGAACGGTCCTCCTCCGATTCGGGACTTTCATCGGTAGGGTTTTCCGAATGCTGTCGTTTCATCCCACGTGTCTGCGGGAACCCATCGACGACCTTCCCTTCGTCGATAAACTGCTCGATCCATCCGATGGTCATCCTATCGAGTTAGTCTGTCGGTAGACGGTCATGGTTCAGGATAAGCAGGGTGGTCTTACTGGCTCCTTTGCGTATCTGCAAAATGAACATGGTCACCAAAGAGGTGTTTTTTGTAGTACGGGTCCTTTTTGAAGCTCTTGTAGTCCTCGATACCTCTGAAGACCACCTGGCTAAAAGAGTCAAAGTCTGCAATATTGACCATCTGGGGATCGACAATCTCGCTCATGAGAGCCCGAGTCGAGCGCTGGTTCAAGTTGTGGATCTTCACAGAAGGTGGAGTTAGCTGACAGTTTCCATCGCATTGAAACTCACTCAAGTGGGTGAGACAGAACTCGTGCTTGGCGATGACCTACTTGAGTCCATCTGACCATTCCATATTTCACCATGAGGTCCTGTGTCATCGGCGCTGATATCTTGGTCATGTGATGACGGTACTCTTCTTCTGTCATGCCAGGTTTCCGATACCCCAAAATGGTCAAACATAGTAGTTTCCCACCCGGGATATCCAAGACTGTCGACTCTGTAACTGGCGGGGCCTCCATTTTTTGTGTTTTCTGATACTTAATTCTATCAGTTCAAGATAAAATTGAAGCGTCAATTGAGACGTTATTTTATAAGTGACTGATGTTCAAATGCCGCCACGTCGTGAGATGAAGAAGAACAGGCCGGTTCGGACATCGACGAGTCTCTGGCGCACGGCGGAGAAGCATAGCGCCATGCAATTTAGAGTTTTGATTTATCCCGGTGCTTTGCCCCTTGAGGAGCACTTGCAGAACTTTTACCCGGGAAGAAAGCTGAGGTGAAGTTCGCCTATAACGCCTGGATCGTGCGATGACGCCGAATGCTTAGCTCTTCGTATGCTCAATTGACAATGTAGGTTTCGAACTGCAAATCCAAAATGCAACTAGTAGAATTTCAGAGCCTTGACAGGTGAATTGAATCTAATGAATTGATATGACAATCACACGCCCATCCATAGGCGCAAACATCGTGTATTGTAGCTAAGTTAGACCAGGCCGTGGATGGCAGATGATGCCGTCTTGCACCTAGCTACACATTTCCCAGAAAAGTCACTTGTTCAAGTAATCTGCCAGATTACATCCAGCCTAGCAGGGTACGGCGGCATCTGATGCTTGAGAGAGACCTCAACAAGCCCATCGGGACGCGGCCAAAAAGCTTGGAAAGCCCTAATAACCGTGCCATCCTACTCCGCCCCCTCCCCTCCCCCCAACTGGCATTGGCACAAACGTCTTTTCAATCATTTGTTGTCTGATCGAAGTCATTGCTTCGAAAGTATTCCAGCACGAGAAGTAGACAGGCCTCCACTTTTCGGTCTTTGTTTTCTGAATAATGTCGGCTTTCGCATCCATGGCAGATAGTCTGTGGCGCCTTCGCGGGCCTGAGGACAGGCCACATGAGTTGATAAGTGTGACACAGCTCTACTGGTATCGTAATTTGTGCTTCGCTCGATTCAGATTATTGTAGGCCACAAGCAAATATCCCAGTCACTGGACTCTAACAGGATGAATTCTGTTACCAATCCGGGCGCAGGGGTCACGGCCCTCACAAATGATACACCTCTGTGTGGAATGCCACTTTTTATCCTCCCTCATGTTTTCAGAAAACTAAAAATCGGAACATGCGGCTATTGTCTTCCCCACCCCCCCCCGTGCCGCGGAAATCGGGGAACAGAATTTGCGTTGAACAGCCGCTTCGGCACTGGATTTTACGAGCGCGCAGGAAAATTAGCAACAGAAGCCTCAGCGGAAGTGAAAGTGGAAATGGCAGTCGACCTGTCGGGTACATTGGACTCAAGGGTTGCGATTTTTGGCAATTGCGCCGTGAGCTGTGACGGACAGCTCTGTGAGTCGAAAAAATATTAACTCCGTGAATCCGCTCAACTCTGAGACAAATATCAGACAAATGAGTCTAAGTTCTTCGGCACAAGCAACGCCTGACCGATGCTTCAAATTCTATCATGCCCCCAATTGGGTCTACCTGGGTAGGCAAGTCGGACTACCCCAAGGTGAATTGAGAATTTCGAGAAGGGGTTTCTTTTGACGGAGTAGACTCGTACCAACACGCTTACATGTGCACACAGAACTTGCTTACAGAATCAAGACAAAACGATGATTGATCATGAGAATGATAGAGGATCTCTTCAAATCTCTAAATAGTTTTGCAGGTAGAAAAAGTCTACAACAGGATGCCATAGCGAACTGCGACTTCCATGGTAGACTTGATACAATCCTTCAATGCCTTGAGCCCAGAGGCTAGTAGCAATTGAAGAATTAGGATAATCTTGAAATGGTGTCAGAGTTCCCTTCTTATTGTAGATGATAGAGTCTCGGGCTGGGGAAGGGGGGTTCAAGACACTAGGAAGGCACCCGTATACTATACTTGCATATGTTGGAAGGTGCGAGGGTTGTATGCCCATACGCTAGCGCTAGCCTACAAATAGGCTCCTTCTAAGCGTTTGATAGCGGGGAGATTTCTCTCCTTAACAACATAATAATTAATTATTGTTTGCTTAATTACTTTATTAAGTTATAAGCTTGGCATTGCTTAAGATATCTTAAAATGTTAAGAAATATTAATACTCTTATTTTTATAATTATTTTTATACCTAAATCATTAGAATTTTAATATTGCTAGTTTTTACTTATATATTATTATTATACCTTATAATAGCTGCCATGGCTAATAGTAATTTATAATAATTTAGCATTCTTGCTTTATTTAATGTTTTAATTATTCGCTCTTTTTTTATTTATTTTATTTATATTAATTAATGCTAACCATTATAAATAAATAAATATATAAATATTATTTAAAATATGCTTAAAGATATGCAAACTTTATTTAAAAGATATTAAACGTACTTAATTTTAAGCTTAATTTATCGTTTTTCCTAAAGTTAAACTTAAAAGGGGAGAACTTTTTAAATTAAAGGGCAGCATAAAGTTGCAGCTTTTAATTTGCCGGCCTTAATAAATACATTATAGGCATTAAGGAATAACTAAAAAAAGATATAGCCCTTGCAAAATGGGAAAAGCTTAATAATTAAGCCTTTATTATGCTTTTAAGCTTAATATATTTAAGCCTTATAATATTTATTACGTTATATAGAAAATCTTTTAATGCTTAGAAAATACTAGCTAATTAATTTAATTATAATATTAATAATTTAATTATATGCCTCTTTTATTAATTAATAAACTTATAATATAAGGATGGCTTTAATTTATAAAGCTATTTAAATACCTTTTAAAATTTTTAAATAAAACTTTATATTAAAATCTTAATATTAAGATAGTTAATTAAGAAATTAATAAAGTTACTTTTTAAAAGTAATAAGGTTAAAAGCTTTTTTTTCTTAATAATATTACTAAATATTATAAATAATATTATTAATAACCTAAGTAATTAAAACCTTATAACTTTTTTTAAAATTAAACTTAAGATAATAAATATTATTTTTTATATAAAGGTTAAATAATTTAAAGCTTACTTTATCTTTACTTAAAAAAAGTTAGCATTAAAGAGTATAAAAAAGGCTGCAAAGTTTATATTAATAAATACTAACTTTATATTAAGTAATAAAAAATGCATTTAATATTATATATAAAACTTTATATTTATTAATTATTTATATATTAATTATATAAAGCTTATTAAATATAAAGCTAATTAAAAATAAAAAAAGGGTAAGAAATAAGTTACTATAAATTAAATTATAAATAAAGAAATTATTAAAATTTTTAATAATAATAAAAAAGATATAATAGCATTATATGCTAATATTTTAATATATATAGCAAAGCTATTAATAATTATAAATACTTTAATATTATAGATTTTTAATTTTAATATTTTAAAGTATATAATAAAATATATAAAAAACTTTAGCTTTTTATAATTATGTTTAGGTATAATTATTATTATAAGCGATAATTAACTTATTATAAAAGGTATTAGCTTTATAAAGATCTTCTTATAATTGCTAAATAGATTAATTATTAAGAGCATCTTTATTAACGTTTTATATAATTACGCGTTAAGGAATACTTATTTATTTAGCTAAATTATAATTTAAAAAAGGTTTTAATTAAATACATAAGGAAATAATATTTTCTTATTGCTAAAAGATAATAAATTTTATAAAATATTATAAGCAAAGTTTTAATATAGAAATTTTAAAATTTAAATAATAAAAAATAACTTTATAATATTTATAATATATAATAAATTTTATAAAGCTTTTAGCTATAGCAATTTATTAAAATTAATTGCTTAATGCTTATATAAAAATAAAAACATTATATTAAATAAATTAATAAATTTTCATTATAAATTATGTTAATTTATAAAGTTTATTAAGAAATGCTTATATTTATTGCTAAAATAATAATTTATATAGCTATTTAAGTATATTTAATTTAATTTATTAAGTAAATTCTTAATAGCATTATTAAAAGGTTTTTAATACTTTATTTTATTTATTAATAATTATACTTAATTTTATTAAGTTTACTTTATTGCTTAAAAGGATGATATTTTAAACGTTATTAAGGGGTTTTTAAATTTAGTTAAAACTTAATTTAGCATAAAAGTTAAGATATTTAGTTTAAATAATAGGAGTAAATATGTAAATAAGATAATTATTATAATGTTTTAAAGATATGGAATTATTTATAAGAAATTACCCCCTTATTATTATAAGTTAAACGGTATGCTTAAAAGGTTTATATATATTATTATTATTAATACTTATATAATAATTTGCAATAAAAACTACTTATTTTTATGGCTTAAAGTAATTTCCTATATAATATACTTATAAAATTGGAAATTATACTTAGCTTTATTATATTAAATAACGTTATTTAAGGCGCTTTATAAATGAAAGCTTAATATTAAATATTTTTAACTATACTTTTATCTTGCATACCTTTATATCTTTATTAAAGCTTATAAATTGGAAATAAAATTATTAAATAAAGCTAAAAAGGTATACTTTATAAGATTTAAGGTTAAAGGTAAGATTATCTTTTATTTATTTATATTATTTTAAAAAGTTATTATAATTATAATATTAAGCTATGTTACTTAATTTAATTTAATAATAAAAATTATATAAATAATTAGCTAGCTAAATAAAAATATATTACTTAAGATAAAGGTATTATTAACATTTTAGTTAATAAAACTTATTAATAATGCAAAACTTATAAATAAACTTATAAATAAATTACTTAAACTTATAAGACTTATTAATAAATTACTTAAACTTATGGGATTTATATTATTATATAGTTTTTAAAAATAATGAATTTAGCTTTTATAAAAAGTAAAAGAAAATATAAATATTATTATAAAATGTTTTAAAGATTTTAATAACTTAGCATTAATTAATAAAAACTTTATATTAAATTTTGCTTAATTAGCATTAATTAATGCTAACTACCTTAATTAAATCTTTACTTAAGCATTACTTACTAATATAGTAAATATTAATAATATCCCTAATATATATATATAAGCTATAAAGAATAATAAAAGGGATGCTTAGCAATAGGTTATTAAAAGAAAACTTAAATTACTTTTAAATATAAATATATAAATTAAAGTGCTTGCTATTGCAAATTAATATATTATTAATCCTTACTAAGTATATATAAAGAAGTTTAATGCTTTTAATAAGCTTATTCATTATAAGGCTTAACTTATTGCTTATAAATATATATAAATTTATAGTATAAATTATAATAATACTTATAGCTTAATAATGCATTATAATAATTTAAGATTAATTATTATTATTATTGCTATAATGAGTTAATAGCTTTAATAATTTAATATTAAAATAATATACTTATATAGCTATTTAAAATATAATATTTATATATAATTATTATAAGGGTATTGAATATTATTTAATAATTAATAAATTATTTTAAAACTTCTTAATGCCTTATATAAACTTAAATAATTAAGCTATAAATAGTTTAATACTCTTAAAGAGGAATTAATTAAATATTTAATGGAAATAATATTTAATCCTTGCGTTTTTATTAAAGATTAAATTATTATTGCTATTTATATTAATAATATTTTTATTATTAAAAATTCCTCTTAAGTTAATGAATTTTGCATTAAGCTTATATAATATTTTAAGTATAAGGATCTTAGTTTTTATAAATATTTGCTTAAATTAAAAATTATATAAATTAATAATAAAATTTATATTTCTTAAAAGGGATATGCTTAATGAATTTTAAAATATTTTAATATATTTAATTATAATTAGAAATAAACTTTTATGGATTTAAATTTATTTTTATAATAAGAGGAACTTAATAATATTGCAATAAATGCAATAATATATTAATTATTTATTAAATTTATTAATTTTCTTATTATTAAAATAAAACTTAATTTTACATTTTTATATATAATGCTCTTAATATTTAATATAAAGCTTATAATTTATTATTTAAATATTATAAAGAAGGTGCTTTAATATATTTAGTATATATTAAATTATGCCCTGTAATTTTTAAAATAAATATTATTATTTTAATTTATTATACTTAATATATATATTAATGCTTTTTATAATATTAATTTAAATAATTTAAAAGCATTTAATAAATATATATAATTATTTAATGGCAGCTTAGTTGCTTAATTATTAAAGCGCTAATTTATTATTGCAAAATTTACTTATAAGGCGGAATATATAATATGTTTATTAACATTATTATATCTTTATTAAATAATTTAAGCATTAAAAGATTTAAATATTAAGTATATTAAATATTTACTTATTTTATATATTAATAATTAGCTAATATTAAACTTTATTTAAAATTATAAAGTTAATGCTTAATTAAAATATATTGCTATTTATTATTACTTTATTTATAAAGGAATTAAAGAAATATATAATATTTATTATATTATATTTAAAGATAATTTTGTTAATATTTATATAAAAGCATTGCCTTATTTTACTCTTAAAAAGGCTTATATAAGATTAAGATTAAAATAAGTATAAGGTTTATATTATTAAGGAGGCATTTAAATAATTAATTAAAAATAATGTAAGTAAAATATATAAATATTAAATAATATTTATATAATGGTTTTAATATAAATTATAGCGGAATATTTAAATTATATTTTTAGCTATTAAAACGGAATATTTCTTATTATTATTAAAATAATGATATTTATAATGGGGGGTGTATTAAAAGGTGCAAGGGTTGTATGCCTATATGTTAGCGCTAGCCTATAAATAGGCTCCTTCTAAGCATTTAATAGCGGGGAGATTTCTCTCCTTAACAACACAACAATTAACTATCGTTTGCTTAATTGCTTCATCAGCATACACAGGGTCTGATCTCATACTTAATTACCAGAGAGATCTTTGTTTTATTTATGATTGTGCTATTATTACAACTCTCATGTGACAAGATAGATCATCAAAAGACCTAGTCATTTCTGACTACAAGTATAATGTCATGATTGAAAATGCCCTGTCTATTCACATATACACATCGAGGCCAAACGGAGGACTGGATCGATGTTCGCTGATGAAGGTATACTGCAACATGTGTGTGTGCGGGGGGGGGGTGATGAAAAGGTCAAGTGTCACCAATTTGTACATTCATTCATATTCCATCCGCATGTTTGATATCCATTGCAGCTCGGTGGGCGACAGCATACACATGAGACATGGGATGGCACGTGGGCAACGTCGGGATGGCGCTGGAGTCAACCACGCGGATGCCGTCCAGGCCTTTGATGCGCCAGTTGGCATCGACGACCTTGCCCAGTGGCACAGTCCCCACGGGGTGGTGAAACGAAGAGGCGCTCCTCTGTATGGCTTGCCAGAGCTGGTCGTCGGACGTCGAGTTTGAGCCGGGGAAGGCCTCCATGACCGCCTTGTCTGCAAATTCCCGTTCAGCCGCCAGCACAGAGCGCATCATTTTGTATGCGTACAAGATGGCTGCTTTGTCGGCGGGAGATCCGTAGTAGTTGCTGTAGCTAGAGATGAGCGGTGCCTCGCGGTAGTCGGAAGGGTTGATGGTCAGGTACCCGGCTGCCTCGGGCTGCGTCACCGACGCCCATGTCGATACCATGCTGACATTTGGATTTGGCGCCAGTGATGCGTTGAAAGCATACGCTCCAGCCTGGAAGAGAACGTGTGGTCTGTCCGGATCAAGCTGCTGAAAGAAACTACTGTTGACCCCTGCAAAAGCCGAATCTGGAATGCGCAATGCAGCGTATGATGGCGCCGCGTTGTTCCAGCCCATCGGCCCGGAGTAGTTCGCTCGATATTGTCTCTGCACTTCGGCCATGAGACTCGCATTACTCTGCCATTTCCAGTTCGTCATTACGTCATCTGTCATCTGCCACTCAATGTAAGAATAACGATGGTCCCAGAGCTGAGCGCCGATGTCTTGCATGTCGGCTACGACGGGGATGTCGAGGTCTTCGAGCGTGCTAGCCGGTCCTACGCCAGACTGCATGAGCAATTTGGGGCTGTTGAGGGCTCCTGTGGCGAGAACGATTTCATCTGCATCCATAGTGGATTCCATGCCAGTCAGTGTGTCTACAAACTTCACGCCGGTGGCCCTGGTGGTTGAGAATCCGATGCGCTGTACCCAATGGTTCGCAAGGACCTGTACGTTGGGACGTTCGGCCATCATCATGCCGTACGTGCTCGGCGGGTAAGACTGTGTGCGGTTGTTGGCCCGGATCGATTGTAGGCCCAGATAAACACCAATGCCCTCGCCATTCATGGCGTCCATCATGGAGAGATTGGCCTGGTTCTGCCAGGCGTGCGCAAATGGCAGTTCCATTCCTGCCAGACCGCTCTGCCGGCTCAACTCGATTGGCCCATTCTCAAATGCGCTTATAGAGTCGATGGGTTTATCATAGTTGGCTGGTTGTTGGGTATAATGGGTGGTTGCTCTGTAGTCGTCCAAGATAGAACTCCAAGCAAGACCTGGATTGCCAGAGATGGCTGCCCACTCGTCAAAGACTGAAGCCGAACCACGGCAGTAACCCGTGGCGTTTACAGCAGCGCCACCACCCAAAGCCCGCCCTTGCCAGAGATTAGGTGTCAAACCACCGAGGTTGTCATCTGGCTGCGAGTTGTACTGGAACATCAAGTTCCCGACATGCATCAGATTGCCAGGTGCTGCATCGGCATCAGCAAGGCCACCCATGATTCAAAGCTTGGGCCCCATAATTGTGGCTTACTGTTGACATTGTCGTCACTTTGGCAGTCTGGCCCCGCCTCAAGAAGTGTGACATTGACTTGAGGATTCTGTGAAAGTTGTTCTGCGACCACATAGCCTGCAGGGCCTCCACCCACGACCAGATAATGTGTTTGAGCAAGTACTTTCGGGGCTCCTGTAAACACGAGGGCCATGGAGCCCAGTAAACTGCATTGCGAGTCAAAGCTGGACGCCATCTCGACGGAACGAGACCATGAATTTTTGAACGGAACTCAAGGACTGCAATGCGGTACTTGTCATCAATGGAAACTGGACAGACGATGATCAACAACTATCCCTAGCAGGAATTTCAGGTCGCACTTTAGTATAGTAGATGAATGCTCAGCCTCCCATGCAGATATAAATGTTGTTGCAAATTTCTATGTTGGATTTGGTACCTCGGCACGGCCGCACACCACCCCGAGAATCAGCCAAGAGCAATCAATTCATGGCTTGATGCACTTACGGCCATCGACCCAGGCTGAGTTCCAAAGAGGCCGACAACCGTTCATTAATAGATTAATCTACGCTTGGCGGCCGGAATATCTCCCGCGGGGATTGATATAGTGCATAGGCGGCTCACGATGACAACCATCCACACACGTGGGCTTGTGCATGCATTTTGGGTAGTCCAAACCTTATTTTTGGTGAATGGAGTCATTGTATAGCCTCCTTTGGTTCGGGTAACACGTACCTAAGACCTAGCTTAAGCATAACGGAGTTTAATGCTGCACAGGCAATCTACTTCGAGAGAGATGGTGAGTTCAAACTTGACTTTCCGGGACGCTCTTCCATGTATTACTCTGAAGTGTTCAATGAACTGATTCAGGCAAGCTTGCGCACGTATCTGAGATTATTTGAAGAAACGGATCCAAGATTTTTAGGATTTTATAGATGCTGCGATAGCTTCAGCTGGACTGATCCGTCATTGACAATGTGAATGATCTAACCACAACTGAAGTTGAGAGCACGTGTTTACGCATGATCCAGGATAAATTGGAGACAGCCTCACCCAAGGCTCACCAAATCTAGACAATGTAGTTCGTGCCAGGTCTTTGCGTAAAGCTTGGACCGTACCATATAACCCAGCTCTACCAGTTGATCAAATTGTTCCCCCACGTTGAGCACTGCTGCAGATGTCCATCCCCATATCCCTTCCTGAACGCCTCCGTGCGAGGTAAAATGCACGTCATTGTTTAAAGAGTGCACGGATTCGGCATCATATCCATCGTCGCACGTAGTTTTCACATAATGTAACATCTCATTTCGGCCCAACCCCAGCTGTTTTTAGTTCGGTGATCCTCGACGTGTTTAATGACTGCACAGCGGCGGTGATACATATGATTCTCACACACAACGTTGATACTCCCGTCCATTACGAGGAAACCTTTATCATCTACAGTTCTACGGTTTCTTCACGTACAGAAAGGAAAGAAATGAAAAATCGAGAGTATTGTTGTACTTCGTTTTACACGTAAAACAACCAATCTTGCGTCACGCGCAGCGCTTGCCTGGAAGCCCAGCACGTCAATCAAGCTTTGCCGGCTCTCGAGGTGTAATGGTCGCCAAAATTCCAGAGGGAAAGACTATGATAGCTGTGATTGTTTCTCGACAGTGATCGGCAACCACCGTTATTCTATTTGGCTGAGCTGGTACCTGATATCAGGACCGGCGCCGTTATGACTCTGACATGTTGAAGAGAAACTGGAAGCTGGCACGGATACGACCTTGTTAGTCATCATGAAGAATCCTTATGCCAAACCACCTACAGCTGTCAAATCTAAATTATTCCATGGCGGCCCAACTTTTGCGATGTTGGCACCAACATCTGCCCAGTCAGCCCAATTCAATTGCGCATCAGACCAATCTCTAGTTTGACATAGTCCGACAGAGCTTGGACAAGATCGATGACCGAAAGTCACATTCCCAAACTCTAATCCGGTCCGGCGCTGGTCCCGCTACGCTGGACTGCCGAAAGCTTGCATGAACTCGTTCAGCGGCGAAGGCCGTGCTCTGCCCGGATCCCGGTGAATCCCTTGATATCCGTAGGCCATAAACATCGTCATGCGTTGTTACCAGAATTCAGCGGATTCTACTATTCTTTCTTTTCCTAGCTAGACTGTAGTGTCAAGCTGACGTCCATTTGCCATTCTCTTTGTCTCCAAGCAACGTTTGCATCGCTCAGCTAGCCAGTCATAACAACATGTCTACACAACTAAATCTTGACGGTTAGTTGTCTATATGATGCAGTCTGAATGTATAATATGACTGATTTGCATGTAGATCGCTTGGGATGTGAGGCTGCTTTGTTTGAATGGGTAGAGAGCTTTGATTCAAAGGCATGTATTGCACTACCCATGTTGCCAGGTGTATGTATAGCTAATTTAAGTTTAGGACTGGGATCGTCTCCGCAAATGCGTTGCTCCGTCGTTAAGAGTAGACTACCGCTCTTTTCTCAACAAGCTATGGGAAGACATGGCTGCTGATGAGTTTGTGGGCATGGTTTCCAGCCCACACGTCTTGGGCAACCCGCTGCTGAAGACACAGCATTTCGTGGGCACGTCTAAGTGGAAGAAGGTCTCGGATGATGAAATCGTTGGCTATCATCAGATGCGAGTTGCTCACCAGAAGTACACGAATTCTAATCTTAAGACTGTGGACATCAAAGGACACTCACACGGGAGCGCAACCATATGGTATAAAAGAGTCGATGGTGTTTGGGAGTTCGCAGGGCTTAGGCCAAACGAAAGATGGTTTGAGTACGACTATGACAAGATCTTTGGCGGCACACCAAACGAAACGAACTAGGATGGTGATGCCACAAGGAGCGCTAGAGATAAGGTCTTCAAGGATTGCAGTCTGATGACTTGCTCAATTGAAGAAAATAGCATGAAATCTCTAGTAATTTCATAACACCATCAGCTTTCCAAATTGCCACCACCACTTGGGATGCATAGATCACATCAGATGGTGTTCGTCAGATTCTCATCGTATGCCAGCGTGAAATCGAATGTGGACAGTGAAGGACATTTTCGAATATCGACTGCGGTCGAAATGAAATTCTCGAAGTCATGAATTGGTGTACAGTGAAGCCATAGCAGACCTTTTGACAATGACCCAGTGTGGTTTACGATAGTACCAAATCTTTCAATGCAGGCAAGCTGCCATCCCGGAATGGAACCAGGTGAAACTCCATGAGGTTTCTGTCGGCAATTGCAGGGTAAAAATTACTCTGGGTGGTGTACACAAGACGAGAGCACACGGTCCGAGCCCTGCCATCTGGCTTAGCAGAACACATTGAACGAACCAAATTACGGACTTGAATCTCTTTCCAATCCGTCGAGGTCCGGAGTCCGGTTGAATGAGCCCGAACGTATTCAATTAGCAAACTCGGTGCCCACAGACCGGCTTAAAAAATGGGACGGCTATTGCCTAGAGGCATGAGCCAATGCGGAAGTTGTAGCAGTATATTAAATAAATATGGGAGCTCAACAGACGCAGCGTCTTTCACAACCGCTTCATAGTGCAAAATATTACGAACTTTTGGCCAGGCTAGAAACATTTCCGTGTCTTTCCAATTTCCAGTGTAAAAATAAAAAAGCAGCTTTTCTTTTCCTAGACCTTGGACCTTCATTTCAAGCAGACAGTATGGCCTCTCCATTCCGCCTAGATGGCAAGGTGGCCCTCGTGACTGGTGCCGGCCGTGGAATTGGTGCATCCATCGCCGTCGAGCTTGCCCGTGCCGGAGCGAAGGTAATTGTCAACTACGCCAGCTCAAGCGGGCCGGCCGAGAAAGTCGTGGCCGAGATCAAGGGCCTGGGATCAGACGCCGTCGCGATCCAGGCCAACGTCAGGGACGTGAAAGAGACAGTCCGACTGTTCGAGGCCGCGAAGGCACATTACGGGCAGCTCGACATCGTCGTTTCTAATGCCGGAGTCGTATCATTTGGGCATTTCGGGGAGGTCACAGAGGTGAGTATTATAAACAAATATTTACAGAGCGGAGATGACGCTGGCGTGTTTACGTCTCAAAGGAGGAATTCGACCGCGTCTTAAGCCTCAACACGCGCGGGCAGTTCTTTGTCGCCCGCGAGGCGTACAAGCACCTCAGCCGGGGCGGGCGCATCATCCTCACGAGCTCGAACACCGCCGAGGGCTTCGTGGTGCCGAAGCACTCGCTCTACTCGGCCTCGAAGGGCGCCATCGAGTCCTTCATGCCGTCCCTGGCGGTCGACTGCGGCAAGAAGAGGATCACGGTGAACGCCATCGCGCCGGGCGGCATCGTGACGGACATGTTCCACGCCACTGCGAAGGACTACCTCCCGCACAGCGAGAAGATGTCTGAGGAGCAGATCATGAAGGTGAGTTTCGTGCTGATTGAAAATGAAGCGTTTCTCTGTTGCTAACCAGGTTTTGTCCGGAAGGTCGTCGCATCGGTCTCGCCCCTCAACCGCGTTGGCCTCCCCGTGGATGTTGCGCGATGCGCCGTCTTCCTTGCGAGTAACGAGGGCGAATGGATCAATGGCAAGATTCTGCGGCCGGATGGTGGGGCTGGAAGTTTCCCCAGCGGCGAGGACTGAGTGAATTTCTCCGGATGTTACTACCTTTATTTTGTGTAGAAGTAGGGAGCCTCTGTCAGCATCTCGTATCAGACTGCGGCCTATATTCAATAGCATTGTTGCTTGCACAAAGTCATAATTCATAAGGGAACAGAGTCGGTTTGATATTCCTAGAAGTGGAAGTCTGGATTATGAGATCCTGTTTTCATGAGCTGTTTAAACCAGCAGCTGACTACTAGTAGGTCAAGGGCATCGTCGGGAGTAAGCTTGTTTGGTAAACTCTCAGCGCAGCCTCAAGTGAAAATTGCCTGTTACTCTTTCACCGCATCAATTTGGGCCAACCTAGGGACGTGTCCATGGGTGAGTTGCTTGGCGAGATATCAGGTATGCAAAACGCAGATTCAAATAGGTGATGGACAAGAGCGGATGGGCACTCTTAAGTGCTTGTATGTTTAGCAGCTGAGAAAATACCCAAGCGGCTCAGTCAAACCAACAGACTCGGCAGCCGCCTGGCTTAAGGGTTACATTTCGAAGTTTGCAGATAAAGCTTTGTGATTTCTTTTGGCGTCGACGCGAACTAGTGGGTTTTGCCACCACTAGTATGACTTACATGGAAATTATTGGAGTAGAGGCGAATGACTGAGTGTTGTATCTACCACCTAGACAACATCTGTAGACTGGAAACAAAACAAAACAGAACAGAACAGAACAGAACAGAACAGAGCATTATACAGTGCATTGGTCCAGACATGCTATGTGCGACTCTACAAACGTTTGTACTGTAACATCAGCCACTATATTAGACATTGATGTTTGCTCGAATGACACTCAGCAAAGGAACGACAACCCTTGCTTGTGTCACAGGAATATGACCCCGACGGAGCTCACGTACCCGTCGTCCAGGTGGTGGTGGTGGCGCTCGGATGACCCCACAAAAGGGAACGCACGGCCTTGGAGCTGCGTAGGAGGTCCAACGAACTCGGGCCTCGGGCCAGCGAAGGGAGGCTTCGATGGAAAGTTTCCCGGCCCCCGTACGTAGCAATGGTGGTGGTGTACAATGTGCACGCCCCCCTGAACTTATTAGTGTAGCTCGTTTTCGATGTTCTGTTCTCTCGGCAGTGGGGGGCCCGGTACACTGGGGCAAACGATAAAAAGTACCTGTCCCCGCAGCCTGCTCAGATGGGCCGGGGGGCTCATTTGCTGGGTGTAAGATGACATCGACTGGACGGTGGAATTGAGGTCGGAGTGGCAACATTGATCTCCGGCGTAACCAAGCAGCCAAGGTGGGCGGCAGTCTCGCTACTCGTCGAGCATTGTGATAGATCGCGTGGGGCTTGACGGTAGTGTCGCTTTTCGCGCTTATTATTGCCACTGATGTCCCGCATGGGGGCCGGCCGTGGCGCACGCCTCGCCCGGCGCATCGGATCCTTATTCCCGTTCCTGCAGCTGGGACCCCTGCACGGGGCCGGTACCTGCACATTCTGTAGTTTAGGGTGCAGGTGCAGCATGTTTGTGCAGCAGTCTTAGCACACACCCGGACTTGCATCTGCACCCGCGTCTGCGCCTGCGCCTGCATGTGTGCCTGCGTCTCGCAACCGCTCGGACACCCGGATGACGTCCGGAAAGCTTCCTGCTCTTGGAACAGAGGGAGCAGCAGGATGTACGGGGCACGGAGGAAACATCTGAGGCGGTGGATAGAAGGGAGATAGGCGTCATGAGCCCACTTTGGGGCCAGGAGCGGGTCCTGCAAGTCGCAAACAAGATTGGCCTATGGTGTGCGCGTTGGGTCCCTGACCATGCTGATGATGTCCATCCGGGTTTCCTGAGTCGGGATATGGCTTGGCTAGGTCTTACCAGAGCTGATGCTAAGCTGGGAGCAGTGTCTAGTCAGATATACCACGAGTCCTGGCAGGCAGGCACCCTGAGTGAGTGCGAAAGCCAGTGTCCACTTGGGGAAGTCTGCTCCGGCCCGAGAAGACGTCGAATCTATTTGCAACAGTGAGAGATTTCCGTTACTGCCAAGACTGTCCTGTTCGTTGTGAGGACAAATACGGGCTGCGGACCAAACCAGGGCACCGGGCAGGCAACAGAGTCCGCTAGCAAGGTAAGAAGCAAGGGCTTGGACGGGCACGCCCCGGTGTGAGAGGTCGTCTCCGGTTTCCAATCTTCCAGCCTCGAGCTGAGGCTGGGCAAGACAGGGCAGGAGGTCTCAACTGCCGGCTGACGAGGTGAGGGTCAACGTCGGTAGAACCGGCCGGGCAATTTGTGTGCGTGTGTGAGTGTGTATGCAACCCCCCTCGAGATGTGAAGATGTGATGAGTCTGATTACAACAAGCTTCGGTCCCTGGGCTGCGTCTGGGATCCATGAGCCGTCGAGGAACGGGACGAGACAAGCACAATGCAATACCGCGCTGACCGGCACAATGACGGGCACAAGTCGCGGCCGCTTCATTAGCCAAGCGGTCCGAAAGGGTGCAACGCCGCTGGGAGACAAGGTTTTGGGCCATGTCGCAGAGGGAGTCTTATTGCCGTGTGACATGTCGTAGTCCAGCACCAGCAGTTCGCCATCAGACTGCTGTGAGTGGTGAACAGAGATTGCGGGTGGGTGAGGAGGGACAGGATGCGTGACAGGATGCGATCTGATCGCGGCACCGCACCGGGGCAGCAGAGCACAGGGCGCTGAGGCACTGAGGCCGCAGGAGTCCAAACATGGAATGGAAATCAACAGCGCTTGGCGAGATTTCCTATGGGCCCTGCTAGACTAGATGTTAGCTGAGCGAGTGCGACTAATAAGACCCAGACCCAGGCTGGCCAGGCCCCTCCCACCTGCAGCTGCCTCGGAGGTTTGTTTCCTGTCCTGCACGTAGTCTACGTGCATGCAAGACAATCTTGTCGGGGGTGGATTGTTGTACGTCCTCAGCTTGGTTGATCTAATAGACTCCTGGACGGTAATAATAATTGCGTGCGGTCCGGTATAGCAATCTAGAGTACCTGCAACTTTCCTGTCAATGCGCTTCTCAGTCTACATGGAACAGGTCCTACTTGGTAAGTAGGTGGGTGAGCACCTAGGTAGGCAGGTAGTAAAGGGTTTCGTCCAGGAACAAAGCAGCAAGCTCAATGCCCTCAAGCTCCCTCAGAGTCACAGAGCTGCAGAGGTACTGGAGACGGGCACGTCCAAAGCCCAGGTGCTCCCTGACCGGCCCTGCAGAGCTTCCTGTCCCGGTCCTAGGCCCAGCCACCACCTCCCCCTCCCCGGCTCCACGTCGCTTCGCTCGGCTTCGCTTCGCCTGCTCCATTCCCAAGTGCAATCCCAATCCCACTACCACTACCACTCCTCCCACTGAAGCATTCTTCCATTTCATCCCAAGCCGCCATCCCCGCTCGCCAAAGGCCGCCACACAGACAAGAAACGCTCCGTGCCGATCGGACCAGGACAGGCCAGGACAGGCCAGTGCAAGGCCAGGGCTTCTTGCTGCGAGAGACTGCGTGCTGCGTGTGCGCTCTTGGACCTCACGTCGAACTCACCAGCACAACCTTAGAAACCTTACCTTGACCTCCCTCCTCTCTCTCTCCCTCTCTGCCCTCCTTCTTCTGGCCGCCTGCCTGCCTGCCTGACCCTGTTCTGTCATGCCAATGCCCATGTCAACAGGGCCAGCCTGCCAAGCCGGGCCCGAACTGCTGCTGCTACTGCTGTTACTGCTGACCACCTGGACCCAGAGCTAGAGCTGTCCTGTCTTGGTCCTGTACATACTAAACTAGTCCTCCTTCTTGTCCATCCACCGCAGCCTTCTACCTCCTCCACCCGACCTCCCACTCGCTCTGTACATTACCGCGAGAGAGATCAAAGTCTGGATCATGCTGGGCCTCGGGGGACGACCGACCCACCTACCTCGACCCTATCCCGACGATACGATAACGAATAAGACCCCGTCGCTTGCGGCCTTTGTCTGCCCTCTCGCACAGCAGACACGGCGCACCTAGACAGCTTCGAATCCAGCTCAGGCTCAAGCTCAGGCTTCAAGCTCAAGCTCCATCCTCACCCTTTTGCCGCGCGAGGCTGTCCCGAGAAAGGCTCACTTGGGCCCCGGCTCGCGCCAGACACCAATAGGGATCCAGTGCGACTCCGACCCGTTTGCCCGATTGTCCCGCGAACCCACTTCAGAGCCTCGCCTATACCGCCATTGGAAGCCGGAGAAGCCAGCAGAACCCAATTGCACCGGCCACTGATTCGCAATCCGCTCTCCACCGCGCCGATCGTGACTCGGGAGCTGCAGAATATCGCACCCGTGGTAGCGACTGCGTCGAACTTGCGGCCCGAGAGTGGGTACGGACGCATTCGTCTGGAGCTTCTGGACAGTCTAGAGCCAGCCCGCCTTCTAGAATAATTGGCACCTCTCTTTTGCCTACGGTGGACGCCAGCTGGTCGCCTCCGCTCCAATGCGCATCCTCAACACCTCCGCGAATGTGGCCCGGTCTGTCGAGCATTCATCCTCCCGGAATGGATGCCCGCCGAAAGTCTCCAGACGGTTCCTCTCGTCCACCTCCGCGGCCACGCCGGCCGTCGGCCTCGCTTAGTTCTGTCCCCTTGCAGCGAACATTCGACCCGGCCTCTGCCCAAAGCCCAGTCGGAGCACCGGTAACAGGTTGGACACGCCCCTTGCTTAGCTCCTCTCCTCCTGATCCTGTCCCCGGCACCAGATGCAGTCAGTCCCTGGTGGGACATGGGCAGTCTTGCAGTCGGGCCTGGATATTTTACGGTCACCTTGCCTTTCCGCATACTAGGAAGGGTTGGCTAACTTCCTTCAGGGGGTGTTCCACGCAGGACTTCTGCGGGTAATCTTCGCAGTACGACATATCGCCCTGCTAACCCCACGGGCGCCCAAGCCACCGTAAGGGCCGTCACACCAGAGCCCACCGAACACGGCGCACAAGAGGCCACAGGCACAAACAACTACGGTGAACCCGGCACGCCCGTGCCTGGTGCCGCCATCAATCACGCCCTCGGGCCAATGTCGCCACGAAGCTCTTCCCCAAGATCTATACCGAATGTCCCAGGCAGCGCCATGTCCAGCTCCTCGAGTACTGCCCGACGACAGGGGATCGTCTTCAACGACCACTTCCCCAGCTCCCTCGACAGCGCATCCTCGAGCCCTCCCGCGAGACCTCCAATCCGCCCTCGAGGCCATACGCTGGACAGCCCATACCGCCAGCCCTCCGCTGCGCCTGCACCAGAAAGTTCAAGACATAGGGTAGGATCGGTGTCCTCTTCTGGGTCGATGGGGTCGATGCCGCCTCACGAGGACGCGTTACGCGGGCCTCCCGTGCCACGGCATTCTCCAGCGATCGAGTCCGCCGGGTACCCTTCCGTCTATCCTGCGCGACCCACTGATCTGCATATCCATACCGGGGGGACCACGAAGGAAAAGAAAGGGCTCACCCGAGCGAAGCTAATGAAGCGAATCTCTCGACCAACCTCCCCGATGATGTCGCCACCGCCTTCTGTTGACTCATTACCTCTGCCTGTGCCGACCGACGATGCGAACAAAGTCCTTCTCTTGATGAAAACCCTATGTGGGCGGATGAGGGGAGAGGCTTCATATCAGACCGAGGCCAATGGCCAATGGCACTCAGGGCTGTGTTACGTAGAGGAAGAAAAGGGGAGTCTCATGTTCGATTCCGGCGAGCATGGCCCGTTCCACACGTCCGTCATTTCTGATTTGCGGGGTTGTCGCGTGCTCCCCGTGCACAAACCAGGCATGGACCGGCCTTGTCTTGAGATCGTCAATTCTCATACCGGCGTAGAGGTGCTTTTATGGCCTCACGTCGCAGAAGAGCTGGATTTGTGGCTTGCTGCCCTGCTCTGCTGGCAGCAGGTCCGGCCGAGCGCGATGCGGATTAACAGCCAGTCAACCACACCGACATCACAATATAGGCCCGAGTTGATGCGGAGAGGCTCATCCACTACATCGAACTCGAACGCGATCATCAAAGTCAGCAGGGTTTCAATATGGGATAAGGGCGCTGCTCATTCACCTCGTGCGATTGTCAAGAGGACCTCCACGCGGGACTTGCGGTCGCCACAGACGGGCTGGAGGAAGGTGTCGTGCATCTTGTCAGACAATGGGGAGCTCAAACTCATCTCGGAGAACGATGTCACGGTGCTCTGTATCATCTCGCTCTCGCAACTATCGCGATGTGCCATACAGCAGTTGGACAAGTCAGTCTTGGACGAGGAGTTCTGCATATCCATTTTCCCGATGTACTCCTCGACTTCTACCCAGCTCTCGATTTTCAGGCCCGTGTACATATCTTTGGATCACAGGGTGTTGTTCGAGGTCTGGTTTGTTCTGCTACGCGCATTTACGGTACCTGAGATTTATGCATTGGACACGGAAAACGACGACCAAGTCCTCGAGGTTACGGACTTCGACGCAGACCTTCCTTTCCAAATGTTCAGGGTCGAGAAGACAATAAATCTGCGCGTGATAGAAGCAAAAGTGGGCGGTCCCACGTCGCCGCAAGCCGCGTCACGAGATCGACACGGCAGGAATCAAGACGATGCCTTCGTGGGCAACTATTTTGCGGAGGTCATGCTGGATGGTGACGTTCGCGCGCGGACAATCACGAAAACCGACACCCGAAATCCCTTTTGGCGAGATGACTGTGAGTTTGCTGACTTGCCGGCGAATCTACCGTATCTTTCCGTGATCTTGAAGCGGATTGATGGAAACCTGGAAAGCATGGCCCACCAGTTACAAGCGTCCTTGGGCCTACCAAGGACCGGGAACTTGACGGAGGTTTCCTGTGGTTCTGTGGATCTTCCATTGACGCAGCTCGAACGAGGGAAGGATCACGAGCAGTGGCTTCAAATTTACGATGAGCGGCAACAGTCTATCGGCACGATGCTTTGCAAGGTCCGCCACGAGGAGGTCGTGGTATTCATGGCCAGGGACTACCAGCCATTGTCCGAGATGCTTCACAAATTTAGCTCTGGGCTGACGGCGCAGATCTCGGAAGCTCTCCCTGGACATCTACGACGCTTGGCAGAAATCTTCCTGAACGTCTTCCAAGTGTCGACTACTGCAAGCGATTGGCTGATGGCGCTGGTGGAAGATGAAATCGATGGCATCGGACAGCAGTCTCAAATGAGGAAAATGAGGTTCAGCCGCCGTCTCAAATCCAGCGAGAATTTGGACGTCTCAAATCCCTATGAGCGAGAGGCGATCCGGGACATGGGGAAGTCTCTGGCCGGAGAGGCCAACCTGCTTTTCAGAGGCAACTCTTTACTCACACAAGCCCTCGAGTTCCATATGAGACGTCTGGGAACCGAGTACATCGAAGAGATCCTGGGTGACAAGATCTTTGAGATTAACGAGATCAATCCGAACTGCGAGGTTGATCCCGGGAAATTACAACAAGGAGAAGACATCGGCCAGCATTGGGACCAGTTGTTGCAGTTCACAAACGAGATATGGGACTGCATTGCCAAATCAGCAAACAGGTTCCCCCCAGAACTCCGACACATTCTGAAATATATCCGTGCCGTCGCCGAGGACAGATACGGCGACTTCCTCCGGACCGTGGCCTTCACTAGTGTTTCTGGCTTCCTCTTCCTGCGATTCATTTGCCCAGCCATACTCAACCCGAAGTTGTTCGGCTTGCTGCGGGACTACCCACGACCTCGAGCCCAAAGGACACTGACACTCATTGCGAAAGCATTGCAGGCGCTCGCTAACCTTTCCAACATTGGAAAGAAAGAAGTCTGGATGGATCCGATGAACCGTTTTCTCAGCTCCCGCCGCCAGGCTCTCAAAGACTTTATCGACGAGATATGCGCAATACCAGCGGAGCGCTCGAACTGCATCCTGCCCGCATCCTATTCGACCCCAATCACCATCCTAGGCCGCCTGTCACCTCTAGCCCGCGAGGGCTTTCCCTCCCTCCCGTACCTAGTTGATCACGCTCGGAGTTTTGCCCTTCTCGTCAGACTATGGGTCGACAATCAACCCCTCAGCGGTGACGCCGAAAACCAGTATGATGGCGACCTTCTCAAGTTCCACAGGTGCTGCGTCAGTCTCCAGCAACGAGCCGACCTCTGCATGGCGCGCATCGACAGTGTCCGCGCAGCAGACATCGAGAACTCGAGTCAACGCACCGACTCGGATGGCGCACTCGCTGATGCCATGGAGTACGCCAGCCTCGCTGAGTCGGCGAACACAATATCCCACAAATCAGGCACCAGCACCTCCTGGATGGACCGTGACCGACCACCTGGCTCATCTGACGGTAGCTCGCTGGATGACGCTCGAGGCCAGGGAGTGCGTTCTCATCGTTCGTCTGAGAGGTGGACCAGTGGACTGCGGCAAGCTGTGGGCAGTAGCGGCGAGCTGTCGGACCGGAAGTACCATCATGGTTCCATGAAATCTCTTCGCAGTGGCAAGAATGCGAGGAAGTTCCTGTCAGGGTTCCTTCGAAAGGTCGATCGGACAGACAGTCCAGATGCGTCAGGCTCGAGCGGTAGCCCTTCAGTATCACCGTGGCAGAATGGCAGCGGTGACAACAACATTGGCGCTGCATACAAGTCAGGATCTGGCTCGACAACACCGACAGGGACGTTGAAGGGCAGGGACAAGGAAAAAGGGAGGAGCACTTTTGGCGGCCTGGCGGAAGCCTGGAAAGAATTCGACCCGTCCAGCAGACACTGAAGGATATTATTTTTACAACATTCCGAAGGCCGAAATCGTTGTACTATCATTGGAAAAATTCGGCATCCGCTTCTTCTTCTACTACTACTGCTTCTATTATTACTACTATTATAACGAAAGTCAACGGCCGGGAATCTGATGGGAGTTTAAGGCGAGGCGCGAGAAAAAGAGAAGGCAGGAGGCGCATTTTGATGCATTCCAGAGCGGCGGCACCCGTTAGCATTTTTAACACCATTTACCACATCAAGCCGCAAACCACCATCCCCACCCATCGGCCCATCAACCTTTTCCGTGTTGTTGCCTCCGGCCGGAAGCGCGGGCAATGGCGCGCGAGGAACACCGCCTCTTCTTTCCTCCTTGTTCTTGCTTCCTCATGTCTCCATCATCGGGTCGGCCTCGAAAGATCTTGAATCACGATACCTATTTTGCAACCTCTTTATACCTTCTGGGACGAAATGATAGATCGGGGGTTTCTGTCTTGGGTAGAGAGATACCACCATTGCCAACTTTTTTTGTTTTCCTCTCCTTGGGGTTTGTTGTTGTGCCGGCAACCAGCACGGCCTATGATTTTTATTCCAACCTTTAGGTCCGGACTTGAGTCCTGGGGAGGCTAGGTGGGCGGCTGGCTGTTGCGTATGGATGGATCAGTTATCTCTAGATGGATGGTATCCTCATTTTGTCCAGATACTGGTCACTAGTGTCTGGCAGGACGGCCCTGGCCTGTGTCCTCTACTCTATGTATCTTCGCGAGCACTGCTCTGCAGTATGGGGGTCCGCGGTGTGGACATGCACATCGCGGCAGCATGCGGGTATTTAGACGCGCCCACCATTTCATCGCGGTGGGACGGTAGCAGTTGACGAAATCCCAAACACTCAAGACTACGTCGTCACAACTATCACCCGACAGTGACTTGGCCATGAATCTCGTGTTTGGCTCAATTCTCTCATGGCTCATTATGCAGACGTTCTGGCGGGTCTGCGGTTGTTGGTATCTGTGACTTCTTCCCTGTGAAAACGCCCATCCATGTGTCAAGCAAACCACCAGATGCCCCTTCCAAAATGTAAAGTGTGAAACAGAAAAAGATGATGGGCTTTTCTATGGGCCACTTTTTGAGTTGTTGTAATGTCCCGTCCCCTCCTCCTCTTACTCAGCCGTTGGGACCCGCAAGGCTTTATGTGAAAAACTTCTTGTAGGCGGCCTTCTCCTTGGCCACTCGCGCGGCGATGCTCTTCTTCACATCCGCCAGCTCCTTGGAGATAGCAGCGTCGCCGGGGACCAGCTTGTTGGCGGCGGTCAGGTCCGCCACGGCGTTATCCTCGTCCCGCAGGCGCACGTAGGCCTGGCCGCGGCGGAACAGTGCCTTTGCCTTCTCCGCGTCTTTGAGGCCGCCGACTGCGAGAGCCGAGGTCGCGAGGCTGGCCGCGCTGTCCCAGTTGGCCAGCTTGATGTTCATGAGCGCGGCGTTGCTGTTGAGCGTGAAGCGCACCGCGTCCATCTTCGCCTTGATGTCGGCGGACGCGGCCGCGTCGCCCACGGCGTCGAGGTCCGGGTCCTCGTTAAGGTACCGCAGCCCCTTCTCGTACTTGTCCAGGGCGGTGGCCACGTCGCCTGCCTTAAAGGCCTTGTTGCCGAACTCCTTGCACTCAGACGCGATCTGCAGCACCTTCTGCGCGGACAGCTCCTCAGCCTCCTTACCGTCGCCGCCTGTGTCCTTGTGCTTGGACACCTCGTCCTCGGGGAAGTCCTCGTACGGGTCGCCAAGCGCGTCGGGCTTGTTGCTCGCGGCGGTGGCGCGCTCGGCCTCCTCGCCCAGGAGCTCGCCGCAGTCGGCGATCACCGCGTCCTTCTTTGGCTTGTCACCCGACTCGGTGGGGAGGTTCTCGATCTGGCGGATAATGGACTTGCCCGTCAGGACCTCGCCAAAGACGACGTGCTTGCCGTCCAGGTGGGGAGTGGGGACGGTGGTGACGAAGAATTGAGAGCCGTTGGTACCTGCCAAACGCATCTGTCAGCTGCGAACTCTTGTGCAAACCCCTCCCGGCTAGGATCAGAAAAGGGGAGTCGACTTACCAGGACCAGCGTTGGCCATGGACAACAGGAAGGGCTTCTCGTGCTTGAGCTCAAAGTTCTCGTCCTCGAATTTCTCGCCGTAGATGGACTCGCCGCCGGTGCCATTGCCAGCGGTGAAGTCACCACCCTGGATCATGAACTGCTTGATGACACGGTGGAAGCCTGAACCCTTGTAGTGGAGGGGCTTGCCCGACTTCCCAAGGCCCTTCTCGCCGGTGCAGAGCGCGCGGAAGTTCTCGGCGGTCTTGGGCACCACATCGTTGTACAGCTCCAGCACCACACGACCGGCGGGGCGCTGGCCGATGCTGATGTCGAAGAAGACGCGGCTGCGTCCTGTGGGCTTGGATTCTTCGGTAGACATCGTTGATTCGGTTGAGGGAGGAAGTTGTTGGTGTTATACGTCGGTGACAGCCTGGTGCAATCTACGAAGGAGGCACAGCAGATACGCCGTGTGTGGACGGGAGACGAGGTGATCGGGTAACGTTGGTAGGAATTTTTGTGTTTTGGAGCTGCAGTTGGGCCAATTGAGCTTACCAATATGAAGGCTGAGGGTAGGTTGGAGCTTTATGCAGGCAACAGTCAGCACAGGAATGTTTGTGGCTTCCTTCCATCACACGAAGAAAGGCTGCTTGCTCTTCGTGAACCTTCTATGCAGCCTTCAAGCGGGGCTTGTCACTGAGCCGCATCCCTGTCAAGAGCTCAGGGCCCAGAGGTGGGGTTCCTGGAGTCTGGAGTCCATCATCGAAGAGGGGCAAGTGCCCAGGCTCGCAGGTACCTCAACTCAGGCATCGACCTCGGTACCTAGGTACCTATGCGTTCGGGGTTCACCATGGCAACTGCCACACTGTTTACTCCAACATGAGTATCAACCTTCTCCTAGTCTTGTATTTTGCTACGGGCTATTAATGTGTGTGAGAGTAAGGATTAGTCTATTTCAGAAATGGAGCTCTGCTGCACTGGTGGTTGAGAGTTTAGATAACGAATGGTTGTAAATGGGTAGTCTTTGTCCTGGTTACCCATACAGCAAAAGCAGCAACGTCAAATGAATCTCGACTTCCGTAAATATTAAAAAAAAAGTTTGGCAATTTCTGGAAACTCCTGGATCATACCACGTGTTTCTCATTTGATAATTAAGCAATAGGCTATGACTAGGAGCTAGGAGCCATCCCACGATGATGGTTATGGTGTCCGGCCGGCCCAAACGGTCCACCTAGTTCACAAACGCCCCTGCACTAATAAAGCCTGTCTGTAGCTAACAAGTTGGACACGACGTCTTCTGTATTATGCTCGCGATGGTAACTAATCTTTCGGCGCATGACTCACCAAACTCAAGCCTCAAGCTAGAAGACCATGGACCGTACTTCAGCTTTCTTCCATGCCTGGATTTGTTGATATAATATGCCTGCTACAACATCATTAGTACGCCATGGACTAAGTGGTATATGGCATTCAGTCGCACGAAATGAACCAATCACTACAATATAGTTGCTGTAGAGAAATTTGCAATGCAACCATGGATGCCACTTGAGTGCAACTAGAGTGCTGACAGGAGGCCTCACGTTCCCAAGGAATAAATCAATGGAATTGTGATCTAGACTTTTATGTTTCCAAGTATGAGGCCAGGCTCTAAAATGAACAAGACGCCATGAAACTTTGTGTGGATATATCTGGAAAACTTGATTATTCGCCCTTCGGGGGCTCAATTGCACAACAGCTTGAACTGAGAGCCGGTTGGCTACTGTCTGCTCCAAGTGTTTATGATCATTTGGTGCTGCCTGGCTTGGGCAGATCCTCAGCCTCCTGCTGCCTCCCGGCTGTGACTTCCAATGTGACCTGGCAAACCACTGTTAGCGAGTCTGTTCTTAGTATCCCAGGGTCAGAAGAGGAAGAGAAAATGTACCGGCCCATCGTTTACGAGTGCGACCTCCATCATGGCTTGGAAGACGCCGTCTTTCACCTTTTCCGCAGCATATCCCTCCTTGACTTTGCTCAGAAAGTAATGGTACAGCCTTTTCGCCTCGTCCGGTGCTAGGGCTTGGTGAAAGCTCGGTTTATTGCCTTTCTTGGTGGACGCGAGCAGGGTAAACTGAGATACACAGAGGACCTCACCCCCAATGTCTTGGACGTTCCTCTTCCACTATGCGAGTGTCAGGCAACGGGACGGCACAAGATGTGTGACGAGTGCGAGGAGCTCAGCTGAGAGTGAAACCTGGGAGGGGGCCAACTACCCTTCCGCCGTTCTCATCGTCCCACAATCTCAGCTTGATGACCTTGGCCGCAAGGCTGTCGGCCTCTTTTTCCGTATCACCTGGGGCCACCGCAGCAAAGACCAGAACGCCCTTGCCTATGGAGGAAACCAGCTCCTTCTCCACCGTGACAGATGCTGAGAGCACTCGCTGAAGTATGGCTGCGAGTGACTGATGAGAAGGGCTGGAAACGCACATGCACATGGAAAGGCAGAGAACAACTCACCCTTCATGTTGAGACTGGGGCTACAGATGTCTGCAGTTGCGCTGTCCGATATGCCTATCCGATATGCCTTGGTTGTGGAGGCCAGTTACACCCGCCTCGGACAGATCTGGCTGGATGACTTCCCCCTGAACTTCCTCTCCTGCAGCTGCAGAGATCTTGGGACCTGAGCCAAGTTTAGACACTTCAGATAGAGCAACTGCCTACAGGTGAGGCCATGGGTAAGGTCACTGGCACATGGGGGCCGATTAGGTCTATTCCGAGATTGGGAGGCCTAATTCAAAGTTGGTATGGGGTGGGCCCCGACTGGGCCTGGTTGGCAATGCGCAGATGAGCTCAGCTTGGGGCTGGAGAGAGCCTGGCAGCCTGCATGGCCTGTGCGCCCAAGGTGGGCCGTCGTTGAGCGGCTGACGTCTGCTGCAGAGCCAGGTGCCATGTATCCTGGAAGGGGAGCAGATAAGACACGACAAAGTCGAAACTCTCTCAATTCCTCACAACAGAGAAACATCGGGTCTTGGAGGGCTTCAGAACGCATTGGAATCAGGCATTGACCTATTCATGAGCTTGTAGCTCCATTTCTCCCGAAAAGCGCGCGCGACGCGAGCCTCGTGGCCTCGGCTTTACTAACAGTGAGTACATGGCTAGTTAGTGACTGTTGGCCATCGGGTCAGCCAGGCGCTCCCAGCCTGTCTGGTCACAGACCTGTGCGGTTGGCTGGATTGCTCAAGCAATGGCAGCCTTGCCGACGTGACCTCTCCCTCCTGTCTCCCCACCACTGCCCTTTCTCAACACCGACAAGACGCATAGCGCCCACCTCAATCGCATTTCCATCCACGCACGTACATATTGACCACGCCTGTCGGGTACTTGGGCTACCACGACAAACCACTGACCGGCTCTAGCCTCGGCCCCGAGCGAACACCTTGGTAGCTCCGCCTGAGCTTCACGTCGATTCGGACCGCCACTACGCCTGCTACCGGTCGCGGAAACCCCTCTTTGGCTCGGTGGCATAGCTTCCGACCTACTACACTTTCCCTTGGATGCCCTACAGGACGCCACGACGTTAATATGGCAGCACGAAAACTGGCGCAGGAGGTCGACAAGACCTTCAAGAAGGTCGCCGAAGGCATCGAAGAGTTTGACGAGATCTACGAGAAGATCGAGCAGTCAAATAACCCCGCGCAGAAGGAAAAGCTCGAAGACAGTCTGAAGCGGGAGATAAAGAAGCTGCAGAGGCTACGAGACCAGATCAAGACATGGGCAGCCAGCAACGACATCAAGGACAAGGGTCCTTTGATAGAGCACAGGAGGCTGATTGAGACGGTTGGTCTGGCGGTCAAACCCAGCGTTTCGAGAGACTAACTGCGCTTCAGCGAATGGAAAAGTTCAAGGCCGTGGAGAAGACGATGAAGACAAAGGCGTTCTCGAAAGAAGGACTGTCTGCTGCTGCGAAACTGGACCCTAAGGAGAAAGCCAAGCTCGAGGCCAGCGACTTCCTCGGCTCACAGATCGACGTACTGGAGGAACAGATTGAAAAAATGGAGGCCGACATGGAACTATTACAAGCCGGCATGAAGAAGGGGAAGAAAGCCAAGAAAGACGACGCCGAACAAATAGCCAACATCGAGACCGTCATCGAGAAACACAAGTGGCACCAGGGCAAACTTGAGCTGATCCGGAGGTCACTGATGAACGGCGGCGTTGAGGCAGACCAGGTGTTTGACCTCAAGGATTCCATACGGTACTACGTCGAGGAGGGGACGTCGCAGGAATACATGGACGACGAGGAGATGTACGACGACCTGAATCTCGAGGAGGAAGAGGACGTCTTCGGTATGAACCAGGAGAACGACAAGATCTCCAGTCAAGACAACCAATCGGTGCAGGACGACGTGACGGAGACGGAGGGCAGGTCCTCAAGCGCCGCAGCAAAAGGAAAGGAGAAGCCATCAGCAGATGCTGGAAGCTCAGCAACGAGCAGGAAGCCATCTTCGCAACTCAAATCGCCCCTGCCAACCCTCGCAACTCTCTCGGCTCCGTCATTACCGACCATCACGGGCCCCATACCGGGCAATAATGGCATGAAACCGGCGTCCTTGCCAACGAGACCGCCCGGGGAGGGACTGAAATATGCGTCTGCGGCAGCGGCAGCGGCAGACAAAAACAACGTGGGAATCGCACCGCTACCACCCCCACCGAGCGCACACCCGGCAGTCGGCATTTCTTCATTAGCAAACCAGTCCAAGACGAGTTCCACAAGTTCACCGAGCATCTCGTCAGCGCAGATAGCCGCACCTCTGCCACAACAAGTGGAGGCAAAACACCCGCCAGCCGCCCCTGCAGCCCCCGCGAGTGCTCCCGCCCCAGCAGTCTCCACGCCAAAACCCGAGGCCGCCAAGCCGGCGCCTTCTCGTGCAACAGGCAAAGCATCGGCGGTTCCAGAGCCATCTGAGGCACCGAAAGGTAGTGTTTGCGGTAGAAATCTGTCAACCTCGCTCCCTACTGACCTTGCTGCAGCACCTCATACAAACGGCGTCACCAACGGTGTCAAATCTGCTGAGCCAGAGCCGGAAGAGGAGTCGATATACCACCTCCCGTCTTCTCTGGATGACCTCGTCGAATCATGGGAGGCAACGAAAGCGAATCCTACCGCACCTGCCACGTCGCCCTCGGCGCAACGATTGCTTGCGGCTTCTAGTAAAATGGCCCCTGACGTTGCGGACGCGGAGCCACCTCGCAACTATTATCCCGAAAGCTACTGGAACACGAACAAGACATGGCCCAAGGAGCCGCTCCAGATAATGGACAACCCGCAGCTGTACCAGCCGACCAAAGTGGACAATGATACCCTCTTTTATGCCTTCTACTACAAACAGGGGACATACCAGCAGTACTTGGCCGCTAAGGCGCTCAAGGATCAGGCATGGCGGTTCCACAAACAGTACCAGACGTGGTTCCAGAGGCACGAAGAGCCCAAGAACATCACCGAGGAGTTTGAGCAAGGCACATACCGATTCTTCGACTACGAATCAACGTGGTTAGTTCCCCAACGGTGGCCCCATAAGGGATGGTCTGGCCATTCTGCATCGCGCTCCGTGCTGACGCTCTCCCTTACAGGATGAACCGCAGGAAGGCCGATTTCAAATTCGCCTACAAATTCCTCGAGGACGAAGTCTAGAAGATGGTCGGGTGTGGGATACGGGCAATTGCCCGGTCTCGAACGGTGCTTTGCAAGCTAATGTTTTCATTGATCTCCCGGAGACGATCAGGAAGGATGGCCTCCTTTGCACTCCCGCGGATTTGTGAGGAGGACGGTGGCGGTCCTTTTTGTCTGGCTCTCACGGAGCTTGTGGAAGGCAGAGAATTTCGGTCCGAGGAGTCCGGTGTGTTGAAATTTGGCAACCGCCCATCAGTCGAACAGGGGCGGTTGGATCCTTTGGAAGGCCATTTTCGGGGTTTGTTCGTGTGTGTACTTGCAACAATTTGTCCACATTGAACGGCGACAGAGGCACAGATGTCTCGGGGATACGCGCTCTACGACGTCAATAACAACCATGCAGCTAGACAGGCCAGAAGCATGTCAACAGAGATACCTGAGCCTCCAGGTCCGAGACATTGACTAATGCTGCTTGCTCCCAGCAAAATGATGTGCCCCCGGTCGTGGTTTCTGCTTGTTAAGAACAAAATGTAAAGACATTCGGGCAGGTGGGCATAGCGATCAGACGGAGACTGGCCCATGATCCGCTGCGAATCATTGCACGAGGCTGACAGCGAGAGCATACCTTCAAGGCCAGCCTATCGCTGACGCCTCTCAGCCAAGTGCTTGCTGCCAAGGGACGAGGTGGGTGTTCCACCGCACTATCGATCTATCCAAGGAGCCCAATGGGCTGAATGCTTCTAAAGCTGTTGACTTGCAGCCGACCCAAGTGGTGTCCTCGTCAGCCCTGCCGTGTTGTTCGCGGTTGACCGCGCGCCGTGTGTACGCATGTGCTTCTATTTCTCAGTCACCGGCTGCACCTTTCGAAACACAGCACTGGCCTTCGGGTGGAGGTATGCACTGCTGCCCAACTGGCACACATGGACCTCGGTGGTGAGCTTCCAGGTGCCCAACACTTCCAGGAGGCTCCTACGTATATGAAGTCCGTCCGGTTGCCTTCTTGTTATGCCTCGTTGCTCCAGTTGCCTGCTCGATCTGCTGTGTTCACTTTCGTGCTTACGATTCTGCAAATCTTTTTTTTTTCTTCTTTGTTTTGTTTCTCCATCCCCACTCCTTTCTCCAACCCTATTGATTCCCAACGCTGAGCCTCAGGCCTCGATGCGCTGCCGGTGGCTGTGCCCACTGATTGAGCCCGCCAGGTGACGACTGCTGCCTGGAGATGACGTGCAGCAATAAACGTTGGCACTGCCAGACTCGGCGTCTGGGGCCTGGCTCACTAGCAAAGACATTCGCCAGATGCGCTTCTTTCTCTTCCTCGCTGCAGCCGGCCTGCTTATCTCCCAGCTTCTTGAGCAAGTAAGCGTCGTGCGCGGTTTTTCAAGTACCACGTTGTTAATTAATCCTTCCCAGATCGTACCCCGGTGGACTGCGGCGTCATGTCCTGCAGGTCCAGTGCTGTGCCGTGAGCGGGTGACCACCCCGATTTGGGGGCCATCGAAGCTCCTTCGGCTGCTTTCCCCGGACCCTATCATAGGCCACACAGGCGCGAGACATGCTTGATGCAAGCAAGCGGTCGGTGAGAAGGACTGCAGTCGGCCCCGGTCCATGCCCAGGCTGCCCATGATCACCAAACGCTACTCCAGGGGTTTGGGGCCGCGAAGGATTTTGAATTGGCTCTAAGATCGAGGCATTTTCTGTTGTTTCTGGGGCCTGGACAGTCCTGCTGGCCAGTTGATGGAACCCCGGTCGGACCCGGCGGATGGTCATCATCACGACCAGATTGGAGTCTTCAGGAATTCCCAGCCCGGTGCTCGCCGCAGACAAACCCAACCCTGGCGCCATCGAGCACCATGAACCAGTGACTCCGCTGCTGGGAGCCCTGCCCTTGGACCCCCAAGAGCCTGCATCTCAACGATGGGTACGTGGTGCGACCAAGCAGGATCAGGCAAACGCGGCCAGCGCACCGACACCCTTTCCTCGATGAGGCAGCTCAGGCAGACTGTCGGGCGAACCGCTGCTGCGATGCTTGGCGGGCGAACCACGAGCGAACCAGGCAAGTTAAGGACGCCATTGGCCAACGAGTGGCAGCAGCACTGCTAAGCGGAGAATTGAGGCTGACTGTCTTTGTCTAACGCTGTGGCGCGGGTTTGTCGCCGGGCTTACATTAACGACTACATGTGTCACTCACCCGGCTCCGCATCTTGGTATCTGCAGGTCCCTGGCGCAGCCGACGTGCATGCATGTCTCTCTCTCTTTTACCTCAGCCCCCAATACGCCTCACTGATAAACACGGTACCTCGTCATGACCTGGCACCTCCGAAAGAGGACTACATCATCGCCTCTGCGATGTTTGGACCACAGCTCGCAGTCCTCTTGTCCCCGGGCCCTCCGCGTCCTCATGACCAGCTGCGCGTGCCACTCAATTCCGGTTTGGGGAGCCCCAAGTGCCATCCATCCGGTCTTGATGGCCTCGCTACGAACAAACAAAATGGCTCATGTGTGCCGAGAGGATTCCGCCAATACCTATCTCGGTGTGCGGATACCAGATGGCCAAGCGGTCACCGTGGCTCTTCGTCCCAAGGGGAGAGATGCCGTGCAAACACACCCACATCCACTGACCCACACACTCTCTTTCTCTCTTGCCCACCACACCCTCTTTTCCATGTGTACGCCACAAGCCTTGCCCACCCTGCATCGCGGCTCATCCCTATGTGGAGCCGTTGCTCTCCCTCTTGCACCACCCCGCCCATGTTTCCACCCTGGCTCGACGGCTATGGACATCGCATCGTCCACTTGCGTCGCTTCTATTCGACGGCATGCTGGTGCTTGTCAGCCCCGTCGAGGCGACCGCCATCTGCAGGTTATCAGGCCTCGATCGGGGAACACAGGCAGGCAGATGGGTTGTTTCGACGGCTGTCTCCCTCCCACGTATCCCTCCTTCGGCATGCCTGATGTCACCGCCCCGTCCCCACCGTTGTTTGAGCCTTTTGTTACACGCCCTCTACTTCGACTCGGCTCCCCGGCCGCGGTACCTGGGCCTTGATGTTCGCTCCCTGGCTCACCGAGTTTTGATCTGATAGGACACCACCCCTGACAGCCCACCAGCGCCAGCTTTCTCTACATGGGTCCCGGTGCGCTCTTATTCCACCCTACTACTGCGGTCCTGCATGTCCGCAAATGGGCAAAGTTTCAGGCTATGTGGCTGTATCGGTTTCTAGAAGCCCTGGGGTGAGTCAACCTGCAGTTGAGCCTCTCCTCCCTGCCGAATTTCCATGCGCGTCAGCGACGCTTCCATCGCGTCTTGGGGGGCTCGGAGGGGGAATGACAGTCTGTCTTTGTTGTTCTGGTAGTCCTGCACATTTATGCCTCATCACCTATGCCCGCATCGTTCATCGTGGCCATGAGAAGCAAACGCCCAACCATGCGGACCAATAAAGCGCCTGTCCCCATCATCCCATCTCTCATCCCCGGTGTCGTTTGCTCGCCTCGTATGTCAAAAGTGCCAGTTCTATCAAGCCTAAGCCCTGCCGGACCAGACTCTCTCGAGCTGTGACAAACGGTCCTCGCCCAACACTCTGGTTTAGACAATTATACATATATCAACCATAGTCGAGGGTCTGACCTCACTCCAAGCGTCCTCATCATCTATCCCTCTGGGCAAGACATCCACCTCAGAGAATTGCCTCTCCTCTCTCTCCAGCAAGATCATGCCTTGTTTCACGTCGTGAATTTCATCAGCAATTTTATTCCTACCCCAGTATTTTGCGTGTCATTTCTCTTCTTCGGCCTAGCCCGTGGCCGGCGTCTCCCATGCCAGGATGTCTGGCGCTCGATACGACTACATCAGAGTGCCCACTGCTTACAACAACGTCGGCTTCGTAGCCAACGACTTGGTGGATTACGGAGAGTACGACGGGAGCCTGCAAAGGAGCCTCTCCGGGTTCTCTGATGACACGGCTTCCTTAGGTTCTCCGACGACGTATGCAGTGTCCCCAAGCCTAGACAGCTTTAACCACGACTTCGACTCGTCTCACTACTCCAGTCGTCAAGTGCCAATACCAAGGTCTACTGCATCCACGACGAGTGGAACTTACACGGCCCATTGGACGGACGCAACAAGCCCCCAGTACAAAACCACGTACAATTCTCAACCAGCGACGGGCTCCATCAACATACAACCAAGCAGGTAAGTTCATAAAAGCCCATTCAAGTCCTCGGATTTCTCGAGACCTCCCACCTACTCCTAATTGTCTTGCTCAAGGCACCGTCGTCATGCTTCCAAACCACAGCATACTGACACCACATAGTATCATGTCAACCCCGTCACCCGAGTACGTCTGCCTCTACGACGGCTGCCGGCAGAAGGCCTTCCGGCGGTCGGCCGACCTAGACCGGCACATCAAGCACGTGCACCTGAAGCCTCCGGACGTGTACTTCTGCGACTACAACCGCTGCCCGCGGAGCGAGAAGGCGGTGGCCGCGTCGGCGACGTCGACGCCATTCGAGACGGTCACCTCGCCCACCTCCCCCGGCGGCCGGCGCCGGCGCGGGCGCGGCGGGGATCGGCGCCTTCGGCCGCAAGGACCACTGCCGCGCGCACTACCGCGACTACCACCGCGAGGACCTGTGCCGGCGCAACGGCAAGGAGGCGGCGGGGTGGTTCGACGACCGCAACATCTCGAGCAGCTGGTGGCGGTGCACAAAGTGCCTGCGCAAGGTGTCGTATTCGCGCTGCGGCTGGGAGTGCCGCGACTGCGGGCAGATGCTGGAGCCGGAGCGCATCAACGCGCGCAAGAGGAGGATGGGCAGCAAGGGGTCGTCGTCATCGTCGTCGAGGGGTTACTGACGGGGCCTCCCGTCGGTCGTTGGCGTGTGGGTGTGGTGGGATGGTGGTGGCTGTGCCCGCTTGGATTCGTCTTCTTTGTGGAGTGGTGTGGTGGCTCTTGGGGATCGCGTGCGACGTGTGTCTCTCATGCCTTACTGGAGAGAGAGATGGTGCCGTGTCACCTGTGGCGACGACAGCTACCTACCTACCTGCAGGTGGGCAGCACTTGTTGCAAACCCGAGGGCAGGCAACAGCCTTCAACATCGCAAGGCTGTCCTATCACACTCACTCTCGGATCGGTCTCCGGGTTCTGCCTCGTTGCCTGCTCTTATGCATATTTATTTCCACACTTTTGCTTCTACCCGCGCGCACCCACACCCACCCACACCCACTCACACACCGACACGCACAAAAGGCAAAAAAAGATGAGGCGAGCGGAAGGGCAAGTTGCATTACGCTTTATTCTATTCTTGTATGCTCTAAGTTTTGAACATTCTTCTCACTTTTCGCTTCATTGCTTTCATCCTCTGTCTTTTCACTACAAACGGCGTGACGTCCTGGCGTCTGGCGTTCTTGGTACATCGAGTGTTTTCGTGGCTTGCTTGGTCCCCCCGCCCTTTCCTTTTCTCTTGCTGCTGCCTACAGATTTCTGCTAGCCGTGGCGTTCTTCGAGCATTCCCGGTGCCCAGGCTCGACCTTCCAGAGCCTGATTCCATTTATCTTGCTTTTTGCTTGTGTTTCGGTCTTCCTCGCTCTGCATTTCCAAGCGCCCTAAGATGGGATCTTCCGAGAGTGGCGTTGCTTGCCTCGCTGCGCACGAGGTGCGGGCATGGCGCGAATGTGTGTGGCTTCCGAGGCAGACTGGCGGGCATAACGGCGTATTGTGAGACTGATGTATGCATGGTGTATTCAGAAGGGCAGAATGGCGTTTTTACGAGGCGCAGGATTAGGCGAATGCTGTGGTGTGGAGGGACTCGATGCTTGTTGGCGGGTCATACGTTGGTGTGGTTACACAGCATGAGACCAAGAGGTGTCAGCCTTCTTCCGATATTGTGGCAGTGTAGAAACCACACAAAATACCTATTTCATGTCAAGAATTTCCCGAAAAGGTCTCACATTATCTTTGCGTTTGCATAGCCCTTTTTACCTTATGGCAGTCAGTGGTCATTGCTCGGAATACTGTCTGTCACTATGACACCGCGTAATATAACGAGACATCGTTCATAGGGCCATTGCCAGTATCAACAATAGATAAAGGGCCATAGTTGGGCTTTCCTCTCACACTGTTCCATTAATTGTGTCCACAGGGTCAAACGAAACCATTCTCAAGTACAATTATCAAGAAGGCAGGCTTCACTAACCATCCTCGTCGTATTGCCTTTCATTACATACACACTGCCTTGAATTCGAATGATAGAAAAGCTCACTTGTGATCAATAGGAGATGGCCCAACTCCTACATCTATCGTGTACACATACAACGGCTTCACAATCCGGCTCTGACCATCCGGTTGGAACGGAACTCCTCGATTCAACTGCGCAGAGGGGAGCCACAGCCTGTTCTGGTTATCGACCCACATTGCATCAACCCATAGCAGTCTCTCATCCTGCACCAGTGTCGTCCTCGTGCCATTGGGGTAGATCTTCTCGATGGCCTGACGGTCCGTGTCACTGACATAGATGTTGCCGTCGGCATCGATGGCAGTACCGCCCGTGGACGGCGTCAGGGCATACGGTTCCACGTACCCGGATAAGACGTCCAAGCTCGCCATGGACGAGTTGTAGAACGCCTTGTCGAGAACCTGCGTCTCGATGCGCGACATGCCCCCAGAGGCCGGCTGGTAGTAAAACCACTGTCCATCCGGGCTGACCTCGAGCTGGTCCGCATAGATGTACTGGGCCTCTCCCGAGGAAGAGCGCAGGAACTTCCCCTCGCCGCTCGTGGGTGTGAACGCCCCGACGGACAGGTCGCCCTCTAGTAGCCGCACGGCACGCCCGCTGTCCAGGTCCAGGATGATCAGAGCGCCGCCTGCGCCTGCGTCGGTTAGGTAGGCCCTGGACCCCGTAGAATCAAAGCGGACATCATCCAGCAGGCTTCCGGACAGGGTCACGTTGCCCATGGGGTAGACACGCGCGACCTCGTCTGTCTTCGTGTCCACCACGACAAGCTTCGGGCCCTCGGGGAGGATGACGGGGCTGCCGAAGCCGGGTGACCCTGTGTCGACCAGCCATAGGTTGCCGTTCGGGTCGACGCGCTGGCTGTTGACCCGTACAAGGGTGGTCGCTGGATCGCTGTCACTGTCGGGCCCGGCGTACGAGTTCCACCTGGCGTCCGGGTAGGGGACGCCGGTGCCGTTGACCCACTCGACCACCTCGGGTAGACCCTGGGCCTGCGTGCCGTCTACGCGGGCGTAGAGGACGAACAGCCGGCCATCTTCGGTTGTGCTGACGCCGTTGCAGGGCGTGTCGAGGGTCAGGGCAACCTGGACGCGAGGATCTTGAGCTGCCAGGCATGTGTAGGCCAGCGCAGTAGCCACGAAGAGGGAGTGGGCACCCATCTTTCGTTGAATACCAGAGGATGATCCGTTTCCGTTGATCTTGTGTCACCAGCAATATATGGCAGAATTTAATAAGTATCCATTCAAGGGACGCGGGATGTCGATCAGAGCAGGTGCATGAAAGGCAACCGGTGATCGACGGTGGTCGACTTGCATCATACCTACATTGCTGGTATTTATACCAAGTCCGTGAGGATCTTTAGCATAGCGCTGTAGTCGTGACGTGCGGAACCCCGCCATGAGGTGTGAATAAGCATCAGTCAATCTGCACGGTGATGGTGATGCAGCCTACCGCATTTAGGTAGTCTACCACGAGAGCAGATGCGGAGAACGACGGATGAGCGAGCGGACGATTCTTTTGCGTCACTGGTCACAGCGAGAGCCCCATCCACGGCAGTGCCGCGATGCTAGACAGCAAGTGCCGAACACTTTCTCGCTAGCAGCCGAAGTATGAACTCGTAAGATGAGCCGCAGACGAGGCCGTGGCCGATCCCAGTACTGGTAGCATGGCGTGGAGAAACATGTGGGGAGGTGCATCATGACCTTCGCGCACTTCCCTCGCCCTGCATACCACTGGTGAGATCTTTGGTAGCTGTGGACAGGGTCGGGAGAATAATAGCTTGCACATGCCCTGGCAGTAGACACCATCTACCTATGGCTAATGCGAATTGTCTCAATCAGGGTTGTGACGAAGTTCACTGGGGTAAGAGACATGCTCGTCTGGTGCGGGCGCCGACTGGTGTTTGTTATGTAGGCTACCGTACTGCACTGTATTGGGTAGAACGGGTGTAATCAAATTGAGCGACAGGTGAGCCAAGGGAGTCCTTGACTGGACCGAGTCTTGCGGCCGTTTCGAAGTTGCAGTCCCCGACGGCGGTGGCCCCATTTCAGCACCAAATCAGACGGAACCTGCGACGATCTGTCTTCCACTCTGGCACCTTCCCCAGGTTTTGCCCCCACCCTCAGACGAGGTCGATCAAGGGTCCTGCTTAGCGACTGCGGGGAAGCTCGCGCAGGAAGATACGTACCCAGGTACTGCAGTACCCGGATACATCCGCTTGTGCTTGGTGCATCTAACACAGGCAGGTACTCTGTCTGTTTCCACAAGCACTTCAGGAATTGAATTCGTCTCAATTGTTATATCGGATAGATGCGAGCTGCGATACAACATCATGCTCGTCTAGACATTGCTGATCTTCCAAATGATGTCTTGCTGGGTTGCATTGAATGTTGGAGCAGAGTTGCACCTTGACGGAGAGCGTCAATTAGAAAGAAGTACAGTACACAATTTGAATTGTGCCGCGGCATCTCTGGCCGAAATCTCCAACAAGTTGACGGCTCGCATGCAGGCAGGTGCAGGCGCCAGGTGTGCTCCTTCTTCCTCAGATACCCAAAATGGGTCCCTTCCGTGCGCCCGCTTGATACAACATAGGCGCACACACTTGTCTAGGTATTAACCTGAGCCGAAACTGCCCACTTGTCACGGAAGCCCTTCCCCTCCCTGCCTCAAAACCGCGCTCTCCCCTTCTCCTTTACCCTTTTCCCTCTCCTCCATATCATCATCATTGGTATATACGACATTCGATTGCCTATTATCAAGCCGACCACGCTGAAAGTGGGCTCTCCTCCGTTCTGCGGCTATAAACCATCCGGGTATCGGAGCCAGATCCCAGCTCGCCTCACGGCCGGCCCACTTGTTTTTTGCGACGATAGTGCCGAGATCTGCGAGACGGAGAAATCGTCGGCTGCGACCCTCGGCGCCTTGCTGCTGTTATTACTGTCGACTGTCGCTGGGCCGAGCTACGTTGCTGAGCGCCGGTGCTAGACCTGCACCTCCCACCTTCTCTCTGTCCCAAGCCTCTCAACCTCGGCACTGAGCTGCTGTACCACGAAACCTGCGCTGCTAGGCTTCTTTGTGTAACAGCCCGGTTCGACGCCATCTGCGCCTTCCACCTTGCTCCCTGTAACCCTTCTCTAGGAGCGGTCCCCCCACCCTTCAAGACGCCCATCATGCGTCCCGCAGCCGCAGCAGCGACTCTTCGTCGCACGGCATTCGCCTCTGCTCGCTCTAGCTTCAGGCTCTCTCCGGTCACACAAGCAGCTCCCGCGCTCAGAGTCGCAGGCATAATGCGAACAATGGCGACCGCCTCCAAGATCAAGGTCAAGAACCCCGTTGTCGAGCTGGACGGCGACGAGATGACCCGCATCATCTGGGAGGACATCAAGAACAAGTTCATCCACCCCTACCTGGACATCGACCTCAAGTACTATGACTTGGGCCTGGAGTACCGTGACAAGACCGACGACAAGGTCACTGTCGACGCCGCCGAGGCAATCCAGAAGTACAGCGTTGGAGTCAAGTGTGCCACTATTACCCCTGACGAGCAGCGTGTCGAGGAGTTCAAGCTCAAGAAAAGTGAGTCTATCAGCCTTTCAGGCGCGGAAACCTGCCGTGGAATTTGGTGACTGATCAGCGCTCAGTGTGGCTCTCCCCCAACGGCACAATCCGCAACATTCTCGGCGGCACCGTCTTCCGCGAGTCGATCATTATCCCCCGCATTCCGCGACTCATCCCTGGCTGGGAGAAGCCCATTGTCATCGGCCGTCACGCATTCGGCGACCAGTACCGCGCAAAGGACCGCGTCATCCCCGGCCCCGGAAAGCTCTCCATGGTCTACACCCCTGCCAACGGCGGCGCCCCTGAGGAAATCGAGGTCTACGACTTCAAGAATGGCGGCGGCGTTGCCCAGACCCAGTACAACACAGACGACAGCATCACCGGTTTTGCGCACTCGAGCTTCAAGATCGCGCTCGACCAGGGCCTGCCGCTGTACATGAGCACCAAGAACACCATCCTGAAGAAGTATGACGGCCGCTTCAAGGACATCTTCCAGGAGCTGTATGACACTCAGTACAAGCCCGAGTTTGAGAAGAAGGGCATCTGGTACGAGCATCGCCTGATCGACGACATGGTGGCTCAGATGATCAAGAGCAAGGGCGGATACGTCATGGCTCTGAAGAGTAAGTGAAAACCCTCTTGCCTGCTTGAGAACGGCTCTCACGGTCTATCGTTTTTGGGAAAATACCTAAACTTACATCTCGAACAGACTACGACGGTGACGTGCAGTCTGATATTGTCGCCCAAGGTTTCGGCTCCCTGGGGCTCATGACCTCTGTGCTTATCACCCCTGACGGCAAGACCTTCGAATCCGAAGCCGCCCACGGCACAGTGACCAGGCACTACCGCGAGCACCAGAAGGGTAACCCAACGTCGACCAACCCAATTGCATCCATCTTCGCATGGACCCGCGGTCTTGTCAAGCGTGGACAGCTGGACGGCACGCCGGAGGTGGTCGCTTACGCCGAGAGTCTGGAGCAAGCCTGTATCGACACCGTGGACAAGGACGGCATCATGACCAAGGACCTGGCACTGGCCTGCGGCAAGAATCAGGACTTTGTCACGACCACTGAATACCTGAACGCCGTCGAGAGGAGGATGAAGGGTCTGCTGAAGCAGAAGCTGTAATAAGGACAAATCACAGGAAATCGCAGATTGAAGAGATCGATCTCAGCGTTTCGGATGGGTTTGTTTATGCATGATGGCTGCGAAAAGAACTGTGAATTGGGGTCTGCCGGAGCACGCAAGCCTATTGGACGCCGACGAGACGGCGTGAGCTTGTTCATGGTCTTTTTGGGGCTGACCGAGGCCTTGCTGCTAAGTATTCTGGGAAGGAGCGCTTCTTCCTATTTCATCGTTCTTGCATAGGCGGTCTCCTACTTGTGCGATTCCACATTTCATGTCATTGTCATGTACGCGCTGCTGTATTCCTACCAAGCTGATCTATACTGCGAAACCCACAAGAATCAAGAATCAAGACAGAGAAGACGGTTGAACACAGGATACAGGGAATTAAAGGAGATATCGACGGATAAATCTGTTGAACATGTGTCACAGTACATACAATATCAAGAAACCATTTACTTAGCCTCGTTTGAACCTTTGAAGTCACTTATGTCACGTATACTATCATAGCTTTCTCGAGTCCAATTACACACATGCATGGTTGCAAGCCAGATATCGTCGAAGTAGCATACGCCTCGTCGCCCCTGAGCATTCAGCTTCACGGCTACTTCCGCAAAGTACCAGTCAATTATGCGCGGTACCTGTGGCCCACCGTCCTTGTCTTGACGACTACACCAGGCGACATCATCTCTTCATATATATCACTGTCACAAGTATTTGGTGCCGCATGCCAATCTATGCAGGAACCTAGTATGTCGTATGGCCCCTTCGCAAAGCCTTTGGTGATTGCGGTGGTACATGATGACAGAGCACAGGTAGGATGGGACCGTTCTGCATTTACCCTTCTCGTCCAATAAAGTCAAGCGTGCAACGCTGCACGCAACGCATTCCTTGCGGATATGGCCGGCAGGGAGGCAACTCTGTTCCCGTCTCTTACACGTAGAAGTTCCTTCTGTAGGATGCAATCTTGTAAAATGTGGTCCACCTTCTACAGTGCACTGCTTGGCGGTTATGCCCGCGCACCCCGTCCTTACCCCTACCAGTCTGGATACAAATGCATTTGCTCTATTCCTGTCTCCACAGTGTCTTGCCCGAAAAGTCTACCAGGGTTTAATCCTCCATCTCCGCCTCGGCATCTACCGATGCTGTCTCAAGCGCGTCAGCCTCGTCCCTAATCCTCGCAGCCTTCTTCCCCAGCGAAATGTCGGCTTTCCCGGAAGCCTCGATACTGTCGTCCGGGCCGGCACCGCCCGCTGAGGCCAAGCTGACAGAGTTATTCTTGTTACGTCTCTTGGTCGGCCTGCGGCTCGAACCTCCCTTAGGGCGGTAGCCTGTATCGTCGTCCACAGCAACGCGCTTGCGCTTGCCCTTAGTAGCTGATGGCCTCGCGTTTGCGGCCTGAACACCGAGCTCATCGTCCAGGTCATACATGCTCTCATCCATCGACTGCCGCTTGACCTTACCAGACGCGGCCTTGGATCTCTTAGTCACTCGCTCGGTCTTGGGCGCCCGCTCGCCCTTGACGCGCGCTGCCCCTAGGCTTGCGCGTCCACCTTCGCCGCTCGGTTTGCGGCCCGCACTTGTCATCTTCCTGGCAGGAGTACGAGTCTCGTCGTCATCCTCGTCATCATCCGCTGTGCGGTGGGCCTTGCGGGATTGCTTCTCGCCGTTGTGGCCCCTCTCCTTCTTCTCCTCACCGGTTTCGTTGTCTTGCAGGAACGTCTTAGGTGCATTCTTTCGAAGCCAGTTGTACACGCTCACTGGGTTCCGCAACGCGAAATCTCGACTCGTCGTGCTGATGCTACTGGCACCGGCAGCTGACGTGTCCTTGGTGTTAGGTGGCGCTGAAGAGGGAGTGGCGCCTCGGGTCGCGCCATGGCTGCCGGCACCACTCTCTCGTGCCAGAGGAGCGAGTGTGGGGAGCATTTCGACGTCCTCACCGCGCTCCTCCGCTTCAGCCTTGGCCTGCATATCAACTTCCCATAGGTAGTTGTCAATGTCGTCGGCAGTCAGGAAAGAGGGCGGGTGTTGCTGGTGGGTGGCCTCAGCAGCAGGCGAGTCGATGCCAGTAAGAAGGTCGGCTGCAAGCTCAGGCAGGCGGTCGGCGGTGGTAGCAAAATCAAGGTGCGGTGTCTCCTTGATGAGGTCTTTTAGTGCTTTGGCAGGGCGGGGGCCAGGTCGAGGTTCCCTGTCGATGCCCAGGATGAAGCCTTCCTCGGCATCGGAAGGAATGTCGAGGCTGACATCAATACGCTTCTCTGTGGGGATCTGTGGCCGATTGTTGATGTCTGTGAGGAGATCGAGGAGGCGGCTGCACGAATGTTAGCAGGGTAAGCTGCAATTGACGGAACAGGTCTAGGGGCAGACGGACTCGTTGTAGATGGCCAACTGCTTAATCTTCCTCATGGCCTTGACTTCTTGTTGATAGAGATCCTCGCCCTGTGACATCTTCTGGTCGAACTTGATACGCATCTTGCGGTACTTCTTCTTCCACGACTTGTAGGTGGGCTTCGCGTCGGCCATCCTGACGTCGGGACCGCCGTCTTCGTGCTTCATATCGTCATCAGCAAGGGCCGAGTTGCTCCGTACGCGACTGTTGGCATCGGAATGCATTGTGCGGCGGGTGTCCGTTTTGAGAATGCTGGCCTTTGTGATGGAGGGCATGCGATGCAGCCAAGGAGCCGCAGCAATCCGCGATGTGGGATCCCGGGCGAGGCTTCGAGTGACAAGGTGGTAGAGACCGGGTTTTGAAGGGTTTTGGCTGGACCAGATGACTTGGGTGGTCGTCTTCTAGAGCCGAGGTGTAGCTGGTCGGCTATTGATGACGTTGGTGGATTTGTCCGCAAACGTGGTTTTGAAGGTGAAGGAACTGACGGGCAGGGAGGGCTGAGAAGCTGGCTGGACTGACTGACGCTGCGGTTGGTGTTGCGAGTCCCCCGGATTATTCCAGTACTGTGAACACGCTGCACGACGCGGCAGGCATGTCTCGCCCGGTCTGGATTTGGACCTGGCTGTGGCCCCTGCCACACCTGGAAATGGGCAAAAGGTACCCGAGCGCCTCTACGCGCGGTAAAAAATACCTGCTGCCCAGGCTGAGGTCCAAGCTCCCCTGGAGTGCTCGTGAGCTCCACGTCCCGCGTCCCACCTGCTACCCGCGGGGGACGAATGAGCAGCAACTCAATTTTGCTTGCTCATAGAATCGGATTTCAGTATTTGAGTTTCCCATCCTGCCTCTCTCCCATAGCCAGCCCAGCAGAACCGCCACAATTCAGTCCGCAAGCCTCTTCACTATCTCCGCCCGGAACGTGCTCCGGCGCCTACCTTTCCTCAAAATGGCCACCGAATCCGCCTCCAAGCGCCTCAAGACCACCGACTCGTCGTCCGCCGTCACCATCGGCACCCACAATGGCCACTTCCACGCCGACGAGGCCCTGGCCGTCCACATGCTGCGCACCCACATCCCACGCTACCACGGTGCACGTCTGATCCGGACCCGCGACCCCAAGGTGCTTGAGGCCTGCAACACCGTCGTCGACGTCGGCGGCGAGTACGACGCCGACCGCCTCCGCTTCGACCACCACCAGCGCGGCTTCACCACCGTCTTCCCCGGCCGCAACACCAAGCTGAGCTCCGCCGGCCTGGTCTACATGCACTTCGGCAAGGAGGCCATCGCCAACAGGCGCGCCTCAGCCGCCGCCGACCCCAGCACCGTGGACTTGATCTACAACAAGGTGTACGAGTCGTTTGTCGAGGCCGTGGACGCCAATGACAACGGTGTGAGCGCGTATGATTCAGAAGGAATTGCCGCCGCCGGCCTGGAGAAGAAGTTCAGCGACGGTGGCTTCACGCTGGGCGCCATGGTGGGCCGCCTGAACCCCAACTGGAACGACCCGGCGCCCAGCGACCCGGTCGAGGCGCAGGCCGCCGAGGACGAGAAGTTCGTCACTGCAAGCCAGCGTATCGGGGAGGAGTTCGATCGGACCTTGGACTACTACGTCAACGCCTGGCTACCGGCGCGCGCCCTGGTGGAGAAGGCCTTCACCGAGAGGCCGCAGTACGACGCGCAGGGCAGGATAATGGTGCTGAGCGGCCAGAGCTGCCCGTGGAAGGACCACCTGTACGCCCTGGAGGAGGAGAACAAGGAGGCGGGTAAGGTGCTGTACGTCCTGTACCCGGAGAAGCCCACGCCCGACGCCAAGTGGAGGGTGCAGACTGTGCCCGTGACCAAGGACTCGTTCGAGAGCCGCAAGGCGCTGCCCAAGGAGTGGCGCGGCGTGAGGGACGAGGAGCTGGACAAGGTGTCTGGCGTGCCGGGCTGCGTCTTTGTCCACGCGGCTGGTTTCATTGGCGGGAACAAGACGTTCGAGGGCGCGCTCGAGCTCGCTAAGAAGGCGTTGGACTAAGGACGGTAGCGTCGTGGTAGTCGAAAACTGTTTTCTGAACCCTTGACAGGCTGGGACATCTGGGAAATGGCTCATTTGCGTTTGGAGGCATTCATCGAAAAAGGAGACAAGGTTTGGCTACAGCTAAATAAACAAAAGTGAAAGGTACATGATTTCGTACACACAATACCCATATGAGATGTGGAGCCCTTTTCTTTTGTGATATTTAACACTTTTGCGCCTGCTTGCCACATACTCAAGTGGCCTCTCGACGCCCTTATGTTCCCGCCAATCAATCTGGGAGGGTTGTTCCTGAACAGACTCCGTCTGTCTGCCCTTGGAAGATTCAAGACGCCATGCCAGCACACGCAAACATGGGAACAGACAAAGAAAACCAAATGGACGATGCTGTAGCGAATGCAATGTGTGTGCGTATACACACAGAAAGGACCAAGAAGGAAGAAATCATGAAACTGTCAGGGCCAGTACACCTACACCTAGCATGTCTGTCATCCATTCTCAACAATTTGCCCTGGTCCTGATATTCCCTTTCAACGCCTGACACCCCTATTCTGTCATCGTGACACAAAACATAACACAGAGATCTGCCCTGCGCGACAATGGAACCGTATTCGAGCCCCGTTCAACCAACAAGCCTCAGCGAGGCCGTAAGAGAGTTTGTAGAGCGAGGAATCAAGATGATCAACCAACGAAGCGGTGAAATGTGCAGGCGGCGGCTGTGGTCGTGTCGATGAATTCATGGCACAGCCACCCCCGACCCACCCCAGCCATCACATCACCATCACGTCCCCACGCTCATGACCTGATGGGGATGCCCTGCTGCGCGGCGTCGCCGGCATTCTCCTTGTTGTCAGGGTCCTCCTCGGCGCTGGTCTCGCGGACGAGGCCGCTGGAGCTCTCCTTGGCGGGGCTCCCGACCAGGCCGCCGATGACGCCGGCGCCCGAGGCGCCCGAGATGCTGCCGCTCTTTGTGAGGCCGGGCGGGGTCGCGGTGGCGGGGCCGCCGACGCCGTTGCTGCCGCCGCTGTTGTGGGGGATGTTCTCGGGGACGGGGTGCTGGCTGCCGACGGTGCCCGTGTCGACGCCGTCGCCCTTGCCCGCCTTGGACATGGCGTAGTCGCCGCTGTCGAAGTACTTGCGCTCCTTGAGGTGCTTGGCGAAGTGGTCGGAGCGCGAGGGGAGCTTGCCGTACAGGCGGAAGAGGCGCTGCTCCTCCGGGGTGAGGGACTGTGGGAAGGGGGAACGAGGTCAGCCGGCTGGCCACTGAATTTGTCCTGAAGGAATCGTGCGTCCTCCTTTTAAAGTCCTAGCAAGGGAGAGGAGAAGACTTACGCTCACGTCGATCTTGTTCTTCTGGAGGGGGGTTCATGGCGGGCAGGTGGTGGAAGAAGAGGTGGGGTGGTTTGGATGTGCGGGTAGTGGTTCGAGTCCAATTGTATGTCTGCACCAAGGCGATGCTGGTGGTGTATCGCTTGACTGCGACGAGGTCGGTTATCGAAGCTGGAGTCCTCGATCGAGTAAAAGGGGTTGACTGTGCGGTCGCAAGGTTGGAAGAATCCAAAGTTTGGTCGTGGTGGATGTGGGAGAAGCAAACGGGGTGGTTCTTTTTGGGGCCCAAAGGCAAGTGCAGCCACTCTCTCTGAGGTGGGATGGTTTAGCCCGCGGGTGTGGTCCCCTCACTTCGCCCAGGCTAGGGAGCAGTGAAAGCGGGCGCGGGCGGCGGGCGCGGCTGAGAGGGATTCTGGGCTCTGGTACGGGCACTGGCACTGGTCTCACTTTTGCTGCACCCACTTCCGGCTTGGGCGTGCGTGTCGAGCTTGACCTCTTGCTTTGCTTTGCTGGAGCTGTGACCAGGTGGGGGGGGGGGAGAGTCGGAGTCGGAGTCTGCAGCTTCCAAGGTTGAGTTTCAAAGTACCTAGGTACCCAGGTAGCTGGCTCTTGCGCTGGAATGCTTCGCATGGAATCTTGTGGTGTGAGACAGTTCTTGGTGAAAGGGGACGAGGCTCGGTTTTTATTTTCTTTTCCGCCTTCTCTTCAGGAGTTGCAGGTTCAATCCTGCGAAGACCCTTCGACATTGATAAAATTCAACCCGGCTGTCCGCCAGTATCTATATGTCCTCTTCTTATGGCCATCCATTGCCTCTTAAAGAGACGTCGTTGCTCCGGTACCTGCTTGGCCTTGCTGCTCCAGGGTGCGGTGCATTATCGGCGGGCGGGACGGGAGTTATCGACATCCTGCCCAATTGGCCAGCTGGCGGCGGACCCACAAGACCCACTGTTATTCATGCCTTCCAACAAGAGACATCCGTCGTCACCACACCAGCCACCTCCAGCTTGGGCAGCTGGGCATCTGGCATCCACTCGATCTTGTTGTTGCAAGAACTTCCATGGAAACACGCCCGAGCCTACTGTGTACGTTGTGACTCATCGATGGGGCCACAGGGGCCACAAAACGACATCGGCAGTGACACAGCACGGACGTACTGCAGAAGGACAAGACCAAACTAAACGTGTCCAGGTCACCTCCAGGAACCAGGGCCAGCCTCTTGGTCTCGTGTCCCCTTGCCCTCTTGCCTTGCAACCGGTCCCGGTCAGGGGAACTGCTGCACCGGTGCTGCTTCTACCATCAATGCTATATGCATGCGTGCATGGTTTTTCCCGCGCAGGACGCATCCTCGGCCCGCAGTGTGCAGCTGTCTCCCGGCACTTCCAATGTTACGGGATTGTGGCTGGAGCGGCAGCATCCGCGGTGATTTGTAGAGGGTAACCACGGCACGCTCGCCCGATTATGCCACAAATCTCATGTCACGGTACTCGTGCTCTTCGTTGCGAATGATTTTTTACGTTGAGACGATGGGTCAAAGGTCAACTTACAAGAGAAGAGCCATTTGGGACCTGCCACAGTAAATCGAGCCAGGCCCTCGTTGCGTATCTGCACAGTTAAAATCCATAACACTAACACACATCTCATTCTTGCCGCCTGGGTCAAAATGGGCTTAGAGCTCACGAGAATGTTAGCGCAGTATACTTAACCCTTTTTCAAACACAGAATCCTTCTTCATCAGGGAGATTAAGAGCGATTAGGAGATAGGATGCATGTACAGAAGAGACCACTACTCTCACAAGTGGCATACATACGGAGACGTCAACTTCTCTGCTGCAATGGCGACTAATTTTGCCGTGATATTTTCAAGCTTGGGGTTGCGAGTACCTGGGAGCAGACCGGATGAATTGGCATGCATGGTCCTCTGCGTCCTAGCAGCGCTTGAACGTCCCGTCTCAATTGAAGGACCAACGTTTGCTTGTGCAATCCATCTGGCATAAGCTTATTCAGGTAGAGCGCACCGTGACACAATCATCCCTTGAAATACCTAGGTAGGCCTTATATTCCATCCCACAAGATTTATAGCACCTTCTCTCATTGCATTCTCATTTCTCCAAGGACTAAAGGTTGTGGTCACTGTATCATTGCTTGGTTAAGTCGACCTTCGTTACAGATCCTCCATCAAAACCAGAAGCGGCTGGTTCCGTTGCGAATTAATAACTGCTCAAACATCCTCTAACACTCACTGTTTAGTTTCCGGAGCATTTTCCCGCGCAGATGCAGTCCCTATACGCAGCGTAGAGCAGCACCGCGAAATCCTGTGCCTCGGGACTGGGTCCGTCGTATGCTGTGTTTTGAGTGCAGCTGTATGGGTTCACGACCGGGGCCAGCTGCCCGCTCGACGACACCGTCTTTACCACGGCCTTCCGCCAAGCGTCCGCTGCTCCGGTGTATCTGGAAGTGGCAAACGTCTCCGGCGCGAGCACCGCGAGGCGGTATACGGATGCGGCCAGCGCTGCCGTTCCCGCAGCCTCGGGGAAGCTGCTGCTCGTGGTGATGTCTGCCGTGTCTGTGCGAGCCAATTTGATGACTTCGTCTACTTGGACGGAGGGGTAGGTCGCGCGTGTGGTTCAACAAGTGCCCTGGCGAAGGCACACCCTTGGAAGGAATACCACTCACAGTTACGAAAAAGCCCGCTTCCGGCCACTGGCCCGACAGTGATAGCTCCATCGATGATCTCCTTCGCCCACTGGACCAGGTTCTGCGTCTCGGTGGTCCCCCCGGCGCTCGTCGGCCAGTGTCTCACCGTGGCGAGGACCCGCGCGATGCCGTTAGTCGTCCAGCCGTTTCCCGTGCTCCACGTCCCGGCGTCGGTGCGCGACCCGGCCATATGTTTCCACAGGCCCGTGGGCTTGTCCTGGAGGACCTCACGGTACAGGCCGATCTGCATGACCGCCGTCCGCAGCAGGTCTTGGTTGTTGGTCGCGATGGCCTGGTACGCCAGCGTAGGCGGAACCATGTAGACAAAATCGGACCACAGCATGGTTGCGTCGTAGCGGTGGCTGATGGCCCCGTTGGAGTATCTTGGGACGTTGTTGAGGAGCTCGTTGACCTGACGCGTTGCGGCGTCGGAATAGGTAGAGTCGGATTGGCCGAGCAATATTGCGGAAACCCCGAGCGAGGCAGGATCGCCTGCGCTGACTGCTTTGATATCAGCCTCGTGTCTTATCCTATCCTGCAGTAACCGACCATATTTTCTATGGGCCTGGTGTCTTACCTTCTTTGGCAGTCAAGGTGTTCCCGGACGTCAAGATCTTGCCCTTTGCATACGTTGTTGCAGTGGTCTTCTTGTTAGGGATCTTTCCCCCCGGGAAGGCATTGTCACTGTACACCGACACACCAGGGTCATACAGCTCCAAGAGACCTTGCGCATTTGTCCCCCATTCCCAGTTCGACTTGGCCTTGGAAGTGGCGATTGCCTGCACTGCAGTGGGGCTGAACCCGATGTTGACCGTGCTGGTACAGACTGACTGGCCCAAGACATTGGCTACCAGGAGCGAGGCTGCGAGAAACTGGAAATGCATCGTGTACTCTTCGATCTTCTCACGGTCCGCGTTGCTGCTTTAGAGTTGTTCGATCTTGCAAAGGGAATAAAGAGCCTGAAGAACTCGCTGGAACGCCAATGGTATGCTCATCACGTAGGAGCACGAAGGAGAGGCATTTTGGCAGACACATTCAAGACTTTCACGGTGCTGGACTCTCCTCTCCTCGTCGGACGTCGCCCCGAATCAGCAGGTGACGTTCAGGATTTAGTTCGACTGTGTGCAATATATGACGGTAGTTCCAATTCCGTTTATTCCCTACTTAGGTTCAGCCACTGAATCGTCGATATCTGAACTAAACATTTACTATCATGGATTAGGCCCCACCGCCACATTCTTTCCTGTGATATCAATATATTGCCCAGCGTGACACGCTACCGGCCCGGGCCTCACGGTTGGCCGTACTGATGGAGTTAGAAAGCCAGGCGATATTTACTAGTCTCGGTCAACATCCAACCGAGAGTGGCAAGTTGATTGTGGTTTGTGTTGCTAGTCTATTGTACAGTTGCCCCTCCATTGCAAACATGAACGAGACTGAGGTCGCCTTGTTGATATACACGCAAGCATCTCTGTTCCTGGACCGCGCATGGATGAACTCAGCACCCTCAATAACCTTGCTTTCGAAATAGGAACTGGTCGAGCCGTTCAGATACGTGAAGAGTGTTGTATATCTCTCCAGAGTGGAGTTCGAGTGCGCAGATATGATTTCGGCCCTACTTGAGAATTACGGCCGAGCCATCAAAGGATTAGAACGCGCCTCAAACAAATCGGTCCCAAAGAAAAGTCATATTAGTCTCTTGACCACACAACGCCATATCTTTCCCAAGATGATCTAATTGGGGCACTTCTAGTCTTTCTGACGCAAGGCTGAGGCCAATAGCGCCAGCGTGATGCATTGAATGATAAAATGCGGAGGTGTTGTTCTTTCTGCATGTAGACCATATTCTTGATCAATAGCTACCGTTACCAACACTTCTAATAATGTTCAAGAAGCAGGTGTTTACTATCCAGTCTAATCGATATTGAAGCGAATCTTATGAAGTCATGTCAGGAATACGACGTCTAGCTTGAGGGCGGTGGCAAGAAGCCTAGTCACACTGCTGTAATCGTCACAAGCTGTACATATGCCGACCATGCATGTGTGAGTACAGCCCTACTCGGGTCTATGCCAACCCGAGGCCCGAGACCGTTCTGCTGTGGTGGCTCCTGCTGCACAAGCATAATGAGTAGATCTTATGGCCTGTTGCACTCGATTCAATCAGAATGGCGGGGACATTCCTATCAATTTCGGAACTCTCTTCCGAGCGTAATTGGCAGGCCACCTCAAACACAATACTCCGATTCGTGTTACGAGATTTGTCCTCTCGCGGGATCCTTGATCGACAAGGGACGGGTGATCTTCACACGTGCATTGATGGAATAATGAGTTAGTGGTCCAAGTTCTAGAAGGACGGGAGTGAATATTCTTTCCGCCGTTTATCCTGTCAGTCAAATCTTAACTCTGGCCTTTTTGGCCGCAATGTGTGGTATCCTAACTGGGATTGTTTTAGCCGTTCTCAATTAGAACTGTTGATGCTTTGACGGTGCCAAGACACATCAAAATGGCACTCCACAGCAGTCAGGAATACTGCAACGCAACTTTCGGGGCTCATTTACTCTAAGTTTCGGGTGTTTAATTGAATACCATTCGACTTGTTGGCAACTGAATCGATTCAGCCGTCGCAGATCATACCCCAGGCCAAAGGCTAGAGCTCGAACCGCTTGAGCTACGGAGCGTAGAGTTCCGCTGAATGACCCTCTTCCCATGTTACGCTGCAGGCATAGCGACCAAGTGAGTTGATCCTCGTGTATATAGAGAACAGGTCTTGCCAAGTGATTCGCGAGTCTTGGTGATGATTCAAAAAGTCAGCTTCGTTTCCATTGTCAAAATACATTGAGAAGTCCCTGGCGAATACACTTCATGATGGTCACATTTCCATTTGTTGTGGCCGCGGCGGCTGCTTTCAGCCAAGGTGCACTGGCTGCTTTCGGGCTCACCTCTGGTAGCAGCTCATACACTGTCGACACCGGTGGTGACCTTGTTTACGTAGTATCCAAGTATGTCGGTCTCTCAAGCTATGCACGAATTGAATGCTAACAATCTCAAGGTCCAACGGCGATATCACCAGCTTGAAGTACAAAGGAGTCGAGTACCAAGGGACTTCCAAGAATACCGCAATCAACTCTGGACTGGGCTCCTCGACCGTGACTGGCGAGACCGTCAACGGGTATATCAAGATCACAGTCGCGTCGAGCGGCAACCCTGTCACGCAATACTACGTGGCGAAAAATGGTGATCCGACAATCTATATGGGAACCTACATCACTGGAGAGGTTGACCCCGGTGAGCTTCGCTGGCTTGCTCGCCTGCGGACAAATCTGCTGCCGACCGGCGTCCATGGCAACGTTGGTGACACGCGGGGCTGCACCGCTTTCGAGGGCAAGGATACCTTCAAGTGCTCCAACGGCGAGACGAGATGTAAAATGTACACGTCCGACAGGTTCATTGACGACCCCGTCCATTGTGTCACGGGCAGTGTGAGTTCTCTTTATTCAAATAACTCCGGAGCTCCAGTATACTGATTACTGGTCTTAGAATGTGGCGCTGTGCATGATAATGCCCGGTGTTGCCTACGAAACGTCCTCAGGCGGGCCGTTCATGCGAGATATCAACGGTCAGACATCTGACGACGAACAAGAGCTCTACTGGTACATGAACAGCGGCCATGTGCGTACCGAGCCATGGAGACTTGGTCTCATGGGACCCTATGCAATGACCTTTACGTGAGTAGTCCCCCGCATATCCAGCAATAGAACTTAGGGGACCCTGCTGATTTTCGGCCTCTTAAGAAACGGCGGCACTCCTTCTGCAAACCTGGACACTTCTTTCTTCGGCAGCCTCAGCATCAAGGGCTACGTAGCCTCCAGTCAACGTGGTTCTGTCTCAGGTACTGCCTCTGGTGTACCATCAAGCTTCAAAAGCGTTGTGCACTGGTACAATAATCAGGCCCAGTACTGGACGTACGCCGATTCATCTACCGGCGCGTACAAATCGCCGCTGATGAAGCCCGGAACTTACACCATGAAGCTGTACAAGGGCGAATATGAAGTCTCGTCAGACTCGGTCACAGTCACTGCCGGTGGAACTGCGACAAAGAACATCGCCTCTAAGGAGGCTCAGCGCACACCGATCTTCCGCATCGGCGAGTTCGACGGCGAGCCCTTTGAGCTGAAGAACGGCGATAAGATTACTCGCATGCATCCCTCGGACACCCGAATGTCATCGTGGAGCGGAACTTACACCGTCGGGTCCTCCGCTGCCAAGGATTTCCCAATGGCTATCTGGTCAAAGCAAGGCAGCCCTGCCACCATCAACTTCAACTTGGCGTCATCCCAGGTTAAGGACCTGACACTGCATATCGGCACAACACTGTCGTTCAAGGGAGGCCGTCCCATACCCAAGATCGGCAGCTGGACCGGAAAGGACCCAGGTGCACCGGTGAGTACCCGCCAGGCTGACTTTTGCGGCTTAAAAAAACATCCCAGCTGACTAGCCTTTTGCCTAGACACTCATCGACTCTCGTGGTGTGACCCGTGGTGCCTATCACGGCTACAACGAACAGTACACTTGGGCTGTCCCAGCCAGTGCTTTGAAAGCGGGAGCAAACACGCTGACCATCAGTGTGGGCGGCTCAGGGGATGCAACTTGGCTGAGCGCGAACTTCATTTTCGATGCTGTAGAGCTGTACTAGTCTGCCTTTGAGGATGGAATACCACAAACAAGTCTGGCGTCAGTATCATCTTGATATAAGTATACGCTGTATTAAGAAATGTTCGCCACCCTCTCACTGCAGCTCCAAGATACCCGAGATGCTGTACAGCTCCTACAGAGTACATAGGCGGCGCCGAGAGATAACGAATTTGACACTATCTTACAATTTTTCTGTAAGACGTAAGAGCTTGTTTTGCAGGAATTGATTCCACGCAGGTGTTCCCCGGGAAGATTACCTTATGACAGGTTGTCCCTTATACAATCATCCCACAGGAGATTGTTTGTGCCGGAGGAAACGAGAACACAGCACTCCTATCCTTGGAAAGGGAACCAAAAGCTGGCGAGGTGGACGAGGTGGAAAATGACAAGTTGAGACAGGATGGCGCGTCGACGAAAAAGGTCAACACAGCCGGCGAATGGGTATTATGGACCAACTCAGAGCTGCCTTACCCATTTGTACTCTAGCAATAGGGAACCGGAATAGCTAGGTGTGGGAGCTGCAACGAGGGACCGTCTGATACTAAGGTACTGATGCGGTAATCACTGCGAGTCGTATTGAACAATGGGCTCCAGAGAAGCCAATTGTCAACCAGCACGCATGCGCACAGCATCAGAGCAGAGCATCGGAACTCAAGACATAGTTCATTCAAGCTGCGATAATTCTGCAGATGCACTTAGATGGCCTGACTTCCTTGCCTTCGGAAATCTCATTCAAACTGGACATCGTCATCGGTTGCACCTCCCAAGTTTGAGAACTGCGCTACTCTTCGCAGCCAGTCTACTGTCGCCCAGTGCCTGAGCTGTTGTGCTGCGTCTCGGGTATTTGCAGGGGCTACAGATCATGGAACACAGCCAGCTGTGAAACCCTCATGTCCTGCTTGTGGACGACGGGTGTCTTGGTGGTACTCGGCGAGCTCGGAGAACATGCTGTGCTTCCAGCGACAGGCACATAAATACGAGTCGCGGACGCCTGTATTCTGCCGCCCACATCGACCTTGTCTGTGACATTGTTAGGATTTCATCTAGGTATTGACTATTTGGTAGCTTCGACGACCTCTTGCAGAGCCTCAAGAGTGCCTTTGGAGATGTTCCAGTTGCCTGCATCGCCAGTCTCTACGTAGTGATTTGCCACCGTCCAAAATATTCCAACATGCAATCAATTGCCTTGCCTGTGGCACGCAAGGAAAGGTGGGAACGTGGGCCAGGCCCACGGAAGCGCACATCTCCAATCTCGGAATTTCTCTCCCGCATGACAATCCTCCGAACCCCGGACCGAGCCCGCCAGGATCACCATGCCGAGATGGGGCCCGGAACGACCCTGAGGCTGATCTATTCTTGGCCGCATCCCACATCATTACAGACTTCATGCACGTGGGAAAGGGGGGTGCGCCCGACCTGTGTCACGGCAAACGCCCATCCCCCTTGCTTCCCTGCGCAAATGTCTAGATCACCGGAGACGTAAAAGAGACTTCAGAGGCATCGCAGCGCCGGCAGATACGACAAAACTGGGTTCGCGCAGGGTGCAATGTATCAAGCTTCGCCGGAGCGAGGAGCGGGAAGCAAAAACAAGAGAAGCTGAATGCGTCCTGCAGCGTACCACTCGGCACTGCTACATGTTACCGGGGCAGAAAAAAAGGAGAAGAAGAAACATCCCTAGCAGCTCTGAACCCAAAAAATTAAGATATGAACCATTGCTACTGCTAAGGAAACTGCATCAAAAATAGAGTTAAATTGTGCGGAAGCTGTGTAAGCTTACGGAGGTTTGAGCTACTGCGGCCGGGGTGCAAGCTGTGTAAGTATCACCGTCGTGCGAACCATGCCTCCGCGGTATATTTAGTGAAGAACTTTGTGACATCCGTGACATCCGCCATGAGCGCGCCGTGGTCGTTCAATCCTGCACTGGCGCGGCGGCCGGGCTAGGTCACCTCGGGCAGCGAACACGAACTCTGGAACCAGCTGCGTGACACCATACCAAGAGCTTGCTGGGAGAGATAATTCGTTGGCTCGGCTTGTCGACATTAGCACAAAATGCTGCTGGTCGGATCGGGTTATCCAGGTACATCTGTAATCGTTGTGTGGCCTCTGCCACCTCCGTTCGTTGGCATGGGCGGGCCTCGAACCATGCACTTCGGAGGTGGACTTTAACGCTACGCGGCCTCGAGACCGTCTGGTACGGCTCTTGAAAATAGCACACAAATAAAGAACAAGAGATCAGTCAAGGTGTGCGTCGACGTATCTCATGCTGCGAATCAAGAATATGAATGAATATCAGATTGGTGGAAGGTCGGGGTATATACATTGTATAGAAGCTGCCCATGAAGTCGCGCGGGTTCAGCTCTGATTGATAAGACTGAGAGGGCGGCGATATCTCATGCAGAAAGAAGAGGAAAGAGAACTCATGCCCATCTAAGGGAGGGCCAACAGCGAGAACATGCCACCCATTACAGGTCTGGCCCTGAACTGATTCGGGGTGTATCCACCAGTGTCTCCGTCTAGCAAGTCACCGTACGGGATGGTCTGCGGCGTGTTGTTGATCCAGTACGCCTGTTTATCGATGAACATCTTCTTCGTCTCGTCACTGGCCACAGCCGCCGCCCACAGTTCCCAGTCGCTCTTGATCCAGTTGTGGCGGGTGTCGAGTGGCACACCGAAGGCTGTCGCAACGGTCGGGTAGAACGCGGACTGCATATCATAGATTTGTTGAGGGACAAAGTTGAGGCCAAGCAGGCGGTCTGCATAGATGTTGTAGAGGAGACCGTGGGAGCTTGGATCATTGTAGGTCAGAACGGAGTGTGGAGGAGAAGCATCAGAGTTGATCCCAAAGTTCTGCCACTGAGGTAGGTACTCCTCGGCAGTGGCATCGTAGGTGACGACATTTCCGGTGAGGTTCGCGACCTGTCCCATCGCCTTGAGCCCTATGATACCCTTGATGGCCAAATTGGTCTGGTTCGCCAGCGTGCCTGCAAAGTCGTCCGTCGAAAGCTGCTCCGCTGGGATGAGGGAGTCGTTGACCAAGTAGCCGGCCCACTGGTTGAGCTTGTCCCAGTGCTGGTTGAGATATGCATTATCACCCGAGCGTTGCGCGTAAGCCAGCGTCAAAATTATCATGTTGCCGCTCTCCTCGACCTGCATGGGCTCGTCGTTTCCTTCAGGATAGCCCAAAGCGTTGGGGAAAACTCCCAGGTCGTGTATGGCGTAGGTGTTTGGATAATGCCCACTTTCCTGGTTCTCATACAGCGGATCCAGCAATAGCTTCACCAGGGTCTCGTTCAGATACAGAAGCAGGGGAGCCGCCGGGAAAATGACATCGACGGTATTGGTGTCTCCATTCGAGCTGATCTCCTTCAGGAACAGATACGTTTGCGTGCCCTGAGCAGGGACGGTGGCGGCGAAGACCTGACGCACGCCCAAGCTGGTAAGAATGGTGTAGTTCTGGCCGCCAGCGTTAGATGTGTCTGTTTCGATCTTGCCATCAAGGTCGCCCATTGCGGATCGGGCTGACGAGTAGTCGTTGTAGAAAGCTGCCATCGCATCTTCGGCCGAGCTGTAGGCTGACTTCCAAAGCCCTGAAAGTGCCGTTGCACTTGGCGAATTGCCCTGATAATTCACGACTGAGTCCTGAGACAGTCCGAGTGTGAACAAGACCCCGGTTTCAGTACCAGACACAGTACCCAGGTCCTTGGAGAATGCGAAGACAGGCCTAGAAGGTTCGGTCAGCATCCACAATCAGGATTTGGTACGTAGCGACTCCACTACTCACCAGTCAACATTAATGGCCCGGAAGTTGGTGTCCTTGGTATTGTCGAGTGTGCGGTTGTTCACGAACTGGCCACGCACGGCCGTATCTTGGCCGATTCTCCACGTGACCTGTACATGAATATTAGACGGTGTGTACTTGACTTTCTGGAGCCTTCTTGTCAGACTCACCCCATCGGTGTCGGCGGTGGACACGAACCACTGACCCCATGCCGGTTGGTCACTGATTTCAACGAACTGTCGCTGATTCGAAAGTTGAAACGTGTGGTATTCCACGCCCCCGTTGGTTCCGTGGTCCCAAGTGATGTTCTGGCTCGCGTCCCGGCCACTTGCGAGCTCTCCGGAAGAGTCCAAGTAGACTTGGACACTGTGCGAGGCTCCATCGGCAGACACGGCTGTGACATCAATGTATGAGTGCTGCAGTGATTGCTTGAGTAGGTCATTCGGGTAGACGGGAGACAGAAATGTGGCTTTCAAGGTGACCTTGCCCTCAACATCGAAAGTGAAGACGGTGTTGGTTGACGTATAGGTTGCAGACGTCTGATTGGCCACAGCAGGACCCGGAGCGGCCCCCATCCAGTTGTAAACAGCACCATCTACTGCCACAAAACCTTGCCATCCTGTGATTTGGCCGCTGCCGAGATATATGTTAGTCAGAACAGCACACATTTGGTGGCTTCGGAGTAGGTCAGACTACATACGCCCAAAATGTTGGCCAGTGTCCGGCGAGGGAACCCCCTGATGACCCGTCCAGCCAGGTGCTGAGATACGGTGATCTGACAGCCAAAGGCCAAGCTGGTGGCCTGGCAGGACTGAAATCTATGGCTTGTGATAGGCCACCAAAAAAGGCTGCCGCTGTGGCAGCAAATTGTGCCGGACGCATTTTGGTGCTGCTATGGCCAGGAGGAGGTGGTATAAGATGTTAATCAGGAGCAGGGTTAAGATGCGGCGGCAGAGGCCTCGCTTCGTGATCCCTTTTCGGAGGTTTGTGGAGACAAGGTGTAAAAGAAAAACATAGAATTCTTGGGGGATATATGATTATTATATACGCTTAGCTTTCAATATCGTGGGATGAACTGCGGATCCCGGATGACACGAGGCAACGATGGGAGGTGAGTTAGGACTCGATTTGGCCAGAAGAGGGTGGTAGTAGAGTGAAAAGTCGGGACTAAGACGTGATGGGATGGGGACCCTTCTTCAATAAACTTGGTCGTGTGAGCAAAATTTGAAGTACAGGCCTCACGAGGTGGCCGTCATGCAGCACCGGGGGGTGATATTGTAAGGAAAGCGAAATTATACAGTAGGACCACACCTGCGCATAGTTGAAGGGGAGGGTGTGGCTGGCGGCGAGAGAGCGCAAGGCGGCGGCGAGAGAACGGGAGCTAGGACTGGTAACCTACGCAGTGACATCCAAGTGCCAGCTTTGCTGAGGGCGCATGTATGTTCCCTGCACCAGGGACGCGCCTCCAAACATAGCAATGGTTGTGCTCATGTCCCTGCCCCTGGCAAGAATCAGGAAAAGAGGACGAGCTGGTCTGCCCGTACGCTGTGCCGTCGTGCGAATCGCGGATCCCTCCAGGCGCTTGCTTGGAGGCTCGAGGTCGGACCTGGGCATGGAAAGCCCGAATCTGCAGAGTTTCTGCAAAGTTCCTGCATGTCCTGGATGGATGATGCTTGAAGAAATTGTGGGCCAGGTATTGTGGGCCGTTGGACTGCTCTCGTGGGGGACTGGTAAGACTCAGACATTGCATGCGCTGAAAGCTTGTGACTCGGCGTCGGTCAGGACAGAGAAACTAAGAACCTTGGCAACTGATACGCGAGAAAGAAATGCGGTGGTCCTTGACCCCGAATGCCGCGACAGTCCAAGGACCACTTGATGGGTTGGAAGGGGCTGGACGTGAGCACCGGCGGTCGAGTTGAAACCGCAGGCTACGACGCGGCGGTAGGCTGGGAAACAGGACGAAAGGCGAGGGACGAATCAGGGCCGGAAGCAGGGCCAACCCCTTATTCATGAGGCAGTACACCCGGACGCATAGGACGGGATGCTTGAGCTGGTGGGGGAGGCCAGGGACTCGTCCAAGCTGGAGAGAAGGGGGTCCTTGCTCAGCGGCTTGAATCGAGCCGGAACAGCGGTTGGAGGGGGCTGGACAGAACAACTGGCCATGGTCCTTCGATGACGGCTTCAACCAACCTGACGAGGGGCCGGAGATTGGCGAGGTGCAGACAGACAGACAAACAGGCAGACAGATAGATGCCCAGGCCGGAGTTCTCGTGCTGCGCCTGCACGGTCGAGGTCGGACGGAGTAATAGCCAAGACCGCCAGTCTGCCAGTCTCTCCATGCCAGTTGACCTTGCTAAGCACCCTTGGCGTGGCGCTTGCCTGCCGTACTTGGCGCAAAGAAGCAAACTTGGCAGGCAGTGCAAATGGTGGGGTGGACGACCTTCGTCGCGGGCCAAGACGAAACCTCCCTACTGTGTAATAAGCAGCATTCTGCAGCTTCTCCCACAGCAGGCTATCTTTGGGCAGGTCATCCTTTAGCAGGCCATGCCACTGGGGGTTAGTTATCCTGGTTCAAAGGGTGGGTGCTGATGTTGTGGATGCCGGCGTGTCAGGATAGACCTGCAAGGGCGACGAGTGATGAAGAAGTTGTTGATGTGACTGCCTCATCACTGACTGACTGACTGCGGGTCAGCCACCACCAACATCAAGGAGAAATCCGCAGCGCGGGGGAGCAGGGATGTGGTTCCACCTGATGAGTGGATCATCAGGGGCCAGAGTGCCGTTGGGCCCGTTTCTTGGGTTTGGGGAAGCAACGACAACCGTAACCATCGCAGCTACCGTTGCAGCAACGGCCGCTGCAACTCGCTGCTGCAACTTCAGCTGTCCCTCTCGCGTCAGAATCTTGGAATGGTTCACGAGCCCCTTGCATCCATCTGCACCTCGAGAGATCTCTTGCGCAATACTCCGGGCGCCGATCACAGCAATACCGAGTAACCGCAGAGATCTGATGAGACCGAGTCTCACTGTTCTGGTCCCGCTCCTGCACACACGCACACACAAGGACCTGGACCCGGACATGGACTTGTGTTGACATGGGACGAACCTTCACCTGCCTCACCACTCGGCCCACAAGAGGGCATCTCCAAACACCTACCCATGCCTAGTCCGACTCCTGGCAGGCACTTTAGATGAGTCCATGCCAGCTGACCAGACCTGACCGCAACTTCAATGTGACGGCAGGACGGAACCGTCAGGAATGGCATCACGAGGATTCCACCAGCGACCAGACATCTTCGCAGCGAGGCTTGAGCGTGCGCACCACGCGCGTCATGCATCATGTCGTGTCGTGTCCGTGTAGCCCTTGAGAAGTCGACAGTGCGCTCGCTCTGAGCCAGTCACAGCCGCTCTTCCACAATACATGAACAGCAGCAATTTCCTGACCCCACATCCCAGCGCATCGCGAGGCTAGCTTGTCGTCAGCAGGACTTCCCCGGATTCCAAGTCCGATGCCTTCGTTTTGGCGCCGTCTACTTGCCCCGACTCGGGAAGCGATCGCCGGTGGCAGTTACAGTACGAATGACACCCTCACTTTCCAGTTCTATTGTCGCGGGAAAACAACATTGAGTCTACACTGTCTTGGATAGCCCGCGACACACGAGCCTCTCCCGCACGCTCGCTTCCCCGCTTGCTTGCGTTGGAAGCAGGCATCACGAGTCTTGTTCCCGCCCAAGACCCTGGTGCAGACCGCATTATCCACCCAGCGCCAATTCAGGTGACATGCTAGCCTATGGCTTCCTCCTGTGGGCCCGCCTCTCCCACGCCACACATGCCCTTCATCTCCATCGCGTACGTCTCTCCCGCATCGACTCTTTCTGTCACTGTACATCTAGGTCAATCGGATTGAAGAAGCTGTCTCGAATCTGCCTCGCAAATACAATGAGCATCTGGGTGACTGCCATCTTTCGGTCTGCCTCGCTCGGTGATATCCAACAAACAAGCTCGGACTCCGGGGCAACATGTGGACGTTTCGAGTATCTGTGCTTGTTGAATGCTGCCTCGCAGCAGCTTTCCGTGTGCTGCACGTTGCTTCACCGCACAAACATATCCACCGGGACTTTGGAACCGGATATTTCGGTGACAGCTAGCTGGTCTGTTGCAGACTGGGCCACCACGGTCCATGTGCTGTGAACCGGCCCAATGCCGCAGATGCAACAGAAGCATCCGAATCCCGAGGCTACCTACCTGGAGTCACGTTGCACCAAGAATTTGTGCAAAGTCGTCGAATGCCCGAAATTGTGTCCCAGTAGACCGGCACTCCGCCAGGCAGGCGGTCCTTCTGCCGAGGTCATCGAAAGCCCTCAACGGCACGAATCCACTACTGCAGAGATTCCTGCGCTAGAAGGTCAGATCATCAACCAGAAGCCACACCCGCTTCTTCGCCAGGGCGGTCAATTGCCGCGGCGCCACTTCCTACGCAAAAGCCCAAGTACCTAGGTAGTCAGACACCCGATCCCCCAGCGCGCTATCCTATCATTTTCACAACACGGCCAGCCACCGCCGGTGTCCCATGCGACCCCGCGATTCGGGGGGGGCACACGCGATGTCTCAGGCAGGCCAGAACGCCCCATGTCTCTCTCAACCCCCGCCCAAGTTCACACTGGCTGTTTCTGAACTGGACGCCTGCCTGCGAATACCTTACCCAGCAGCTTCACGGGAGAGCAACCCGTTCAAGATTCTGACCACATGTCCTACTGCACCCTTAAGTTGCGCCGCTGTCGTCATCAAGGCGCGTTCCCACAACTCGTTACACTCACAAGAGCTGCCCATCATGAGGCCAGTCTACTAGCTCACTAAAGGACTACCATCTTTTAGAGAGCCCAGTTGCACTGCATGAGGCTACGGGCTGAAGTACCCATGCACACCAACATCGTCAGCCCCATTTCACGGCATCACAGGCGTGCCCCCTCCCCCCTTCTCACATTGTTATTCCACTCCACACTCGCGCGTGTGCCGTCTCCGACCAACTGCCTCGGCACTCACCCGGAAGCTGGACCTCGGAAGGTCTGTGTATTCCAGGTTGACAAGTCACCAAGTCCAATGGTCTCGTGATGCCTGCTTGGGTCACGATGGAGTCAGCTCAAGGTTGCATTCTAGGCCACGTGAGGCAGCATTTCATCTCTCTAAGCCTAGTGTTGCGAGAGACTACCATTCGGGACAGCGCGATGTGGCATCGACTCTTGATTTTCTCTGTTTGGATGTTGACGCTCCCAAGTATGACACTGGCCTCGAAGTCGTGGTCAGCCTGCCGTCGTTGCGCAAGCAGGTCACTGTGCAGCCGTTCGCCCAATTCTGGAGTGGTCTCGTTTCGAGTGAAGCGCCACGACATCCTGTGGCTCTCCTCATTATCCATTCGAACTCGTCCCGTTTTCATGAAAGCCTGTTTTGTGCCGCCGGCGATTACCACGCTGCATGGCGCCAGTTTGCAGAACACCGGACGAACAACAAAGACGCATGTGGGAATCGGCGGGGTTCTGAGATCGGCAGCACGACCTGGGAGGACCTGCCGGATCAATGTCGGAAAGCCTCACGAGTGGGACACGTCGTGTACCAGCTCACACGTGGCCGTGGCACAACAGCCCCAGCTTGCGGTGCAACACGAAGCGTCCACGGCATGGTTCCTTTCCGGCAGAGGCTTAGAATCGTGTCCGACAAGTGTTGAGGAGCACAGGCGGGCACGCCATGCCGAAAATTGAACCCCCTGATCAAGGGACTTCCGAATTAGGTCCCCGAGGACAACCTCGTTCAGCATTCGCATGGGCAGGACGTTCATGCTGTGTTCCAATAGACGGTAGTGCCATTTATCTTTCCTGAGCTCATCTGGGCATCAGTCGCCCCATGGGAGGAGGCCAGATTCCACCATGGACGAAGACACGAGCCTCTGGCACTGAACCTTCGATGGTCAGCAGAATGCCACTACTGCCCAAGATTTTCCGTGGCAGGTAGGAGTCGATGTTCAATTCTGATGATGACTGACTGTCATAGTATTACCTGGCCTGTAGAGGGATAGGTTCGGTACCAAGCGTGCTGTTCGGCTGCCCCAGACCTGAAACTTGTGGTCAGAAGGCACTGAAGCCCTCGCACGGTGGATGACTGGGGAATTCGACCGGAGTGGCAGTTCCTCAGTTTCTAGCCGTTCAACTGGGTCTGCAGCTGTTCTTGGCCCCTTTGAAACTCCTCCCTATTCACTCCTGAGGATCTCGTGGTTATTTTCTGGTCATTAACAAGAGTGAAACGGTTGGTTGAAGCGACAAACCGCATGAAGTTGAGAGGCCATGCCAAATCCTGGCTGATCGGATGTTGCACGGACGACTTTCGGCTCTTCAGTCAGTCCTTGCCGGCTGAAGTCTGCCTCGACCCAAGCCAGCGTGCTCAACTCTCTAGATAAGCGGCCTTTGGAGATAAATATCTGAAATATCATGTGCCTGTCTGTCCCTTCAGTCCCTGATTAGGCTCATGCGAGAGTTTCCGGGCTGTCTTAGAAAATGGCCTCACCAATACATGTTACAAGCTTGTCATTGCACGTAGCGAGCCTCATCGCATCAGGCTACCCATAAAGTAAGCTCTTGGTTGAAAGTATCAGGCATTGCCAACAGATACTCCTGCCGCCGGATACTTCTGCCGCCGTGCCAAAACTTCGGCCGCGCTGGTGTCATGGCCCGGACAGTCTTAGATCAAGCTAATTTTCAAACCGGGATATAAAAGGCCACGATTCACTCGCTAGGCCGATATGTTGTCGTGCACAATAACTTCGCTTTCGTGTAACTCGAAGACAGGCGTATCAAATGCTCACCGCCGGAAGGAACACGCGAAATCACTTCGAAGAGTTTGTCCTATAGAATATGTTGCCGTACGGAGCCAACCTATAGCAGGCTTTCTCATCCGCACTGGGATCTTTTACGCTCGGTCACAGGGTAGGAGGTGGTCAAGTGCGCTCAATCCTGATCCACCACAACTTCTGTCCAGAATTCTCACCTCCGGGGTCAGCCTCAGCTTAACGCATCGAATTATTACAGGTTGTGTTATCCGATATGTTCAAATTGGGAACCAACGGCTCCTGTCCCCGAGCGCAAAAGTCCAGCCGTCTCGCAGCACAGAATTCCGATGTCCTTTTCGACTGAGTACCTAGGTATTCACTGTCGAGTTTGCTGACTGCTCGGTGATACTCTGAAAATCCCAAGATGCCAAAACCACTCAACCTGATTTTCGAAGCTGTACCACGGTGGTGTTGCTTGATAAGTTTGAGGCGCTCATCATCAGCCGTTTGACACTGACACGGAAGCTACGTCGTCGGCTTTTCGAACACGTATCAGAGACATCAGACCGCCCTGCTGTATTCCTTGGTGGGATTCCTCAGATCGTTCCTGTGCTGTGGGGTATAGCTCGTCAGTGTTCTTCAATATCGATTTACTACAATAATCACTGCCTTGTCGGTGGTGTGAGAAATGTCTGCGAGCGGAAATCTGAACCGTCTGCAATGTCTGAAGATTTATTCACCGGAACAACCAAGACCTTTCTCGAGCGTTGGCCAAGGAGCAAAGTATATGGTAGAAGTGCTTCCATGTGAAATCATCCCGCCGTCACCTTGCCAGCGTCAGTGTCTCGATCGGCAGATTTTGGGAATGTGTCAGGCGCAATGACGACGGCCCCTCACTCATCCCCAAGGCCTCATCGCTGAGACCAAAGCGGTTTTCTCGCATCTTTGGAGGATTCTGGGACTTGAGTAAGGGTTGGTCGCCAGGATCGGTGATTAACCTGGCCGGTCTCACGAGGCTTGCAGACACAAAGCAAATTTAAGGACGTTCAGAGGACCTCGCCACCGCTGGGTGACACCTGATAGAGCGGCGGTCCTATGATCGCCACTGCCAACGTTTCGTAAATCAGTGGGCCAGGGGGCGCCGGTCTATGTCCCAACGGCTTCGCCACAGCGTCATGAGTCTTGTGTGTTCAGGGGTCTCCAAGATCGCTTGCTTCGGGCTCGAATGATAGTGTAGGGGCTTGGTACAGTGACCCAAGAGCCCGGGCGCGTCATCGTACAAGGGGATGAGTACACGCTGGGCATATTGATCGAGGGAATCTCACATAATTGTGTGACACGGGCTGAGATTCCCAGTTCGCATTGCCGGCGCTGAGCGCTGTACAGCCCACTTTTTCTTTTCTTCTTCAATGTTCTTCATCGGTGTCTTCGCTCTTCAAAGTCCGTCTCGCGCTGATCAATGATCAGGAGGTCTCAAAAGTAAAGCCAAACCAAGCCATCGCATATGAGCAACATTTCCCGGCGAAACAGCCGAGCTGGTTAAGCATCAGGATGGCGTGGCTGTGAATGAACCATGAGAAGCTTTCATGATGCGCCCGGTGGAACCTGAGCTCGGCATGATTTCCCCTGGATCCCTCCTCGGTGATGTGATTTTCTTAGAACCGGAAAGCTGGATTCTGGTCTTAGTGCCCTCCTCAGGGTCCTGCATTCGAAAGAAACATTCCCACACGGAAAAACTACACTGAGACCCGTGTAGGAGGAAGTTGTGTCAGGCGAGAATTGCGGGGCGAATATCTACGAGATCTGTTACCAAACAAGAGGGCAGTGTCCTCCTGAATACTACTGAGTAGTTAGTCAGTATGGCTGGGCATAAGGAATAGGGCTCCGCTAACCGACGCTGCGAAGTTGTAGTCTACTCAGTGCAAGGGGTTTCAAGGGTGTGGCCTGTCACCCGTCTCGGCTAGACTTTCGTGTCAGAAAAGTGCGGGCGACGGCGGCGGCGGCGGCGGCGGCCACCGGCCACTTTCGGCCGGCGGCAATGCCCTCCTCAACTCACCCACCCGGTTGCAACATGCACGCGCTCGGTAAGGCACAACACACTCTGAACCACTGTTTCTCGACGACATGCATCGACTTCCTGTTATGGAACGTCTGGGCTTCATGACGTCCGGTTTGAGGTGCCTGTCCTTTCATGGCCATGCTGAGATGGCCTTGGCTTTCCTCGCCGGGCGACTCCTCTGGGAATTTTCTGTTTCTTCTCCCATGTTGCAGTCACTGCTGAGTGAAACAAAGAACTGATGTCTTCCTGAACGACCAATCGCTCTCGTGAGTAGTCTCTGGACCAGCTCTCATCTGCGTAAGGCTAGAGACAAGCACTGTCGGCAATGTCAAATGGTGCGATGCAACATAAAGCACCCCTGGCGCGGGAACGAAGTAAATATAGAAGCGGCACCTAGACTAATTGTCTACCGGTGCCGAAGGGACGAACAGCACGTCGGTAGCAAAATCTGTAAACCATGTACTTAATAGACCGGTTTGCCGTAGTTTTACCACATGAAATGCCCAGGTAATAGGCCCCGCCGTTGCGCTCGTTATTGATTGATCCTGGCAGACATGCGGGAACCCGCGCACGAGTCGGTAGGAATGCTCCCCAGATCTGGGACCCATGGCGTGTCAATAGCAAAAATAGGCATGCCGGAAGGCGCCCGCCCCTAGGTGCTTTTGGAATTCCGACGCCAGATCTTCCCCTCGCCAGATCTACCACCCCCCTGCTGCACATCTGGGATCTCCTGTCTACCCTGGCCGAGCCCGTCTTAAGCTTGATTCAACGTGCCGGTCTGATGGAACTTTGGTAGACCATCCACTCCACTTTGGAACAGGGCCTTCCAACCTCTTGTTGGGGCGCTCAGAGGAGGTGTGAGGACCCCGGGGTTGATTTCCCGTTTGATGCGGAGCTGATAATCGCAGGGCAAACATCAGACCTTGCCTCCAGCAAGACTAAACAGATCCGGTGCTGGATCCAAACACGGATGAACTGTGACGGTCCTGCCCAACATCGCTTCGTCTGAGCCTTTGTTGAGACCATGTTCCAAGGCTGACAGCCTGCACGGTAAGAGGCCAAGACATCCTGGTCAGCCTTGAGATGAAAGTTAGATAAAGCGGCAGACTTTCCCACCATCCTTTCCCGTTACCGACTCTTCTGCAGCCTCATCGGGTCTTGTTTCTCATCCGTTCTTTTCTCCTCCTTTTAGTTGTCTTTGGGCCGGCTCAAGTACTTCAGGGTCGCTGGTTCCACCCTCGTTATTCTTTAATCTCAGAGCGGCTGCCCAAACAACATCACCATCCCCCCTCCAACAGCCAACATGCGTGGTCTCAACCTCGTCCCCGCCCTCGCCCTCACTGGCCCCGGGCTGGCTGGCCCGACTCGTCGTGGATTCGGAGCCCTTGTTCAGCGCCAGGCTGGCAACGATACGGCGACACCGCCGCCTCCTCCTGCCGCCGCGTCTGGTGCTCCTGACGCCCCGCCTCCACCTCCTGCGATCGCTGTACGTGTGCCTGAGTGCGATTACCGGGTCTCCCTAGGCTTGCTGGTGTCTGGTGGACAGCAGGACTTGGGTCCCAGAGCACTGTGGTCTCTAGACAGCCTCGGGAGCCATCCAGCAGCGCCGTCGCCATGTAGGAACGAAAATGACTGACCTGTGTTCTGAAGTCTTGCCCTCCTCCCCCTCCCCCAGAAGCAGCTGGAGCCGCAGCCGCTCCTCCACCGTGAGTGCTTCCTGTCCCGGAGTGTCGACATAGGTGTTCTTCCCCCAGTGGAGTTAGCCTGAACTGCCTCGAGCAGTTGGGCTCAACGAAGTGGCCCTTCCACGTTTCTCTCTCCAGTGCCGCTCGCTCACTCGAAGTCGTATAGACCTGGCCCTCCTCCACCACCGCCAGGCGCCTCCGGAGCTCCTCCACCGTAAGTCTCGCTCCCGGGGTAACGTTCTTTCCTGGGACACATCAAGGCTGACAAATTGGCTTTCAGACCACCTGATGCCCCAGGAGCGCCGCCACCGTTAGATCTGCCCCGTCCCGTATTCTGTGGTGTCGAAGAAGCCCCATGGGAGAAGCCAACTAACATGGACCAGACCTCCCGCCGCCGCCTCTGGCGCACCACCGCCACCGTAAGCACGCTCCCGGCCGTTGCCAGTTGTCGGCCAAGTCCCATGGATAAACGTGACTGACCTTTGCAGACCTCCTGCCGCCGCCTCAGGTGCACCACCACCGCCCCCAGCGCCACCAGCAGCAGGTGCCCCGCCACCGCCCCCGGCTGGAGGCCCTCCTCCTCCGCCTCCCGCCGCCGCCGGAGCGAACTGCACAGCGGCAGCGCCTCCACCACCTGATGCTGCCGGCGCCGCTCCTCGTATGTGAAATATTCTTCCGAGACGAGGAGCTCCGAAGCAGAAAACGATGCTAAGAAATTCTTCAGCTCCGCCCCCTGGCGCCTCTGGCGCGCCACCACCACCGCCGGCTGCTGCGGGCGCGGCTCCTCCTCCCCCACCAGGCGCTGCCGGTGCTGCTCCTCGTACGTAACCATTCCTTTCCAGGAACTGCAAGTTTGAGAGGAGAATGGAAAACAATGCTGACGGAATATTCAGCACCACCCCCAGGCGCCTCTGGTGCACCACCGCCGCCGCCGGCTGCTGCAGGCGCCGCGCCCCCACCGCCACCAGGTGCTGCTGGTGCCGCTCCCAGTATGTGAAATATCTCACATGGACGACGGTGTCCAGAGAAGTGAGGAACCAATGCTAACAAAATGCTCAGCACCGCCCCCAGGCGCCTCAGGCGCAGCAGCACCCCCACCACCACCGGCAGGTGGCCCCGGTGCCGCGGGTGCCCGTAAGTAAAAGCACATGGCGGCCAGGGGAGATTCTCTCTGTCCTCCTGATCCTTTCAATCCCGAGAAGAGGAAGAAGAGCTGACATCAGATCTAGCACCACCGCCGCCAGCAGCCGCAGGTGCAGCCGCAGTCGGCAAGGGAAAGCGTCGTCGATCGCTACCGAGAATGGCCAACGGCGGACGGCGGGCCGTCAAAGTCGAGTGGTAAAGACAGGACAACAGCCGCGGCGAGAAGAAAGTCCAACATGGGAGCAAGGGGGCTCAATAACAGACTCATCGGTCTTATTTCTAGAGTCGGGGCATCAGTCAGCATTTTCCTAGGGTCATCGGTTGTTTGGTTGTGAGTTTGGTACGAGAAGAATCGGTGCTGCTGGCAGGCCAGTATCTCTCAATGTCTATTATCTATTCAATGTGGTTAGGGAAAGCTTGAATATCAACACATGATATCAGCCCCAAAATGGTTGGAGGCACCACGGTCGTGAGCTAGTGAAGTGTCTGAAATCTCGTGAATGGCGTGGTCCATTATTGTCGACGGTCTCCAAGTGTGCTTCAGCGCAGGCGGCGAAACGACGATAACGGCAATGCCGATGCGAATTAACGGGCAGTATGGTGGGCAAAGGATTGAAAAGACTCGTCTGGATGGGCTCACCTGGTGAAACATGAAAGTCAGACGATTCGATGTGGCCGTCCATACGACTCGATGTCTGAACGAGGAATGTGGCTGTGTGGGTGAGGTTGGCTAACGGCAGGCGGTCTCGCTCAGTACCGGGGGCGTCATCGTTTGTCGTAATGCTGCAAGGGCGAAGCTGAATATTAATATTATGATTAAAGATCTATGCCTTCTATGCTTCTTTACAGTCCTTCTTTTTCAAGCATCTCTGCAATCTGAACGTAGAAAGCGGTGGCGTTAAAGCTTCCGTTTCTCATAGATTAGCATCAAAGTAACAGTAAAGAAGCCAGGTGCGAGGCGTAAGGCAAGGGCTGAACTCACGGATTCTCCTCGCCCATCAACCTCCTCATCGCCCACCTGACCCTGTTCGTCCAGTTGATCAGATCCAGATGGCTGACGTTCTCCAGCGTGCCCTTGTACGCTCCCCACTTCGAACTTTCCACGCTAACCAGGCCATCGTTGAGCCCTTCCTCCTTGCTCAAAACATTGAAGGACGCCCGGAATGGGCTCAGGAGTGGAGGTTTCTGGTTCAGGGCCGCGCCGTACGAGAAGTACTGTACGTCCGGGTCGTCCGGTGTCCTCGGGTTGAATTCCTGCGACATGTACTTGCGGGTGAGCTGCGAAAAGGCACCGGTGCTAAGCCCGGTCGTGCGTTTCCACGCCTCGTAGACTCCAGGTAGCCGTTCCGGACCTATTTGTTCAAGAAGGTAGTCTGCGTAGGCTGAGCCGTGGTGAGGGCTGGCGATGGTGACCAGGGATCGGACGTTGATGTCGTTTGAGGGATGCTGCTTTTCCTGTCGCTGGGTGCGACGTCTGTGAGCATAGCTGATCATGTACCTCGCATCCAGGCCGCCCATCGAGTGGGCAATGATATTGACTGGCCGCCCATGAGATTCCTGAAGGATATGATCCCGGAGCTTTGCAGAGCGCTCCTCGATGCTCCCAGTTGGCGGGACTGTAGCCGTGATAACCTCGACGCCATTCTCGGTCAGGGCCTCTTTGATTCCGTGCCAGTAATGGATCGGAGGGAGGTAAGATCCCGCAAGCTTCAGCTCTGCGAAGCCCAGAAGGCCATGGGCAAGCACGATTGGGTATTTGGGCATCTGGGTCAGGCGTTAACACGCGGGATTTCCGGGGACTGGGAGCGCAGCCAACCTGTCGGGAGTGTCGGTTGATTCGGGGCTTCTTGGGATCGAAGACCACAGGGTGGATGACTGGCTTCACGGTCTGGGTGTTGGCCTTTGTGCTATCCGAGCTTTCTTGATATGTACATGATGCTGCTTTACTTATCGTCGTTTTCTGGTCAAAACGGAATGTCCAGGGTCGCGTGCCTGGTCATTTGCAACTCCCTGGTTTGTCCCTGGTGATGTCACTGCATCGTTACAACCCGAACCCTTGTGTTTTGCAAACACAGGGATGCCCCAAGTTGTCAACAATGCTTCAGCACCAACCTCAAGGACGGGCACGACATTGGCTCCCATACCTTGTCTCAAGAGCTCTAGCATGCATGTCTCATCCACAATTTTAGACTCAGAAACTAACAAGAAGGTGAGCGAGATGATATCGCATTCAACGGGGAACTTGGCTCAAATTCAGCTACATCACTGCCGATATACAGGGCAAGACATGAGACACGAATAACTCGAAGTAGGTCCCGACTCTCTCCATCAAGCTAAGACTAAGGGCACATTTCGAGTGCGACAGTATTCCTCGCCTCTTGGTCGCCCAAATGCTTCCAGAGTCCTGTTTGGGCTCCCTTTCCAGCTTCTCAAGTGCTTCGTCGCGATGTTTCTTGTTGTCAAAGTCGATGATAAAGTCCCACCTCGACAGCACATTACCTGTCAGCCGTTTCAAGTCCAAGCCCATCCCCTCGCCGCGGCCAGCCAGGATGAGTCCGGTGCCTCGGCTCGATTCCACAATCCGTTGTGTTCGAGGGCGGCGGACTTCGTCGTATACCCTCAGGGCCATACAGGCCTCCTTCTGTGACGTCGCGCGGCCAAGGACGCTGGAGAGAATCAAGGCATCCTCAATCGTCATGCCGCCGCCTGACCCTTGCCATGGAGTCGTAGCGTGAGCGGCATCGCCCATGATACAGACTGGCCCAGACACATGTGTGCGAGCAGGGGGATGTTCCCAGAGATACATCGCAGGCTGCTCCGCCTCGTCGCAAAGAAGCTGTTTCACTGTCAGTATTTGACTGCAAAGGATCTTGCTTGTCTCCTGAGCGCATATTCCTTACCTCATTGACGGCTTTCTTCAGATGTTCAGGGAAGGCCTTGTATAGCTCCTTGAGCTCGTCGGCACTGACGGTGCGGTCCCAACGGTCCGAGCCCTCGGCACCAGCCTCGTGGGCGGCGACGATGAATTGGACTACCTGGCCTTGATTGAACATGTTGTGCATCAGGAATGCGCCGTCCCCCACCCACGAGTACTCGCGAGATTCCTCAAGGGGCCCGCCACCGAAGCTGGCCTTCGCTTGTGTGGCTGGCTTCAGAGCCATGATGGTCCACGCACCGGTGTTCCTGGGCGATGCTGCAGGGTCATCTTCTCCAAGGACAAATTTACGAGCAGTGCTGTGAATACCGTCGGCACCGACCAAGATGTCACACTCGTGAGTGGTTCCATCCGTGAAATGGAGAACGACTGGCCCTTCACTGCCCTTCTTCTCAATGGTATTGAGCTTCTTGGAGGAGTGCAGGCGCTCCGGAGGGATTTCCGCCAAAAGCTCTCGTAGGAAAGCGGCTCGATTGACAATGCTGACCACACGCTTCCCGTGGGTCGCTCGATCCTCCTCGGCGACCAAGCTCCCTTGCCCCTCGCCCTGGCCGAGCATGAAGCGAACCCCGTTCATGTGCATAGCCCCGGCACGTTCGAGGCATTTTGGCGCCGATGTACCGATAAGATCCAGAGCAGTGAGCGCGTTGCGTGCCACGCCGATCGCCGCGCCAGCTACACTGCCATTTCCCCATCGTCAGTGCTTGTCAGAGCCTTCGAGTATGATTTGGATTTTCAAGGGCCCTCAATCAGAAGTCATAGTAAGGGATTGGCGACATGGACGTACTTGAATGATTCAGCGGACTCGAAGATCTGGACATCCAGCTGCGGGTAATTGAGGAGTCCGTGGAGAAGAGTCGCTCCCGCAAGACCACCTCCGGAGATGGCAACTCTGATGAGAGACATTTTGAGGAATGAGTGTGTTCAATCCGCGGATTTTGAATCAATAATTCCGACCCTTGGTCTGTGTCAACAATATGAGAGAAAGCAATCCCAATCGGCCTAGCAGATTGGAAATGCTTCCCACACAAACCGAGCAGGTCAAATCGTGTCTGGACGTTGTGAAAGAATGCAGTCCACAACGTTCCCGTAAACCCCACCCCCCCTTGTCGCTGCATACCACTAGCCTTGTATTCTGGCGAAGTGGCTCTCCTGCAGCAGCTGGCTAGGAATGTTACAAATCTGCAGGAATTATGGGAAATCTCGAAATTCCTACACTATTCTTCTAGCAGCAATCCTTGGTAAGAAAGGTTTAAGAAACAAGCAAGCCAATGATAAGTCGTAGGAGTTCTGGAGACCTGGTGAGTTGTAACATTCAGACCGGCCCCACCAACATGGAGAGCAATCAAAAGCATGAGTTTCAGCCGGAGCCAAGGTGATAATTAGGGAGGAGATGCAATGTGATGGTTGGACCCAACATGCATTCACGCGAAGATAGTGCTGCTGCAGTGCTCCTTTCTGCATTTGTCGGGTGTTGTTTCCAGGAACAAATGCCCACCTGATTGCCCCACTGTACACCACTTCTTTACTTCCTCACTTCCAAGGTTTCATCTAGTTATCAAAGTAGAACATGGGAGCTGCGAACGCCATAATACTGAAGTAGGTGGGATGTGTTCTGAATTCCTTCATTACAATACTTGACGAGCATCAAGAATGCCATAGCCACATCTTCAGCGTCAAGATCTCCATATGTCTGCTTGCACCAACCCCCCCCCCCCGCCTCAAAAAAATCATTCGCAATTGTTTTACATTTTCTATTCTGCGAGACATGATAGTTTTAACGCAGCCATGTAGATGATTCTTCACAACAATGAATTAGGTGGCCTTGAAAGGGATTGCTATCAATTTGAATCACCCCTCCGGCTAATAGAATATGCGAGGCTAACGTTGAGCACTCGCGGAACACTTTACCATCCCAAACCCACCTTCAACGCCTCTAAAAACGCGGTATTCCTAGGCACCTGCTCCGCGCCGATCAAGCTCTCTGGCCGATGAGAATCCACTTGCATTGAGAAGTGCCCAGTTGGTCAACCTGGTATCAAGAAATGGCCCTAGGAATCAAACAAACGCCAGGCACAACGGCCGCCCCCAACATGACACGCATTTCCCTTCCCCATAACATCACCAGATAGCATCATGGCTCACCATGACGTCCTTACTTCGCGGCGAGCTCCTCGTCCGCGTCCTTCCTCCGGCTGGTCCCGAGCCGGCGGACCCCCCTGTCCTAGATCCTTCGCTCCCGGGCGCGATCGTCACCTCCGACTCCACGATCTGGCCACTTCCATACTGTTGGCTCAGGGTCAAGGCCCTTGGTGGCACGAAGGGCACCCGGGTGAGGGTGCTTAGTGGTCTCTCATACGGTGGCGGCTCAGAGTCGCCCAGCGGTTGTGCCGGCGCCTGCCTCCTGTGCGAGTAGCTTCGGTGTCCGCAGAGCCCTGACTGGCCCATTGAACCTGCGTCAGTGGTGACTGATGGGGGTGGTGAGCGCGGTTCTTTATTGGTTGTGTTGTATCCAAACCGGTGTTCATTCGGCGAGGTGGCGGGGCCGGGACGCATAGTGAGTGGTGGTGACCCAGGGCTCCGCTGTGCAGGATGGAGGGCGAGAAGATGACGACGGGCTTTCTTCCTCGATGGCGATGTCGGGCCCCAAGCACGTCCAAAGACTGTACCGGGAGGAAACAGTGTCATGATTATAGCCGCAACGAGAACGAGTGCGCCGTCGAGCACGAGGGAATATGTATGTGATTGGGATGGGGCCGAAGCTAGTCCACCGGACAATTGAATCACTCGGGCGACTGTCCGTGCGAGGATCAAAGCCAGAGCCAGCTGAATACCTGTGTGACTGCAAGGTTAGCAGAGTGCTCTGCGTCTCGCAGAAGTCCGAAGGGGAAGAGGGTTGCGTGTGGGTTTCGGATTCCAAACTCTATTGTTGACGATGAACTTACACAACAGCGCTGTCTTGAACCTTGCCGAGAGGTAGACGCTACAGAAGCGCGGATCCAAGAACTCTCGATTGCGGAATACCCGAGACATGAAGAGGAAGTATAATCCAAAGAACCCCACCAGGCTCAGGATCTGAAGCGCGAGACCGGCGATAAGCACGTTGACTCCTTGTTGAATCTTGAACAGAGAGTCAATCCATCATTTCGAGTGACAACAGTCGCTTGCGTCAGGGTCATGCTCACCTCGACCCTGTTGTAACCTTGAGCCGCGAAAACGCAGCCTACAGCCTGGAATGCAATGGTGAAGCCGTCAAAGGCGAAGAAGAAGTAGCTCAGCCAAACGGGCTCTAGTGGGGTGCCGAGATCGCTCCCGTAGAGGGCCAAGATGTGAGGCAAGATGGTATAGACGGCGGCAGTGATTAGTGTCGGCCCCGCGGCCGTGCCGAGAAGAGACAGGACGAAGTAGGACTTGCTGGCGAGGTTGTTCCGGAGCAGGATCTTCCCGGAGTGGCCCATGACCTCCAGCAAGAGTCCGATGCTCATGCTCAAGCTGTACAAAGTCGTTCTGTTTCTCGCGCCTACCCACAAATTGATCGGGATGAGAGTCGCGAAAGCAGCCAGCATGAAAGCGGTGCCCTCGATCGGCGGGGGGCTAGAAAGCCATCCCTCTTCAACGGGGCAGGTCACCAGCGTGCAGTCGCCAGCATCAGAACTCGCCATGACGGGCGAGGGCCGGTTGGAGCTTTCGACGGGGAGGGCAATAGAGACACATGGAACAGATGCGCAAGGAGTTAGGCAGCACAACGGCTAGATTGATCCAGTGCCGGGACCTGTGGTAGATATAGCGGGCCGAGGGAGCCCAAAAAGGCTTGTCCTCAAAGCTAAGACCGGGACAGAGATTGTACGCAGGGTCTGTTGGCCGAGGCTCTCGAGCTTGTAGACTCGTTCGCGGCGCTTAATAGATGTGGGGGAATGCTACAGCTCAGTTCTTGAACCAACAGATTCCGGCAAAGCACTCGCTCGAGATGCTGCAGTACTGGTGCAGGTCGACCAACAGTAGTGCTGTCGTGCTGCAGTGTGCTATCAGCTGCCCAGCGACTGCCTCGTAGCCGTACGTCAAGACCACAACACCACAATGAAGTTGCGGTCAGGCTAACACACACGCAGATTGACCTTCCGCTTAGCCCCTTGCCTGACTGTCCATAAGGGGCTGTGAACACAGCCGAGTGTTGGCAGAACTGTATATTAAATCACATCGATGCCTTCAACTCGAAGGGTCCTGGGGCTGTCGATCAAGGCCTCTCTAGAAGCGATGTGGATCATCACATGAACAGCGACTGGCGGCTTAAGCGGGAAAGGGGGGCATATGCGGTGGATGATAAGCATGTCGATGTGGCATGGTCGTTGTGCCCCTACAAATCACCAACGCTCTTGGAACCCGACATTTCGGATCGAGTATGCGCACCTAGGCGCCCAAACAAGGTCTCTGTGACCAATAGGGCGGCTGTGCGGAGACGAGGGCCTTTCTCGCTCTGCTGCAGACATGGGACAGCTTGTTTCTAGCCATGACGACTTGGGCTGTTGGTTGTGTCCAACGGATGACAGCCAATGGATCAGATTGCGGTTGCATCCCACGGGGTGGAGGTCAGTCAAGGCAGCGTTCTTTGAATTTTGAGAGTCTGCTGGCAATCACGGCGCAGCCTTCATGCACGCATGTGGCGTCGATTAAAAAAAATTGAAAATTGACATGGAAGCCTCACTGGTTCATACAAGTTGCACCGGCAATGAGTTGGGAAAGGAAGATAAGCAGAAAAGTGCATGGGACATTCTGAGTAGAAAAATGCACATCCATTTGCAAGTACTGCCTTCGCAATGGGCGCGGTGTTAAAATGACCTCCCGTGGATAGCTGCAAGACCTATAACATGGTCCTGCTCCAGGCCCCGTGTGTGTTGAGAACTCTCGCGGCTACTACGTCGTAGTCCGGAATCCTGAAGGATTAGGCGCTCGATCGGGGGGCGTGGAGACTAGATCGGCATCCACAAGGCCGAAATAAGCGCGTCCCGTTCGGCAGGAGTAGCGGAGGAAGGAAGGAAAGGGCGAACTGGAGAGAAGCGTAGGAAGACAGTGTAGGGCGATCTGAAGGTCGCACGATCATGAAGAATTGATCGACCAACACATCCACGCCTCCTCGTCGGTATGACGCGAGCCGGGACGAGACAGCCTCTTCGTCAGGCCGGTGTGACTACTCCTGGCGGACGAACACTGCACTGCATGGTGCGATGACACCCTACGCTTGGCAACCTCGCCTTTTTCGGGTCCCTCGTTCCGCCTTGGGGCAGGGTGTTTAGACTGAGTCAAAGGCGGATTCTCTTTTGACCTAGTCTTTGGGGCGAAAAGTGCTGCCATGGGAATAACGCTGGGACATGCCGCCTGCCGTCTCTGACCTTCCATCATTGTAGCAGCCTGCTCAGCGACAGGCGGACGGCCGGCTGGGAACCCTGGTAGTGCCCGCGGCTTCACCCTCACGCTTCCGGCCTGTCGAGATGTGACTGTTGGTCTCGACTGGGGTCAAAGGCGTGGGGTGTTCACAGTAAACGTGCATCTGACCTGCGTTGGCCATGCTCATGTGGGTCGATCCGGCACAAGATGATCCCAACAGACTCGCTTGCGTGAGACTGGGACGGGGAGATTGACGAGAGACGCATCGTCGCCGTATGCGCCGCGTGGGACTGCCTAAGCAGATAGAGATGACATCCAATGATTCGCTTGCGGGCGTGTGGCAGAGCAATTTCGATCGGGACGAGGTTCGAAGGGACAAGGCCGAGAGCAGTCAAGCTGCCAAGGTCAAGATGTGAACCGGGAATGATTATTATTTGTTGATTGTGAGGTTCGCTAATACATCATCACTCCTGAGATAAGGAGTCCTCATCACAGCTCATTTCCTATGTGACCTGTCGTCACATAGTTGACGACAGGGGACTACCAACTTCGGGCCACTCGCATATGTTGCCAGAGAATTCCTCGGATCCGATGGAAGACCCCAGCACCTCAAGAGCCTGCTCGGCTTTCGGAGTGCTGGTCAACAATCCTAGCTGCAGCCAGCTCTGCCACACCGTAGACCATGGTCTGGATGTGACCTGACGGCTGGATAGGAATAACCGAGGCGTCCACGACGCGCAGGTTTGAAGTGCCATAGACCACCAGATCTGGCGAGACCACACCGCCGTCACCCCTTGGCAGCATGGCACATGTGCCGAGAGGGTGATAAATGCTCAGCGTTGTGTTCCTCGCGAACTGCTCCCATGCAGTCTCACTCGTCGTCACGTCAAACCCGGGCTCGTATTCATCCGACCAGGCCTCGCTCAACCCAGCGCTCTGAGCGATTCTGCGGCTAAATTTGGTGGCTTCCACGATGGCCTGGAGATCGTATGGGTTAGACACGTAGTTGGGATTAATTATAGGCTTGCCAGTTGGGTCGGAGGCGTTGATGTGTACGCTGCCCTTTGAGAAGGGATGCTGTATGACAGCTATGAGCGTAAAGAAGTGCGAATCAAAGTCGACGGAGCCGGCTGGTGGTGCGCCCTTCACTCCTGTGTACCCATCCGAGAAGATAAACTCGACCTCAGGGGCCTGCGCGCTTAAATCGGTTGTGAGGTATGCCAGCTTGTGTTGGTCGATCTTGCTGGTTGGGTCTGCCACTTGTCTGGCAAGATTGACAAGCTCTGAGGAAGCATTTCCGAGTGCTTGCGCCCAGGTCAGGTAGGCGTAGCCGCTCCCAGTGTAGTCGTACGCCGAATACTGGTTCTCTTCCCACAAAGCCAGTTGCTGTGCAGCGTACGTCGCATTGGTCCGAAGCTCATCAAACGAGATCGTGTAGTTTGGCTTCAATCGGTATGAGTTCTGGATGCGAACATGGTCTTGCAGGTTCGATCCTACTCCGGGGAGCTCAAGCAGGGTATCGATGCCAGCTGCCGCGAGCACTGAGGAGTCACCGATGCCGGACAACTCCAACAAGGTTGGCGTCTGGAAAGCACCGGTCGACAAGATTACCTCTTTCACAGCTTCCACAACGTTGCCGCCAATGTTGATGCCGGTGGCGACCAGTGACTCAGACTGATTGCTCTTGCTCAGCACAATATTAGATACTGTCGTATCATTCCAAACAACCAGGTTCGGGCCCGCGAGAGAAAGGTAGTCGACAGCATAGGACCTCGTGTAGTTTGACTCCCGGATGTTACCGGGCTGGAGCATGACACCAAGGGGATCGCCGCCAAGTGAGTTGAGGTTGTTCTGCACACCCAGACTCTCCAGGGCTGGAATGAAACCTTGTTGCTGAGGAGGCACGAAGCGGTTGATGAGGGTTTGGATAGGCCCATCAGTGCCCACGCCTTCCTCTCCGTACTTGTTGTTTGTGCGGTCAAAGGTTTCGACTTTCAGCATTGCGGATATGAAGTTCTCCCAGTTCCAACCTGGGTTTCCCAGGGCTTCCCATGCATCGTAGTCGGGCACGCTGCCTCGGTCCCATGTCATGAGGTTCAGCGCGGAGGTTCCACCCAGCACCTTGCCCCGGTTCGCAGAGATGCGCCGACTGTTCAAGCCCGGCTGAGGCGTGGTTGTGAAGTTCCAGTCGTATCTCGATCCAAGAGTGCTCCCCTTCTTTCCTGGCACATTAATGCCAAGCTCATTCGGAGCGGGCGAACCAGCTTCGACCACGAGGATACAATCATCTGGCAGTCCTTGACTTAGTCTCGTGGCCAATGCCAGGCCAGCAGTGCCACCACCAACGATGATCTTGTGAGTGTCAGCACCAGTAGAGTCGGGGGAAAGGGGCAGTCTTACGAAGTCAAAAGACGATGCACTGGGGCTGCAGTCGCCAGAGACCCCTGCAACGGCCAGTGCTAGGAGCACGGCTGTGGCGCCGCGAAGCGATGAGGGAATAGTGAGGCCCATGATGATGATGCACACAGGCAAGCAAATGCATGTCCTGTGAAGTCCACATAGCTCATCTGGTCTGCATCGACAAAGGAAATGCCGCTGAATTTGAATAAGGAGACTCCTAGGCACATGGGCACGCCAAGGAATCCTTCGATATCCACAGCGTTGAATGTTAGCATGGCGATGGGAATGACGGTCACATCGTGCCCACTTGCATTGCCGGATAAAGACAAAATTGGCTAACAATCCCTCAGCCCCCTGGGCATGTTCGACCGGGACGTGCCCCGGCAATGCTGTGGACTCGTTCATGGCTGCCGGGCGCGTGGTTTTTGACCATCCCGCCCCGTGTCCGATGAGATTGGTCCATGACGGATGCTAGACTGACCTGCAACCCCGACAGGCGTCTTGACCACAGCAGCAATTGGGTAAGCTGTTGCACTACAGAGGAAATGGGTTGCAACCACGCCTCTGAGTGTGGGTTGAGGCCTCGTATAGTGGCGTCCTGGATTCAACACAAGCCACTGTTGTCGTTCCAAAGACGAATTTCTGGTCGTGTCATGACACTTCACTGAAGAGCATCGCAGCTGAATATAAACAAAAGACGGGAATTCTGGTCGACTTGACCAGGAAACAACAAGCCGTTTCCAGGTAATTGGCATAAACAGACCTGTCAGTCCGCGTTGCCCAGAATCGCCATTTCACCGCCCACGACGCCCGCTTTGAAGACAAGCTTGCTCCATACCGAGGAGGAGAGGCGTCCTGGGGCTGGAAAATGGTGACCCAGAGCTGGATGCCTGAGTCGGGACAGGCATCTAGGAGCCACACCGGGTTGCAGCCCAGAAATTGCTCGAATATTCAATTTGAAGGGATCAAATGATGGATTGCGTTGCTTGAAATGTCAACTTGGCGTGCTCGTCGATTGAGACAGGCGGAGAGGCACGGAGGGTTGGCCTTCCCCACTTCTCACTAGCGGTGGCGCAGACACCTGTGGCGCAGCAGAAAAATCGGCTCGGCGCACGAAAATCCACCCTGGTGCTCTCTCACTCGAGAAATCCGGCCAAAATCTAGCGACGGACTGTATTCGCCCTTTCTTGTCGACAACCCACCCCGTAACATCACCACCCAACGATTGTTGAAGCCGGCATCCCGTCAATACCGACAAGATGGTACGGTCCTTGATACTGTTGTATTTCTTCGGATGGCCCCGCTGACTTTCTGCCCTCCAGGTGAACATTCCCAAGACCAGGAAGACGTGAGTGACTCCCTACGACAATCTGCCCCGCCCGCTCCGCGAGAACAAAACAAAACGAACGACACAACGACCGCACACGCCCGATGCAATTGGAAATATGGGAGGCACCTGAGGCGTCACGACTTGATGGAAATGCGCTTGGAAGAGACGGGTAGGGACGAACGACGGGCGCTTTTGATGGAGTCGACACAATTCTCACGGCAGCGGGCGGCTACGGATCACGATGCAGGACACTAGGACCCATACTGATTGAGGTATACAGCTACTGCAAGGGCAAGGACTGCAAGAAGCACACCCTGCACAAGGTCACGCAGTGTGAGTACCCGGAAACTACGGAGGAGGGTCATGTCGGATGGCGACGAAGGTGCTGACTTTTCGCAGACAAGGCTGGCAAGGCCTCCCTGTTCGCCCAGGGTAAGAGACGTTACGACCGGTATGTGCCACCGACTCCGACCCCGAGACGTTCATGACCACGAAACCGATATTCCCGAACGAACGTCACCGCGCGGACCTTTTGGACACGAATGCTAACGATTTCGATTACAGCAAGCAAATCTGGTTTCGGTGGTCAAACGAAGCCTGTCTTCCACAAGAAGGCCAAGACCACGAAGAAGGTTGTGCTGCGTCTCGAGTGCTCCTCGTGCAAGACCAAGCTGCAACTGGCCCTGAAGCGATGCAAGCACTTCGAGCTGGGTGGTGACAAGAAGACCAAGGGTGCCGCCCTTGTGTTCTAAACGGGACGCGCGCTTACTCGTCAACATCGTCTTTTGGTCTCTGCGGCAATTCTCACGACTTTTCTACACGGCAAATATGGTGGTCATTACGGACGGGTCCTTCGGCGAAAGGATAAAATGCATGCAATCTTGCTTTCGATCCTCGCGACTGCTGTGAGGGACTGTGAGGGGGGAACATCAGTACATAGGGAAATGCGAATCCTTGTGGAGCTGAGCTCGGGGGAGTCTGACTGCCTGTGATGATGAGAGAGGCTGGATGCCATTCAACGCATCGCCCAGATGGCCCGCAGCCGAAAACAAATACACACCCAGTCGAGCCAACCGCGTGTTTCCCGCTTGTTTGCTTGCCACAGCGCTCCTCGAATCGAGATCGGAGGAATATATGCATGTCTGCCAAGATACTGCGGACTCTGGTCTAGGAACAGCATTTCTAGCATCTAAAGTGCTCTTATATCCCGCAGTTCTAGACTGCACCCGGTACGGGTCCAGTGTCTAAGATGTCTACGCCACGCTGCCTGACTTGGCCATAGGCCCGTCAACAGCTAGCTACTGTAGTCTAGAATCCCTCGCCCATCATGATGGTCCTGCCCCCTCCATACCAGAGCCGGCCGCTCCTAGCATCGATGCCTTTCTCCTGGCCTACGATCCACTCCCCGACAAGCGACGCCTCGGCGCTGTTCCATACTTCCTTCTCCAGCCACGCATTAACCTCATCGATAGCCCTGGTCCACCTCTCCCGCGCGGCAGGCGTCGCGTGGTCCTCCTGCGTAAGGTATCGGCCCAGCGTGATGTGCGCGCTGGGCACGACGTACCGCGAGTCGACGTCCACGCCCGCCGTCCTGGCGAGGTCGAAGACGTCCCGGCGCAGGTGGTGGTACGTGTACGGGTCGTCGGCCTCGTGGGCGCCGCCTGCGGCTGGGGCCGGTGACGTGACGGGCTCGCCCGCGGCCGGGAGGAAGGACATGGCGAAAGCGGCCAGGTCGTACGAGACCATGGGCTTGACGAGGCGGCTGCGGTGCGCGAGGGTGAAGTTGGCCAGGGCCGGGATCGTGGGGCGCATCTGCGTGACGATCTGGTCGATCTCGGCGGGCGTGCGGCTGTGGGTTATCTCGAGGGTTGTGAGGTGCATGCGGTGAGGTGGCATGAGCCAGATTTCTAGTGTGGTAGTCCTTGTTAGCTTTGGTAAAAGGCATGGTTGTTCGACCTCATGGTGGCATGGAGTATGCCTGAGTCTGAGTGTACGGGAGTTCATCTTATGAGACCCCGGCGCACCTGGTCACTCAAAGAGTCCATCGACGTACTGGGCGCCGCCTCCTTTAGCAGAGACTGTATTTTACTGGCGAGCTTGATGATGTGCTCAGGTGGTCTGGCCCAGAATACGAGGCAGTTCCTCGGGTCCGTGAAGCCCGGCTCCATGCTCGGGTTCTCAAGTCTCAGCAGGAAGGGGTCGATGAGGACCTCCTTGAAATCTGACGATAGGAACTTCTCCTTCTGCTGCCCATTTCTTGTCACCCGGTGTGTTGAGTACAGTGACTGTATCTCTGCCTGTATGATCGGTTAGCAATGGACGCGTACGGGGGTAATATGTGTAGGAAAACGCTGAGCTAGTCTTGGCCAGTTGGCATCGTTTGATCCCCGACTTGATGTCCGTGACCCAGCCAATGCCCGTCCATCATAGCATGATGAACACCACTCAAAGCCGTCTCCAAGGGATCGCACGTACCGCATCATCGTGGCAGGCCTCGATCAAAGCCTTGTATGGGTTCTCTCCCGGCTTGATCTTGACTCCTGAGAGGTCCTCGAGTTTGTTCTTGGCGTCGGTGGACTCAAGCGCGGGGCTCATCTTGTCTCTACCTTGATGTCGCGGCGACACCCCCAAGTCCGATATGATGTGAGACAGGATTCTTGCTCTTCGTGCAGCTGAATCGCCTTCAGGCCCGTCAGGCACACCGATAGGAGTAGATGCGTTCTGGCAAAAGAGGCTAGATCGTCAATTGATGGACGCGGTGAGGTCTCGGCCGCCGCCGAACCGGCACCGGTCCGCAGAAGCTGGCACAAGCGTGCACCCCGGTGCTCGACATCACGCTCAGTCAAGCAGTATGGGAATCTGCCGTCACTGAATATAACCCCGAAGAATTTTACGTCTTCCAAGCGGTCAAGGTAACTTTGATATGGAAACTCTTTTCTGTACGGATCTCGTATGCGATGCCAAGGGTGTCGCTTCCGTCAAAATGTTCTAGAAACTCCAAGTAACCCCAGGAAAACTGCTTGTTACTAGCATAGCCCGAGGCGAGATAAATGACATAGACAACTAATTGGATATTTACAAATAACCAGACCACACTATTCACAACGAAGATGCAGAAGATCTGCCGCTGCTACCAGCCAGAACACCCCGCCAGCACAATAGCTTGATGTGTTCAGAGCTTGGCAGACTTCTTGCCACAGCCGGGCTTGGCCGCCGGGGCCGGGCAAGACGTAGAGCCACAACCAACCGCCTATTGCTGGCCCCATCCGAAAGAACCCCAGTCCTGACCCCAGCCCCGGTTGCCCTGGTCGCCCGTGGTGGGTTGAGGGGGGGCGGCAGACGAGTACCTGGTGACAAAGCCAGTCGCGGATGGCAGGCTCGGGGCGTACCCGGTGGCACCCACGTTTCCAGAAGAAGCAGCACGAGTGGCGCTGGCCTGGGCGACGGCCTTCTCGTTGGTGTCGGCGGAGGAGCCACCGCCGTTCAGGATGGCGCTGATGGGCTGCCTGCCGGGGTAAAAGGAGGCAGGCATGGTGGGGATGGGGATCGAGGCGGAGATGTCCCAGCCGGTGGTGAGCTCGTTCGCCATGGTGGAGAAGGAGGCGTCGCCGGAGGTGGTGATGGTCTGCGTCGAGCTGTACGCGGTGGTGGCATCGGCCGTGTTGAGGCAAGCCCCCGTGCCGTACGCGTTCTGGCACGCGTACAGCACCTCGTCTCCGGAGTCGGTCCACACGCTGAAGTCCTCGACGGTGATGTCGGTGCAAGGCACGGCCTCGGGGCAGTTCATCTTGATCGGCCCGCGCTGGGTTCCGTCCTCGCAGGTGCCCGACCAGCCGGAGAAAGAAATGTTGGAGTAGTTGATGCCGTCGCCCTCTGAGACAGACATGCTTCCCCAAGCTGTGTCAAAGTCCAGCGTGTACGCGTTGGAGTGACCCATGAAGTTGTTGAAGGCCAGGTTCTTGACGTCGCCACTGCCTCCGCTAGATTTGATCATGTACATTTGGTTCGAGTGGTGAGTGTAGACGTAGTTGTACTCAATGTCGTGGATGTCTTTCAAATTCCACAATGGTCAATTAGGTATTTACAAGGAGGTTTAGAATATTGAACTTACCAATATCAGTAGCCAGCGAGCCCATAGCGCAACCACCACTCCAGTTGCAGTGAACTTGCTCGATCAGGAGGTGATCGGAGGGGTCCTTGACCGTCACACATTCGTCCTTGTTAGAGACCTCGATATCGTGGATCCAGATGTTGGAGCCCCAGACGTCGATACCGTCAAGACCACCTTGGTAACCTCCATGGATAATCATGTTGTAGACCTCGCCATTGGTGCAAGTGTCCAGGGAAAGGTGAAACTGCGGAGCGTCGACAAGGACCACATCGTGAACAGAGAAGTCCTGGACATCATAAAGTCGCAAGAGACGTGCCCCATATTTGCCGTCCTTGTGGAACTCATAGCCGTAGCCTTGGATTGCGCCCTTGGACGAAGCGCTGTAGAACTCGAAATCCGTGGAGTGCTCGATCATGAACATGTTGCCCGAGTCTGTGCCCGTTCGGTAGATGGTTCCCTCGAGGTTGATGCTCGTCCCTTTACCTCCCGACAACTTGACCCAAGTTGCCATTCCGTATTCACCCTCAGGGATAAGAACTTCACCACCTGACGCGCAGTCCTTCCATGCCGCGGCGATAGCATCACCGTTGTCTGTTGATGCATCTGCTGTTCCGCCGTAGTCCAAGATGTTGCATTGCTTTGTGGACTGCTTCGCAGAAGTGGTGGTAGTCGGCCCAACTGTGCCTGACAGCTGAGCTGCAGCCGGGAGAATGAGGCTGGCCGAAGCCAGCAGGCCAGAAATCAGCATTCGCGGAGCCATGCTGCGAATAAAAGGGAGCGAATGAATTGAAAGAATGGCAATAACGAGTGGTATTGATGGACGCCCGGTGAACTAGCGGGTAAAAGCAGTGTGCGCACAGAGGAGAAGCAAGCGTGGACAGGAAATATCAGAATAGAGGCACCCTCATCACTTTTGAACACGGCATGGCATCGATCGTGGGCCATGGCCCAACATCTCGAAAGGCGGGTTGTTTCGTTTCACGGTGGAGAAGGCGGTTAGCAAGGCCCCCAGGCACACATGTGCATTCCCAGATAGAGATGCAATTCGAGCACACCAGGGCTAGAGTCTCCATTGTCATGCAAGGAATCCCAGGAGAAGAGGCAAAATCGTAAAGACAATGCCTGCAGACCCACCGGCTACCACAAATTGCTTACGTCCTCACAGCGGCGAGCGGGAGTTGGGCGTTTGCCCCTTTTGCGGGAAGGGGTCAGCCCAAGTCGGAACCACGGCCGTCGATGGGCGGTTGCAGATAAATTTCGTGATGGGCCTAAACACTGAATCGTTGCTAGGCCCCTTGTCCCGTGCCTCCCCACAAATGGCATGTTTTCAAGTGGAGGGAATGGACCACAGCAGTTCCGGTGGGGGTCTCCCGAGATCACATACTGAATTCTCCGTTTTCTCCGTGAAACGAAATGTTTTATTGCAGGCCGGGCAACGTCACCCCTCCACGGAGCCACCAGTGTGTACACAGAGTCTCGTATCACAGATGGCGCGAGATATCAGGATACCAATGCTCAAGCAAGAGGCAAAACGAGGCAGGGCAACATGGATAGGGGGTTAGAATATTTGGATCGCCCCGAACGCCCCCCTGACCACCACTGGCCCAGAATTGATCTTCTGTTGGTCATTCCTTGAATTTGATCAATTCCTGAGCAATGTCCGAGGATTGATTAACCAAACGGATCGCCTCTCGATGCCACTGCAGAGGGTACCCTGTATTTACTGCGTTCAGGACAAAGTAATTCTCGCCTGGAAAAGGAATTAAGCGGCTCTCCACCCAGCACCTGGAGTGTATTGAAAGCCGCGATGTCCTCCGTCACCGGGCACGGGTAAGCCCTTGTCGGAGCGGACAACCAGTATCGGAGCTCCACAGTCCTTCAGCAGATCAGGAACCGCATAAAGTTCCACTTTTCAAGCTCGGGTAGATTGCTTGTCTAGATGAAGGGAGCTTGTTTGCAGCCTTCTCTGCCGGATCCCTCATCCGTCTTGGAAACAACGCAGAGAGGTTGGGAACACCGGCGTCGCAAACTGTTGAAATACAAAACAAGACCTGTCACACGCTCAAATGAATTATCATAATAGCCGATTCAAGGCGTTGGGGATACTCATCTCCCAAGGCCCAGGAACAAACTTGTTGAACCCTGCGACCGAGTGGTTGTCCTTCAGTCCAGTTCACTATAAACATACCACCTACGGACACAGTCTTGACTAGGCATGTCCCCACATGGCCTCTAGGCCTGTACGCATGCTGCCAGCCACGGCAATTTTTTTTAAAGCGAGCTCTCAGGGGTGATGCATTTGAAAATTTATATTATGATCTTCTCCCTACTCTCCTCTGCGACAGCCCGAGTGTTCTTCCGAACTGTCTACATCAACATAAATCTTTCTCAGTCCATTCTTTCCACCATAGACAAAGAGGCAAAAGTACCAGTATCTTCGATTTGCTGGTGCAAGCGCTGTATGCTTCGGTCGTGCATAGAAACTACATTCTGAATAACGTGCTCTTTGCGTGGGATGTGTCGAAGTCGGCCATTGCTTCATTCGCGATCAGATTTCTTGGTCCTGTTGTTGAGCATGTTCACAATTTGTAGCATTTTACTACAGGTTTATCTCCACAAACCAATGGTGTCGTCCACATTACCTCTCGATGCAATCATTGAGATTCTATCAAGTGCTTCCAAGCATCTGAGCGCTTCATGTGACAAGAACTGCGGCGTTGGCCACATAGCTTATGCTGGTAGAGATCGAATACTGCCAAAATGGCGAAGCAGATAGGTTTCTCTGAACCAAAATCTCCTCCCCAGTCTAGACAGCTTTCATTTCATAGTGCCGCCTTGCCTCGAGACTCGAACGGAAGCACCAACACCAGCAAGCCTGCCGCAATAAACAACGCGCCACTCGTATACACCGGCGCCGCAGTCTCCAGATTAGCAAACATGGCGATAATTGGCGCCATGATCCCAAATATACGGTTGCTGGTGGCAGTCAAGGCATTGCCCGTGCCTCTCTGCGGTGTTGGGAATAGTTCCGGGGTGAACCCATAAAGGACGGCATACATGATGTTGCTCGCAAAGTTCCAAACGCAGTTCCACGCAAGAAGCGTGTTCGAGCTCAGCGCCGTGGTGCTCCCATACAAGAAGACCCCCGTGAGGACTGTGCTCAGGCTGAGGGCGCCCTTGCGGCCGAATTTGGGCAACTCGACCAGGAGACCCCCGAGAAGAGCCCCTGGCACGCCCAAAACCGCTATGATCAGACTGTTGCGATATGTCAGATAGGTTGAGCCGTCACCGAAATCCGCGCCCCGGGTCGCCTGTATGTAGGGCAGGAAGGCGTTGTAGAGCGGATATCCCAGCCCGATGAAGGCCCAGACGGCCATGATTATGCTGGTGCTGAGCGCCATTCTCCGCGTTCCGAAGAGCGGCCTCACTCGGCTCAGGCTGACGTTTTCCAGCCGTCGTTTGACGGCGGTCGAGGCGCTGGTCTGAGGCACGTAGCCATCCGGCTCGCAAGCCTTCAGGTCCTCGAGCGTGAGGGAACACACTTCCGACCGTCCGTTCCGCCGGGCCACTTCATGTACGATCCGGACGGCTTCCTCGTCGAGCCCCTTGCCCATGAGGTACTTTGGGCTTTCAAAAATCGTGAAGCATATGAACCTGATGGCGAACATGATCAGGGTGATGCCGCCCATGGTGATGACTACTACCTGTTAACTGCCTGCTATGGGTCCTGAAGTGACACATCCCGGAACATTCTAAAACACACAGATCGGGGATCTGTAGCAGGAGAAGAGTGATACTGACCAAAATAACGCCACCCCATGTTCTTGCTTCGCGTGCACACCTCATCCTGCTGACATGTGAGATTACCAAGCAAGGGCCACGCGATCAGCGTGGCCACCACCTGCGCGATGGCCCAGTCGATGCTGAGGACGGTGAGGAGATATTGGTGGCTCCCAGGGAGGAACTCCAAGAAGATGGCGCTATCTACAGGTAGGTTGCCGCCGACGCCGAAGCTCCAGAAGGCCGCGAAGACCCCGATGGCGGCGAAGTTGGGAGAGCTCGCCGCGATCATCCCCCAGACGGCGGCGGCCCCGAGGGTGGCGTTGAAGCCGATCTTGCGCCCAAAGATGTCGCACCCGAAGCCCCAGAATATGGCCCCGGCGAGGAGGCCTATGTTCTGCGAGAGGCTGAGCAGGGGCGGCCGAGGGGCGTTGAACTCGTTCGAGACTGGCGTCAGGATGAGCGAGGTCACGATGGGCCAAAGGTTGTCAGAGGCCCAGCCGAACCCCACGACGATGAAGAGCTGCCATTGATACCACCCCATGCCGATGTCTTGGATCTTTTGGTCGCGGGCATGGTCAGTCTTGCCACGGCGGGGTTGGTTTGGAATACAGATTCTCAACTTGCAGCTCTGTTCAGGACCCTGGCCTTTGCCTCATACACCGGATCGATCTCTCCCTTGGGGATGGCAGCCGCATCGTCAATGCCAATGTCGACGTCGGCACCTGTAGTGTTCTGCAGGTATGCAGCCTCCTGCCCCTCATCTGTTTTCTTGTCATCCATGTCGGTAGTTTGGGTGTTTCCAATATCTGTCATCAGTCAGGACAGAACAAAATGTCAATCATGCTAGGGAGAGATGTGGTTGAGGGTCATCGGAAAAGTGGCCTTTGAATGATGCCTGTGGTAGCCTACTAGATGGCTCGGCCGACGAGGGGTGTTCAATGGATGTGATGGCCCTTTCCATCTGCTGATTTGCCCCCAAAACCTTAGTAGCTGTGCTGGAAACGGTTGCTGATGGGTGGGTTGCATTAGCGCAAATGCAGCCGCCTGGGAAGGTTTGCTTATTCGGTCCCCGGCTGGCTGGAAGGATTCTGGTGACCTACACACTATGAAGTACCTAGGTATTGGAGGAGGTTAGTGGCATTATTCCATCCATGCTCAATATCACGCCATTGCACTGGCCGACATATGGAGCGCCTGTGGCTCACATCCGCGCCTCTGAAAGGTCGCAAATCGAGGGATGTCTCATTCAGGTGAATCAGGTCCATCAGCTCTGCCGCATCCGGACTGGGCTGAGCGTTGCAGTCACCAAACACTACTTGCCCACTGCACAGGATGAGCGTAGTGCCGAGAAACCTCTGAGTTGCTAGACAACGCGTACCTATGAGAATGAGTGAGCACAACATGACTGCTTTCACTACTGTACTCGCCAGGTACATACCGCTGAAGGGACCCTAAACGTCTTGAGGGTATGTGAAGGGTGCACTGAATAAGTCGAACTGCACATTATCTTATAGATCAACCCACTACGAAACGTTTCACAGGATGTTGAACTGTATGAGGCTATCCCGTCGAAGATCATCCCATTGGATATCATCTAGTATGATATTGTACAGGGAAAGCTCATACTATCATAGGGTTTCAGTCTTAACTCGCCAAGGCACGCGGAAATTCAGGGAATTGTGTGAGCCATATGAAGGGTATTCTTCTCAATTGGGGCCTCATACTACGAATGTGACAGTAATTGTCCCTGTTCGGGCAGGCTCTGGAGCCCCCTAACGTCCCCGGCCCCGATCCCGGCCGCCCCCCCTTCCCGGCCGCCCTCGGCACCCACATACGCCTTCTCTTTAACGTTAATTACCCGCCATCATGATACATAATCCCTCTTTCGTTAATATTTCTAATTCTCTAAAGGCATTGCTTTTTTTTAATACCCTTCCTATCTTTATTTAAGCCTTATAAATAGCCTTAATATTAATAAAAGCTATATTTAAATTAATTTAAATTCTTTTTTTTATAATTTTTTAGCTAACTTTAATTTAAGCTTTAAATTATTAATTTTTTTAAAAAATTATTATTAATTAAGTTTTTTTCTTATTATATACTTTAAAAAGCTTTTAAAAAAATACTTATAATATAAAGCTTAAATATTTATTATAATATTAATAAGTAATTAATTAATATACCTTTTATAATTACTTAAAAATCTTAAAAATAAGTTTTAATTATTAAAAAAAAACCTTTAATATAAAATATTACTTAATAAAGCTTTTATATTATTAAATTTTAATAATTTATATTAAATTTAGCGGTTTTTAAGAATATAATAACTTTTAAATGCTTTATATTTAAATATTAGCTAAAAACTTATTATTTTTTACCTTAATTAAATATTTAACTTTATAAATATTTCTTTTTATATTTTATAATAATAATAAAGAAACCTTTTTTTATTATAATTATTAATAAATTATATTATTTAAATTAATAAAGATACTTTTTAAAGGTATTTTTTAAAGGTAAAAAGATTATTATATTAAGAGGTTAAAATATATATAATATATATATAAGTAAAAAAACTATATATATATAATTTAAATAATATTTTTATATAAAATTAATAATTATATATATATAATACTTATTAATTATAAATAAATATTATTTAAAAGGATTATTAAAAATAATATTAAAGATAAAGACTTTCCTTAGCTATTTAATAGTTATTTTTTCCTTTATTCATTCCTTTTTAATAATTATAAATTATTAGCTAAAGTAATCCTTAAGGGTAATTAAAAATTATTATTATTGCATATTTTTTTTAAAAAATAATAAGAAGTTTAAGGATTATATTTAAGGTATTAATATACTTTATAAAAAAGGTTTATACTTAAAAATTAAAGTTCTTTTAAAAAAAAAGATTATTCTTTAAATAATTAAAAGTAAGGGCATTCTTTAAGTAATTTTTTATTAATCCTTTCTTATTAGCATTTTATTAATAAGCTAATTAAATAAACTTAATAATAAATAATTAAAAAGGTTAAATTAAAAGGTAATATTCTTTTTAATTATTAATTAAAGATAAATAGCCTTTATATACTAGTTTTTTTAGCTTTAAAAAATAAGATAATGAAAGAAAAAAGCTTTTAGCTAATTTCTTTTAAAAAGAGGGTAGTTTTTATTTAAAAAGGCTAATTAAGCTTTTAAAGCCTTTATTTTAAATTATATTAATATTAGCTTTAAGCTACTTTAATTAATTATAAATAAAGTTAATAAAGCCTTTTAATAATTAAAGAAAAAGCCTTTAAGAGTTAATAATAATATAATAACTTTAAATATTATTAAGATAATTAAATAATATAGCTTAAGGAATATGCTATATTTTAAAGGCTTATTAAATTAATATTTTATTTCTTATAATAATAAAAATATTAATAAGGTTATTTTTAAAATATTGCTTTATAATAAGGAAAATAATATTTAGGAAAAGTTTGGTAATTAAAAAAAAATTCCTTATAAAGATATTAAGAAGTTAATATAGGGTGGGTATAAACGCGTTCATACGCGTACGCGGGTATGGGCCGGCCGGGATCAGGGGGCGGCCGGGATCGGGGCCGGGGACGTTATCCAGGTCCTGCATAAGTGATGTCGTCCAAAGCAAAGTAGCTGAAACAAAGAGACATACTATTCTATAACGGCCAGAAAAACCACTGTGGGAGCATTTCTAGGATTCCAATGTTTTGATGGCAGTCATCTCGAAGGTGTCAGTCTGCATTGTCTTCACCAGTGTGTCCATGACCACTCATACGTGTGATGATTAAGTTTGGTAGCTCGTAAGGATCTCACTCATTTCGTCGAAGCCATGATGGGCGATGCAAACAACTCGTCAAATCGCACTCAGCTTCTGCCGACTACCTAGGTATGGAGTGTTCCTAAGATCTCCGTGATTTTCTAATGCGTTCCTAAATTGTACTCAGCCTCTGTTTACCAAATCAATACCAGGCCATGCACGTGGCCGCTGTGGCATATTTAATTCAATCCTTAACCACTATGTCATGCTTTTCCCGATCAGCTGCAAGACTAAACTTCTTTCCCAAAAACAATTTCTTAGAATTGCCGATGACCTTAAGCAAAATGAAACCAAAGGCAGCACGTCCCATTTAGTCACCATGCACGGGAAACAACTACTCAGTCTACGTGATTTCCATAGTTGAGATGTTTCGAGAGCTTTGTCAAAGAGACACGAAGCTAGATAGCCTACCCGGAGATGTGGCCTGTGGTCACATCGATGTGCCTAATGGATGACTTGATTTAACGTTGAACCTTCAATTATATATGTCAATTGTGGAAAATGCACTACAGTATTTACCTAGTCATACTGCCCAATGAACACTCCTTATTTTCAGATACCACCTCACTGTTTCAACTCGTCTTCGCGCATGCTGCATACCTATGGAGGGGGCATTTCGTTCAAGATGTCTCTGACGCAGAACTCATCCTTGGGAGCCAAAAAAGGTCGTCCAACACGACATATTAACACATCTGTTCCCGAAGGAGTTACGGATATGCTCACAATGACTGTGTGACTGCGCAGGCCAACAAAGATCATCAGAGAACACCGAAGTGGTAGCGGCGGGATTGTAATGTCCGAACAGCACTAGACACCATCCGCCCCTCTTTTCTAACCCCTTCCAATGTTTAATCAGAGTGTCAGCATTCAGTCGCTTTTCTGTAGCTAACATGGCCTAGCGGCCCTGTGCAGGATCAGCACAGCCACCGCTGCTGATAAGAATCATTTACTCGCGTGACAAGATATTGCCCAAGTGCCTACTGGAAGCTATAGCCCTGGGTTTTGTACATCGCGGTCCCGTGGCCGCTGTCTACTAGGCACATCAGACGAGCAAGAACGACCCACGTTTGAGCCACACCCTTCCATACTCCGTACTCCGTATTCCGTACTCCGTAGGGCCTCCAGGGCTAACGTGCTTACCCCTTCAGAGACAGTCTTCCGCCTCATTTGTACAAAGAGCACCCGCCCAACTCGCCACCACACCACACCTGCACCTGGCCACTTCTGTACTCGCAACGAACCCCACGCCATCGGCAGCAGCAAAGCAACACCAAGCATTTGCCACTATTTCTACCGCGTCCTGTCGACACAATCATGGTCCAAGATGGCTATCACGGACTGGAGTGGCAAGGAAGAAACTACCCCATTCTCGATCTGGAGGAAGCAAACAAGGTCTTGCGCAGAAGCGAGCTCTCTCAGGACCCGGGTGTGGGCGGCCCTGTCCCCATCACTCGCTTCGACACCTTGAGGCTCGAAGCATCGGACCCGTGCCAGGATAACTACACCTACGAGACCGCTAACGTTTGTTGGAAGGTGCGAGGGTCGTATGCCCATACGCTAGCGCTAGCCTACAAATAGGCTCCTTCTAAGCGTTTAATAGCAGGGAAATTTCTCTCCTTAACACCCAACAATTAATTATTATTTGCTTAATTGCTTTATTAAGTTATAAGCCTAACGTTACTTAAAACATCTTAAAACGTTGGGAAATATTAATACCCTTATTTTTACAATTATTTTTATACCTAAATTATTAGGATTTTAATATTACTAGCCCCTGCCTATATACCATCGTTATACCCCATGATAACTACCATGGCTAATAATAACTTATAATAATTTAGCACTCTTGCCCTATTTAATGTTCTAATTACTCGCTCCTTTTTATTTATTTACTTACATTAATTAATATTAATCATTATAAATAAATAAAAATATATAAATATTATTTAAAATATGCTTAGAAATATATAAATATTATTTAAAAGATATTAAATATACTTAATTTTAAGCTTAATCTATCATTTTTCCTAAAGTTAAACCTAAAAGGGGAAAACTTTTTAAACTAAAGGGTAGCATAAAGTTATAGCTTTTAATTTACTAGCTTTAATAAATATATTATAAGTATTAAAAAATAATTAAATAAGAATACGGTTTTTATAAAATGGGAAAAGCTTAATAACTAAGCCTTTATTATACTCTTAAGCTTAATATATTTAAGCCTTATAATATTCATTATATTATGCAGAAAATCTTTTAATGCTTAGAAAATACTAGCTAATTAATTTAATTATAATACTAGCAACTTAACTATTTACCTCTTTTATTAATTAATAAACTTATAATATAAGGATGGCTTTAACTTATAAGGCTATTTAAATATCTTTTAAAATCTTTAAATAAAACTTTATATTAAAATCTTAACGTTAAGATAATTAATTAAGAGGTTAATAAAATTACTTTTTAAAAGCAATAAAGTTAAAAGCTTCTTTTTTTTAATAACGTTATTAAATATTATAAATAATATCGTTAATAACTTAAATAGCCAAAACCTTATAATATTTTTTAAAATCAAACCTAAAATAATAAATATTATTTCCTATATAAAGATTAAATAATTTAAAGCTTACTTTACCTTTATTTAAAAGAGGTTGGCATTAAAGGGTATAAAAAAGGCTATAAAGTTTATATTAATAGGTGCCAACTTTATATTAAGCAATAAAAAATGCACTTAATGCTATGCATAAAACTTTATATTTATTAGCTATTTATATATTAATTATGCAAAGCTTGTTAAATATAAAGTTAATTAGGAATAAAAAAAGAATAAGAAATAAGTTGCTATAAATTAAGCTATAAATAAAAAAGTTATTGAAATTTTTAATAATAATAAGGAAGATATAATAGCATTACATGCTAATATTTTAATATATATAGCAAAGCTATTAATAATTATAAGTACTTTAATATTATGGATTTTTAATTTTAATGCTTTAAAATATATAATAAAATATATAAAAAACTTTAGCTCCTTATAACTATATTTAAGTATAATTATTATTATAAGTAATAATTAATTTACTATAAAAGATATTAGCTTTATAAAAATCTTCTTATAATTATTAAATAAATTAATTATTAAAAGCATCTTTATTAACATTTTATATAATTATATATTAAGAAATACTTATTTATTTAGCTAAATTATAATTTAAAAGAAATTTTAATTAAATATATAAAGAAACGATATTTTTTTATTATTAAAAGATAATAAATTTTACAAGATATTATAAGCAAAGTTTTAATATAGAAATTTTAAAATTTAAATGGCAAAAAACAACTTTATAATATTCATAATATATAATAAATTCCATAAAGCTTTTAATTATAACAATTTATTAAGACTAACTACTTAATGCCTATATAAAGATAAAAACATTATGCTAAATAAATTAATAAATTTTCATTATAAACCATATTAACTTGCAAAGTTTATTAAAAAATGCTTATATTTATTATTAAAATAATAATCTATACAGCCATTTAAATATATTTAATTTAATTTATCAAGCAAATTCTTAATAAGATTATTAAAAGGTTCTTAATACTTTATTTTATTTATTAATAATTATATTTAATTTTATTAAGTTTACTTTATTACTTAAAAGAATAATATTTTAAATATTATTAAAGGATTTTTAAATATAATTAAAACTTAATTTAACGCAAAAGTTAAAATATTTAATTTAAATAATAAGGGTAAATATATAAATAAAATAATTATTATAATATTTTAAAAACACAGAATTATTTATAAGAAATTACCCCCTTACTACTATAAGTTAAATAATATACCTAAAAAGTTTATATATATTATTATTATTAATACTTACATAATAATTTATAATAAAGATTACTTATTCTTATAACTTAAAGCAATTTCCTATATAATATATTTATAAAATTAAAAACTATACTTAGCCTTATTATGCTAAATAACGCTATTTAAGGCACTTTATAAATAAAAGCCTAATATTAAACATTTCTAATTATACTTTTACCTTGCATACCTTTATATCTTTATTAAGGCTTGCAAGCTAAAAATAAAATTATTAAATAAAGCTAAAAAGGCATACTTTATAGGATTTAAAGCCAAAAGCAAAACTATCTTCTATTTATTTATATTACTTTAAAAAGTTATTATAATTACAACATTAAGCCATATTACTTAATTTAATTTAATAATAAAGATTGCATAAATAATCAGCTAATTAAATAAAAACATACTATTTAAAATAAAAATATTACCGGCATTTTAGCTAATAAAACCTATTAATAATGTAAAACCCATAAATAAACCTATAAATAAACCGCTTAAACTTACAAAACTTATTAATAAACTACTTAAACTTATAAAACCTATATAATTATATAGTTCTTAAGGATAATAAATTTAACCTTTATAAAAAGCAAAAGAAAATACAAACATTATTATAAAATATTTTAAAAATTTTAATAACTTAATATTAATTAATATAAACTTTATGCTAAATTTTGCTTAATTAGCATTAATTAATGCTAACTATTTTAATTAAATCTTTACTTAAGCATTGCTTATTAATATAATAAATATTAATAATATCCTTAATATATATACATAAGCTATAAAAAATAATAAAAGGGATGTTTAGCGATAAGCTATTGGAAGAAAACTTAAATTATTTTTAAATATAAGTATATGGGTTAAAGTATTTGCTATTGCAAACTAATATATTATTAATCCTTGCTAAGTATATATAAAGAAGTTTAATGCTTTTAATAAGCTTATTTATTATAAGGCTTAACTTATTACTCGCAAATATATATAAATTCATAGCATAAATTATAATAATACCTATAGCTTTATAATGCACTATAATAATTTAAAATTAATTATCATTATTACTACTATAATAAACTAATAGCTCTAGCAATTTAATATTAAAATAGCATATTTATATAACTATTTAAAATATAACATTTATATATAATTACTATAAGGATATTAAATATTATTTAATAATTAGCAAGTTATTTTAAAACTTCTTAATGCCTTATATAAACTTAAATAATTAAGCCGTAAATAATTTAATACTTTTAAAAAGGAATTAATTAAATATTTAACGGAAACAATATTTAATCCTTGCGTTTTTATTAAAAACTAAATTATCATTACTATTTATATTAATAACATTCTTATTATTAAGAGTCCCTCTTAAGTTAATAAATTTTATATTAAGCTTATATAATATTTTAAGTATAAGGATCTTAATCTTTGCAAATACCTGCTTAAATTAAAAATTATATAAATTAACAATAAGATTTGCATTTTCTAAAAGGGATATGCTTAATAAATTTTAAAATGCTTTAATATATTTAATTGCAATTAAAGACAAACTCTTATAAATTTAAATTTATTTCCATAATAAGAGGAACCTAATAATATTGCAATAAATGCAATAATATATTAATTACTTACTAAATCTATTAATTTTCTTATTATTAAAACAAAACTTAATCTTATGTTTTTATATATAATGTTCTTAATATTTAATGCAAAGCCTATAATTTATTATTTAAATATTGTAAAAAGGGTATTTTAATATATTTAGTATATATTAAATTATACCTTGTAATTTTTAAAATAAATATTATTATTTTAATTCGCTATATTTAATATATATATTAATGCTTTTTATAATATTAATTTAAATAATTTAAAAGCATTTAGCAAATATATGCAACTCTTTAATAGCGGCTTAATTGCTTAATTATTAAAACGCCAATTTATTATTGCAAAATTTACTTATAAGGCGAAATATATAGTATATTTATTAGCATTATTATATCTTTATTAAATAATTTAAGCATTAAAAAATTTAAGCATTAAGTATATTAAATGTTTGCTTATTTTATATATTAATAATTAGCTAATATTAAACCTTATTTAAAATTATAAAGTTAACGCTTAATTAAAATATATCGCTATTTATTATTACTTTATTTATAAAGAAATTAAAGAAATATATAATGTTTATTATATTGCATTTAAAGATAATCTTACCAATATTTATATAAAAGCATTATCTTGCCCTGCCCTTAAAAAGGCTTATAAAAGATTAAAATTAAAATAAATATAAAGTTTATATTGCTAAGGGGGGCATTTAAATAGTTAATTAAAAATAATGCAAGCGGAATATATGGATATTAAATAACGTTTATATAATGGTTTTAATATAAATTATAGCAAAACATTTAAATTATATTTTTAGCTATTAAAACGAAATATTTCTTATTATTATTAAGATAATAATACTTACGATAAGGGGTGTATTAAAAGGTACAAGGGTTATATACCCATACGCTAACGCTAGCTTATAAATAGGCTCCTTTTAAGCATTTAATAGCGGGGAGATTTCTCTCCTTAACACCCAACAATCAACTATCATTTGCTTAATTGCTTCATCAACGTTGGCACGGATACCCTCTGGCATTTCTGGGGAGTCTTTAATGGCCATGCGTGAGTACCTCGCATTTCTGAACGAGAGGTGACAATTTGTTGACTTTTTTTTGGAGGGGCTATCAAACATCGACTGTGCTCAGCCAAGCGCTCGTCTCTTACGTAGCACGAGAATTGAAGGAGGCGGACAAGACCGAGCCGGCCAGCATCGACAAGGCTATCAAGGACGGCTTCGTCAAACTCGACGACGACATCGTCCAGGGCGCTCTGAAGTCGGCTACCAGCGCGGGCAGCCGGTCACGCGCGGAGGTCATCGCCGACATCGCCCCGGCGATCTCAGGATCCATGGCTGTCCTCGCCATCTACGACCCAGCGGCGTCTACCCTGCGCGTCGCCTCTGTAGGGGACTCGCAGGCCGTCCTGGGCCAGAAGGTTGCAGGTGGGGACGGCGCCTCGTCTCAGGCGACAACGTGGACGGCAGTCCCCCTCTCCACGCCGCAGACGCCCGATCGCCCGGACGAGCTCGCCCGCATCCATGAGCAACACCCAGGTGAGCCGGACTCGGACCTCTTCACCGCGGACGGGAGGCGGCTCCTCGGCCTGCCCGTGACCCGCGCGTTTGGCGACCACAGGTGGAAGTGGCCTGAATACGCCATCACCGATACTCAGAAGAGGTTCTACGCGTTTCCTCCTCGTCCGAATGCGAAGACGCCGCCGTACCTCACCGCGGAGCCTGAGATCAGCACCACCGTCGTCAAGGATGGTGACTTTGCCGTGCTCGCAACGGGTAAGTCGCCCCGCCATGGGTGTGGATTCACATGATCATGAGACTAACCCAGATGCCGCAGACGGCCTCTGGGACACGCTGTCGCCAGAAATCACAGTGGAATGTCTACAGATGTGGCTCCAAGACGACAGGCTGAAAAGCCCCGCCACCAACCAGGAGGCCCAGGAGCCCGAGTCCGTCGAGTCCGTGCCGGTGTTTTCGGACGATGAAGGGCCCGAGACGCGGGTGGGCTCTGCGTGGGACTGGAAGTGCCGCGCCGAGGACTTTGTCGTCGAGGACGACAATGCCGCCACCCATCTCGCGAGGAACGCCCTGGGAGGAAAGAGGAGGGAGCAGTTCTGTACCCTCCTTGGGGTGCTGGCGCCTCACAAGGACGACGCGCATGACGACACCACTGTACAGGTTCTGTTCTTCGGGGGTGGTTGAGTCTGGCTGCGCTGCACGGGGGGGGGGGGGGGGGGTCGCGAGCTGGGAGGGCGATGTCATGTGTCCAGATATCTATCTGCTCGTTTCACGGGGGCTGCAGGATCACGGCTCCGCTTGCGCTGAATTTTCTCATTGTTCTTCGTCGAATTTGCTTCTAGCCTGGGCTCACTACTCAGGCGCTCTCGTGTTTCACATGGGCAGCTGAACCGGTTCTTGTCTCGCGAAATAGTAGACTGGCACTATGGTCCGAGAATTCATACCGGCAGTGACAACATATTTATAAGACAGGCACAAAACATTTACCTGTACTGACTGTAGTCCCTTCAAACACTGGTGATTACTGACGGTTGGTCCAGAGCTGATGATGTCTCTGAAACACTCTTGTTTTCCACGAGATGGAAACAATACATGCGGTTTGAAGATCGGCCAGTGAGGAGAGAATCTCCCGCTTAATGAACAGGCAGTACGGAAGAGACCAGCACAAATACCAACACAAGCGATCCAGAAAGCCAGGCACAGTATTTGTGATATTCTCTATTACTATCCTATGATATTAAAGTATGCCACATTTGTATGTGAAGATGATAAGCTCTGTGTCCAAATGAGCTCTTCCTCGTATGGAGCGTATCAGATATCAGCTTCTGAGCGTGAACAAATTCCCCCTTGTGTTCAGGCAACCTTCTAATGCCAAGTTGTGGGACCGAAGAAGGATCCATCGTCAGGAAGAGTCTTTGTCACTGCAGTGCCTTCCGCATCAAGATTGTTTTCCCACACAGTGTTGCCCCACCAATCAGGGAAAGACACGCCGCTGAGCCCAAGGGCCAGTGCAGAGACGACAATGCAAAGCGCGGTGCCGATGTCGAGAGCACCGGACAGGACGTAGTTGTATCGAGCTGTTGTCGGGAAGCCTCAGTCAGCCACTGTCTCCTATTAAAAGTGTAATGACAACAGGAAAACTTACTCCACCAGCCGAAATAGGCCCTGCGAATGAAGTAGTTGAAAATGAGCCCGACGATAACCCATTGTCCTAGGTACCAACATGTGGCCGGCGATCTGGCCGGCGGCCCCGAAGATGGCTGGGAAAAACAGGTATCGGAAGATTCCACGGGGATAACGTCGGGCAACGAAATACTGGATCGCTGGCAGGGCAGCCCCGATCAACCAGAAATAATTGGTCCAACCTAGACATAGGCTTGTTAGCTGCGGAGTCTGGAGGAGGAATGTGCTGTGGAGGATCTCAAATAACGACGGACGGGGTATCGTAAGTAAAGACTCATGCTTACTGTAAAGAGCGCCTGAGCTGAACATCCTCTTGGGGCCGACGACACCCCAAATCACAGATGCGTTAAAGAAGGTCTTGGCGTTGGGACATGTAATGCCTTGCTTCTGAGTGGATGTGCAGACGCCGTCGATATTGCCTCGGAGAAAGTTGTAAGTGGCGATCTGGACTATGCTGAGCCAAACCACGGCGAAGAATTGGGCATAAAACATTGTGCGCGGTGGGATTTTCATATAGTGACCAATCTTCATGTCCGAGACGTATGTCAGTCCGTTGTAGGCCATCATATAGCCCCAACTTTTGAATAGCATCATGGCCACGGGTCTGCCCGGTTGCATGTACCCGATGATCAGTTCGGTGATGACGTTCAGACCTGTTTGGCTGTTTGTAATTGCTTGTATGATGCCAACCGGGAGGATGAGCACAACACCGATCAGCACACAGATAATGTAAGCCCACCATGCGAGGTGGGTCTCCCAGACCTGTGAGGCGATCATGCCGAACGCGAAAGAGATGAGGAAGACGGTGGCAAACCACCACTCGGGTGCCTCGCGATACTTCCTCATCATCTTCAGGTGGACATCGGCTTCTTCGTAGGTGGCGGTTCGAGCGCGGGCCCAGACGTCCTTTCCGTAGAAAAGGCCGACGTGAACGACAGTCGAGGCCAAGGCGGCGAAGGACATGCCGTACGTTAACGCAAATGCAGGCCCAAGCATCAGCGGCGAGTACTCTTCGTACTTTGTCTGGTTGAAGGTAAAGTCCGGGTTGAGAATCCTGCTCGTGTTGTAGGAGCTCCCAAAGTGATCGAAGTTTCCATTCGCACTGATGGGCAAGTACTTGTAAAAGTCGGGGCCAGCGTAGGCGAGTCCGATCGAGCCCAGCATCATTAGGAGAATGCCGATTCCAACGTTGAAGATGGCGAAGGCGGGAGTCTGCAAGGGCGACAGCAGAAAGCCGGAGATGATATTCCAGTCAAACGAGAGCGGAATGAGGCCCACGCCAGTCTGGCCGCCAAGCAATTGATTGACTAGTACATTGTTGGGTGCAATCCAAGTCGCGAACGTGAACACTTGGAGAAAAGTGGCCATGACCTGCGGGATCCACTCGTAGCAGAAGGTACCAGCGGCGACGATCAAGAAGAACTTGTAGCGGCCAACCTTCCAGCCGTTCGCGAGCGAGGGGTCAGAGGGGCTATGGTCATGGAGAGTGTTCATGACAGTGGTGAAGATTAGAGTGGCCGGCCAGACCATGGCAGCAGGCCAGACCAGGAACCTTCTCATGACGCCAGCGAGACCGAAACCCATGGCCTGCGTAGACAGGATAAGCAGGATCTGGAAGCCCCAGCCAAAGTGCTGCTTGTAGAAGATTTCTTGGGCGAGCAAGATGTCGAGGGCGTACGAGAGCGCAGATCCAGCAGCTGTCATGATGACAACGATGGTGTGCTCCTTCATGTTGAAGGGAGTCTCGGGGTTGAATTCCAGGTGCTGGCCAAAAAGACGGAACTTCCAGTTGGGCATGCTCGCATGCCAGCCCTTGCCCATGGGGTAGGCAATCAACTGCACGACGACAGGCGAGATGGTGACGGGCGCACGACGCATGTTCAGCAAGACATTGCAGGCGGTGACAACCGTGCAGGTGATGAGACCGATGGACCAGGCGCGGATTGTGTTGACGGGGGTGTCAGGATCGTCAAAAGGCTTCACCGACGCTCTGACTTCGGCGTATGGTGAGTCCTCGGCCAGCAGAGACGTCTCAACAGCCGCCTCCTTCTCCAAGTCTCCAGTGCGTAGTACCTGTTGGTGGACGGCGTGTGAGATTCATATGCCCCGCCCGTGAAACCCTCCCCCTCTCTCCTTGTCACACTCTCACTCGCTTGGGGTTGGGGTCACACACCTGATCGGCAGCGTCCAGCTTCTCGACCTCCATGAAAGGGTCCCACTTGTGAAGCTTCTTAAACTTCTTGAGGTCGGCCTCAGGGTTGATGTCGATGGGAAGATCTGAGGAGGCATCCTGTCCTGTGGCCTGGCCCTCGGACACGGGCGCGTCCGAGGCCTTTCCACGGAAGGAGAAACCCATGGTTGGCGAAAGTGTCGCGCTCAATGGAGTTTGCGCCTTGGTGCTGTTCTGATGGTGAGAAACCTCAGGGTTGGCTATGTGGGCACAACCGTACTGGAGGGACGAGGGAGGGAGTCGTCTGAACAGAGGGTCGACGGGCCGGGAGGGAGGGACGAGGGACGGAGGGGTGACGGGATGATATTTCTACTCTGAGCGGCCCCAATGCAACGTGAGAGGTGCTCACTGTCGGTGGTCAGGTCACCTTCACCTTCCCAAGCGGGCAGGGGAGGCAAGGTACGGGGACTGTGCAATGTGCAGGGCCCAGGCCCACCAAATCGATGATCCCAGGGCCGTCAATCTTAGTGTTCAACGCTTGACTGAGCTTAATTACCACGGCTGTGATGGAACGGTATCATTGGTGGCTCCACAAGGGCGGCTGGTTACCCAGGTCGACCTGGCCGGTTCCGTATGGGGAGACGGGGGACTGGATTGGAGAAGGCACCGAGCTGAGGTCTAAGACCCGTGCTGCCGGTTGGAGTTGAGACGAAAAGGCCCTCGCCACTGAACCTGAGCCTGAACCGGCACGATAAGGTCCCAGTCGACCAATTACCCCGTACCTAGGTAGTTACTTGGTTCCCCCGCCCATCAAAACGAGGCCATGCCAGTGTTTGGAAACTTTCCCGTCTAGGAAGGTCTGCGGTAGGACGGAGGCGACCGGCGGGCATTGCGGACCCTTTGCCTTCCTTCACCCTTGACCAGCACGACGGCTAATGAGCATACCAAGTACCCAGCAACACAAGGTAGATGAGGGCTTATGCCGTTTGTACCAGTCCTCGCATGCCTCGGTTGCAACCTGTGCGACCTGTGCAACCTGTGTGCGCCCCTTCCCGCCCGTCACGGAAACCCTGTGTTGAGTAGCACAAGCCATCAGGAGTGAGGGGGTGCACAAGGGTATGCATCGTGCTCCCCACCAGTGTGCAGGCTTCATCGCAATCTCCGCGCCAGCGACTACTGTAACTCTCTCTTCTGGCTCGAAACCTTGGGAGATTTATAGCTCTTGCCCGAAGCTCAGTGCTGCTGCCACTGGCGCACCTGCCACATGTTTGTAGGTTTGTTCCGGGAGACTTTCGATGGTGTCAGGGCCCACAATCCCCATATATCGCTAGCCCGACCCCCCCCCCCCCGAGCACGGGGCTAGATAAACTTATCAGCCTCTTTAGTCAATCCCCTTGGTCACCCACGCCACCCGGACACTCGGCTCAGATACACTGGCCATGCCATGAGTACATGGGCCATTCTGCTCGATGATTTGCAAAATGAAGCTGTCATTCAACCTTTGGCGAAGGGTGCCCCCAAAGGGTCTTCCATTGAAATCTAGCCCCTTGGTCGTACTTGCAAGTGTGTGATTTGTAGGGTAGGATCGACTAGGGCCGGCCGTCCCCCCTTTCTCAAATGTCAAGTCGTGCCAAGTGAAGCCTTCCGCCTCCCCGTACGCCCAGCGCGGTCGCTTCCAAAAACAAGCACCCCAAGCACCTGCATGCGGCACGAGACAAGCTTCAGCCGTCGTCTTGTCTGTCTTGTCCTTGGCCTGACCCCCTTTGAGCCGCATGCCGATGTCACCAGACAGCCAGCTCCTTTTGACTTGCAGTTGACTTGCAGTTCGACGATAGAAAAAGGCCAAGCGGGCAAGATCGTATCACCTTCCTCGGTGGCACGAAGGAGAACTGGGGGAACACGAGCCCGATCCGCGCTACGAGGCGCAGAAAACTTAGCCAACCCCCCGGTCCCCCGCGCCCCAAAGTTTGGGGCCATCCTGGCTCACAAACTGCTCTGAGCCACTGGCATCGTGTAGGCATTCGATGATCTGGACGACCTTGAGGAGACCATGTGGCGGCCATAACCCGGCGCAGCGGTAGCTTTGGGATCAACCGAGATTCCCACCTGGGGACCAATGACTCGGCGTCCAACGGCAGCGTCCCATGCCTCTTCATCCACGATAGATCGCCGCGCTCCATGCTCGCGCCGGCAACTCCGACCTTCCTATTACGGCTCTGGAGATGTAGACTTGGCGCATGTAGGGCATCCTCTCGCGGCTATTGCCACCAGTCGGCCCGACATCCGAGAGAGAAGGCGCGCAACCCCAACCAGGACAGCCTTAACAGTCAATCCCGGCTAGCCGCACTCGCAGGCAGATGTCGCGTTTTCACCTGCATTCCCGAGAGTATGTGGAGGGGGGTTGGCTGGAATCTCCTGCCGACTTGAGGCAAAGCGAAAGCCACTCACGTTTAGACTTGGTAGACACGGAAGGAGGTGGGCGCCATTCTCACCCATGTTTTCATTCGATCTTTGTGTTACCATCGTCAAGTCAACAAAGGTGCCGCCATGAAACTCATCGTGCACTTTCTCGACGTCAGACGCTGACCTCACGTGACGTGACAAACGGAAGGATCACTGGAAGGATCGCGAGGTTCGTGTGGGATTTAAGGTTGTTCTGGCAAACCGCGGCGGACGGGGCGGGGAACCACTGGCTACTGGGTGCAGGTGCCTCGAAGGATCCGAGGTGTTCTCTCGTCGCCAGCGAATGGGACAGGGAGCCATCTCCAACATTTCACGTGTGATGGTTCCCCGCCTGCCCGAATCAGCCTCGCCCGGCGGGCTAGAAGGAAGGGAGAAGGTGCTCTAGAAGCACGCAGCAGCGAGCTAGCTAGCTAGACCCGCCGAATCCACCGCGCGGGTCGGGCGCGGGTCAGCTGCCCACTCCGACTCTCGAGATGTTTCTTGCGGTCGGTGAGCCGAGAATACGCGGGAAGTTGGATGAGTGAGCCGAGGTTACTACGGAGACAGAATGGCAGAGATGCCCTGTCTCCCTGTATTAAATTCTCTTCTCAATGTTCACGGGGGTCTCAGGTGCCTGGGGATGAGTGAACGATCTCTATAGCACATGCCAACCTATAAGATAGTCTTGATGTAGTCCGCTATTACCCGCCCTGACCCTCTAACTTCGCTTTGTGTATACCTGAGTGCCTGATCAAACTGAATAGCCTTTAGAGCCTGTGAGGCTCTCGGGGTGCTACGGGAGTGTGAAGAGATCCCGCCGGCTTCGACAGGGCGAACAATTTGATTGATTCCAGCTGACAAAGCGGCTGAAAGCATCAGTCTAACTCATCAATTGATCCAAGAGCCCTCTGGCACGTCACTAGCGGTTGTGGCAAGGCCTTTCTCTTGCGCTTGCCTAAATGGATGCGGTCGGGATGTTGTTGCCAGGCATCTAGGGGATTTGTATATTCAGAGTTTATTCTAGGGAATATACATGTATCACATTCCATCATCACCACCCATCATTCTCCGAGCGAACGGTACGAGCGACTACAGCGCAGCGGTGGTGAACTTTAGAATGGTGGCGCTCACCCTTCGAGTCATTATAAATTTTCGTAGCCATTAGGGCTTTCTTTCTTTCCTTTCTCTTCAATGGCCGCAATACACTTTGTTTTCTCTGCTCACCATGGGAGTGTTACCGCCACCTCCCCCCCTCCGCAACCATCATTCTCTGAGCGAAGTGACCACAGCGGAGTGTCACCACCATCCCTACTATCATAATTTGGCTCCAGGATAGGTAGGTGGGCAGTCTCGAGTGGTACCAGCACCGATCTTATTCATTCTTGGAGTTCAGATATCTTAGATTATTGCATGACGGCAAAGGAAGAACTGGCCGATGGACTGACAATTTATGAAAGCCCAATCTCATGTAAGGGACAAGAACAACGTCTGATACAGCTGTGTAAACATGTGAGCTTCAAGAAGTCAAAATTATAGAATGCAGATGAATATCTTTTAAGATAGAAGGAGAGCAGGTTTTCAGGATGTTTTACAGAACAACTTGAACTTGGAAACAAAATGTGGTCAGAGACCATGTTCTCATTTTGGGCTGGACGAGACGATCCCTATAGAGCAACCGGGCGACCTCAAAAGGGGTCACAGGCTTGAGAGACTGAAGAAATGTTTACGGACACTGAGGACCGAGAAGTGCGTTGGGCTTTCGTTATATCATGGTGAAAGAGTAATTTGACGAGGTTCCGAGATTGGGAATGCTGCTAAGGTCTCTTGGTGCGATGTACAGGGTGAGAAGGGGACAGAAGACGGCGACAAGGGCGAAAGAGGTATTTCATTAACATGCTATGCCATCTCGACACATGTGGGAAAGGTCTGGCCCGTCGAGGTAACTCACCACGGTTCTCGATCGCCATAACAATCATCTCCACCCTGCCCTCTCCGCAACAAATGAATATTCAAAGCAGATATGTGTGGCTTGGCACCGAGTATCCGTGGAGAAACATAGAAGTATTGGTGAGCCTATTACTTGACCCTTTGAATTTTCCATCTTTTCGAAAAGGGGACACACATTTGACTCATTTGATCAGAATCTGGTGGAAGGCTGCTCGCTGCAGGTTGACGAGGGGACTTCGCCAAACAAACCGCTATGGACTGTCTCCTATCCTTTCAGTAAGAGACGAGCAGCTGGAGGGACCTTGGCTAGACTGAACCCTCCTCCTTTTTTTTTTTTTTTTTTTTTTTTTTTTTTTTTTTTTTTGGGTATATATGAAGCAGCATGTGCGCCGTCGTCATGGTTTTGCCTAGCATGACGAGGCCAGAGATGTACAATGTACGCTGCACGGCTGAACCTCATTTCGGCGAGTACAGTTCAAGACAGCTGAACGTCTGCGTTTATTGTAACATTCAGCGGACGATATCCGTTGGCACAAGTTGCAGTGAACAGCCTCTCATATGTTGGTTTTAAAAAATACATGTACTACACAAGAGAACCTGCTATGGTCTGCGGCGTTGGTTTAGGTATGGGCTGTCCGGGCGCCTATCCGACCAGACGAGTACTTGGGAAGTGTCCCAATACGTGATCCCTACGAGCTATATCATACGTCAAACAATAACACTTCAAGTGGTGGCAAAAGATATTGCGTCTGTCTTAAACGAGGCCACTGTTGCGCCGACAACCCTGGTTGCATGGGAACGGTACCAGTGGAGATGAACACCATCTTCAGAGATAAATAGGTGGTGCAGATCCCGCAGCTTCAAGCCTTGGACGCCGATAGGACTGCCATGTCTTCATGGCTGTCGTCTCCAGGGTATCCCTGATTGGCAGAGAGGCGTCAACTCAGGCACCAACATGCACGTGTTTCGTTCCCCAACTTGACTGATTGCAGGACTGCCAGGCTGCCGGAGCACGGTAAAACAAGGTGGAGGTTCTTGGAGGTGGTGCCGGGCCTGGATCGTTGTCGTATAGGACGGAGTGAGGTCAGGGCTTCTCCGTTCACATGGGTTCGAGTCGTGATGTGATCACGGGAGATCCACATTAAAAACGAAGAAATGTTTCGTTTCGCGGAGGCGATCGGCCCGACGAAGAAACACCCCGTGGGACAGGACAGAGACAAGCTGCTCCTGCTTTCAGGAGAAGGTTGAATTACGGTATGACGCTGAGCAGTGTCCCACAAGTTTTCGATAATGACGAGTGCTCTGAGGCATCGCTAAGACTGGTCTGGGAGGATCTGCTCCGTTGACACAGGGACGCCATGGTGATCTTCCAATTTTTTCTTCTTCTGTGTACATGGTGTGGCCGCGGCCCACAGGAGCTCAACGTCTGAACATCCGGGTTCCGAACAAGGACCCTGTGCAGATCATGGAGGTGAGGAAGCCGATGATTTGTCGATGTTTTTGTCGATGAGTGCTTCGCAAGATTACTGGATTCGTCTCATTGTATCACGTAGGCGCGGCTAAGAGGAGGGGGTGTGAGGAGAGATGGTGTGGTGGTATGTCCTTCGTATGATTACGCAGGAACAGGCCGAGACAAGAGACGAGCAGGATCTGACAGGCTGGCCATGTGCCCCCCGACAGGCACACACAGGCACACTGACATGCTGGGTCCGAAGGCCCTTGATCTCGATTTGGCACTGTCTGGGCGGGCGAAGGTGGCTTCCACGGCTAGTCTAGAAGGATGATTGACCTTCAGGAGGCCTGGGCTTTGTCTCCAGGCCTGGCAGGATGACGACGATTTGACGTCGTTGTGTGTTGACGGAGTGCCGCCTAGACGAGACGAGCGCTTTCTGTGGCTTGTCTTGGCCCCCCCCCCCCCCACGGACTGGAATCTCCAGATTATGAGCTGTACATGGAACGAATGATGCTTCTCAATCTGTCTGAGCCCGTGTGGCTACTTTGACTACGTGACTACGGCTCGGGCTCGGGCACGGGCACGGCAATGATGCTCCGAAAAAGGCGTCTGCCCTGGTCCCCCCGGGTCCCCAGGTGCCAGGCCCCCATAATAATTATTCAAGATGCCCAGCGACGCCGACGTCACAACCTGGAAAGGGGGAGGGGCAATGTCTTTGATTGATTCCCATGTCGACCGCTCTACACTAAGCAGTGCTCAGTAATGAACAGGGTGGATCTCCAGACCGGGCAGAGCACGTCTTTTTTCCTGCCGGTGCTCCAAATAAAGCAGTCAGCCTCCCCGTGTTGAGATGCCATCATTCCACTCTCACGAGGAAAAAAGGACCAAAAAGGACACACGGACACACGGGCGACCTCAGCATCCGTCAACACCACCCGCGAATGCACATGCACCTGCGCCTGCACATGCACAGACACAACCCTATATAGTCTGATAGTTCGCAGCTTTGCCCTTGTGCCCGTCTCAGCCCGTCCTGGTGCATGCAGACTTGAGCTGTCAAAATCTCCCAGCTAGCGGCCGCTCCCGACTTGGAATTGGCCGTGCACCCTGCCAGCACTAGTCACCATTACGCGCCCCGTGCCAGTCCGGTGCAGCAAGGTCTCCTCACAATCACGACATTTGTGCCAGCTCGCCGCCTTGGCCACAGCCGACATCGCGCAACTGTTTCTTCCCTTTGCCCTCTCTCGTCTCTTGTAAGTCAAGAGGTCAAGTACGGTCTTGTCTGCTGCTCCTACTGCTCCCATCAGCAGCAAGCTGACCGGAACAAAGCGACCACCTGCACCATCGTTATCGTCGTCGACTCTTGCTCCGAAACACAGTGGGAGCCGCAGTCCAAGAATACCACGAGTCAAGTCTGGGGTGGCCGCCTGTAGCGTCCACACACTAAATTAGACCATCCCGCAACTGTCTTCCCCCCCCCCCCCGTCAGTCGCGTTCCTGTCAACGAGCTGGCCACCGGCGCTGCTGTACAGAAGACTGTTGCGCGCCTCACAAGCCTAGTCACAGAACAAGACCCCTTCACCGGCTCCTGCAAGAGAGACGCCGGCAACCAGAAGGCATTACACTACCTCGTGGGCCTGGATCGTGCACACCCCGATCAGGGCATCCATTCACCCGCCTTTTTGTCCTCCATCTACACCGCTTGCAGGGGAGCTCCAGCCGGCCCCACGTTGCGTTTGAGAGAACCCGTCCTGGTGCAGGAAAGGTGCTTGAGCTACTGCGTGCTTGGCCCCGGGGTCGCGCTGCATCACCGATTGACCTTGTGTCGAGGGAGAGAAACAGACGAACGACTCCAAGCGCTCGCTCCTCAGCATTGGCCTCCAGCAGCCGCCAAACACCTGACATCTCAATAATATTGAAATCGTGCAGGGCAGCTCACCCTTCAGCTGTCCCCTGCCGTGCAGTACTTTCTCCCGACTAAGGTTATCCGACCATCCGCGTTCCTCCGTCAGGATCCCGCATTGAGGATCCCACCTTCACATTCCTGGTGTGGAGCCATTTGGGTCTCCCCCTCCACAGGGTCAGGAATTCCAAGTCCAGACCGATCCACCAGCCTGGGGCCGCCAGCGGCAGATTACGGCCTGCGCCTAGTCTTGTTCAGGAAATTACATCTACACTGCTACCACTCACATTTCCTTGTCGCTGCCCGAGTGCTCTTGCACCATTCCCGCACCTGCTCCTTTGATAAAGACCACCGTCGCTTCCATCATTCTTCTTGGAATTGCTTTTTTAACTCTCTCTTCCAACGCCCCTTCTCCCCCGGCATATCACAAACCTGTCCCGTCTAGCTATCAAAGTCTCCGCCAAGCGGAAACCCCAACACAAACCACACCTATCACGCTGTTGGTCGTGCTTCACGAAGCATCATCACGACGTTTACTTGAGAGGGTCCCACCGAGATCATTCCCACAAGAGACTGCCGGCCGAGGTCGAGGAACAACACCGGCCAGCCCCGATGACAACGTCCAAAGCCCACCACAGATCTTATACGATCAACCTTCGAGCCTTGACGCCGGCTGCTGCGCAAACCAGCCCACACAAGCCACATCACCTGAATCAGCAAGCTCACCCGAAATCCCACAAGCCATCGAAATCAACACCCAACGCCATGATGTCTCAGGCCCCGGAAGCTCGTCTCAACCTGCCCGCCGATAGCCTGCCTCAGCACAACCGCGAGCTGACCTTGCGGAGGTACATGCTGCTCCAGGATGAACACGAGTCCATCCGTCAGCATCTGGATCAAATCTCCACCACATCGTCTTCTTCAGCAACCACCAAGACAACGACGTCGCCCACGCTTGGCCCCACACGCCCATCCGGGCACACGCGGACCGAATCGGCCGCGAGGAGGGCGAGCATGCCGCAGTACGACATGCCGCGTCCGCGCTTCCACCGACGGGCCGGAGCGCGGGTTACCTCCGCCGAGCTGGAGACGTCCTCTGACCCTGCTACCCTGGCGCAGGTGGCGACCGAGGAGGCCAGACTAGTCTCGGTGAACGAGGGTATCAAACGGGCCTTGACGGAGCTGCTCAACTGCGAGACCGTGCGCTCCGACCAGGCCTTCCGGAGCTTCTGCATGACGAGGCTCATGGAGACAGAGCAGGAGCTCCGGTGTGGCCGCAGGAGGAGGAGCTGCCCTGTCGACTGAGGGCCAACTGTACGCTCCATTTCACTTTGGCCACCGAGCTATGCGGCACTACTCTTTGGCACGGAATCATGATTAAATTCATCTTGCGTATGGCGTTGACTGGAAAATGGGACACTACATGGGCATATGGACTTGCGAGAGACATCGCTGTTGATACCCCTCATTAGCATTGACGCACAGAAAAGCGATCATGCACTGTTTATTCGTTGTATTTTTAAACGGGAGCATTGTTGGAACCAGGAGCCGGAACTAAAACAAAGGCGCTCCTTGGAAGACACTGAAATAGAATCAGTCTGGCCTCGTCCGGGTAGTTAGAATTATCCTACCCTCGCTAATATCGCTCACAATCCTTTGCGAAATGACTCAAAATTTCTTGTAAATTGATGACATCCAGAACTCTTGAGAAGGTCCAAATGAGAATCAACATGCACAGTGAACGAAGCTGGGTGATTAGTTGTGCAGTAATTTAAGAATGTCCAAGCGGCTTCCGTTTTGGAGAAACGTCCCGGTTTAGTGTACAACGGCGGCGAGCTAAAACCGTGCCCCTCGGGCCACGACCTCTTTTGTAGTCAACCTCGCTTAAGCTTTGCCATCTACCACCCTCGCCATCACGTCACCCCGCCTTCCCAGTCGCGTCTCTCGAGCAACCACAACACTTGAGCCCCCACAGCTCACTCTTTAACCAACGCCAAAACGGCATGTCCGTCCTCCTCGAAACGAGCGCTGGCGACATTGTGATCGACCTGCTGGTCGACTACGCGCCGAAGCTCTGCGAAAACTTCCTGAAGCTGTGCAAGGTCAAATACTACAACTTTTCACCGATCCACTCCATCCAGAAGAACTTCTCCTTCCAGACCGGCGACCCCCTCGGCCCTCTATCCGCACAATCCGATGGCGGCTCGTCCATCTGGGGGCTCGGGTCCTCCGACCCGGCTGAGCGAACCTTTCCCGCCCTGTTCCACCCCAAGTTGAAACACCTCGAGCGCGGAACCGTCAGCATGGCCACGGCACCGAATGCTGCCGACGGCGGAGAGACCAGGCTGGCGGGGAGCCAATTCATCGTGACATTGGGCGACGACACAGACTATCTCGACGGGAAGGCCGCAATATTTGGGAAGGTCGTGGAGGGCTTCGACGTGCTGGAAAAGATCAACGAGGCTATCATCGACGACAAGGGCCACCCTCTTGTCGACATCCGAATCAAACATACTGTCGTACTCGACGACCCCTACCCAGATCCCGCTGGCTTGCGCGAGCCAAGCAGCTCGCCCGTGCCTAGCAAGGCTCAGCTGGCCACCGTGCGGATCGCCGAGGGCGAGGCCGAGAAGCTGGACGAGGAAGACAATGAGGAGGCAGCAGCGGCGGCAGAGAAGGCCCGGCGCGAGAGGGAAGCGCGCGCTCAGGCGCTCACCCTCGAGATGATGGGCGACCTGCCCTTCGCCGAGGTCAAGCCGCCCGAGAACGTCCTCTTCGTGTGCAAGCTGAACCCAGTCACGGTCGACTCGGACCTCGAGCTCATCTTCAGCCGGTTCGGCAAGATCCTCTCGTGCGAGGTCATCCGCGACCGCAAGACCGGGGACAGCCTCCAGTACGCCTTCATCGAGTTTGAGGACAAGACCGCCTGTGAGACGGCGTACTTCAAGATGCAGGGCGTGCTGATCGACGACCGGAGGATCCACGTTGACTTCTCCCAGAGCGTGAGTCGTTTGAGCGCGACGTGGCGCGACGAGACCAACCAGAAGAGGCGCAAGCACGCCGCGGGCGGGAACAGGGGCGGCTGGGGCGGCGTCAAGGAGCTCGAGAAGTGGAAGAAGTACCGGGACGAGGACGACGCGCCCGAGCGGGGAGACCGTTATCAGATGCTGGTGGACGAGCCTGCGGAGGGCAAGGCGCCGGTGACGGGAGACAATGGTCGGGCACGGCCAGACGGTTCCAGCCGCGACCACCGCGACCGCCGTGACAGCCGGTCACCTCCGTCACGTCGCCGAGAGCAGGACAGAGGCTACCGGAAGCACGACCGGAGCTCGAGCCCGCGGGGTGAGCGCCACTACGATTCGAGGAGGCACCGAGACCGTGATGGTGATCGGAGGGGCCGTCGTGAGCGAGACCGTGGCAGGGCTTACGATGATTACAGGAGACGGTGAAGAAGATACAGGGCCCACTGAAGGGAATGATCCATGATACCCAGTTGTCCGCCAGCGACATCGCTTTCAACAATATACAACTCTTACACGGCACGCACATCGTTTTTCTTCACGACTTGTTCTAACGATGCCCCGGGGATCTTGCGCCATTGGATTTATCAATTTCGTGAAGTTGTAAAGTACACGGGCATCCCTTGTGAGTCCAGCTCCTTTTCAAACAGGATCCATGATGTGCAAAATTCTGATGTAGAATCTCTCTGTGAAGTACAACCGTCAGCAAAACCGAACTACCTTTGGGCTAGCCAGGCATAGCATTCGGGGTGCATGTCGAGCAGATGCATCAGTTTTGAACTCTGCGTGTCAGCCGCGTGGACGTACACCTCGTATATCAGAAACCGACAAAGCACAGAAGTGAGACACTCGTGGACTCGGTCGTATGCCATCGCGAAAGGTACCACCGGACTCCCAGAGAGCTGCACAATGCTTACAAGACGGTCTGAGATGATGGCTCTTTGGTGGTCTTGTTCTAAACACCGCATGGCTGATTCTATGCGTACTGGTACTCTCCCGGACCCAGATCTGGCACCTCATCCTCATCATCGTCCACCTTCCCCTGAGCGGAGCGATCCGGTCCGTGAGCGAAGCGAATTGTATTTCGGAGCGAAGCGATCACTCCCAGTTGAGCTTCACCGGCCCGGAGAAGTGGCTGATGGAAGCAGCGACGTCCCTGGATGGCAGGTTCATTGCAGTGTCACGAGGATTCTTCACCGAGTCCGCCTCAAGGCCGAAGGAGTGGTCAAAATTCCGAAACCATACCTGCTGACTTAGGCCAGGGGTTGAGGCGACTCGGAAACATCCTCAGCGTACGCCTTTCTCTTGGGCAAGCCAGCTAGAATTTCCGGGACTGCCATGTGGCACCTGAAAGATCTCCACCATGGGATATTCTACATTGCGGCTGCCCAAAGCTGATGGCTGCCTTCGAACGCTAAAACACCAAGGGCTTTTAGGTAACAATCATGGTGCGACAGGGCGCTCAATAGCCTCACGATTCTCAATCGTGAGGCTGGCTGGCAGTCTCAGTCGACTGCGGAATCTGGAATTGGGGTCGCTAAATCTTGCTGCTACACGTGTAGCTGCATGTCTCAGAAGGAGCACACCGTCGGGTCCTCCAGATGAGAACAAAAGCAATCCGCCCGTGACAACTTAATCACCGGCGACGGTGTGTTTGTTTTCCTCGTCGAATGTCATCCCCATCTGTGAGACATGGCCCCCGGCGTCCCAGGAGAATTGAGTGTGGCGCCTGCCGTGGTTCGCATCTTGCGACGCTGTGTCGCAAACACTTCGCAGGTTTTGGTACAATCAGCCTCATCCCTGCAATCCTCAAGGGGTAGCCTCAAACCTACGGGGGCTACTCGGACTGTCGATTCAGCTGGGCAGGCCTGGGGCCAGATTGCTGAAGCCATTCATCATTGCGATCGTCTATACAACATGTGACGCGTCAAACGACTGTATCTCTAAACCTGGGATATTCTTCCCTGGTCGGTTGATCTTGCAACATGCACCTGTTCATCCATTTCATACTGAGACATCAGCATTAGCCCGTTCGACCTGCGTGTTGGCAAGCTGGATTGCACCAAGCGCGGTCACACGGGCTGTGTCGTATAAGCCATCGATAAGTCGGCTGCCACTTGCATGACAGCATTTTACCAACACCATTGGGAGGAAATGCCCGATCTCTGAGCTTGCGCCTCCTTCTCGGAGCACCAGCGTGGGGGTCCACAGTTGGGAGGAGCTTCTGTGTTTCGACGGTTGGCCCACATCCAACTGACGCCCACCTGTTCTACTACCAAATGACGGCTTTTTCTTCAGCCATGGGTCGCTGCAGATGTGCCAACCAAGAATTTGCTTCGAGAAACGACTGGCCTGAAGCTGACTGGCCCACACTCCCTTGGCCTGTTGGCGGCTGTCCAAAGTGAGGAGGGTTGCATTCGCCCTGGGACGCCCAGTCAACTGCCGTGATGATCTGTCATTTTCATCGGGCAGGCTGCACTGCAGCCTTGTACATATCGCCTAATGTGGACGCGACCTCGCCTGTTGATGGCCAGCTCAGAGGTTCGACTTCAGAGCTGCAGGTTCCTATGATGCCATATAGGTCTAAAGTCGGGATCGCATTGCTAACGTGGGCCACGAATTGCTGCAGGCGTGAAGAGGCCTCGAAGCTCACACACTCATCACGCTGTCCGACCTACTTGTTTTTGACACATCCACGGAGGTTTATCTCTTCGATCTAGCGGGTGTGTAATGTGTACTTGCACAACATTTATGCAATGAGCCCCGGCTCTTTGCCTGGCTTTTGAGGAAGCCAAGGCCTGGACGGCTACTTACAATTCCTCAGCAAGACTGCTTGCGCAGGAAGACAGCTTCTAGCCTCTGTTGCAAGAGTTCAGGTCCGACGAAGAACGTGGAAATGAGTCTTAGACTCATGACGTCTCGAGATAGGGAACGATCTTGCAATTCTTTCCAAGGCTTGCTCTTCTCAAGCATCAAGCAGATTCAGGAGATTTGCAAGAGAAAAAGTTTACATGCATTGCATCATAAATCTAGCCCGGGTGACACAAGACCTGTGTCACGGTTATGGTATGGGGGCACCAAATCACTGCGTTGCGTTACACAGGGAGTCACCTCCCTGGAGTGCGAGCCTACGGCTACCAAAGCAGTGAATCCCCAAGCAGCCAAGCGATCAGGCTCTCCGGCTGCATGAGATACCGGGCCCCGACAAAACTTGCACTTTGGTCGAACAGATCTCAGCTGCAACCCCATCAGTTAAGGAGGAGAAGGTGTCGACAGCCAAGGCCTTCACCTGCAAGTCATCTGCCGGCTTGCCGCTGGCCCCATCGGAAAAGCAGAAGACGGGGGCGGATGTCTACTTGCGATGGGGCGACCCCCACAGAATAGCGTGAGCAGCATTTGGTCCTCGAGTGGCAGTATATGCCAGTTGCGTGACACCGCGGGCTGGTCGGCCTCTGGAATGGCCATCTCCACTGTACTCTCAATTGCGGCGGTCTGGAGTTTTACTGGAAGAAGGGGTCAGTGGCTCCCAGGAAGACGAGGGATCATCTGGAGGTGCTCAACGTTGCACCAACGGCAAGCCACACATCGTAGTGTTGTCAGTCACGCAGCTACCCTTGTCGTGCGACTGGGGCGGAAACACCCTTTCAAATCTCTCAGCAGCCTGCTACTGCCGCGGCCTTTCCATCACACCACAGGCTGCTAAGCTTTCGATAGGCATAGCGTCAAGCAAAGCTCCAGAGAACTTCTCAGGAGCCTACCGGAGCGGTGGATTCCGCCAGCACCACAACGGCCACCATGCGGTGCTGCCAGCCAAGATAATCTACGTACTGGGAATTCCCTTCTCTGCCCGCAAGAACAAGTCTCCGTCTCACCAAGTCGTGTTTTGCGGCCCGTTTGCTTCTGAATAGCGCGCAGGGCAGTTCGGGGGTCGTCGCTCAGGTCCTGGCGCCCCTCGCACCTAAGTTTGGCATCGACCTTGTGGCCTGCGTCGGCGCCCTCGGATGCCCTGATGTTCCGTGTTATGTAGGGCTGAATCGAGGTTCTAATTTCGACTGACATAGACCCTGATCGACGGGCGCTCGTTTATCTCTTTCATCCTATCACAGGCCCTTGCACGTGTAGGCGAGGTCCGTCAAGGCGGCTCTCACTCATCTCACATTGGTCGCTCATGGGTATCTGGATGGCCGGACCAATACCCAAGCCACGGAGCGCTCGGGATTTTCCTCCCACAGTCTACTTGCAGCCGCAATACCTCATTCTCGAACGGCAGCCTACGAGGTCGTGAGTTGGGCGTCCTGACGTTCCGAGAACTGCGGAATTTGTCGATATTGTCCTGCATATTGCAGATCAGGCTAGAATTTCGCTGAAAAGTCGAAACAACTGGGCCCACGGCCTGGCGAAGACCCGCCCCAAGAAATGCTTTTTTTGTCTTTTTAACGTCGCAAGCCGAGTATAGTGCTCATGTCGCAAAACGAGACTCCGCGTCTGCCTCTTCTCTAGCCTCGCTACCACTGCGGTGCGGGTCGGCAGAATAGGCCACCAACCCTGGTCATCTAAGGACTTGCATTGACATACCACGGGAATCGGCGGGACGGATCGCTCACCTTGAATCGACTGTGCTCCAGATCCCAACTGCTGGCTTGGTACTCAGCTCGCTGCAGTGCCTTGGATCAAGCGGCCATGTGATTAGCCTTTCTTGCATATGCGGCTGCCACGGCGATTTGCTGAAGATTTCCGTGGCCAGAGCCTCCTGTGGCTGGACCTGGAATCCTACCTGGCTGTGGTTCAGCTAGGGCTGGGCGCTCGTCAAAACATGTATTTGCCGTTGTCGTTCCGTCCTCGTCGGAGGTCTACCATCCCGCAGGCCACTCCCCTCTCCCTGCGGCTCGACCTGGGTGGCTACCCTACGATGCCAACCCAGAACTTGGAACGCCACCATCATCGACTCGGTGTAACGCGGCCGGTGGCCGGGCGACGTCCCCGTGGAAGGATGGGGTGGATGGAAATTCTCTGCATCTGCAAGGCAGGATGGTGTGCAGGCATCCCACACTTTGCCTCATAGATACAAGGCACACTTGCGTAGGAGACCTGGAAAAAGTAGAGTGGTCGAGATTAACTTGGGGGTAGGCGTCCGTCGCCTCTGCAGCAGCCGATTCCTTTCCTAATTCAGAGCTCACCCAAGCAACACTCAGTTTCCAGAGTGTGGCGGTTACAGCCTGTGGGGGGGGGGGGTTCCTACCAGGGGCTGTGTGTCACCAAGAAGCATGCAGATCCAACTTCGAACCCCCACCCTCCTCTTACAGTATTTTGGTCACCTTCGTCGAATACGCCAAACGACGACGTCGCCGTAACCATAGTATTGGGCTGGCTTCAGCCAAGTCTTGTTGAGGCATCGGTAGAGAACCTCGATGGCCATCGATGGTGCACCTGAGGTTTCTCAACGAGAAACGAGATCTCCTTAATGAGAAGGCATGTAAGAGTTGATTTGGGGACTCCAGTGCAAACATCCTTGGTGTCCTCGTGTATTGTTGCTCGCGCGTCCCACCCGTCACGCATACACAAGTTTGCCCTTGACGTACGAGAGGAGCTCAGGCAGCCGCAGCTTGCTGTTGCTGAATCTGATCAGTCATAATTTGCCGCTCAAACCACCCGCCAGCACCAAACGGCGACTGGCCACCCCGGAATCCACCGTCGAATCTGAGTCAACCAACGACGGCTACCGCATCAACAGTGATGCACCCATGCCACCGGGCCTTGCGCTGTCGGTCTTTCTCACCCCAATCTGGCAGTTTGGAAGCACGTTTCCTTGCCCCGATAGGAAATAGGAGTCCACGCGGTCAAGCCCGTCGGACTTCACCTGAGGTCTATTGCCGTCCTCACCCAGCATGCCACCAAGACGATCTGATGTGCGGCAAGAGGGAAGCCTTCTCAGGGATCCATCAAAGCCTTATCGCACAGGTTGACGCCCCACGAACGACAATTAATCTGGATTGCCCTATGGGCAACGTTATTTATTGAGATATATCAATGACCAGGTACTCCACGCGCCCCATCCGTCTAGCGCCATGCGGTTTGTTACTGCCGTCCGTCCGTGGGAGTGGATCTCTGTTCGTTAAAAGAATGAACAAGCCTCGCGTGCCCCCTGGTCTGCTCTGTCTTGGAGATCGGGCAGGCAATACAGTGCCCGATGGTCCTCACAGAATGTCTCTCTTGGCATGCTTCAATTCGTTAACCTGAAGGGAGGCTGGGTCTGAGTTCCAGGGTCATCTTCTTACCGGCCTAGGCAAAGTCACCTACCGATGACGCTTTGTACCACCTCATTCGTCGCCCCACAGAGCAAGGCCGGGAGATGTTCATGGTCCAGTGGGGGTGAGATCAGATGATACACCTCAACACCTTTCAGCTGGGTCTCGAGGTTGCTTTCCTCATGACTCCGTATGCTGCTGTGTCTTCTACACATCACCAGGGAGCCTACTCGACCCCTGGCCGGCTAAACTTTACTTGCACGTCGTCTCAATTTGACGTACCTTTGAGCCTGGCTGGGTCAGGTCGGGAAAAGACCATGTGCTCCGTGCAAACCGTGGTATCATATTTGCAGCTCACTCTCGTGTGTGGCTCTACGTACCCCTATGTCTGGCCCGGTAGAGTCTGGGTCGAAGCGTTTGCCCGAGGCTTCCCTCTTCCATTCCACCGCGTACTGCAGGGTGTCTATGCGCCCGTCGGCCAGCATGTGGGGTGTACGGACGCATGATAGATGAGACGACCGAATTGGACAGGCGAGACGCGATGCAGAGTAGCCACGCGAGCCTGCGGATCTGGACGTCCGTCCCCCGCGGTCCGAAGCTGACCTCCAGATTGGCCCCATCGGGAAGCTCCTCAGATTGTCACCACCCTGCTCTAACCGCACATTTCCACACTGGAGACTTCTCTCTTCCGGAGAATTTCGAAAGAGAGAAAAAAAAAAAAAAAAAGAATGGTCGGCCGTTTGCTGCAACCCATGCGGAGCGACGCAGATAACTAGTCCGAGGACATACACCACGTACCCAAAGGACGTAACGGTGTTGACGCAGTACCCAGGCTGCCCGGTTTCAGCGTCTACCTCGCCGCTCGACATACTAATCACTTCTGGGCCAGTAGTTGCCTGCTTCCCCGAGTATGTTGGCGATTTGATGGGGAGGGGGCAGAGCCTCGTTGGCTCGATGCCTCCCACCAGATTGACAGCACGTACAAGTTGCACCATGCGTGGCTTTTCATCGGGTCCTCTTGGTTGTGGCCCTGTACGTGGATCAATCGCATCGCCGTTCCCCTTGTGAGAGCTGTCTGCGTACACATCGACAGTGTACCCTGATACCACTCGTTTGCTCCGCAGACGTTGCCGTACCGATTGGGCTGGTCCGAACTGGGTGCGGCAGATTTGTGGTTATGGCCCCAGTCGACCCTGGTAGACACCAATGCAAGAACTGCAGCTACCCGTTGGGGACATACTTGGTAACTGACGGCCAGGGCAGAGCAGCTGCTGCCGACGAAACCTTCGAATGCTCCCATAGTGACAGGACGCTGTGTAACCTTCAATTAGCCCAACGATTGAAACTCCACTGTCCAATATGAGGTATCGACTGCGTCCGGGGCACTTGCAACGCCGAGGCTCAAATAAGTACAACTCCCACAGGTGTCTGTCTATCCCTCTTGGTATTCGTCTCTCTGGCGCCGTCCGTTGGTATCTAATTACAATTAGCAGATTGGCATGATCTGGCGAGGGACTCAACACGGGTTGGGACCTTTTTTTTCTTTTCTGACGAGGAGCCTGGACTGCCACAGTAGCACGGGGGTTCTTGACTCTGCTTCCTTCATTTTTTACCCCGTCGACTTTTCTTCCTGACCACTCTCCCTTTCCCCGTTGCCACTCGTCTTTCCACATCATTCTGTCGGTATCGTGATCTTCTCTGAAGGAGACACAGAAAAGTCAGCATACTTTTCACATCCCTGTGCTACGATTCCTGGCTGGCTTTCCTCCAAAACGGCCAATTTTGGAATCACAGCCACGACTTGGAGCGCCCCTCGTTATTGAGTGTCCAACAGGCCTCGCAACGGAAGGCACTGCCGGACGACAAGCGACAAGGAGAACAAGGAGAACTACACTAATCAGCCTTGTCAGGCCTGTTGTCGGCTTGAATCAGGACAGCAACGTGACAGCTCCTCTGTGTCGCCCCTCAGCGGTCCTGTTTTACACGCCAGACACTGTGGTGGGCCTATGTGCGTATTTTGACGCCGTGTCTTATCGGCCGGGCCTTGCTTCCCCTGGGAGCTCTCTGCTTGGAAGAGCCGCTGGAGACACAGGGCTGTACCATCGAACCAGCCCGCCAGCCAAATCATACAAGCCAGCGACAAACACGCGACAGCTGGGCCGACTCGCCCGTCAGCTGGTCTCTTTGCACCAACTTGGACCAAGATCGGCTTTGGTTGGACCTTGCACAATTCCCACCGGCTATCTGATCTGTCTCGCCTCGCCTCGATAACCTTGTCCGCAGCGGTCTGGCTGGCTGCCTGCCTCCCACTCGCCTACCCGTGTGTGTCTGGACGATTTCGAAGGCCATTCTGCATCTTACATGCCCCTGTGCGCCGCCCTCGCTTTGGATTGCCCCTTTCTGCCCTCTACCCCTGAATATCGAAGGCCACTCACTTCAAGCCAGCCAAGCCAAGCCAGCCGTCGCTCAATTAACGACTGTCTTGATGTACCTGCCTCGGTACTCCAACAAATAGCCACCCAGTATTGCCAAAGGCTCGCAAATCCTGGAGACCTCGCTGCCCATCTTCTCCCTCACCATCTCGAGCACCCACGCAGAGTCACGCGGACTTGTATATTACCATGGTGTCCCGGGCCTACTACTACTACCCCCCTCCACCTCCGCACCCTCACGACGGCGCGAGATATCTTCCCAGCCGCTCATGCGCGCCGTACTACTCCTACCCGGAACGCCGTTATCAGCTTCCCTCCCACGACGCCCGTTCTATGACCATGACGGACCCCCAGACTGACGAAACAACACCACCGCGGAAGCGTATTGCTGTCGCTGTAAGCTCTGGCTCCCCCCCCCCCCCCTTCGCACATTCCCTGGCCTCAGCCGGGCTACCTTATGTCTGCTTCGGGGCTGAGCACCGACCCGGTTGGATGTCCGCGGGCTAGATGTTCTCCGGAGGCAAAAGCTTGCTTCAGCCTGATTCTCTAGAAGCTCATGCTCGGCTGCTAGTGGACACTTGCATTGTGCACCGGGGAACAGAGTACCACAGGAAATAGTATGCTGACAAGCCTCTTTGGCAGTGTGGGAGATGCCGCAAGCGCAAGATCCGGTGCAGTGGAGACCCAGGTGGTGGACTACCGTGTGTCAACTGCAAGAATGCTGGTGTTGATGCCTGCCTCTTCCTCCGGGTACGATAGCCTCCTTTCCATGTTGAAACCCCTTGAGAGGCGGACGTGCAAGGATAATACGCACACAAAGCTTTCTGCGAAATGCGCCCCTTGCGATCAACTCCACTTGATGGGTTTATTCTGACCAAATTCTTCGAGCGCAGGTCCAGTCCCAGGAGGCGCCGATGCGAGAGGACAGTCGATATGACTACAACATCGACGTTTCTCGAACACTGGCTCAGCGCAGCGGGGGGTCTATGGCGCATATCAGCTCTTCCATGGCTCAGTACCCACAGGAAATGCACCTCTTGAGCTCAGGGGCCATGCCATCGTCTTATAGAGGCACTGGCTACACCAACATGGGGACGAAAGGCTACTATTCCATGGGCGCAGACTGGGGAGATGCATATGGCGCGGATTCGGCCGTTGGCGACTACAGCCTGGGTGTGCCGCAGTACCAGGTGATCAGCAGTGACGCGTCGAGTATTGTCCCGAGCTACGGACACTGGGGTACCCGCCAAAAGAACGTCGGGCAAGGCGGCAGCGTGTACGTGGATTCCGAGTCCACGTACCCATACAGCACCGCAGCCAGCGCTGGTCTTGTTCATAGGCCAGCTTCGTCCATGCCAGCCGAAACTTCGGCCTACTCCTTCTCGAGCATCGCCGCGTCACTTCCTTCCGCGGGGAACGAGCGCCACCTCCCGAACCCAGCAGCCGTTTCACGAGCCATGAGCAACTCATCCGCTACGTATCGCATCGACGGTCTCCCCGCAGGGTACGGCGGCACGAAGTCGAGCCACACATCAGTTCCCGGCACCCAGGCTTCAACAACGTCACCGATCGCTGACGTGACGGCGGCTGCCGCAGCTGTGGGGTACGCCAGCTCGTATGACTACGCCTCAGTCGGGAGACCCTCGCAACAGCATGGCAGCAGTCCCTCAGATGCGTATGGATCTGTGTCGACAGGGAGCAGCGAGACCATTTTTGGAGAGCAAGACCGCAGCGCCGCCTCGCAGGGGTCAGCCGTCGACCTTACTGGATACACGTACGGGGCGGCTAGCCCGGCAGATGCGTCGAGCCTACGGCGCGCCTCGTCCGGGTCTGGCTTGACGACTCGATCGACTGCGGAAAGCAGCGTCAGCACCGGCTACGCAGCCAGTGACGGGGCTTCGACTCTCGGTTCCGGGAACTTCCACAATTCGTCTTCATCACTTGGGCATCATCATCGTCATCACCACGGGCAATCCCACCATGCTTCTCCACGCCACGCAAGTCACCACCACCCCCATCCGCATCAGCTCCCTGGGGCTCATGCCGTGACGGGTAGCACCGCCTACGGGGAACTTTCCGGCGGCGGCAGCACCTCCAGCAATGGAGTCGGTGGTAGCGTCGGTGGCACGGCGGCAACAGACAGCCACCGGTCTAGCATCAGTTCTCGCCGATAATTACATTGGGGGCCGCCCGGCCTTGCAGTCTTTGTGCCTTCGACAACGCCAACACCCATGCTGCCCACCGCTCCACCTCGTGTGCCTTGCCGCTATAATCCTTTTTACGTTGCGTACTTACAACCCGACATGCAGTCCATCGTGATGCGAGGCAGAGAGGCCTGGGAAAGGGGCAGCCGAACAGAGAGGCTGGTAACAGGCGTACGCCCCTGGCCAGCAGCAACCGGCCGGGCCGTGGAGATACCTTGCACGACCGCTAGCAAGAGTGTCACTCTACACCCTTATCTATTACATCTTTGAGGGCCTTTCGAGGAACATGTGTGTTATGTCTGTTATGTTTTAATTTGTTGGCGACAAGGGGAGGGGGGGTTCGGTGCGGCGATCACCGCTTGAACGGCAAAGAAGCATGTGAGAGAAGAGGCTGTCCGGAACAGCATCTGCTGCAAAGTTGATTGGCAAAGATCCGAGAAAGATCCCACGCGGGCTCTAATTCATCGAGGGGTTGTGGGGGAGGGGTGGTTGATCACTGTCAGGACAGAACCCTGTCGTCGCGTTTGGTGGTCTGTCTGCTGGCTGTCAGTCAGGGGCAGAATGGTCCGGCCCTTTCTGTGCAGCGCACTTCGCAGATGACCTGCATGGGCTACCCATCGCTTTTCCCAATGGTAAACCGGTCAGACCCAGAACCTGGGGAACCCAATCACCGTGTCTTGCACCTGGCCTTTCGCAGTCCCTGTTCAAGTTCAGCGCGGCGTGCCCTTTTCTGGATCGCCTCTTCGGCAACCAGTTCCGTTGAAATTGAACACGAGTTGGACCCGACCTGGACCTCGAGACGGCAGCATGCCTCGAGTGGTTCACCTGGCACTTTCTGCACATGTCAATGACTGGCCGTTGCTGCTTCCGACCTGGACTTCGAGAGACGCGCCACAATAAACCGGAAACTGGAGCGTGGTGCGACACTGCCTGCCTACCTACACCACTGGGACGGCGTGCTATTTCTGGGGGGCGATGATGATGGAATTGTGCCTGACGCTCGTTCCCGGGACATGCGTGGGCTCTCTGCCCAAGTGCCGACCGGTGAAGCCTTCACATCGGCACCACGCGCCAGGCCAGGGCCCGCGAGCGACACCAAAGCTGCCTGACGGAGATCGACGGGGTGGATGATCGAAGGGGGCCCCCAAGAATAAAGTGCTGACGTCCTGACACTGACAGCTGCAATGCCACATAGCGTCGGGGCAAGGGGTCACCGCCCAGACCAATCTATCCGACGGCGTGCATGTGTACGGTCGGGAGGCTCAGGTCGCTTCACGCCGACTGCCGTCCGGTTGGCACCACCAGACCGAACTGGGGCCGACCCTCTGGACTCTGGAGGCCCTCCAATGGGCAGCCCACATGGCCCTCGCACCCATGCTGTGCCCTGGTCTGGGGTCGACACGGAGGGGGGGGGGGACTGGACTGGGGCCACAAGGCTGCACACGATGCCCGACGGACGCTGCATGGTTCCGAGGTGGTGGCCTGCGTCTTTCCCCTCCTCCTGTATTCACTCATCATCACAATCTCCCAACTTCCGCATTCCCCCCCTCCAGTTCGTTCTCGTGCCGGCTCGGACCAACCCATATCGGGCCTGGACATACGTACTTCTGTCCTCTTTCACCCCCCGCGAGACGGCGGCAGCCCGCCGACCTGGTGACCGCTCACCTTGGATCGCTGCTTCCGGCACATGCTTTCTCGCAGTCTTGTTTTCTGGTCATCCTTCCCAGTTTCTTCCTCAATTTCCCCCGGAGTCAATCATTTCTGTTCACCAACGCCCTCCTCTCTCTCTCTCACGTGCTTCTGAACGAGCAACATCAATCAATTACCGGGCATCCTCATGTTGCATTTACGTCATAGAGCCAGCCGGCCACCAGGTCCCTTGCTCCCATCTATTGGGAGGTGTGTTATCAGAAATTGTGTCTTGCATCACCGATTCGTTCTCTTCCCTGTTGTCTCCAACCAGCCCCGGTTCGTCTGATCAGAGAACCATGGTTGGTGGTCTAATTCGTTTTCTAATACCGTTTTAATACTCGGCCTCGACCGAAATCAATGGGCCAAAAAGCCTTGGGCATGTGAAAGGGTGGTTCGGAGGTGCAGGGTACGGCATCCGGAAAATGGAGATTAGTGTCTTGTTGTTTTTTTGTAAACTCGATTTTTTTGGCTGGTGTCATGGCAATTGGGCAAAGAGGTGGCAAACCCCGGGGAAAGGATTCAGGCAGTGCAGGGCGTTTCCTGTCGAGCGACGGCTATGATATTACAGTACACTGACATTGCACAGCATTGTGTGCCGGGAAAAAGGAGGGAGGGAAAGAGGCGTGTCAGGGCAGAGCAAGGCAACGGGCAAAGACTGTTCTTTTCTCAACCATTCGTTTGTTTGTCTTCATTTTCGGTTCTATTTTTTCAAATCTCTCCTTGGGAACAGGCCCTGGGACTTTGTCTTTTTCTAGCACTGTGTTTTCTTCTGCCCGTCGTCGACTACCCATAAACCCCTGCGATGAGGTGCACTTGCTAAGAACGTCCCGACTCTTCCTCACGGCGATTGTTCACCAATCAGCGAGCACCTCTCTCACTTGGGCTTTGGAGTTCGCCTGGCACAGAGTTATATTGGCATGACGAGTCGAAAGGTTGTCATCGTCGTCACGGCCAAGCAGACTCGGTCTCCTGCCGGACGAGGGCAACTTGTTCTGCTCACGGCGGAGGAACGTTACCTACAATTAGAGCAGTATCAATGGGTCAGTCCCAACAAACATTGTCGAGTTTAGCTAGTCAGACCAGATCAGACATCTTAGGTAGATTTCATTTTTCAATTGTGCCGAGAGCATGCATGAAGTTTGGCATTTGAAATACTGCGATCAGGTGCTACATATTTAACAAAACGTGACAACAACTCAAGCGTCAGAGAAGCAGTATGTCTGTAGGGTATAAATGTGTGAAATTACTTCTGAATATTGGAAAATGCAGAAGGTGACAGTACATGGCAAAGGACCATGCTTTACTGTGAGAAATCTATATGATAATGTGAGGAACCCATATGAAGACCATAGCAGTCTGGATCAGCCACACTTTGGCTTGAGCGTCATCAGCTACATCAACTGCTATACCTTGAGTGGCATCGGAGAGATTGCTTCGCCCTACTCAAAAATTTGAACATCGTCCAAGGCGACACCAGAGGTAGCATCATGGAGCATCGTGGATTCTGAGAATCGTGGCGTTTAGTTGACCTGCTGGAAGAACAGGCAGTAGGATAGTGCTGAGGATGTGTAGAAGGCCCCCCTATCCTCGTCTGCTGTGTTTGCACATGACCTGGAGCTAGCTGATAGACTTATCTGGTGTTATTTACGAATCCGTCGCTGACATTGTGACCCCGCCAGGAGAATTACTGCAAATGAGCAGGGTCACTGACAGTGAATTTTGAAGCCACCTGCTGAGTGTTAGACAAACATCGGGGTGGACTTCTCAGTCAGGTTTCTATGGTAGTTCAAGGTTGGCTGTGATTAGACAGGGGAAGCAGAGCAAGATCAGAGACATATTGTCAACGATATTCCCTCACCACCTAGAATGCCTCAAATGCCGCGTGCGCCATTGGGTTTGACTGTTGCTCAAGTTGGTCGCTCGTGCCATCCTCAGATATTATGGGGCCATTTCAAGGCGCCTTTCCAGCCAAATATATCAAGTGCAATCAGTCGAAGCAAGTCAGTAACTCGCTGCGCCCAGTGTTTTGTACCAGAGAGAACTGGGACGATCACGATCTCAAGAGCCGCCGTTACTGTGGTCCTCAACCTCGCAAAATGCCTTGAAGGTCACGAACTCCTCGCCCTCACTGGTTGACTCCAGGACCACCTCAGCCGTCGAGCCCACAAAGAAGACATAACCCTGTTTTATGTCCTCCACAGTTGGCCCAACTGAGATCTTGCCGCTGCCACCCGTGCAGATGATGATGCTGGGGCCGTCCAGCGGGTCGAACGTCACCTTGGCGCCCTCACGTTTCAAGGTAGATCGCACCACGCTGAATTCCTCGATTGGGGGGTCGTACAGCATGACCTCGCTGCTGGAGCTGTATGCTGTGCGATTGAGGGTGGCGTATGCGTACTCTTTCGGCACCATCTTTTGCTCCTCGATCGGGGCGTAGTTGTACGTCAATATCGACACGAGCGTGTCGACGTCCTTGAACTTCGGGGTAAACCCGGCCCGGATGACATTATCGCTGGCGGCCATGCACTCGACAATATCGCCCGAGATGTAAGCGTGGATGTCATCAGCCCGCAGGAAGAGCGCCTCGCCGGGGGCCATTGTCACCAGGTTGCAGAGGAACTGCACGAACAGGCCGTAGTCGGCGCCGAATTGGCCGTGTAGTCGCTTGATCAGCTCGGCGAGGTCCTTCCCGGAGTTGGGCCCGGCGCCACCGCCCGCAAAGTTCTCCGCCTCTGCCGTAGCCTCGTCCAGGAGAGCACTAGTTGCCGTCTCGAGAGCAGACTGTGGCTTCGACATCAGGGCCCCGAACAGCTTCTGCAGGGCAGCCTTGTTGTCTCGCTTGGCGTCCTCGGACTCGTCGCCCTCGTGCGACTTGATGGTGCTGTTGAAAGCATCTGCCGTCTCCGTGCCGACAAAGTCACGCAGGGACTTGACGGTGTTGAGGAAGTGCACTATCTCCGACGGCGGCCTGAAGCCGCACAGGCCCTCGAAGTCGGTGAGGGCAATGGCCATCTCAGGCTTGTGGTTGTCATCGGGATAGTTCTTGGGGTCCCTGGCGTGGAGCTGCTCGGCAAGCTTCTTGTTGGGGTGGGCCTGGATTGAGAGGGCCTTGGCGATGGAGAGAATCTTGAAGAGGAAGGGCAGCTTGTTGCCATATCGAGCGGTGATGGACTGAGAGAGGAGAGCCTGGTTGTCTTGGACGAGGTCGAGGAGGGTGCGGCCGGTGCGCAGGTCCTTGGAGGGGTTGGAGGGATGGGTGCCCATCCAGAGCTGGTGGGAGGAAGAGGCTCGGTCAGTTCATGGTATTCTGTCTGGGCATGCTGGCGGACATTACCTCGGCGTAAGGCTGATCATCTTTGATTGTGAAGTCGGCGGCGGGAGTGGCAGCAGCAAACTTGGCTGCGGACGAGTCGTTGCCCTTCTTGCCCCAGTCATAGGAATTGACCCCGCACTGGAGTCTGAGGAGGGGGACCTGCATGGTGAGGAGCTTCGAAAGCCAGGAGCCGGAAGAATGAAGGTGAAGTTGTGGTGATCTTGACGTGTAGGGCGACGGGGAGGTCAGACGCTGGTGAAGGTGATGTTCTGAGGATTGGCAAAATATCACAGCCAACCAAGGGAGAGACAGCTGTCAGTCAATCTTGGGGGTAAACGGGTAGCTGACATCACCTCCAGCCCACTCTGTGCAGTCCAGCTCCAGGTCTGGGTCCAGGTCTGGGTCCAGGTCTGGGTCTGGGTCGACCTTGATCTTGACCTGACCCTAGCCATTGCAGCTACCTACCTAGGTAGGTAGGTAGGTACACAGTACTGCAACGAGTCTGGCTGGCTAGCTGGTTAGCAGTGAAGCACTTGCTACAGCTGCAGGGTGGGCAGATGGGACGCGGGAGATGGGCGTTGGGCGGGTGGGCGACAGGTACGTACCCGCCTCACCTTACCAGGTACGCGAGGAAGGTACCTGCCTTTACCCCACCATGGAATGGGGCAAGCAGGGCAGGGTCTCTCGTCGCAGCTTCCCCCAAGAAGACAGCGGGCTGCAGAGAAGGCTGGCGCTCTCACCTTCTCCCTCCCTCTCCCTACCACTCGCACTCCCACTCTGCAGTACCAAGCCCAGCTCACCTAACCCATCAATCCTCGCCCCCAGCCCCACCCAGCCTCTTTCCCAAGGTTCAGGTTCAAACTCAACCACCACTACCAGGCTACCAGCATCGCCCAGAGGACCGCCTCCGTAAGCGCCTGGGACCGCCTCCCGCCCCCTTCCATCACCCCCCTCCCATCCCTCCTTCCAGAGGGCTCACGGGGTACTTGTCCCTGCCGCCGCATCCCAGCCAAGTCCAAGGTACCCCCAGCACCCCCGTGTTCGTGTTCCGCACCGTATCCCGTCACACCCCCTCCGTTCCGCCTACCCGTTGCCTTCCCACCGCCCAATGACGACGACGGGCTCGGGCTTTGATCTGCTGGCTGGCCTCAAATGTTCCAAGCGTCCCGCGATTGCTCCTTCCCAAGAGAATGACATGGCAACCTTCCAGGCGCAATGACAACCAGACCAGCAAGCCTCCGCCTCCTTTCCGACACGAACGGTCTTCATCCGGCTCAAGGTTGGTTGCACACCATTCATCATCTGGTACAACACACAAACACAAGCGCGGCGCACATAGGATCAAAAAAGCATCAACCAGTGCCATAGCCTAGCCGCCTAGCACTGTCTCTCCCTCCTCCACTTTACACTCTCACTCTCACACTCAACGGCCTACTTTATCCTACTTTTCTATGCTTATCCGTGTTCCCTTTCTACTCTTTATTCATACACAGACACATGTAACCCAGGCACAACATTGGATACTCCGGTCTCAGTCACAATCACCCGTGGAGAACCAGGAGGTTACAACCTCAGGCACAGCTGCGCACCCAGCCCGGTAGTGCAAGGCCGATCCGGGATAATATAGCTACTTGTCAGACTCACACATACATCTCACCTGCTATAACTACCACCACCTGCACTCATCTGCACTCTCCCCTTGACCTTCCCGTTCCTCGTTCGCCCCTGGGAGTTGTGTAGGCACGACCCAGTTGGACACCAACGGACAAGCTGGAGCAGCTGGATTCCTAAATTCTGAAGGTACGCTCCATTGTTGCGCCGGATAATGATGCCACAAAATGGAAAGGGCACTCGCCCACTCGACCCCTATCACTATATCGTTGCCTTTCCTCGCTGTTGATTTCAGTCATGTTTTTCCTTGCCTGAACCCCCCCCCCCCATTCTAGTACTTTTGTATCATCTGTGCCTTTGCCAATCACGTAATCGTTATCAAAAATGTCTACTGACAAGAAACACAACAGACTTCTACGGGAGGTTGAGAACACAGACAGCTGGAAGGGCATGTCGCAACGAAACAGAGAGCCGAGGCCACGGGCCCCTCGCAATAGTAGCGCCCAGGGCGAGGAAGTTGGGCTCTGGCAAAAGATCCAGGAGGATCTTGCCACCATCATCGAAGAGGTGAACCAGAGCAACGACAACGTCCGCCAGATCGCCGGCCAGGAGAGCTACATAGCCAGCAACCAGGACTCCAAGGACCCCACCGACATCAAGTCCGTAGACCAGGGGCTACACAGCCTGGACAAGCTCTACCGGGACGGTGTCAAGATCAATGATGCCACCGGCAAAAAGATAGCCGATCTGCTGGGCTTCATTGAGATATTGAAAGGCATCCAGGAGGCTAAGGAGAAGGCTGCCGCCCCAGCACTCGGATCATCGTCCCGTTCTGCCAGCCTACTCTCCGGCACCGGTCGCAGTTCCAGCCGGGCCGGCAAGCCTGATAAGGCAGATCGAGAGCGCGAGAGGGAAAGGGAGCGCGAAAGGGAGCGTGAGAGAGAACGAGAGAGGGAACGCGACCAACGGGAAAAGGACCGCGAACGGGAGCGCGAACGCGAGCGTGACAAAGAGAAAGAACGCAACCGGGACCGGGACCGTGAGCGCGACCGCGACCGCGAGCGTGAACGTGAACGCGAACGTGACGCTGAAAGAGATGCTGAAAGGGACAGGGACAGGGACAGGGACAGGGACAGAGACAGGGACAGAGACAAGTCCGACCTCTACGACTTTGATGGCTCTGCTGACAGCCCACATCCCAGCCCCATCGGCGGCCACGCGCGGAAGCTTGGCGGGCGCAGCGGAGGAGCTTCCAGCGACCGGTCGGGCAATCGTGACAGCGTCCCGCCGCGTCCAGGCGACCGCGACACGCCCAAGGCCGACAGCGCGGAGCCGCAATCCAGCAGCTTCTCGTCGGGGGCGCCCACGGTGGGGAGCTCGATCCGGGCCAAGGTAATGTTCTCGCGGGACCAGGACGTGGCGTTCAAGCCAAAGCCTCCGACGCCCAACGACACGACGGAGTGGTACCTCGGCAAGGTGAAGCAGGTGGTTGGCGAGGGCAAGGGCCGGCGTTACATTGTCAAGGACGAGGACCCGGACGTGCCGTCACCGGCCAGGAAAGAGTATAAGATGAGCGCGTCGGGGATGATCCCGATCCCGCCGCCCAGCACGGAGCTGCCGAAGCTGGACAAGGGCAAGACGGTGCTGGCGCTGTACCCGGATAGCACCACCTTCTACAAGGCTGAGGTGACGGGGATGGACGCCAGCACGGGGAATGTCAACCTACGGTTCGAAGGGGAGGAGCAGTCGGGCACGCAGCAGGTGGTGGAGCGCCGGTTTGTGGTGGACTATCGGGACTAAATGGGTTGGGAGGGCACGGAGTGGTCGACGGTCTCGATGGTAGGAGCATAGCCCAGGTCTAGACTTATATTCACATTCATATTTATATTCACATTTACTTTTACTGAGGGATCAAAACTCTGTGCACTGAAGCGTGAGGCGAATGGTGGGGCTGTTTTGCCATACTAGTGTGTTGGGGGCGGACTCTGGGAGCATGTGGCTGTTGAAACAAAGGCGTTGTGCATTGTCTATGCGAGAGAAAAGTTGCAAATGGGTTGGCTGGGTGGACCAAGACAGGCTGCCTCTGGCTAGCTGGCTGGCTGGCTTGCTCGTACAACTCGCTCGTGCAGGTCTCGTACATTTGCAAGATCAGGGCAGCGGGCTGAGGCCAACACGAGAGGCAATCATGAATCCGGGCGGCAGAAGGAGGTTGAGCACGGGGCGTATGACTAAATATATGTCCAATGTTTGTCTCGTTAGTCTCGTTACAGTAGTCGAAATGTCGGATCGGTTCTGACAGACGGCGGGATTTTTAATCTCTACAGACAGTAATGTCCGAGCAGGTTATAGTTTGGGTGCAGATTAATATTGATGCTCGAGTGGTTGGGTGGGCCCCTGGGAGATGGTGTATGCACAGCGAAGCGGGTGCGAGGGGCAGGGTACCTGGGTACATGGGTACGTACCTGGGAAGTTTGCTACGGCCGTTCCCAAGCAAGCAGCCAGTGCCAAGGCCCGCAGCTGGGGAGTCAGGGGCAAGCCAAATGAATTGAAACGCCTCGATGTTCCTGTTCCTGTTCCAACTTCCCGCCGCCGCTCGCCATCAGAAAAGAAAGTGCAACTCGAGCCGGCACCGCCTGTTCATTTGGCCAAGGTTTGTTTAAGGATCTACTTGTTGTCCATCATCCAAACCCTCATCCCCAGCACGGATACACCACAGCACAGCACAGCAATAGGAGCGAGCAGGAGCAGCGTTCAGCAGCAGCAGCGTTCAGCAGCAGCAGTAGCAGCATCAGCATTCAGCATCAGGACCCATCAAAACATCACCTCAAACCTGCCCAGCAAGCACACTCCCTCGCTCGGCTGTCAAGAGGACATCTGCATTTATTTGCATTGCATTGTATTGCACTTGCATTGTGTCGCATTGTGTAGCAGCCGCTTGTCAGTCAGTCGGTCAGCCTCGAGGTCTATCTTTTCTGATAGATATACTTTGGGCGCCCATCATACCCCATCATACCCGCCCTACCTTTTTACCACTCTCTCCCATTTCCCCCCCAAGCTCGCGTCACCACCATACATAACACCCTCGACGCAATCTCCCGTCGCAACAGTGCCTCTTCTTCTCTCCTGCCACTATCTCTCTCTCGCCTTTTCCTTCTCCTCTTCCTCTCTCTCAGTGCCATCGTCAAGCGAGCCACTGCCAAGTGCTCACTCAATCCATCCCAGCCAGCCGCTCAGTTATCAACCCCTGGTGACAACAGCCGCATCAGTAAGTCCTGCCTCCTAATGCGTGCGCCCATCCCGGAATTTCCCACAATTGAAGTCGAATTGAATTGGATTGCATCTCGGCACATCCCTACCCAGATCCGCCCTGCAAAACCCCGGTTTTCCTGTGAAGGCCCGCGGCATCTGACTTTACGCGCAATTGGCACCTGCTCATGCTAATTTCCATTCGTCCTCCTCTCCAGACCTTTGCTGCCATTGTGCTCTCTGCTGCTCCATCGCCAAGCACGAAACCCCCATCAAGCTAGCCTCCCCCGAGCGCAACCCATCCGACGACATTCCTTTGCACCACCAGCGCCACTTGCTCTGCTTCACTAGCCTATATCCACGCGACGCACTCCCTTCGCCTGCCCACCACCACCGCCAGCTCCACTGGAGACTGTTTCCCACGTCGCGTCGTCCACATCTTGCCCTTTCGACACGCGCACCATCCTGACTCGCTGAGCTCATCTCGCAAGCCGCCGTCTACTCCCGCCTGCCGCCCGTTCGCGCAAATCCAACGCTGTTCCTAATTCAACACTCCCCCACGGCCACTGCCTGTTACTCTCACGCTCTGCTTGAACGAAGCCGCCTTGCTTTCTTCTTCCCCCGCGCCCGAGTCGACTTCCCAGACAACTTGAACCCTTGAGGTCTCCCAAGAACGGCGACCTAATCTGTACTCTTGCGACCGCATTCCTCCATCACAAATACCGCCACAATGGGTGGCCAACTTAGTAAGATGATGGGCAAGATCTTCGGATCAAAGGAGATGCGTCTGTTGATGCTGGGTCTCGATGCGGCTGGAAAGACAACCATTCTCTACAAGTTGAAGCTCGGCCAGGACGTGACCACCATTCCAACAGTTGGGTTCAACGTCGAGACCGTCACGTACAAGAACGTCAAGTTCAATGTCTGGGATGTCGGTGGTCAGGACAAGATCCGGCCTCTGTGGAGGCATTACTTCAGCGGTGCGTATTTCTGGTCGTGAACGGCTTCTACCAGGCTGCGCTGGACATCTTGAGGCAGGCTGCGGAGACTGACGAGCAATTACAACGCAGGGACCCAAGGTCTGATTTTCGTTATCGACTCATCTGACCGAGCACGCATGGAGGAGGCAAGGCAGGAACTGCACCGCATCATCAACGACAGAGAAATGAAGGACAGCCTGCTGCTGGTCTTTGCCAACAAGCAAGATATTGACAATGGTAAGCCTCGATCAAGCAACCCCCCTCCCCCCTAACGAGACCAAGCTCGAAGGTCAATATGCTGATCATAATATCCCGCCTGTAGCCATGAAACCACAAGAAGTAACCGAAGCCCTCGAACTCAACAAGCTCAAGGACAAGATATGGTTCGTCGTACCTAGCTGCGCGACAACTGGTGAAGGCCTTCTCGAGGGCCTGGCTTGGTTGTCCAACAACGTCAAGGCCCCAGCCGCGCCGGCGAAGAAATAAGACCCGCGAGCAGTGCGCAGATACTTTGCGCAGCAGAAATGCTTCGAGTGAGCGTGCGTATGCGCTGTGTTTTTAATGCATTTGGCGAATCGAGGCCACGATGGTGGCTCACGGGCGCGGTAATTATAGGGCTGCATATCAACAAAGTCCGGGGAAAAGAAAAAGGCACATGTTTGACCGACATTGCTGAGGGTCCAGCTGGGTTCGGGAGGCCGGGGTAAAGGGGGGGGGGGATATTCGTAATGCACTCAGTCGGCTCGGCCCTAGATTTTCCTTTTTCTTTCCCCCCGCCCTCTTCCTCTTCCTGTATCATGCTACTACGTTTGACGACTCCCTACTCTTTTCCTCTCCTTTTGTACAGTCATGTAATTCTCCGTTTTATCGGCGCTCTTTCTTCATACATCTTTCCCCACCAGCTTGGGCTCCCGGGAACAAACAAATACCCAGAGAAGGAAAATGGCGGGCTTGAAAGAGGGGAGCCTCCTTCAGCCGCCCGCATACAGCAACCATATCAAGAGTCCCCACACGGTGGGGTCGCTCAAGGGAAATCACTGCCCGGGGCCACAAGCTGAGCTGAGAGGCACGACGTCTCCGGCCAGGTCGGGAGGGGGCAGACCAGGGTGGAAGGGAAAGGGGGAAGGGATTATGGGAGACAGCGGGGTCGATATCATTCCCCTGGACAACCTATACACACCATATTAGAAGGAAAAGTTTCGGGACCGAGAACGTTGTCCATAGAATAGTACCCAAGTAGTCCATTTGTTGAAAAGCAAAAGAACTGGGCTGGCCCCCGTCCCAATGAATCACCAAAACCGGTATGCATGTCACCCCTGAGACCGTGGCACTACACTGCACTTATTCTGGCCTCCATCCCCTTCGTCATTTTCGGACCCCACCTCCCTCTCTCTCTTCCTCTCTCATTCTCGATCTCTATGGATGCCAATGCTTAGTCTAATTCAAATTACCAAAAACTCCGTCCCATGATGGCCTGTCTCTTGGCCTGTACCTTCTTTCATATCACATATTGCCCGCCCGAACACCATGCTCCATAATGCATAATCCCAAAACAAACAACGCTTTCTCGTCAAGAGAAGCCAGATCGTTGCAAGACCCGACACAAATAGACACACTTTTGGTGTTCTCGACCAAAAAGCCCCCCTTCATCGTCGGGCCACGCCACCGCCCGCGGGCATGGACTCAGACGACAACGGGATCGGAGGCACCCTCCAGAGCCACTCGCGCGAGCCCCGGCGTCCGTGGTGCGCTTCCAATCATGCACAGCAGTATGAGCGCAGCGTGCCGTACCGTCAAAACTCCTCCTGCTTCGGCGCGGCCCCGTGCCCCTGCCTAGCCATCCTGCTTGACCCTCTTGCCGGGGCGGACGAGCGAGTCGTCGGGCAGGCCGCTGCGCTTGGTGCCGGGCAGGCTCGAGGTGCGGATGTCGTTGTCGTCCTGGCTGACGCGGCGGTGGGGGTACTCGACCTTGAGGCCCTCGAAGCAGTTGGCGCTGACCTTGTCGGGCCCCGTGGCGAAGAAGGGGTGCTGCAGGGCCTGGGCGGCGGTGAGGCGGCGCTCCGGGTCGTACTCGAGCAGGCCCGCCAGCAGCTTGTAGCCCTCCTGCCCCAGCGACGCCAGCGAGCTCGGCCCGCCGTTGGGCGCCGACGTCCCCGTGCTGGTGGTGATGGTCCCGTTGTACCACTTGTCCAGCTGGCTCCCCGCGGGCTGCTGCTGCGAGTGGTGGTGGTGGTGGTGGTGGGAGCCGTGGTGGCCCCTGCCGCCGCCGTGGTGGGTCATGGGCGGCTGCAGCTGCGACAGCGAGCCGTACTCGGGCATGTGCACCAGCAGGGGCCAGCGCTCCTTGGTCGGGAGGCCCATGATGTCGACGATCTTCTGCATCTGGTTGCGCTGGAAGGGCACCGTCTTCTTGGAGTCCATCTTGGCCTCCTCGCCCTTGAAGATGGGCCGCAGGCTCAGCAGCTCGGCAAAGATGCAGCCCAGGGCCCACATGTCGATGGCCGGGGTGTAGTGCCTGCTGCCCAGAAGCAGCTCCGGGGCGCGGTACCAGATGGTGACGACGACCTTATCGCCGCTGTAGAGGCTGTGGAGGGGCTTCTGGAACATGCGGGCCAGGCCGAGGTCGCCGATCTTGACCTCGCCGGCCGAGGTGACCATGATGTTGGCGGGCTTGAGGTCGCGGTGCAGGACCCAGTTGGCGTGCAGGTACTGGCAGCCGTTGAGCAGCTGGAACATGATGGACTTGATGGTGGCGGGCGGGATGGGGTGCCGCGGCTGCTGCGTGTGGTGGTGGATGATCTGCAGGAGGTCGTGCTCGGCGTACTCGAAGACCATGAAGATGCACTTGTCCTCGAGGATGATCTCGTGCAGCTTGATGACGTTGGGGTGGGACAGCTCGGAGCACAGGGCCATCTCGCGGACCGCCGACTGCGAGATGCCCGTGTAGGTCACCACCTCGCCCTCCTTGTCCGGCTTGAACTTCTTGATGGCGAACTCGCCCGGCTGGCCCTGGCGGCCCACGGCCTTGTAGACGCGGCCATAGGTTCCACTGCTGATGAAGCCGATGACCTTGTACCGGTCGATGACACGGACCTTGGACTGATAGCCAACAGGGCCGAAGCCACGGTCAGATGGGTCTACGAGACGGGGTCAGCCTTGGTGTTCTGGGAGGGAAGGTGTGGTTCTTGACGACGCAGACAGGGGGTTGAGCGGGAGGGTCAGGTGACATAAAAGCTGGACAGGGGGATGAACAAGTGAGAGGAGGCGGGATGGTGAGGGCAGCGGGCCGTACATGAGGATGAGCCCTGCCTCGATAGGCCTGGCCTCCCTTGAAGACCTGACGACTGCCGGGCCAGGCCATACTGCCTTGCCGAGGCCGACGAGTTCATCATGCTGGTGATGATGAAGAGAGGGCCGAGCAGGTCGAGAAGGGAGAGCGGCGGACGAAGAGGTGGCTGAGGGGGAGGAGGAGGAGGGGAAGATGCCGGGCTTCGAGTAGCAGCAGCTCCAGCAGCAGCATCATTTGCTCAGAAGGGGGGGGGGGGGGTTTGGTTCGGAAAAGGATGCGAGCGGCAAGCCTGACTAGACATGCAAGTTGGCCCCAGCTGACATCCGACGGGGCCGGGGCCCTCCGCGACCAAGAACTGTCGGCCGAACAAGATCGGCCCCCGTTTCCGGGCTCCCCGAGAGCGTAGATGGGGCCGAGATGAGATGTGGGACCCGGGGTAATTGCTCGAGCATTTGTAGAGTGTACTTTGGGTTAGGGTAGGGCAGGAGCCGTAGCGAGAGCGAGCGAGGGGAGCGAGCCAGCAAGGAAGGCAAGGAGGGCGTTGTCCTCAGTCATGTGTGTGTGTGTGTGTGTGTGCGTGTACTTGTATGAGACCGTCTGGCCCCTCGCAGATCGTGCTCCGAGGGCAGGCGGTGTGAGACAGGGTGGATATGAGCTCAGTAACGAGGGTGATAGATCAGACGTGCAAGCGCATGCGCAAGTGTAAGTAAGCCGCAGTTCAATATCGAAGCAATCAAATAAGGGTTGGCAGCGAGCGAGTCGCACAGGGCAAGAGACGGTTCATCGTCCCATGGCCCCGTGCAGGTGATTCGCTGCCACAATAAGATTCGGTGAGGAGAACGCAAACACCGTGCCATGGGCCGGCCAATGCAGACAAGAGACAAGACACTAGACACACGAGACACACAAGAGCACAGACGGGCAGGCAGGCACACTTTGGAAGACTCAGAAAGACAAGACATGGCGCCGAAGTGGCAGTGGCAGTGGCAGTGGCAGTGGCAGCGAGCGGCAAATGGTGGTAGATGCTGGTGCTGGTGCTGGTGCTGATAGACGGTGGCCTCTCTCACCTTCAAAGGCAGCCTGGACACTCTTCTTAAGGATGCCCTTCGGATACGTCTGCGCCCCTCCCGAGCCCTGCGAGGCTACCGACGGCGGGTTCGTCATTGTCGTCCTCCTTTGCGCGCCTTGTTCTTCTTCTTCTTCTTCTTCTTCTTCTTCGCCCCTCCTACAGTACCCTCAAGGCGGGGACGGGGTGTGGGTGGTGATGTTGAATCCACCCCTTCCACCCAGGGTATCGGGATGCTCAAGCCCTTGCTTGTGATTATGGTTCTCATGCACTAGGTGATGCTTCGGCGCAGAGAGGACAAGAGGAGCACTGACGTCCCCCGTGTTGCTCTGGCCCGGGGTTGGACCGATACCGAGTGAGCGAGGGGCGTTTCGCTGGCGGGGTCTTTGCTGGCCGTCCGCGTTCCGGACGAGCGAGGTTTCAAGGCCGGCCTGCTCTTGTTCCCTCTCTCTGACTGACTGCTGGTGACAGGTCTCGGCTAAGACTGACGGGGTGTGTGGCGTTTCGGCCCGGGGAGATGGGAGACGATGTTGCTGTGTCTAGATTCTAGGCTGGTCTGTCGGTGTATCAAGTAGGCGCAGCAGATAGATAGATAGATGGATCGAGTAGTTAAAAATGTCCGGATGAATGGAACGCGCCGTGGCTGCCAGCTCCGTCGTCGCCCGCGCGTGTTGCTGCGTGTGCACGAGCGTAGCGATGAAACCCGGCTTACCCAAATGGGGCTGCCAGGTTGGTAGGCGTGCAACGTGGCGGGGAATTTCTGATGCGACGCTGAGAGGAAGGTTCATCTGAGCCTTTGTTAAATGAGCCGCGTGTTGATAGATGTCCACTAGTACCTGGACGGCTACATGTTGAAGCAAGTGGAGCCAAGAGAGCAAGTAGATACACTACCCAGGGGCTCAGGCAGATAGGATAGACACTCATACGTCCGTGTAATCATGACAGCAACACTTCAACACTAACAAATGACCGCGTGAACCCAATACAATTCTGGTAGTGGTGCATTTTTGGGACTCGCCGACTATCACCCGCCCAGCCGTCCACACCATCATGGTTTAACCCCAACTAACTGACTTACACAATGTTATCATATGCACCAAAGGCAGTCAAGCACCAGCCTACTCGAAAAATATGATGTAATTTTCACTGCTCTTCTCTTTTCAGGCTCAATTGAATCCACACGCCCTCTCTGCACCATAATCAATCCCAAAACTCAGCCCAGACCCGGGCCCAGGCTATTACCTTGGGCCCAGCTTCTCCAGCACCCTCGTGCCCTGCTCCTCCCACTCCTGCTTGGTGATCCACATGTTCTCCTTGTCGGCCATGATGTTGGCCAGCACCGCACCTCCCAGGAACACCATGTGTCGCCGTCTTGGCGGGTCTTCTATCCTGACCTTGAACTTGCTCAGCCGCTCCGGGTTGTTGCCCAGCACACGCGTCAGCCACAGCTGCTTGATCTCCTTCTCCAGCCGCGACGGCAGCCCCGGGTACATGCTGCTACCTCCCGACAGAACGATGGCCTTGAACAGGCTCGAGCGCACATCCACGTCCGCCGCCTGGATCGTGTTGAACAGGAACTCGGCCATGCCCGGCTGCTCGCAGTCGACCAGGTGGGGTTGGAACAGGCACTCTGGCGCCTCGAACCGCTCGCTGCCGACGCGGATGACACGACCGTCCGGCAGGGTGTAGCTCTCCACCAGCACCGTGGTGTCCTCGCTCAGGCGCTTGTCCAGCTCCAGGTCGTAGCTCACGTAGCACAGCTTCTCCTTAATCTGGCGGACAGTCTCGAAGTCGGCCGTCCGGTTGAGCGCGTAGCCCCTGCGCAGGAGCAGGGCAATAAGGTTGCGGGTGACGTCTCGGCCGGCGACGTCGAGCCGGCGCGTCAGGTGGTTGAGGACGACGGATTCGTAGACGGGGACGATGTGAGTGACGCCGTCGCCTGAGTCGACCACAACACCTGAGCTGAGACCTGTGCGATGGTGCAATCGTGAGCAGTTTGCCAACATGTTTAACCTGGTGACTTCAACTTCACGTGGTTGACAACGTACCTTGTGCGTACAGGGCCAGCACGGCCTGGATGGCGACGTAAACACCGCCGAAGCCGTAGCGGTCAAACATGACCTCGCACATCTGCTCGCGGTTCTTGAGGGGGTTCATGGGCGGCTCGGTCAGCAGGATCTTGCGGCCGGTGGTGTCGACCTTCATCTTCTCGTTGAAGGTGTAGTCCCACAGGTGCTGCATGTCGTCCCACTTCTTGACGATGCCGTTCTCCATGGGGTAGGATATCTGCAGCATGGTACGGGCGGCGGCGGCCTCGTCACCGCACATGATGTCCTTGATGACCAGGTCGCTCTCGCCGGCGCCCTTCTCCTCGGTACGCAGGATCGGCCGGCCCACGATGGAGGGGTATTGGAACTCGGGGAAAGTTTTGGGCGGCATAGCCGACTTTGAGGAATCCGGTACCGCCATCGAGGACTGGGTGAGGGGGGAGAGAATTAGCTATGTGCAGCGAGAGCAGGCAATGGGTGTACGATATGTCGGTGCTGGGACTCGCATACTGGGCCTGAGCTAATAGCACGGTTGGGAGCGGAAGGGGGAAGCATACCGATGGGAGGAGGGTTGGCCATCTCGACGGTGACGGTGAGGCTCAAGGCCGGGTCAGATCAACACTGCTGGGCACCTGTGGTGGTTTGAAGGGAGCGATCGGGCGGTGTCGTGGACGTCGAAGATGGATGTCGGAGTCGGAGCTGGTGGTCGGTGTGTTGGGAGCTCACGATGGTTGGTGTAGCTGGCAATGACGGTCGGCGGTCGCAGAAGTGGGGTGCCTTCAGGGGAGAGTCGATTCCATGCCAATGCCCATGTCATGTCACTAGCTCACTCAAATGTCGACGGGCCATCGTCAGCAGCTGGCAGCAGGCAGCCAGAGGGCGGCTCAGGGGACAGGAGCTCTGTGGCTGCATCACTTCTCCAGTGGCGCAGGCCGGCCTGCAGGGGCATGGGCAGGGGTAAGGGAGCATCTGACCCCACCTTCCTCATCAAGCGCATGCCCAGGTACTGCAGCTTGAAGAATCTCAGTCTACAGCCTTCAGTTTATAGCGGTGCTCAGAAATTGCACTTCATCACCACCACCGAAAACGTTGTTCTGTTTTATTCCTTGTCACTTCATCGGAAATTCTCCCCATCATACACCCCTTGCAGTACATCCAAGATGACGACGCGGCTTTTGAGGAGGAATATTCGCCTCCTGGTCATCAATCCGAACTCCTCCCATGACATGACCCATGGTATGGAAACAGCAATAAGGTCCATGGATTTGCCAGATGTATGAGACACAAAACATTCCTTGATCACAAGATGGTCTGGTCAGATTTTGGGGGCTCCAGATGGGACAAATCGAGACTGGTCAAACCGGTGAGGTAATCCACCACTCTAGATATGGTTGCTGGTAGTGTGGTATGATTTCCTCAGAGCTGTCGTTGAGCCTAGGTCTTTGTTTGTCCCATCTTTTGCTACCTCAATCTATAATCCATGTTCTCTTTCCAACTTTCCACATAAAATCAAGGCTGATGACCTTGCCTCTTCCCAATAGACTGTGGAAATCATAATGTACACGGCGCCCCAGGAGAGCCCAGCCAGCATCAACGACGACAAAGACATCAAAGCCAGCACCGAGGTCGTGTGGGCAAACCTGGAGGCGACCGGGCTGCTCAAGGACTACGACGGTGTCCTGATGGCCTGTTACAGCAAGCACACCTTGGTCGAGCAGATCCAGGTCCGCCTCCCGGGCCTCCCCGTAACGGGTATCTTCGAGACCAGCGTGCTCGCGTCGCTGCCGCTCGTGAGGCCCGGCCACGGCTGGGGCATCGTCACCACGGGCAAGTTCTGGGAGGCCCACTTGACCGACGCCATCTCGTCCTTCCTCGGCGCCGGCGCCGGCGGCTTCCTCGGCGTGCAGTCAACCGGACTGGTGGCCGGCGACTTCCACGGCGATGTGCCTCCGGAGGTGATCCAGGACAAGCTCAAGGCAGCCACCAAGCGTCTCCTGGCCAAGGGCCGGCCGGACTGCATCCTGATGGGCTGCGGGGGCATGGCTGGCCTGGAAGAGGTGATCCGCACGGCTGTGCGTGAGGAATCGGGCGAGCAGGCGGCCAAGGACGTGTATGTGGTTGACGGAGTGAGGGCCGGCGTGGGCGTGATCGAGCAGATGGTCCGGAACAAGAGGATGTTCCAAGTCTCTTAGGAGGTAGTGTACCCGTTCACGTTGGTCACGTCGCGGGCGTCGCATCATTCATTCAGGCACCTGCATGCATTTCACGGAGGCCCTTCTTTCAGCGCAGCATCCTGAGCCATACGAGTTGTCATTCCAGCAGCTGAAAAGATTGTATACACATGTCGGAGCGCTTTTGGTGACTCATGTTGTATCATTAATAAGTAGTCACTGTGATGGGGTCAGCCCCAAGGGAGTGCTCGTTCCGTAGGTCAATCTGAATTACACACTCTGGTAACCTCACTAATCCAACCGTCTGGTCCTCCCCCACACCTCATCCGCGTCCTTCTTGCCCTTTGTTTCGGGCACCTTGGCCGTGATGAACAGGGCAAAGAGCGCGGCAAAGCCCGCGAAGATGAAGTAGACCCAGCCGCCGCGGCCGCCCAGCCAGTTGTTCAGCGCCGTGTTAATAATGGGGAAGAACTGCGCCACAAGGAAGGTAGCCGTGTAGTTAGTAGCCAGACACCAGCTCTGCGTCGCGCCAACGGCCTCCTGGCCCACCAGTTCGGACGCGAGGATGAACGGCACCGGGCCCAGGCCGACGGCGAAGAAGGCCACGAAAGTGGCGACCGCGAGGGCGGACACGATCTTGAAGCCGGCGAGGATCGAGATGGCAAGGACGAGCGAGGAGGCCCCCTGGCCGACGATGGAGACGAGCAGGCATGTCTTGCGGCCCCACTTGTCCGGAAGCGGCGAGCACGCCGCGGTCATGACCAAGTTGACGGCCGAGACGAGAATGGTGAGGACGATGGAGCTCAGGGGCAGCAGGCCGTTGAGGAGCGCGACCGAGTACATCACTATCGAGTTGATTCCGCACAGCTGCTGGGCGAACATGACCCCCATGACCACGATCATAGCAGGCCGGTACAGAGGGTCCTTAAGCGCCTGCATGACGCCGATGTGCCGTACCTCCTCGTTGTCCGGGACAAGCGAGGCACCTCCCTCTGGTGGCTCAAGCAGGCCCGTCTCCTCGCCAGTGACGTTCTTACCAGAACCGGCGCCCCAGAGCGCGACCTCGTCGTCGATGTCGACATTTCGCCCCCGGATGCGCTGCAAGATCTTCCTGCCGGCGACGACGTCGCCCTTCACCGTCGCCGTCCAGGCGGGACTCTCGGGGACCAGGAAGGTGAGCAGGATCTGGGCTGCGGCGATGATGCCGCTGATTCCCAGGATCCACCGCCAGGCGGACCCGTGGCTCAGGAAGTAGCCCAGCACCTGGGCGGTCAGAATTCCCGTATTGCAACTGATCTGTGTGAAGGCGCCGAAGAACCCCCTCTCGGCGGGCGGGGCCACCTCGGAGATGTAGAGCGGGACGATGACGGTGCTCGCGCCGGAGCCGAGCCCGGACACGAAGCGCCCGAGTGCGATGACCCAGGCTGCGCCGGCCAGGGCCTCGATGGTGGCTCCGATGACGAAGGTGATGGCTGTGATTTGTATGGACAGCCAGCGGCCCTTCTTAGAGGTGATGGGCCCGGACGCCAGGGCACCGATCAGGCCGCCGATGGTGAAAATGGAGGACACTATTGCAAATGTCGGCTCGTTCATGGGGATGCCTTTACATCCATCCTTCTTCTTGCTGAAGGTGTAGCTCGATAAGCCGGCCGCGACGCGGGCGAGGGCGCCGGAGGGCGCGGCTTTGTCGTCCTCGCAAGTGATGGCATGCTGTGGAGCATTCAACTCGGACTAGACGTACAAGGAAGACAAGTCAGCTGGAGAACGAGCGAAGGTCGGGTGTCAAGGCCTAGGAAGCCCGAACTCCTGCGCGAGGGGCACCGTACCAAATGATAGCCGAATTGAAATGGGCCGAAAGTCGCGATGAAGATCAGCAGGATGAGGTACGGTGACACATCGTGAGCAAACTGCCCCAGGCCCCCGGAGCTCGGCATAGCTGTCGTCAGAAAGGGGGTGGTAGCAGAGATGGAAGGTGGTGCAGATGCAGGTGCAAGTTTAGGCGGTCGTTATTCGATGTTCGATATCTGAAGCTATTAGCCAGGGTATGCTGAGGGAAGCCGGCAGCGTCTCGTAGTGGCCCAGGACGGTGAATAAATGAACAGATATCAGTAGTAAGGGATTCCCCAGCAAGCAAAGGGCTGAGAATGTCAGGCTACAACATTGTAGCAAGGTGAGGCGTAGTTGAGGAATGCATGATGATTGTGCATGCCGCAGGGTAGCTGTTGTCGTTCGAGTGCCCACTGAACAACTGACGCGTACTTGACGTCTGAGGGGTCCCTCTCGGACGGTTGGCTCCGGCTTGGCGGGTCCCAGTGCTTGTTATTAGTCGCTGAAGAAATGCAGGAGCAACACTTGAGCCTTCTGACAACACCGTCTAATGACACGGGCCGCCTTCAAATCACAATCTGATATCAACCACTACAGTATGTAGACGCAGGAGCTCATTGACAGTTTTCCTCATGTACTAATTGCTATGTATTCCGGGCCTGAACCCACAATGGCGGTCGGTGTCCCGTGGAAGAGCTGAATGTGTCCGACCGAGCTCATGGGCCCCCAAGAATCCTCTTCAGGATAACCTGCAAGGACTCTGTGTCCTCAGGCTTCACTCCAATAGCCTCATTGTCCGTCTTCTCGTAGAGAGTGCCACCCTCAGCCCAAATACGCCTCAGCGTGAGGATCGTCGCCTTCGCGTGGCCCTCCTCCCAGCGCTTCTTCTCCTCCTGTCTGAGCTCGTCGAGGGGAATGTGGTTGGCCTTCCACTTGGCCCCCGTCTGCTTCTCGTATTCTGCGAGGACCTGGTTCGGCGTGACCTCGAATGAGTTCACCTTGAGTGCCTTACCAGCCGCGGCCTCGGGGTGCTGCAGGGCTGCGACCACCAGCTTGCCAACGCTGTGCCATGGCGTCAGTCAATATTACATTGAATAGTTATTACTAGTAGTCACTGGCCGTGAGAACTTACTCAGGCATCGTCGTAAAGCCGATCTTCCCATCAGCTTCGACCAGCCACGCCTCCTTCTTCTGCACGTCGAAACCAGGCGCGACGCCCAGACCCTCGGGGCGGCCGACCCAGGACTCGAAGTAGGGCCCAGTCACGACATATGTGACCTGCACGTTCTTGACCTCCTCCCTGATGAACTTGCGCACCTTGAGCTTCTGCTGATGCGGCTTCTCGCCCGCGCTCTGCGGGCCGTACTCGACGTCCGTGCCGTACTCGGACGGGAAGAACCACTTGACCTTGCCCGACTGGTCCGCCCACTTGATCAGGTTGACCTGCTTGTCGATAGCGCCGCGGCCGAACGCGCTGATGGCCGTGTCGATGTTGTGGTCTCTGTACGCCGCGCTGACGTCGGCCTCGGACTCGACGTTGCCGGTGACGACGGTCACGTTGCCGGCCTTCTTCCACTTGTCCAGGAGCTCGCCCTTGGTGTTGACCGTGTTGGCGGACGTGAAGATGGCGATGTGGTTGAAGGCGGGCTGGGCGGCGATGACCTTCTCCGTGATGAAGGTGCCGATGAAACCGGTGGCTCCGAAGATCAGGATGTTGGACGCTTTGATGGAAGCCATGGTGCAGCTGTTGCTAGACTATGAAGAAGCGTTTGAGTGACCAATGCCTAAAGGGATGGGCTTAGAAAGAAGTTTCTGTAGCGATGCTTATTTCACACAGCTTCGAACAGGCCAGCCAAGATTAGTCAGTGATGATGGGTCTTTGTACAGGAGCCGGATTGCTTGGGCGGGCGGGGCGTGAGGCCGCAAGTGTTGCGATGCGAAACCGGCATGGTGCAAGCGTCGGGTGGGAAAGAGGGACCGGACTCACTATTCCACAGATGCGGGCGACACCTTCTGAACTAAAATCGACGTCCTTCCTAACTAGCAACTACAAGCCAACAAAATGACCGATCGCCCCAGGACACGGCAAGCATTTATTCTTTCGTCATCCAGACCCAAACCTCGAAATCTAACAAAGTGACAAAGTCGCGTAATCGGGCGGGCGCCGGGGCAGCTGCGGCACTTCGGAACACGAGTGGAGCACCTCGGCACCCCGAAGCCGCCCGATTTCTCACTACTTCCGTCTTCCGGATCCCCCGGGCTCAAGAACTCGACCACAAGACACTCGGAAATTTTCTAAGTCGTAGAGAGGCATACATACAGACGAAGACGTACGTGAGAACCGTGTCAGCCTACTTTCTGTGTATGAAATTAGTAGGCCCAGTGACGGCTCTCTCAAAATGTACCCGGCCTCCTTGACGCTTGACGTTATGTGTTGCATCCATGTGCAGTGTTGCTACAGCGAGTTTCACCTCCTCAAAAGAACGTGTCCTACTGCTCTTACTTTCAGTCTCCACGGTTGGCGCTCCTGTGGGGTATTTTACGTCTCAGGGAACAAGAACGACGGCGGCTTGGGATCTTGACAGATGAGACTGCCCGCTTGAGTAGGGAATAGCAGGTCGGAGGGAAAATTGTGAGCATTCCCAAATATTTGGATTTATCTAAGCAGTGAAGTGAGCTCGTTGAGCTAGGTTCATATGCAAGTAGTCTCATTGTCTCATTGAAGTAAAGTCTATTGTGCTAATTACAAAGCCAGAGGGTTACCCAACCCTTCTTAACTCAATATAGTAATCGTATGCCTCTATGTTGCTCTAAATGGGCCGCCAGGCGAGCCCACCTCATTTTCCTTCCCCCTCTCCATGACGTCCACGGGCGAGGACGCCCTCGACCTCCTGAGGGTCTGCGTGTCGCTCGAGTCCAGGTCGACCTTTGCCTTCCAGCCCCATCCACCAGTGGCCGGCGAACAGCTCCTCCATCCGCTCCAGGGGCACCCCCTTGGTCTCGGGGGCCCAGAGCCCCAGGAGGACCAGCCCGATCGCGCAGACGCCCGCCCAGAAGGCGTAGGCGCCCCAGATGTGCAGGCTGACGAACATGTTGGGCGTGACCCTGACGACGGCGAACTGGAAGAGCCAGTGCACGGCCATGTTGAAGGCGTAGCAGACGCTGCGGATGCGCGTGGGGAAGATCTCGGTGCCGTACAGGTACTGCACCGTGCACAGGCCGATGGACCAGCCCACGGCGTAGATGAAGACGCTCGCGATGGCGACGTCCGAGGCGGGCTTGTTGATCACCCCATCGTAGACCCAGACGCCCGTGTAGATGGCCATGTACGCGTGCGTGACGAGCTGCATGGTCAGGCCCGTGATGAAGCACCGCCGCCGGCCGATGACGTCGACCAGCCCCCCAGGTGAAGATCATGGTGAACACCAGCTTCACGATGCCGTACGCCCCGGAGGTGATGAGGGACCTGCTGTCGCCCGTGACCCCGGCGTACTCGAAGATCTGCGGGATGTAGTAGGTGATGCCGTTGCCGCCGGACCACTGCGCCACGGTCTGCATGGCGATGGCCAGCAGGAAGCGTTTGCGGTAGGACGGCGTCGTGGCGATCTCCTTGACGATGTCCCAGATTGCAACCCCGGACAGTTTCTCCTTGGACTGGATCTGGTGTTGTAGCTCGTCAAACTCGGCCTGGAGCTCATAGTCATCACTACTCTTGTGGCGAAGCCTGGCCAAGACCGCCAGGGCCTCATCCCCACGGCCCTTGGAGGCGAGCCATCTAGGCGTGTCGGAAATGAAGAGGGAGGTGAGCAGGGCTAGTCCAACGGGGATAAGGGGGATGGCAATGACAAGCCGGTACTGTGGACGGTAATCCTGCATGGTGATACTGGCAGCATAGTTGATGAAGAACCCTGTGCAAGGAAGGTTAGCCTCGACGAAGACAGGCCACGAAAGGGGGAAGGCCACAAACCCAGGGACAGAAAAGTCAACAGGAACACCATAGAGACACTGACGATCATGCCACGGCTCTTGGCAGGGGCTATCTCCGAGAGGTATAATGGCCCGACGACAGTCAAGCCGCCGGCACCCAGTCCGCCCCATATGCGGGCGAAGAGCAGGAAGCCGTAGATTCCCGTCGAGAAGATCTGCATCACGTAGCCACTCATGTACAGCAGGGCGAGCATCTGCCAGCACCTCAGCCGCCCTATCCGGTCGGTGAGGGCTGAGGCTATCAGGGAGCCGATGGCGGCGCCCAGGACACCAAAGGAGGTGATGTTGGCCTTCCTGCTGGCGAGGCCGGAGGGATCGTCCACCCACTTCCCAGCGCTGAGGTAGAAGTCATCCTTGAAGGACCTCAGGCTTACGGCGGCACTGAAGCCTCCCTCGTCGTAGCCCTTGGGGATGGAGCCACAGCCTATGACGACGATGGTAAGGATGTAGTACCAGTTATACGGCCCTCTGAAGGCGGCAGGCGTGCAGCCTGACGACGGCATGCTGGGCCGCTGGAGGCGAGCGACGGCGCCGTGCCCCTGGGACAGAGTGGATCGGGGGCTGGCGTGTGTCCCCTTCGACTCCAGCTGGATGGCCTTGTCCAGACCGCAGGAGTACCGAGTACTCGGGCGACCTCCGCCGAGCTGAGCCCTTTGGGGGGTCGACGGAAGCTGCTGGCTTGCCCAGAGCAGGCAAGCGCCCACAAGGCCACGGAGACAGGCCGGGGGGGGGGGTGTAGGGCAGGAAGAGGGACAGAAAGGAACAAGAAGGGCAGGTTGGGGTCACGCCAGGGCGGGCGAGTGGCCAGCAGAGCCAAGCAGAGAGCGTCGCAGGGCTTGCAGGGAGCTAACCCCAGATCGAGGCTGGGACGACTGGGGGAAAGAGGGCAGCGAGGTGCAAGAGTGGAGGTGGCGTGCGTGGACGGATGGAGGTGATGAACCCCAGGATTCACGAGGCGCGTGGTCTGGGTGGTCTGGGTGGTCTGGCTTTGTCGCGGGCCCGCGTTTTGGGAGGTGATGATGGATGGCGTTGCTGTGCATTGCTAGGGAGAGAGAATTCCTCACAAAAACCCGTCATCCCGACCCACCCCGTTATCACATCGGTGTGGGCCGGCGACGGTGGGGTCCACGTCCTGTGCGGCCGGAACTTGACCGAGCCACAAGCAGGCGAGCCGACGGCATGCAGCACCGACTGCAGACTGCAGACGCGGCCGAGTCCAGCCCGGTCAGGGGTCATCGTTGACAGCCTGCATCCCGACGCGGGGAGCAAGCACGACGGACACACGAACGACAGACAGACAGGCCCTGACTCTTTCTGATTTCCCGGGGAAAATGGGGCTCAGGGGGACATCAGGGGACTTGTTAGATCAGGAGACAATGGCTGCGCAACTGCTACTGTGTAGAACGGTGACAGGCCCATTTGTTCGTGAGGGCCTCATCCCCGAACGTCTCGACCTTGCAAGCGCACCAGTCGAGACATGAGATGGGCGGCTCCTCAGCTTGTCCTGAGCCGCAGGTTTTCTTGGGAATATTGGGATTTATCTCTCTCAATTCTCCAGTGTCGCCCACTCGGACTGAGACCGAACAGGCTGGCCTGGACGAATCGATATATGGGATCTCTGGACGCTCGAGTCTGGGCTCTGGGCCTGGAAGGGTTGTCTCTTGCTGGCGGGCCAGGCGAGCTGACTTCTGACGTCTCGCCTCCCTGGGCTTATCTGGGTCTCGCTGCCTGTCCGGTGGCCGCTCTGACCGCGCAGGCCAATAGCAGTCACAATTACGTCTCGAGACCCGCGGTCTTTCGCCGAGTGCCCAGGCCTAAACTGGCTCCCGACAGGCTGACAGGCTGGGTTCTTGTAGCGATGGGCAAGCAAGCAGCAGCTCCTGGGATGTCTCCGAAAGCTTGTTTCGCCAAGGCTCCAGTTTGGCTGTGGCGGCGCCCGTAACGCCCTCCGGCTTGCTCTGGACCCCTCCTGGCAGGTCCTCTGGGGGCGCGGCTGACCCTTCTGACCATCTGTGCAGGGCAGCGCACATGGCATGTCCCAGTCTGCCTACCTGGGTACCTAGGTTGGCACCTGGGTCTTACTGGACCGTGGCCGACGTCGTGACGCATCATAATGAACAACTCCGCTCCATTCCTATTCCTTGGAGAGCCTTGCGGATGCAACCCTGGGTTGTCTCCGGCCCTAGATCACCTCGTCCTCAAGCTCCAGACCCAGATCTTTCCCGCTGGCTTTCCGGGCCTGTCAGCTTGCCTGCGAGGTCTGGACTCTTGAGCTCTGGGCCTGCGGCTCCTCTCTTTCGTCAGATCTCTCCGGCCGTTTCACTCCTCGCCGTCGCCCTGCGGACGTATATGTACCTTGGTGCTTGGCCCGAGACTCGTTCCCACGCGCCCTCAGCCCCGACCTCCAGATCCTCAGTCTCCCCTACCGTACACATGGTCATCTGAAACCCAGTCCAAAAGTGAGTCAACACGGCCAGACCGCAGATGGCTGCGCTGCTCAGGCACCGTTTCCCGGCTGGGGTCCTTGACAAGCGGCCCTCGTCACCCAGGTCAAGACCCATCTCCCCCTGCCCGTCCCTGATCGACATAAACGATAAGCCGACATCGTTGCACAAGGAGGACCCGAGGGGCAGCACGCCGGAGTATTTACAGCCCCCGTTACGCATCCCAGTAGGGTCGTGGGACTCCCACATGCACGTTATCATCCCGGATCGTTACCCCCTGTCGTCTGCAGCCGTATACAAACCAAGCCCCTTCACCGTCTCCCAGGCCATCGACTTCGAGACCTCGATAGGGGCCTCACACCTTGTCATAGTCCAGCCTTCCATATACGGCAACGACAACTCGTGCCTGCTCGATGCCCTGCGCGCCTTCGGCCCAACGCGAGCCAGGGGCGTGGTCGCCTTCGACCCGGCGGCCACCTCATCGTCGACACTCCGGGAGTGGCACAGGCTGGGCGTGAGGGGTGTGAGGCTCAACCTGCGCTCAACGGAGCACACCATGGACCACGCCGAGATGGAGGCGGTGCTGCGCAGCTACGCCGACGCCGTGCGCCCGCTCAACTGGATCATCCAGCTCTACATCCCGTTGGAGATGGTTAAGATCCTGGAGCAGGTCATGCCCACGCTGGGCGTCAGGGTCGTCATCGACCACATGGGCTCACCGGACCTCTCTTCGCTGCCCAACAAGGCCTCGTCGCTGTCCTCGCGGCTGGACCCCTACAGTCTCAACGGCTTCAGCTCCCTAATCAGGCTGCTCCAAGGTGGCGACACCTACGTCAAGCTGTCGGCGCCGTACCGCCTTGGGAAGGGCAGGGACTACATCAGGGACGTCGACGCCGTCGCCAGGGAGCTGATCCGTGTCGCCGGCCGGACGAGGGCTGTGTTTGCTTCGGACTGGCCCCACACCAGGTTCGAGGGGCTCGACATCCGGCCCTGGATCAACCACGTCCTGTCATGGTGCGGTGGGAGCCAGCACCTGGCCGAGAGGATCTTCCGTGATAATGCAGAAGAGTTGTGGGCGTGAATTAGGGGGGGGGGCTGCTGAGAGTTCTGTTGGGAAAAGGCTTGAGGACCATGGCTGGGTCATACTGTAACATGATGATTGATCACGACGACATGAGCGGGACGGCGTTTAGGCGGGATTTTTGCCTTGCAAGGGATTCAGTGCTCGACTAGCAATGTGAAGCATAGGAGTACACGAGGGATATGATACCAAAACGCTTACAATAATGTGGAATGAATATGATGCAACAATTTTCTCGAAATGTTTATTGCAAGAATGGACCCGGACCACATATTATGCATGCATGTGAGAAAGTAGTTGTGACAGGAAACAGGTGTCAGTGTTGTTCTGGAATTCATAGAGGTGTTTGTTCAGAGGTTCACCAGAGTACAAACTCTCCCTAGTCATCCACAACATGAATGGCAGTGGCTGAATACATACATTCACAATGATGGAAGAATTTGTTTGTCTGAGCTAGTCTGGGTGCTCGTGTGTGTATGTGTCTGTAACTGTGTCTGTGGGTGTGTCTCCTTTGGGTGTTTCTGTCTGTAGGTGTGGGTGTCTCCTCTATGGGCGTGTGGGTGTGGGCATGTGGTGTGCCTCGCCTATGGACCATTCCCACCCCCTGCTAGGAGAGTGGTCACCCTCTGGCAAGATGATGTAGTCAGAGATTACGAAATTGTATGTGTGGGTAGTGGATGTGTATGTGTGTGATTGTGTGGACGTGTACTAGGTAGGTGTCCCGACTAACACCAGCCAGACCAGGCGGTTCAGCGATATCAACCTTGACAACAGCAGCTCTCCACAACCATCCCACAGTGGCCGGATGGCAGAATGGCCGCTGTCAGACCATGACAACATACTCTACTATGTGGCCACCATACGCGTAATCCCAAACCAGGCTCAATTGTTCCGGCTTGGATGTGGTTTCTCCTTGCAGATCCGTTGACATCGATGTTGATCTTGCTGGTCTTAGTCCAGCCCTCCTTTTCCAAGTGCCGAGGGGCAGGCCCCACAGTGAGGTGGCGGCGGTGGGGACTTCACCAGCACTTGAGTTATAAGTCTCCTTTTTGATTCCGAACTCAACAATTCCCCAGTGGTCCGGTGGTGTAGTTGGTTCATCACATCAGTCTAACATTAAACAGCTCGTCCAGAGTGATTTATGAGAGCACTGAAGGTCCCCGGTTCGAGCCCGGGCCAGATCACTCTCTTTTGCTGGCGTTGTGGGTGTGCGTGTCGATGGTTGTCAGCCTCACCCACATACCACCACACTTTTGCTCTATGTGTCCACACACACTTCAGTGTTGGCAATTGGAGTAATGTGCCGTTGGATTCGGAATTGGCACAGGTGTATGGTGCTCTAATTATTTCTCTTCCATCGGCATGCTTTGGGATGTGGTGGTTGGATTCTGAGGGAATTAGGTGCAGCAGTGTTGGCGGTGAGCTGGTTTGGGGGGAGGGTACCCCACCAGTTCAGCCCAGCGCCCCAGGTTAGGGTTGACCTTGAGAGACCACATCAAACTGCACATTGGCCAGCCAGCCCGTCCACTGCGTTCGGCCCCTCGCATTACCCACGTGCGAAGCTCCGAGAGAGACCACGGAGGCACGATGACGATGCGGCGATCATCTTTCCTGTGCAGCAGCAGCATTCACCGCGCATTTCGGCCATCTTCCGCGCGGGGCCCATATGTCTGTGGCGGGTACGGTATGTTTCGATTCGCGCATGGGGATCGGCCCCTCGGAGCCTGACCGAGCCTGACCAGAAAGAGGCGTTGCCCGTGCCTGCTTTTGCTGCTGCTCGGCCGAGCATCGTCTGTCTGTGAGACTCACATGCTTATTATTGACTCTGCTACAACAAGATTTCCCAGGGGCGACCAGATGATCTCTCTTGTGGGGCCGATTCCTTGAACCCCTCTTCCACCTCTCCCCCGGGCCTTGGACCAGACCGGCTTAACCTGCATACCATGGCAAACACACCCCGGGGTAGAGTTGGCCGAATCTTGGACAAGAGAAGCTTAGGACGCGCGAGGGTGGGATTCCCTGTTTGCAGTGGGCGAGAGGGAGACAGGACCCCTTGCTCCCTCCCGCCAGCCTGGGAGGGCTCACAAGGGCGGCCCCGTTATTTATCCCCATGCTCCCGCTGGAACCCCATGTCTCCCGACTCTGGGGTAATTGCCTCAGATGGGTGGGCAGCGATCGACTGACGCCATCTTTGCCTCGCTCGATTCATTGCTTCTTCTCCCTGCCCGGAGCGGCCTCGCCGCGCTGGTGGCCCAGGATCGTCCTCATTAAAGTCTCTCACGACTCGCACGCGTCTTGTGACTGCCAGTCGCCGCTCCGCCGAGCCTGTCAGTCACTGTATCACATGCGCAGGGAGTTCGGCTCGAAGTGGACATCCTTCCATTACAATGCTATGTACTCCTGCGTGTATTCTCTTGTTGAGCTCCCAACCTCGACTCGAACTCATGCGCTGTCGAGATGTCGGCCACTCACATCTGTCTTCAAGAACGAGACCCTCAACTCCTTAACAATGCATCCAAAAACTTTTGTTCTATGACTTCTTCACAACAATGTCATAAACCTCCGCCGGTAGCTTCGTTCCCCAATGGTTTCGTCCTCCGAAAGCTTCATCCGCCGATGGCTGCTATCGCAACCTGAACGGGAAGATTGCAAGATTGGACTGCACGCTCAGACTACGCATGTAGGTGAGCCTTACCGGTGCTCGTAGTATTCCCGCGGGTGTTCCTGGGTGCTCATCGGATTACCAAACGACGCCGTGATCGGCTGCAGCGAAGACACTGCCTGGAAGACCTGATCTGAGATTCCGTGGTGCTGGAGGTGCTGGTTGATCTTGTCGGGCTGGGTCGGTTGAGGGAACTGGAACAGGGCCTGTTGTATGCCCGGTGGCGTGCGGCTGGGCGAGCCGAAGCCGGTCATGTGGCTATCGGTGTTGCCCATCATGATCTCGTGGTGGCTCATGCGGTGGCCGTATCCGCTGAAGGAATCCTGACGACCCCGGAACTCCGACGACATCGACGATGCCTGCTGGTGGTGGGGGAACCCGGGCCGTGCCTGGTTCTGCTGCCCTTGTCCTTGGTATCCGGGCGGTGTGGCAGTGCCGGGAGTCTGGATTCCCAAGGCGGCCAGTTCGCGCAGGATAAGCTCGACACCACTGCCCACGATCGGATTGATGTCTTTCAGCTTCGAAAGCGCACGGATACAGAAGTCCAGCCTTCGCAATGCGGGTTGTTGCTGTTGCTGCTGCTCGTCCGTCAACATGCCCGACGACGCCCCCGGATTCTGTGCATTGGCGGCGGCTTGAACTTGTAGAAGGAATATCGAGGCGGCGATATACACGCAGTAGCTCAACGAAAGCACAGACCGATAGATGCCGAAGGACTTGCAGAACAGGTCGAATATCGCGATGATGGATGTCGCCGACGACACGCACCGAGCAGATGTTTCGCGCGGTTGTTATTTGGAGTGCACTCACGAGAGAGCATCGGTCGGTGGAGCAGGATGTTGAACGTATGGTAAAGACAACTGCTCGCCGACCCACCAGTCAGTGGGACTCCGGGGGAAAGACCTGGGGGAAGACCCTGGTCCAGGCCTAGGGCTGGAGAAGAACTTACTTGAGGGTGACAATGTGGCTGGGTGGTGCCAGCGGGGGCAGCATGCTCGCGTCCATCTTCAAGAAGTGCGGCAGGTCCTCCCACCACTGCTTCAGGGCCGCCTCCTGTCTGACCAAGCACTCCTGGATCTCGGGCTCGGTGTTTAGCCCGAGTGGGTCATACATGTGGATCAGGATCTCATTGAAGATGACCGTCAAGCGACACATCTGCACGAAGCAAGACGTCGAGTGCGCCGCGATGGGTGGGTATTTCACGCCGTCTGGGTAAGTGATTCCGAACGGTGTCCACATCTCATTTTCGTTGGAGTCATCGACTGCGTTGACTTGTTAGTATCGCGTTCACATCGGCCCGGAGGGAGAAGGGGTGGACCACGTACGGATCATTTGAGGCGGCGACACATCCGAGTGCTGTAGGCTCGGTGATCTGCCGAGGTAGAGACTGACGATCTTGTCCCAGAAGTAACAACTCCAGAACAGCCGCCGGCGGATCTCGACGTCCTCATCGCTGAAGGGGATGTTGCCTGTATATCGCTGGCTGTCGACGCAGATACCCAGATGATCGATCATCCGGAACGCCATGCCACTGTACATCCACGCCTGCGAGGTGTTGCCGGCGCTACATTCCTGAGCGCTCAGCAGCAAGAGCGTCTGGACGGTCGGGATGGTTGCCACGCCACGAGAAATCTCCTCCAGGACCATGGCTCGTGCGTGGCGGCTGAAGACGGCGCCGCCATCATAATCGTTCTCGAGACGTTCGCGGGTATCCTTGTCCCAACGACCCCACCGGATCGAATGCGAGAGTATGGCGTTCAGTAGGGTGTGTGAGTAGTACGGCCCAAGAAGCTGCATGTCACGTGTGAACGTGGGACGATACACAAAGTTCCACAGAGGCTGAATCCAGCACCAGTGCGTGCTGAGGAGATATTGAAACGGTTCCTTGCATAAGACGGTCAGCGACAACATACTCGCGTGAGAAAGTGGGTAAAGAAGTGGGAGACGCACAGGGATCTCTGAGAGGTCTTCCAGCGCCCGCTGCTGCCAGGCATTGTTGACCAGTCGTTCCCTCTTGCCATAGAGGGGATCCTCCGGATTGGACGGGCTTGGGGCGTCACTGCTCTGGCGGCCATACTCGCTGGGAAGGTGAAAGAAGCTGGTGGCGCCATGATAGGTGATGACGCCCTTCTCATCCAGCTTCAAGCCCTTGAACGTCCCCGCTAGGCCCTCGGACTCATGGCCAGCGAGAGAGCTGTCGTGCGATGACGAGAGTGGTCCTTCCGATAGCCCGCGCTGAGGCTGAGGCGGCGCCTGAGCCTGGGCTTGAGCCTTTGACACCTGCTCTTCGAGGTCTTTAATACGCTCCTCCAGGCGTTGGGTGTAGGACAGCGTTGGGTTTCTAAACGGGTCAGCATGGTACTTCTCTATGGGCAGGTTCAGATGTTGGTGAGTGAGAGGACCGGTGGCGAGCTTGAGACTCAAGTGCCTTGGCATAAAATGTAAGGTGAGGTGGGTTGGTCGCCTCAGGGGGGAAGGGGGCGCGATGGCGAAGAGGACGGAAGGGGATCCCACAACTTGTAGACGCAAGCATCGTTTCTTGCCAGACACCTGCTACAGACAGGCTGTTCGCCTCCACACTTGACCTTGCGGCGGCGGCAGGGCTCGCAGGAGAAGGCGCTCTTCTTTGTCGCCCTGGCGGAGCTTGGGGCTGAGGTCGTGGCGGCGCCGGGCTTGTGGCCGGAGGTGCCGTTCCCGTTGCCGCTTCCGTTGGCGCCGTTTTTGGTGGAGCTCGAGGCAGGCCCGGATGCTGATGACATTATCGCTGCAAGGGGTTAGGTTTGTATCGACACTGCCGGCTGCTGAGAGGAACAGTAAGACGGCAGAGCCTCATCGTAGGATCCGGATGAGGATCACCAGGAGAGAATTGGCCAGATCGGGAATGAGGTGAGGAGCACTACTGCGGTGGAGCTTCGCCCGAACCAGAATCACCGGGTCCCCGTTTTCGCGCCTCTGCGTCTGGAGGGTGTTGAGCAGGAGTGCGGTGCAGGTGCCTTTTTGGTCGCGTCTTGGTTATTTCCGCCACTGGGCCGGGGACGGGCGACACAAGCGGAGCCGCAGGCAGATACAGGACGAAACGGAGGAGACGGGGGCATGCAAAATTTGTATCACTTTAATTCTCGACAGCAAAACACAACGTTGTGGCGCCGGCGGTAGGGCAGCACGGCGTGGGATGGGGTCTCTCTCGACCCTCTCCTGAAATAGGTCCGCTGGTGCCGCTTCACTGTGAGGTGCGGGTAAGTATCGTCATTCCCCACTTGGGCTCAGGTCCAAAGTGGAAATCCGACGGGTTTTGTCTTGGCCAAGGGCCGTCGTGTCGAGATCCGGATCAAAAAGGCAGCCAGACATGCCAGATTGGCTCAGCGCATCCAGACCACACAGCACATCAGAGCCCACCGGGAGACAAGCCTCTTCCATGCAACACACGGCGAGCAACTCCTTCGACCTGCGGCTCCGACTGACAGGCCGGGCAGACTACCAGACGAGGTGTGTGTTCTGGTTCATCCGCCGTTAGCCAAAGCAGCCCTACAGGACCGACCTGGGCCTAGCCTGGCCACCGGCGAACTCAAAAAATCTTCAAATCGTTGCAGGGAAATCTAAAACACTGGATGAAGTGACGGAGCTGTGATGATGCCCGTTCATGCTGGTCCTGTCGCCTGTCGCCTGTCGCCTGTCGCCTGTCGCCTGTCCAGCCCAGCAGCTGCCCAGCACCAGCCCGGTCCTGTAGGGCTGCTGATGACTGATGATCTCCTCGTCGCGACTCAGGGGGGCGACCAGCGTGACGTAAGGGCCGTCGTCGGAACCCCCCGAGCAACCCCGAGTCGGTACCGACGCCCTATCACAACACGTCTCAGGGGGGGGGCAGCAGTGCCGCTTCTCCTGGCGCCCTGGGAGTCTGGAAGCCTAGAAGCCTTGGAACTCCTGGGCATCTGAACATGGCTCTGTGACTCTTTGTCAGTCGCTGCAGGGGCGAGTGACGGGGAGCAACTCTTGGCCACCACAATCGCACGACAAGGCCAGGGGCCCGATGTCAGGAGAATTAGCTGGCAAAAAAGGCGACGGTATCAACAATTCTCCGCTGCGCCCAACCCTGCCGGACGGATCCGAAGCCGGACCGCGCAGGCCATCCCACGCCCGGTCGAGCACATCTGGGCTCTGAGATAGTGGCAGCAGTTCGTCGGCATGGGACCAACAGGGCTGCTCCAGCTTAAAGGCGAACCGCAGGCACCCGATAGGCGAGCAAGTACCGATGAAGAATAGTCCTTAGTCAGTTTTGCTGCCAGGGTACCGATGTCTACCTCGATATGCACACTTCGAAGAGGGTTGCGGATCGTGCCGGCGGAATGCACGGCAAACCTTCGTCTAGCGAGAAGTATCGGCCGACGACTTGTCCGCCGTTGACTGCCCGACCGCAGCGTGCGTATCTCATCGTACTACACTAGAAGGGTCGGCCCGTTGTCTTCGGCGGTCGAATGTACGCTGCCGATCAGATCGATACGGTGAGCCACCAGCCGACGTATCAAATGCAGCATCCTTACAGGTGCTGTTATTATTAAGCCACCTACAGTAGTGGACGGGATATCTCGTGGGCAAACTGTCGCCTTCCCGTTCGCTGCTTTAGTCTCCCGGTTTTTATGCACACAGTGAACAGAGGCCGGCCAACATGAAGACCATCGCAAGGAGTCTCAGGTATGACACGATCAAAGGCCAGCTTGGAGATTCCCATGGTCGAGTAAGTTTGGTTGGGCAGGTTCGTCTTGCCGTCCCATTGAAGGCTGATATTCAGCTTTATTCGGGTTGTCCCACCTATCTCAATACGAAGGCACCCGCTTCTCTTGACTACCGATTCCGGCAGTCGCGCCTGTAGATCTTCAAACCTTCGAGCTGAGAATTATCAAACCAACCACAAAACAGAGATGGCTATGCGATTGGCACGTTTTCCAGATCTTACCGCTGGGCAGATATCTCATCAATTTTTCTTGACTGACTCGGCGGACATAGCGAGCAGAGTCTCTTGCATGAGGTTATAGTTACCGAATTAGTAGTGTTGTGCCACCGACATATCACATCAACATCAATGATTTGCATGGTCCTAGGATGAACATCTAAAAGCCCCTTGTTAGACTGCAGGTTGTAAGATAGGCCATGGGCAGATGCCACCCCATTCTGTGCTCCTTGATCGCAAAGTACTTTAACAGAAAGGAGGCTGCATAAAGGAACGCCTTGATCAACCCAATCTGGACAGCTGCAGAGCTGCCCAGATATGCAGCAGTGCAGACCTATCCCCTTGATTGAGCATTGGATCTATATGGCATTCCTGAGCTTTTGCCAGTACCTACACACACAGAGAGTCATGTTGAAGCCATGTTGAACTGCCGAGCAGCGAGTGATAAAATCTCGCCAGCGGTGAAGTTCATGAGTGAATCGGAGACTGTGAGTGGCCAGAATAGGGTCTTTTGGGGCTGGTAGATGTCAATTTGGTAGCAGTCTACCGCTCACGAGGATTTGCAGACGCGGCCCTTGCCTACACCGACAAAGACTGTGACGTTAGTGCGCTCGTTTGTGCTATCCTTGGGTTCCTTTCACTATTGCCATGTAGGAGCAAATCATGGTCCCACGTGGACTTCAACATTCCAACGTGAATCGCCATTATTAACAAGGTGGCAGTTGTTGGGCGGCTACTGGCGTGAAGGGCTGTGTTTATTCACGTCAGGGTCTGACACGCTTTGGAGGAACTTCACCCGGCACGTGCTTACGTAACTTCTCCCACCAACCACCCCAGTCCCTTTTCATGCGCGGCTCCCCATCTCCGGCTGGACGCGGGGCGAGACGCGCACAACCTGCGGACTACGCGTCGACTTGCAAGTTTCGCGACTTCGTCAATTAAACCTCACCAACGGTCGCATCCCATGAGCCAGACCCTTGACGTGGACCCTTGCATCGCTCGCTACCCCATCCACACAAGCTTGTTCACTTCTGGCTGCTGTCAACCCAGAGCATGCAGCAAGCAAGGCAACGCCGTTTGTCACCCTTCACTTCACTTTGACTTGCATGACACTCTTTCCAGGTGACTTGACCACTGTCACCCACAGAATCAGGGATCGCTCATTTAAGAGCATCCTGCCACCCGACTTCCAAGCTCTAGGCTAAGCTGGACAACCTCAACCTTGATTGTCTCGACCACCCTTAGTGGTCCTCGACTGTCGTGACCGAGCCATTGCGATCAATCACGACAACACCGGCATCGACATTGCGCGACTGCGACTGCGACAACAAATCAAGCCGTCCACCTCCTTGCACTCCCTTGAACGGGAGCACGGTGCAAACCATCGACACGAATACCCAAAATGGCCGCCGCGAATGGCGTGGGTGATGGCATCTTCTCCGCCACATACAATGGAGTTAGTCCAACCTTCTTCGCAGTCAATTGCTCTCCAACTTGCGCTTTACTTCACGTCCCTTCCCTTCCCCTGGCCGAGATGGCTCGTCACATCCCTGTCCAGGTCAGCCCTCACTAACCTGTCCGACCTCACAGAATCCCGTCTGGGAGTTCCAGTTTGTAGGCCCAGATGCAAAGAGGGAGCATGTGATGCGACGCCAGTCCGACAACTGGGTCAATGCCACGCACATCCTGAAAGCCGCCGGCTTCGACAAACCCGCGAGAACTCGAATTCTCGAGCGCGACGTACAAAAGGGCAATCATGAGAAGGTCCAGGGAGGTTATGGCAAGTTTCAAGGTACGAAGAACCTCAGCTCTCACCGCATCGCTGCCATATTCCGCTCTCTTAGGAGACAAGTTGGTTGACCATTGGCTTTGCTCGCTTTAGGAACCTACCTGCCTCTGGCAGATGCGAAAGAGCTGGCCCGACAACACAATGTTCTCGACCGAATTGGCCCCATCTTCGACTTTGTCCCAGGCGCTGTCACACCCCCTCCAGCTCCTCGACATGTCAGCAAGCCGAAACAGCCCAAGAAGAGTGCAGCTATTCCTCAAGCCGGACCTGCTGTGAAGAAGCGGAAGCGCAATGGTGAGATCTTCCAAGTATGCCACTGCTCTATCGGATACTGATCAACTCCAGAACATTTCGCGGAGGACTTGGACCGATCTTCTGTTGCATTTCGAGATGATACACCCGATGACCAGACCGTTGCCTCCGGCAGTTACATGGCTGAGGATGACGCAGACAGGATGATTCTGCACAGGGTATGCACTCGCAAATGCTTCCATCCCATCCTCCGAAATGAGACTTAGAACCCCATATGCTAATGAGAAAGCAGCACACGATGTACGGCGAGGCGCTCCTTGACTACTACGCCCTAGACATGCGCGATTCATCCGCTCCGCGCCCAGAGCCCCCTACGAACTTCAGACCCGATTTCCCCATCGACAAGCACCAGAATACAGCCTTGCATTGGGCCTCGGCGATGGGTGACATTGACGGAGTTAAGCACATGAAGCGCTTCGGTCCATCCCTTGCCGCGAGAAACATGCGGGGCGAGACCCCCATGATGCATGCAGTCAACTTCACGAACGCGTTCGACAAGCAGACATTCCCTGCCATAATGGAGGAGCTTCGAGAGAGCATTGGAGAGCGCGACCTCTCGGGCCGGACCGTCTTGCACCATGCTGTTTCGCACGCTGTCTCGGTGAAGTATCGGAGACCTGCTCGGTACTACGTCGAAACCATCCTGGGAAAGCTACAGGACACACACGAGTCCACGTTTGTCGAGCAGCTGGTGAACTCCCAGGACGTCAACGGCGACACAGCGATCCACCTTGCTGCCGAGAACAAGAACACCAAGATCATCCGCTCGCTGCTTGGCCGTGGCGCATCGACTTCGATCCGCAACAACAAGGGCATGCATGCCGAGGAAATGATCCGAGAGCTCAACGAGGGTATCCGGTCTCGCTCCGCCATGCCTCCGCCATCGTCCTCGCCATTTGCTCCTCCACCTCGGCGACCAAGCGTGAGCGACGCGCTGCAAGACATGTGGAAGAATGCCGAGTTCCGATCCGAGGCTGCCAAAGCCGTCCAGAAGCGCATCGCCCCCAGCATACTGCAAAAGAGTAGACATCTTGCGCAGATTTTCGAGGACGAGTGGCAGGAGAAAGACGATGCTGAGCAAGAGGTTCGTCAGATACTGGAGAATACCCAAGAGGAGGCAGTGGCTCAGATGGAGGAGTTGCGCCGTCACGAGTCAATGCTCGAGCCGGATGAGGTTGCCGCGAAGACGACGGCCGAGGCGGCGCAGTTGCGCACACAAGTCACCTCCATGCTCAAGTATCAGAACCGCATTGCAGTCCAAGGCAAGGTCCACACCGAGCTTAGCATGCAGGTCAATGGCAACAGCCAAGGCGCGAGCAGCCAGGGGAGTAGCCTTGACGACGACACTGAGCGTCGACAAGTGGCATCGGAGCTTCTCGGCAGGATCCGCGACCTGCGCACGCTGGAGGAGGACCTGGTGGACGCGACAGGACTGAAGGGCGTGGGCCAAGCCATCGAGAACTACCGGTATCTGCTCCAGCTTTGCCTTGGCCAACAGGCGCCTGGTCTTGATGACAACCTCGACAACATGATTCGGGAGATCCAGTACGAGGTCGATTATACGAACGGCTCCCGGGCGCGCAATGGTGAGCCACTCGCCGTGGATCTTTCTGACGGGGAGTAGAGTGCCTCTTCCACGACTTTGGAGGCCATTAATGGCGCAAGCTTAAGGCGTTGATTTCCACAGGACGGCCTGTAGTGCGAATTGTTTTTTGTTGTTGTGGTATCCTCCTGGCTTGATGGCATGGGAGTTTGGCAGGTTGGCGGTCTGGATTCATCGGTGGTCACGATGAGGTGTTTGGGCGGCGTTTGACGGCCTTGTGAGATACCAAGATTACGAGTTGAGGGTTGACTTGCTTTTATTGGTTGAGCTGCCGTAGCATTACTAGGAAAATAGACGGACAGCCAACTACACAGAGAGAATGTCTCTATTTGCAATTCCTTGATGTGGTGACATGCCGTGAATGAGAAATGTTGGAGGAAAGAAGAATAGATCATTTCGGTCCTGCAGGCTGCCTTGAGCCTGCCGAGCGTTGCCAATCTCTGCATGTGGGGTGTGACACCCAACTGTCAAATCGGCCCACCACCTGACAAACCGCCGGACTCGCACCACGCGATGGTCCTGATGTACGCTGCGTCGTATCATGACTAGTCTGCTCCTCAGCGCGCTCCCAGGCCTGGGTTGTCGAACTTCGGCATGTGGGTTTTCGAGCCGCCTCGGCTGCCACGTCCTCAACCGCAAAGGGGCCAACGCGGTGCCATGGGCAACACGCCAGCAAATGAGGTTCGCATCCGGCGAAAAGGACAACTACGAGGACGACCATTACGCAACCCTAGGCGTGAAGCCATCAGACTCGATTGAGACGATCCGGAAGGCAGGGAATGCATTGCGCATGGCAACACATTCAGACCACAACAAGGGTATTGATAATGACAAATTCATAAAGGTGAGGCGACCCATTCTGCTGAATCCCAGCCTCCCTCCCCCCTCAGCCCGGGCCCTACTTCTCAGAATCGGAAGAAATTAGAAGAAGAACCCTTGAGCAATGCAGACGTCTAAGCTGTCCTAGGTTAACGCTGCTATTCGAATACTCGGGGACCAAGTGAAGAAGGCAAAGTATGACCTCCGGTGGTGGGCACGGCAACCTGCGGCGCAGGCAAACTCAGCGACGCAGCAGCGAGAAGCTGATGCCCTGAGGAGGGCCGCAGTCGCCAGGGATCTCGCCCGTCGACGTGAAGAGGTGAAACGCGCCGTGGAAGCCGCGAAGGCGGCCGAGGCAAAGAAGAAAGACGAAGAGCGCAAGGCCAGGAGGCGCGCGAAGCGCGAAGCACAGAGGGCCGAGGCGGAGAGGCAGAAGAAGGCCGAGGAGGAGAAGAGGGAGGAGGATCAGAGGAGGGCGGCGATTGAGGCGGCGAAGGCCGTCGAGAGGAAGAAGGGGGAGCAGGAGGCTGCTAGAAAGAAGGCCGAGGCTGCCGCCGCCATGAGAGCTGCCGCCAATGCCAGGGCTGCCGAGCGGGAGAGGGTGCGAAAGAGGGAGGCACGGATGGTTGTGCTCAGGCATGTACCGATCCGAGCATCCCTACTTGATGTCACCCAAGCCCTGGAGCCGTTGGGGCCGGGACGCATCCTCGACTCGGGCGTGGGGGAGGGTACGGCCTGGTTTGAGTTCTGGACAGCCGAGCAGGCGCAGGCGCTACAGCGTATCGTGACGGAGACGGACCAGTGCGTCGTACTCGGCAAGACGATCAAGACTGCCTCCATATACCAGGGCCGTGCCAAGCCTCCGGAGGGCCCAGAGCTCATCACCAGGAGCCTCTACATCATCGCACCCCCACAATTCCTGGATGGGGAAGCAAAATTGTACCCAGTGTTGAAAAGGAAACTCCGCGCGCAGGGCTTCACGGTCCAACCTGCTGCTGGTATCGCCCAGGGCGACACACCGACCGGCAAGTGGCTCATCGGAAATTACGCGTCTGTCGCGAAGGCCCAGAGCGCGAAAGCAGCACTGGAAAAGCATTACCCAGAACTTAAGGTTTATTATAGTTGGGACCTATGTGAAGGTGTGGTTCCAACGGCACAGGAGGGTGCAGAAATGGGCTCCAACAGCAGCAAGAAAGGGTCTGACTCCTGGGTTAGCCCAGTTGGACTTGTTTTCGGGGCCGTGGTCCTTGCGATTGCTATCTACATGGACATAAACAAACTCAAGTCCTCAGACAAGGAGGCACAGCAGAAGAACGAGGATAAATGATTGTGTTTGGCAGATTGCAGTTGTTCAAAGGGGCACTGCACACCTTTGTCACGACTCTTATAGGGTAGAGTCTGAATCACTGGGTTCAAGACTCACCTAGAAGGAAAGGTGAAATCAGGACATTAATCAAGACTGAGCTTGGCTGTCATGTTGTTGGGAGAGGAAAATAGAGGGTTTGAGGTAGTCAATATCTTCCAAACCTCCATTGTCACCTTGCAAGCAACTTGGAGGCAGGTTGAGTCTCGCTCTGTGCAATGTGATCCAGTCTGATAAACTCTATGAAGAACTTGTACAGCCAGAGTCTCCATTCTGACTTCGCGAACCTTGCCACAGTGTTGCCCGTAAGTGGAAGTAGGCCGGGTTCGGGGCTGTTACCAGTCCCATGGCTATTGGCTATCTGCCGCATCATTTGAACGAATTGGACCTCCTCGTCCCTTCACTCAGCTGTCGGAGTTACGAGAAAATTGAAATTTGCACAAGTTCCATGCAGTTCAGAAGTCGCCGCCCAAGCTTCATTATTAACCGATAATTTGATCACAACTACCTAGGTATCATATCATGTTAGCTAGTTGGCAACATAACCATCCTTCTAAGAACAGCCCATGCTTCTCCCACTCCCCGTCCGAGACCTCAAGGATAGGTGGCAGTTTAATCAAATCAAGGGGCCAAAACATGATTGTAGCCCATTCCAGGAAGACACCTCCATATGTGTATATATAGGCACATATATATACTGACGTTCTCATCATTCTTTACACTCATTCCACATTAATCAGTGTACACGAATCAAACCCCTTTGGGAACTCATGAGTGTCTGTGTCCACCTAAATGTGAGCCAAAGAGAGGTGTGCCTGTATCACTCAACCCGTTGATGTGCTCATGAGAACAACCAATACCATGTTATCAAAAGAAGAAAGAAGCAACATTTTCAGCCTAGTGTGTTTGATTTTTTTGTCAACTCAATCATTTCAACCCCACTCAATTTCCGTGGAACAGCATGTGTATTTTTCCATGTGAAGCTGTGAGAACGCCCAAAACCAAAAGTTGCCATCCGGGTATTCGATGTGCCGTGTATGAGACCTCGACCTAACACCAATGCGGGCAGAAACCAAACAAGGTAGTCGTGACAGTCGTTAAAGTCATCATCATCATGAGAATCATCAGCATCAGCATCAGCGCCGCCGCCTCCACCGTCAAGAAAACATGTACCGCCTGTCCGTTCCCTCAAATGAAGCGGGGCTTGAATGCAGACATAGGAAGTTGAGATAAAGAGAAGAAAGTGTGAACATAATCTTTATAAGCAAGCCGAAGGATGAAGACAACAACATGATACGAGAGAAAAGCACATGGCAATAAAACGCCCCAGCCCCCGTCCCCCCTCTTTTAGATCGGTATCTATACCAAAGGCAAGCCTCACAAAAGAAACGGTATCGATGCAGCCATTGTCGAAAAAGAAAAGGAGAAGCCGAAACACTCGCGCAACAGTTTTAACAAAGTGAAAACGTCCCTGAAAAGAATTCCCCGTCGCATTATCGCTTGTCCTCGGGCCGGACCCTCGCGCCGTAGAACCCACCGCCCCCGGCCGCAGCACAGGCGAGGCACACCCCACCCCCGCCGTACACGCGGGTGTGCCGCGTCCAGCTGCTGCCGCCGGAATGACCGTAGGAGTCGGCGGCTTCGCCGTGGCCACTATCCTCATGGTCATGGCCATGGTCATGGTCGTGGTCCATGTACACGACTCTGACTCCTCCGTCAACTGCGCCTGGCCCGGGGAACATGACCGCGGCCGGGTCAAAGGGGTAGTCGGATATCGGTGGAGGGGGCAGGAGAGGAGAGGCCGGTGGGTATGAGGAGGGGGAGAATGAGTTGCTCGAGCGAGGACTTCGGCCGTGGTATCCGTCCATGGGCCCGGCTGAGCTGGGTCCGTCGGCCCCTGCAGGTATGGAAATATTTCTGGTGGAACTTCTGCGCGTGGACGAGCTGGAGGAAAGTGAGTAGTGGCTGGAACCGGCTTGAGATCCTTCCCCGGAATTTTCAGTGATCGGGCTTGTCCCATCCATGGTGTAGCCAGGTGTCTGCCCCGGGTAGTATCCAGAGCCTGGTGAGTCGATGGCGACGGCCTCTAACTCGGTGGGAGTCGACTGCGCATACCTCGCGACTGGCCCGCGATTTTCAAAAGACGTTTGGCGGCCGCGCTGTGACGAGCTTGTGGTCCGATTTGTAGGGGTCATGGACCGAGACTGTGGTTGTCTAGAGGAGTCCAGCTCGAGGTGCTGTTGTGCTGGTAGCCCCCCTCTGCCCACGACCGAGAGGGCATTGAAACCACCATCCGGATAGTAAGTTACTCCCAAGTCGTCAGCTACACCATAAGGATGACCGAAAAAGGGAGCCGTAGAGCGACTCGTGGTCATGAGACCTCCATAGCCCCACTGTCTCGCGACGAAGTCACCATCCATGCTATTATTTTCTTGCTCAGCGGAGCCCGACAACTCATCGCCAACACCGCCCAAGGGCGGTGGATGATGGAATGATGATGTTCTGACATGACCGCTCTCCTCAGCAGCGGCGGGGAAGGGAGGAAGGTCAGGACGAGGCAGGCCGCTTGACTCCTGTCCGGCGCCGTAGCTCGAGTCGTTGCTGACCCCACGTGACCCTTTTCTTCCGGTGTGCGTTGTCTTCTCCTCTTGTTCCATGCTCCTAACAAGGCTGCTTCCTTCGACGGGCCCACCCAATCCCACCGGCGCTGTGCCACTTGCTTCCCCTCTGCTTATGGTCCAGCTAGCCTGCTTTTCGAACTGACCCTGTCCCTGTCTGGCTTTTGCCCAGCTGCTTGTAAGGTGCGGCTTCTTCGAGTCAGACGAGATCCAGGAGGCAGATCCTCGTGGCGGGCAGGAATTGCCGCTGATATAGTGCCCAGGGCGCGGCGCAGAGAAGCGAGGCAGCACGAGCTTCTGGAGGATGTACAAGGCTGCGATTGCAGCCGTGGAGGTGCAGATGAGTAGTAGTAGGCTGGATCTGGAAAATACTGACTGGCCTCCATGAAGACGGCCACTGAGCTGGGAGGAATCCGAGTCGCTGCCGGCTGATGTGAGGACAGGCATGTCTCCTGCAGCTTACTGATCGATGTTCAGGCAAGGATTCAAGAACAATCAACGACGTGATGGTACCTTGCCCGGCCGAGGAGGTGTGGCCCACGAAGATCGGCAGGCTCGGGTATTCCTTCTTTGGACGCAGTATGAAGGAGGTGAGTTATACACGACAGATGACTGGGGGTGCTCGGGTGTGTCACGCGTATGCTACCGGCAGCGCGAGCAGAGACGGCTGTTGCGGTGAGACGCGCTGCTGCAGCCCAGACGCACCGAGAGTCCGAAGAAGATCCGTCGTAGGCCAGTGAAGCGGGAGGAATGCGAAAGAGGTGGGTGATACATGAATGTGATCCCTTATATGCCGCAGTAGATGGGTGGGGATCGAGCAGACCATTCAGGTAGTCCGATGAATTATAAAAACAGAAGTGGCAGAAGGCCTGGGACGGGAGGATGGGCATGGAGGAGGAACGAGCCTCCGAGATACCGACATGATGAGAAGAGGTGGAAAGCGCCAACCTTGATATATCGCAGAGGAAGTGGATCGGCAATATTGGCAAAGTCAAGCTCGTGTGGACGGGAGCGGGCCCCTTGGAGCGGCGAGGCATCTGGGGGAGAGAGGGAGAGGGAGAGGGAGAGAGAGTCTCACGCCGTGAGCATGGATCGAAAAAGCGGGCCGCCTCCCAGTCAGCCCGTAGGGTACAATAGCAAAGGCTCACTTGAGACAGTGCCAATAGCCTGGTACCGTCTGACGCGCGGTGAGAGAATGGTCATGAGGATGGGGGAAGTGTCCTGGCTCCCATAGCCATCTGCCGGACAGCGAGAGGAGGAGGAGCACTTGAGGAGGAGGAGGAGGAGGAGGTTGGTGAGAACCATGGCCGACAAGCAGCAAGCCATGTCTGCTCTTGTGGCGGCAAAGCAAAGGGACCAGGGGCCGTAAAGCGCCAGGCCAGTCACTCACAGACTACCTGGGTACATGATGTACATGGTAGACGCCCTTCGACGCAGGTCGTTTGGGGTCAGGCAGCATGCTAGACGCCGTCCAACCCCAGATCATGGAGGCGATCGTCATCCATGTCCCGGGAAAGACACATGCAGCAGCCTACCGCATGCACGCGAAGGAAGCTTGAGAGAGGTTCGCACCCCATGGCAGGGCCCCGTCCAGGTGGGCCGGTGTCAGCGTGCTGTAATCCCTGACCCTGCACAGGGCTGCAGTCAATTATTAGCTGCGTTGCGCCGCGCCGTTGCTCGGACCTCTTGGGTGATGAGAGACGGCGCCGCACCGTGCGTGGTCTGGGTAGCCTGGAGTCTGGAGTCTGGAGTCTGGAGTCTGGTCAGGTCCAAGATAATTAGGACACTATTGCTCCAAATTGCTCCACAGTCAGCAAACTCCGTCAAGGATGGAAGTGGTTCAGCCTGCATTATCACGGCATTAGGCCGAGTCTTGCGTAGTATCGTATCGTGATATCCTGCGCGCGCTCGAGTAGTGTAGGCAGAGACATTTGGCCCGGGACGCGCCACCACCGACACGAGCGCCTCTGCTGTGCCATACACAGACAGCGTCGCTCCTGGACCAAAAAGGGTGGTCCCGTTGCAAAGATGGTCCTGATGTTTCAGCTGCCTCTTGACCCGCATGACTGAGTCTGATGGTCGAGCGGGGATATGACCACTGTTGGCTGAGAAGAATAGGGGGCCAATTGTTTCCGGCTCGGTCCCGTCATTCGGGCCAAGCTGGTTTTTTAACGCCGGACTGGAAGTTGGGCCCAACACCTCAACCTCCTTGTTAGGCCATGCTTTGCGCCCGAGGCTCAGTGCCTGTATGAGAATCTCCCTCTCCCCTCAGCATCACATCGTCTCGTTCGTCCCCAGTTGGTCATCCGGCCCGGCCTAACGGGCCCTAGCGGGCCTGCTCTTGGCTGAGGTGAGCCACGGCATCGACCCGGGTCTCGCCAACTTGACCGGGAGTTCGCGGCTACCAAGATCCCCGTCCCTTTCTTGTTTCCTGTTGTGGCTTGACCGTTGGAGTTGCGTTCTCCAGATGCGAGTCCGAACGTCGGAAAACAAGCTCGTGTCGTTGGTTCTGCCCAGGGACTGCGCAGAGCCGTGCATCTCGCACGTGTACGGATGTACACTTGCACACGTGTGAGTGCATGTGTCGCGCACATATCCATCTGTGCCTGCAGGAAATGAAGCAGATCAGGATGGTCACGCGTAAAACGGCAAAGCGGTTGGCTGCGCGTTGGTTACATACAGGTTGCATGTGCAACCGCACGATCTCCTCTTTTATTCCTTGTTAGCCGAGGTGGCCAGTGGATGTGGCTTTGGTCTGCCGGAGTGTGAGATGGAACGGGACTTTGGTTGTCTGTTGGTTGCCAATCAAGGGGGAGCACAAACAAAAGTACGTATCCCATGTCGATGGCATGTCCACTAGCCCTGGGATATTCCAATATATCCGGGATCAGATGCCTATGCCTTGGCGCACATCGGCACGATTCAGCCCTACAGGACCGACCCCTGGAGGGCAGGGCACCTCGTCCTCCGCTGCATCTCTTCAGAGATCGACTTGTCAGCGGCCCCGAGGCAGGTTCTGACTGCTAGATTCAAGAGAGGGGCAAGTTGCAGTCAATGGCCCGGTACCTACCTAGCGAGAGACAAGCGGCCTTCACCGCCTGCTCGCAGCCAGTTGCTCGAGCTGAAAAGGAGCCGCCCGCGCGCTCAAGTTTGTTGCCCCAGGTCGATGGCACAGTAGTCTCCATTGCCACTCAATACTCGATAGATTCTTCATTTCAGCTGACACGGTTCTGCTAGACCTGCCTCTTTCTCCTCGTATGTCGCCTCCCCGCCCGGTAGTCATCACTCCCCAGGCATGCCGAGTACACACCAGCAGGTATCAGTACATGGAAGCATCTGAGACAGCCGGTCCCAGCAGGTTGGGACGGTCCTAATTGGAGCCCCTGTTAAGCGAGCCTCCATCTCCGGCAACCAATCTGTGGGCGACGTGCAGCAGCAGCACTTGAGGACCCCTGGCGTGCTCCAGCCACCTGCTTTTCGGGTGAGAAAAGGTGGATTTAAAGCCGGGCTTCCCCTGTATCGCCTCAGCCTTACGGAACGGACGACACAGGATGTGAAGTCTTGGTTGGTAGTCCGCGTAGAATGGTTTCGCTCCCGAGTTCTTCGCTGGATTACTCGGCCTGCGCCGGGATTTATGCATCAGATGTCCCGCCGAAAGCGCCGCGCATGTGGGTTTGCAATGCCTACAATCCGTAGATAGCTTTGCCAAGTCACTCTCCCCGAAGACTCGCCGCTGCGAGCTCTTTTCCGGCCCGACTGTGCAACCCAGGCAACATGCCCACACTATGTGAGAATTTCGCACTCCCTTGTGACGGACGTGGTTCAAGGCCGACATTCCCAAGGCAAAATGTTAACCAGACCGCTTCTTGACTTGTTACCTCGCTGATCCCCACCTGACTAATTCCTTGATCAGGTCAAGAGGTCGCCTCCTACCAAGGATCCAGCGGCAAACACGCCTGGCGAGCTGCATCACAGCCCCCAAAACCGCCTCAGCCCAGCATTTCGTCAGCACTCAGCTTCCAAAGTTCACAATGCAGATGAATCCCGCCCAACTAAGATTCCACACCATGCCTTCCGGAACTAGCCCCGTCCGCCCAGACCAATACGGCCTCCCGTCATTTTTAAGTTTGTGCTGCCCGTTTGCGCCTATCACGAAAGATTCCGCCGCGCCTGTCGGCGCCTCTCGTGTTCCACAGGCCAGATCAGCTCACCTGAGGCGGTTGCCCGCAGCAGCCCCCAGGTTTCGATCCGGATTTTTCAAACATGGCCGTTCTGGGGGCGCACACTCCCCACAAGAACTTGCTTCTGCGCACCCATACTGTTTTAGTCCTGTCGCTGCTGTGCTGGCTTGCCTATTTATGGAGCCCACCAAGTCCCTCGACACAAGCTGGATACATGCCTGGGTATGCATTCAGCCACGTGGATAAATACTTGGCAGCGTCACGATTTTGCCCCTATTTGCCCCCAGCCCGAACCAGTTGGGAATACACCGCATGCAGACCTTCTTGATATCATCGACACTGTAGCTTCCTCTGATTCGACTGGTCGGAATACGAATCTGGGGGTAAGATCCCTCAGCCTATCAACTTGGGCGTGGGATCAATCCTTCGGATGCTCGTGCGCACATGATAGAGTGTAAGATGCGCGGCGGCAATCACCGCACTCACTGATCCCCTGGCGGCTGCGCTCTTGTCCAGACCCCAAAGTAACCCTATTCTCAGGCCCAGGCCTAAACAAGTGGCTTACAGCACATACAAAAGGCCCCAATCTTTGTATTCCACCACGCATACTCTACAAGCATGCCGCTGCTCTTCTGGTTTCTGCGCAACATGATGTGGGCCGTCAGAATGGCTGTTCAGGTTTTGAACAGCAGCGCACGAGGCATGCCACCAGTCCATGAGCAACGAATAGAAATTATCAGAGATGATACTTGACGCACAGGTTCAGCGGGCAAAGTAGTCATCAGGTCTCGACTCAGCATGACTCCAGCACGTCGTCACTGCGGAGATTAAAAGACTGATCGACTGTCCAACCAGACCGGATAGCCGAGGATAGACCTCGCTTTCCTCGGACTTTCACTCAAACACTATTGAATCTAGCAACCGAGACGTCTCATCTTGCTAAAACACAGAAACTACTCCGTGTGACGACACTAGTAAGAAGGCACTGAGAAGAGAATCACGTGTCCATTCTAGTCTGTCGTAGGTTCGAATGAATGTGGACTCTTCGGCAAGTTTCCACTTACATGAATGAATGCAACAAGTCTCAGTAATTATTGGATTGTGCACACGTAACTCGCGAGACAATTGTAACTCTGCTCACCACTCGGTCATGTAGCCATGGCGCTCATTTTCTTCCGAACGTTCAAGGCGTGATCAGAGTCGCCCAACAGACTTCGAAGCACATCATGCATCTCAAGCCCGAGAATACTCCACGCCGGAATTACGGAGAAGCAACCACGCCCGGCAAGCTTAGTGCCAGTTATGTTCGGGGTCAAACACCACACAAGTCTTCCGAGTGCTCGGTGTCACAGGTCGTTGAGCCTCCCCAGAGATTTATTCATAATCTACTTAAGCCCTCAATTCAGACAGCCGTGACTTAGGTCTGTCCCAGTCGTAAGCCTGATTACTCATGGGCCAATAATGATAATACTTCTTGTCGCACTATCATTCAATATGGCCCTTGCGTATGACCCCATACGCTGACATGAGATAAGCGTTAGTCCATCAAATATACCGCAGCTACCGAGAATTCCAATATCCCGATATGGTCGCAAACCGAGCAACGGCCCAGTGACGCGTAAGCGTTGCGAGGCCTTTTCGCGTTAAAGGCTGATGTGGTTTGGTGTCAAATCCCGATCCAAACAGCGAAATACATCAGCGTCGAGTCAGCAAGTCTGTGGTGTCAGTTCCAGATGTTTGGGTTAATTTGTCACATGCGAGCCTGATGATGGGCCGGCGACGGAGATGGCCCCCGTTTGAGAGCCGCGATCCTGCTCAATGCAACCCTGTCTTTCCTCACTAATTACTTGCATTACACTAACATGAGCCTCAAATGCTCTGTTGGCTTATGCCTACTGAAACGAGCAGAAATTTTAAAATGGACACAGAAATTGGAAGGAATGAAAGGAATGGAAAGGATGGTGGAAGAGAAGGAACAAGCTTACAATTGCGGGCGGCAGCGTGCCATTGCAAAGATTACGGCCGAACATTCCAACCAACAAACACTGCAAAATTGACCAACAACACAAAAGTTTGTCTGATTCAGAGTGGGTAACAATGCATCCACAATGGGTCAAGACAGAGTTCTCCCTGTGTGTATCTGCGACGCTAGTCTAACTTCCTTGGAGGGACCTTGCAGCCTAGTCGCCTGAATGAAATATTTCAGATCAAAACTAACACAGCAGAGGTTGCAAAGACATCGAAGTACAAAATTTACCTTGCTTCCATCCATGTTGGTTATTAAAAGTTGAAGAGCTAAACTCATTTCGGGAAAACGCTGGGCATAAATCCTTCCAACGTACACATGCAATTATTTCGGTCCGGCTAAGCCGCGAAGTGTGGCCGTTGGCCAGGCAAGTGGCAACCATTGACATGTTCAAGCCACCCTGAAAGACAAGAAAACGCCAACACAAGACTGATGAGGGCACGATCCGAATCCTTCGAGGATTAGAAATCCACTCGCGGACAATACGTGGAAAAAAGACGAAAGTAAGCTATAATGGATCCTACGCGTGTTCGCTGAACAACCAACAGACGCACAAGTAACTTAGCGCCCCAGAATTATCAGATGATCAATTCCCCTCGGAGATAATGAAGTCTTCTGAGAGCTCAGGAAGGCGTCCAAACCACTAAAGAGCCACCTGATAGCGTCCGTTGCAGAGAGAGACTTAGTCCTTCCTCGGCCCTATTGAGCATGTGAACCAATCAGCCCTGATTTGCCAACAGGGAGAGGACAGTAACCTGACCTCATACTGGACACATGCGTCTAAATATATATACAGGACTCGGAAAGACAACCAGATGAGGAAGACTTCCAACAACAGAAGACAGAAAATCACGCAGATTTTGGTTTTGTTAAGACAAGTTACGAAGTCAGCTTGTTGCAGAACTGTAATAAAATGGATTTTGTCCAGGAGAATAATTTGCCCTCCAATATACACAAAATCGCCATAAATACCGGCTCAAAGATTGAGCGTGGGCAGTTTGATCAGAAAAAAGCTCCCTGAGAAGTCGGAGAATGCTTAGAGATCGCGGTGGATGCTTGTGTAAAAACAAGAAGAAATACCGAGCTGTAAGCCAGCCAGTAGATATGATCTATTGCTGCATTCTTCGCCCCATTTCACACATCAAACGTAAGAACCCTTGAACTGTTGTGCATAGTAGCTGCAGCATGATATCCTACATATAGGCTTTCCTATAGTCTTTGTAGAAATGAGTATAAGCAGAGTTCTTGAGAATGGCTATGCACAGACTGGTCCATCATGGTTGTACGGAAATCTGGAAGTCCAGTTTTAAGGAATTTCTCATAAAATGTAACGATGGTCGTTGCACAGTTATCACAAGATACCAGCAATGTCGAATAGCATGCAACTGCTGTCAAGAACTGGGAGAACTGACTGCCCTTGCTATGTAGAATTGAACACACAAGTGCCGTATCGAATTTGTCTCACAAGTGCTTGAGAATATCCTTGCGCAAGTTTGTGCCCTCCTGCCAATTAAGTATCAAAATTGTTGTACTAAAAACTTCTATTTGAGTGTTCTAAACACAATTGTCCTCAAAGGTTTGCATTTCAACCCAGAGAAGTTTGTCTTCCTATATTAGAATAGCATGTGTTCAGCTGCTCATCACAATATCTTCAAATTTAGACTGTGATCATTTTAACCGTGACCAAGGTGCCAGGCAGGGCAGAAACAAAAGTAGGGCAGTATTGTTATTCAAAGGTTCATTATGCCAAGAAAAGCATGCTCTCAATTCTACCCGATGATACAAACAAAGAACTGAACGGTACCACACCTAATCTTGAGTGCTGTCTCCCTTGCTCCTTGACTTCACAACCTGTGCGGTCGAGGACTGTGACACCCAAGATCCTTGATCCTATTCTAGATGATGCATCCGTCCACTACGGAATATGGTCGCCCAGAGATCTATACAGCCTTTGAATGTTAATAGGGGCTGCCCCATTTCATTGGCCTTAGAAACAAGGAGGTGAAGCGATAGGGTTCTTCCAAACGGATTCGCCATGTATCGGTGGTATTCTAAGTAGGTATCAAAAGGTTGCATCTCAGAATTGAAGCACGACAAGGTACAGCTCTGGTTCTGAGCCTGATGAGAAGAGAAGAAAACTGGATATGAAAGAAAGCCCCATCTATCGTCAATCGTTATCATGGAGACTGAAATCATCCAGCGACCATCAAGGCCGCAGCTGCAAGCATGACTGGAACGGACAGCTCAACAGAGCCATCTCAAACCCTTCGCATAACCTCTGCCCACATCACACTCTCCCAGCCCTTGGGTTTGGGTGGGTCGGGGCCACCTTGGTCAAGTCGACCTGGCTTTGCTGCAGTTCCAGCTCCTCCCACTTCTTCTCCATCCGCCGTTGCTCGTGGAAGAGGCCCAGCATCGGCAGCGACCCGGCAATGATACCAATCCCGCACTCCACAACCGTCCACAGGACGATCTTGCCCGTGTTGAATAGGTAGTTGTCATCCGAGCTGTATGCATCGGTGTAAATTGTGCGGATCAAGGACGCCATGGAGGCTCTGTTTGAGAATCAGCTGGTCAGCTCTGCAAAATTGGACCCCAGGGAGGACCACTTGAGACTCACACTACACCGAGACCCAACGCCGCTACTGTCAGGACCTTTGATCTGAGTCGCATCTGGGGAGTCCAGAGGAGAAGCGTTGAAATAGTAGCCATTGCAAGGTCGGACAGGACGTCGAAGGCATAGGCGGTCTTGGACAGGGCAACAAAGACATCCGAATCGATGCAGGAGCCATTGCCTGTCCAGTTTGACTGGATTGGCCGGCACTTGGCCAACAGCGTGATGACACCGGCGATGCTCAGCAAGCTCACAACCACTATGAGACCCCAGATGGCATAGATGTACCGCAATCCCTTGGCGATCCCCTTCAGGGTGGTGAGGATGCTGGTCTTGATGAAGACCAGGTTGATGGCGTAGAAAATCTGCCAGAGGAAGAGGTACTACAGAGCCACGCTTAGCATGCATGCCTGGCAGTATTTTCTGGGACTGCTACTATACCTTTCTCCCCTCAGCGTCCAACTCAGGATTGAGTTTTGAATCCGGAGACCCGATTCCGACAAACGTCCCGTGCATGACCATACTGTTATGGACCAAGTTGACGACCAGCGCCGTACACATCAGGTAGTCGTCATTGCCAAACCGTCCCTTCCTGAACCTGATCCAGGAGCGCAGGCCAACGGTGTTTGCTGAGAGAACGGTGAAGGCGAGGGTGACGCCGAAGATTGCTGCTGCGAATTTCTCGGGCTCCAGCACGTCCGCCAGATACTCAGAAGCTATTGCGGCCATGGCAAACGGTTTGTCCAAAAGAGAGGTAAATGAGAGTATGAATGGAAGGTGTAAAGAATGTCTGGCGTGTCGGGTCCTCAATCCATGAGTCCTATCTAGTGGCCTGCCGTTGACGAGAAGGGAGCCTCGGAGTCGGGAGAAGGAGAGACAAGCAATCAGGAGTTTTGCGCGACTACTTACATGTCACCCTTAGTCACTTAAAGAAGGGATGGACAATTGAACCCCTGTGCACAGCCGGGGCAATGAAGCATGAACTAAGGGGATATAATAGGGGAGTAGAATCCACCCTCGAGTGCAACGCCCACATCACGTCCATATTCTTAGGGAAACAGTGATATCGGCCTCCATGCGGGGGGCACGAAAAGCCATCCCTGTCATCGGCTCCTCCCTGAGTCCTTCAACCCAACACAAGGGTCTCAGCCGTGGTTTGGTGAGGGAGTGGTGTTCTCCCCCTGGACAATGAAGGGAGAGCGGCCCCTTTCACGGTTCATGCATTACGCGGAGGGCGAAGCTCCTGGAGACAGGGGTGTTGTGTGTGGATCTTTCCATCTATATCTGTTTCGAAACAGGGTGTTTTATGCCAGGATCACCCAGAGGCACCCTCCAGATCCCAAGTAGATTGCTCGCTACTCAGCCTTGGAGGTCGTGCCGTGCAGATCATATCAGGGCCCTGCCAGCCCTGCTGGGCCCTGCTGGGGAAGGCCACCGTAATGTTGCGGGCGAGGATTGAGTGCTTGGTCACTTGAAGCATTGCATCGAATCGTTTAACGAAAGTGGATAACCAATCGACTTACAACTTGTCCCCACCAGAGAACCTTTGATCAGTGCTCCAGAATGGCATTCTTCAACGGCCAGAACAGGACAAGAAGCCCGTGAAAAGTCCCGTTCATGGGAAGACAGAATATATCTTGAAGGCTTGTGCATTCTTAAGGCACCTTCAAACAGGCCAGGCTCCTTATTTGTCTTTTGCTGCATTGCTCTGCTAGTTCCCAGCCAGTCAATCAGTCACTCGATTTGTCTGTCTGTTCCGCGGTGAGTGGAGACCTAAACAGCGGGGTGCTGCAGCGCTGGGTTGACCACAGCCAGGCCTGAGCAGTTGGACTTGCTGCAATGCCCCACTTTACTTTATCGGACCGGGGCTGGAACAACTTTCGGGAGCTAGTCGAAAAAGAGTCAAGAAAATTTCCAGTCAAGGTGCTGCTTGCTCTCAGTCCAGAGAGTCGCATGTGTTTTTGACAGGCGAGGACAGTTCAATTCCGACGGACAACATAACAAGCATATTGTTTCCTGCATGATCAGAGCATTAATACACTAGCACCCACCGCGACCCTCTCCTCCAAACCACATATTTCGAACCCCAGCCGCGGCAATGGCAACCGAGGAGGAGGTCAAGATAAAGTCCAAGGACTCGAAAAAGGACAAGAAGGAGAAGAAGCGCAGCGAGTCCGACGGCGTCCACAAGTCCAAGAAGGATAAGAAGGACAAGAAGGCAGACAAGGAGAAGCTCAAGGCCAAGGTCGCCGAGGCCCTCGACAACCAGCTGCAAGCAGACGTCGCCGCCTCAGCAAAGGCCGACGACGACGATGACCACCCTGGCTCCGACGTGGACGACATCAAGAACCCCGAGGTCAAGACACAACTGGTGTACTTTGCCGTGCCATTGGCCGATGTGAAGGGGCATAAGAAGATCTACAAGACCATCAAGAAGGGTAGGTTCCGCGCAACGTTATTTGTTTACTCTCATACATGCCCAAAGCACCACCCGCGCGCCAGATCCAGTCGCGGTCCCTCCAGCGCCATCAGTACGAACAGACACAGCTAATCATATCCTTCCTCTCTCCAAACAGCCCGGAAAGCAGGCGCCCTCCAGCGCGGCGTCAAGGAGGTGAACAAGGCCCTCCGCAAGACGCCCATCAAGGCGCCGGCCAATGCCGACCAGGTCCCCGGGATCTGCATCATCGCCGGCGACATCTCGCCCGACGAGGTCATCATGCACCTGCCCATCTACTGCGAGGAGCACAACGTCCCCTACCTGTTCGTCAGGTCGCGCCTCGAGCTCGGCAGCGCCGCAAAGACCAAGCGCCCCACCTCGGTCGTCTTCATCCAGGAGAAGGGCAAGGAGCCCAAGGCCGGCAAGGCGGCGGCGGCTGCTGCGGACGACGACGAGGACGACGACGGCTCTAGCTACGCCGACGCCTACAAGGAGCTCCTCAAGCTCGCGCAGAAGGAGGCCGCGAAGCAGCTGAAGGATGTGCTGTCGGGCTAGGAGGCGGGTTTTTGGGTAAAGGACCAGGAGGGGGCTTAGGGCCATCTGTGACAAAAAGTGAGGGTAGGTTTCTCTCGGGCCTGCGTTTGTCTCGGCCACCACCAAAGAAGATAAAATCAGGATACCAGGCGTAAATATGCGGCGGGCGTTTATGGGCGTACGGGTTCACAGTGTACTCAAGTGGGCCGGGTGCGGTGGTGTGTTTTACGCTGTCTAGCATTTTCGAATCAAGCAGCATTACCAATGCGCTGGAAAGCAGCCCTCTCCCTCGACCACGACGGCGGCTGTGATTGCCAGATGAAAGATTCTGAAGAGCATGCTATCATCGCGCACGCGACACGCCCGCGACAACCCCGCAGGGACCATGTTCTACCAGCCAAAGTTCACGCGAGACTGAGTTGGAAGCTCGGCGACCCTCGAAGAGGCTGGGGTAATGGTAAAAGGTTTCACTTAACGACGTCACGTCGTCCATTTTAGATGAACATGAAATGGTGCTGATTCTGAGTGAATTATTCAACTTGTCAACACGAGGTATATGCCCCGGAAGACTGTGGCTCTACGCTGCTAGACGTCGACATTCATGCCAAGATCAAATCGTACAATGCCCCCAACTCCTGCGCCTAGCCGTCACTAGGTGGTCCGGTCACGATCCCATTATTCCCTTACTCGAAGGGGTTCGTCCGGGTGCCCCACCAGGTCAGGAAGGTTGCCAGTCCAATGGTCTCGAAGGCCTTGGCGACGACGGAGATACCGACGGTCTCGAGGGCGCGCTTCTCCTGGAACACTTGGGCAATGAACTACATATGATGACGCATTAGCAAAAGCTTCATATTCGGAGAGCAAGGGGCCGGGATAGGGGAGCTCACGGTAGGAGCAGAGGTGGCCAGGAAGATGAGGCCACCGAGGTAGGCCGCGCCCTTGTAGGACAGGGTCCCAGTTGCGTTGATCAGGGCTCCAACACCATAACTCTGCAGGGCGGATCCGACAGCCTGTGGTGATGGTCAGCATCTTTGTTCAGTTTCAAAGGGGAGTCTCAAGGATTGTGCTCACGGTCGTGCCCCAGGCGACGGCGACAGATGTGGCCTCCTTGGACTGGATGAACTGCTCGCTGGAGTTGGCGCGCTTAGCACTCTGGTAGGCCTGACCGAACAGAGGGCTCAGGACTTGGTGATGGTTAGCGTCTTGTGGCTTGACGGATGGGCGGGGTGTGCATGCTCACCGGCTGTCTCAACACTCTGGTTGAAGACGGCTCCCAGGGCGATGGCCGAGGGCTTGACGGGAGGAAGGTCTGCAAAGGTGTCGTGTTAGCTACCTGTGCAAGCACGGTTGATGATGGAAGCTCCCGGGACCTTTGGAGCACCGGAAAAGGCTCGCCTGTTTCCATTGGCTTGCGAGCGGGAGAGCTCAAGGTGAGGGGGTACGCCGGGCATGCACACTTACAGTGCAGAGACATGATGGAGATGAGGTTGTGGTGTTTGTTTTGTTTGTGAGAAGGTAGAATCGATGGACGAGATGTCAGGACTGAGGTTCACGATGTATTGGAGTATGTAGTGCGAGAGGACAGAGAACGAAAGGCGGGCGGATTGGGTTTTAAAGCAGCAGGTCCAAGGTGAACGCCCATGATGCCGTTTGTCTTACGTTCAACCGTCGTCACTGGTCCCCCAGCAGGGACTAGTACCCCAGGTAATGAGGCAATAACAACCAGCCAGCCCAGCCAGGACTAGCTTCAACCTCGCGACTACCTCCCCTCTGATTTCGTCACTGCCCAGGTCCTGGTCCAGGCCTCGTCCAGTCGACGTCCACATGCAAATCATCCATCTGACCTGGTTGGCGTTAAACCAAGAACCCGGTCTTTTGCACCTCTCTACTACAAGGCACTGTCATTATGCGACGCCTGGAACCGCCCACGTCACAACTAGGCCCTCTTTGATCTTTGAGCGTCCCCGTCAGCCCAAAAGGGCAGGAAAGGTCCAGGGGCGAGAGGGGCGCGCAGAGAGCAGCGATCCAGCTGTCCGGGACTTGTTAGGCCTGCTTGAAAGGGTGGCGTATTGGACGGGGTAAGGTACTGGTCGCAGGTCAATTTCCCCGGACTCAATCGCATCGCATCGGCACTACCTAGGTACCCAGCGCTAGCAGAGCTTGGGTCAGATGCGCGATGATGTCACTTGGTTTTTGGAGTAGCTCTCAAGCTTGCGCCTCGCAGGGGGGTCTGTGCGCTAGATGCGTTCCTAGAGGCCGTTCACTTGATCCTGCATTGCCATGACAGCGAGACAAGCCACAAATCTTGGAAACGCCTCAATTGACCAGGGGGCTGAGAATCATGTACCGTTCTCTGACGGTACATGTGTTGGTGCGAGTGGCTTGTTTACTCAGGCTGTGGATTCGCTGCAGCAGACTGGGCATATCCAAGTGTAGAGCCGGATTGGCAGGATTATGGCCTTACCCGCCGGCTTCTCTTAAGTCGGTCATGGATGTTGGCAAGCTGTCCATATGAGCATGCAGCTCCCCTCGTCCCTCTATTCTCCTTGATCCCTCAATTCTTCAACCCGCACCAGGCGATACACATGGGGTAGTGCACTCACGCAGGGTATATTCCCACCGGCGCAGGAGACTCGTGGATCGCCGCATTATCAGCGGCCCAAAACGAGCACAAAATGCTATTCGCTTTCTAGTTGCTTTTTTGCACACTTCTACACACATACACGCTCGCCAATCGAGCCCGGCATGGACAGTGCGCGTTGGCTTCGCCTCGCCTCAGCTTCACGTGGCTGTCCCGTCCAGAGTTTGAGATGACCTCTACCGCTCGACAGGCGATTTGACCACACTCTGTCTCTCCGGGCCCGCTTGATTGAGGTATAATCCTCATACTACCATGTGCTGGCCGTCCTCACCTCCTCTCAGCGCTAAAAGAGCACGCACGTCCGAGACATACTGGAGACCTTCAAAGAACGGTATGAGATGCTGCAAGTCGTTGTCTGTCGGGTCATTTATCCAGCCTTGTATCGGGATCGCGTTGTCTATGCGGCTGGCAGTCAGCTGCCGCCAGGTAATCAAGGGACGGGCCTATTGCTCCGAAAGGGGAAGGGCTCGGAGTAAGGGGGGGGGGGTGACTACTGACCTTGATGGAACATGTAGCTGAGCGGACTATTGTCCAGGATCATGACCTTACTCAGATCGGGCTCGACAGCACTCAGGTCCTTGATGAAGGCACCGTGCCTGAATGTACAGTGTTGCCGGTAGTACCGTGCCGAGAAGAATTTCCTCTCCGATTCCAGCCAGTCGATAACCGGATCAGCATATTCCTGAACAGAGGCCGTGAACACCACGAGATTGAACCACTTGCAGACCTGGTTCGCTGCGTCAGTACCGTCCTCCCATACTGTGGCCGCGGCCAACAACAGACAGAGACAGCGGGCCGGCACTCACCCGTCGCAGGAAATCGTCGCAATGCGGTCGCTTGTGAACATAGTATAATATAGGGTGCTGAGGTCCGATGCTGGCTTGCCCGCCGACCCCAACGTAAGTTGTGTTCAGCTTGACCTCCACCATGTGCCCTGTGCTCATCCTGCCGCCCTTTGACATGCTGTGGATCAGCGTCTCGTCCAAGTCAAGGATCAGGGTCTTCTGGGGCGTCTGCGCGTCGGCCTCCACATTGATATACGATGGTTGGCGTCGTGGGATGAGCGGTCTCGGGGGTGCAGGAGTTTTGGGGTACTTCGTCAGGGCGCCGACAGGAGAGGTCGGCGACTTGAGGTGGGCTGATATGTCCTTTTGCTGCTGATTGCCTGGTGTGGCTCGTCGAGAGCTGGCCGACTGTCCTTTTTTATGTTTACGCTGCCGGAGTGATTCCTCGTTGTGTAATTTGATCCTTATGGACCGCCTCGAAGGGCTGATCTCCTCAGAGCTTTGCAGGGACTTGGATCGCGGATGCCTGCTGCTAGATTCCCTGTCCATCTCAGATTCGGACTCGCTGGAGAGCCCTGACGTGGAGGAGCCCGATGATGGTATAGGCCGTGTTGTCATGGCGTTTCCTCGGCCTATGTTGATTGTTTCGCCTCGACTCGAATTAGCACTGTCTTCCAGCGCGGCCTTCTCTTGCATTGCCGCAGCCATCTTCCGCGGATCCGCGTGGTATGCGCCAAATAGTCTCTTGAATTGTAGCCAAGGGGCGAAGTGTCCGTGTTCGTCGTAGAGACAAGCGACCAGGTAGACACCAGGTGCAGCCAGAGTGGACAGAACCCAGCGCAGCGAACCGATGACAGCGCTGAAGATGCGCCGGGGGATCAGGTGCCAGAGCGACTGCCTTATCCCGGAATCCTTGGGATGGCTTCCTGACAGCAGAGGGGTATTTTCATCGGCCGGGGCGCCAGCGGGCTGGCGATGGTCGGGGTCCGCGGAATTAGGCGATTTCTCGTCGAGGCCCGCGGTGGAAGCTTCCTGCTGCTGCTCCTCCTCCTCCGCGGTGACGGTGATGCCCATTGAGCCAAGGGAGTTGGAACGCGAGGGGCCCGGGCTGGAGGAGGGAGAGACGCGGGAGGAGACGAAATTGAGGGAGTTCATGGTTCTCTCGTCGCCGGTCGAGCCATCAAGAATCGGGAAGCGGCGATGGCGAGGGTGAGGACGTGGACGTGGACGTGTCTCGTATCTGGAGCTTCTCGTAGGGCGGCCGGTGGGTAGGGATGGAGCGTGGAGGGTGGGACGGGAAAGTCGCAAAAGTCTAGTGCCGCTGCTGTGGGGGACTGAGACTGGGCCTGGGCCTACTGACGCGAATTGGGATGGGTCAAGCACAGCCGTCTCGGTGTGTAGGCACACGGCAGACAATGTGGCCGATGGCAGCAGTCGACTGCCGTCAAAGGGCGGCTCGGGGGTCGCAGCAGCCGAGAGTGAGGTCGTTGGGCTGGAGGACAGGGCAGGGCAGGGAAGAAACGGGCGGAGGAGTGGGTGGTTGAGCGGTTGAAGGACGATGCCCGGGTGGATTGGAGCAGAATGGCCTGTCAATCAGTCAGCGTGCGCTCTGTCGGGCGTGCCTCTGCTCTGTCTTACCCCTACGACCTCCGTAGCGTGGCGTGCCGGATGGGTGGAGCGTGGAGCGGGCGGGTTGACAAGTCGAATGCGACCCAAACGAGACAGGGGGCAAGAGGCCGGGTGGCGGGCTCAGCCCAGGGCCCGTGATTGATGCGGTGTCTGGGGACGGGGTGACGGGGAGTGCTGCTGTCAATGTTGGGTTCAACCGAGGCACCTAGGCAGTACCTAGGATAGGTAGATGCACCCTCATAATGTTGAACAAAGCAGATACGCATCACCAACGCAGCATCAACGTTCACGCTAACAACTAGCTACACAACTCAGTGTGAGCAGACTGACAGTGAGTTGGTATATACATTGATGATTATATTAGAATTAGTGCAAGCATTCGCCTAACATATCTAGTCGACCTGCACTCCACAAGAGGTTTGAACTCCATGGCAGCAATCAGCAGATAGTATGGGACAACGAGCAGTTGCCCGGCGTACCGTGTCAATGAGCAGTGTATGATCCATCCGTATGTAAGCGTGCCGTCCACGGGTGGTGGTTGTCCCTTGCACCTTGTGACAGCAAAGTCCCACCACTGCCAAACCAACCCCACGTCTGCGGCCTGTACGACCTACCCCTTAGGTACCGTTGATATACAGTACAGTGCAGGTGACATGGTAGTCTGGACAGGCGTTTACTAGGACCTGGACCACCTTACGCCATTCACCCGCCGTCTTGCATGTGGGGTACGGGTCAGTCAGGCAGACTTATCAGTCCCCCCGATAGCCACAGCACCCTAACGTCCCCATGACCGCTTGTAAGTGCAAGTGCCTCTACCTGCACCTTGATGACCTCGTCTCCTGTCTCCCCCAAGTCTTTCCCCCCCAAGACTCTATACCTACTGCCGCCGACACTCCTTCCATCGTTTTCTTGCCTCCAGACGATGACGCCCTAGATACCCTGGATCCTACTCCATCATACTCTTTCCAAACCCCATCGATGCTCCCAAGAGACTGAACAAGGCGTTGCCGTGATTCCCTGCCCAGACATGTGCTAGGAGAGTCCGTCGACATGAACTCCCCCGCCATCCGCTTCCACCGCCACCCTCCCAACGCCCTCCACGGCCTCACGCTCCGACCCGCCTCGTGCGTCCGGCGGCTCTCCTGTCGCCCTTGAGAACTTCGGCAGATTCGCCTACCACGGCACCACTCCATTTCAACCCTTCTGCCCAGAAACACATACAGAGAGATTCACGCCGACGACTAAGGAAACGGCGCCTTCAACATGGCTGCCTTCTTCACGTCCTTCCGTAAGTCGGATTTGCCCAAGCGGCTGCTGCGCTATGCCATGGCCAGGCTGGACATATTCGAGGACGACGCTCTTGACCTGGACAAACTTGATGCCGCCCTCGGCCTGAGGAATACCTTGGAGTTCAAAGATGTCGGTCTCAAGGTCGAGGTACGGCTGCCTGCATCTGGCCCCCCGCTCCAGGACTGATAAGTCGCCTGCAGGTCTGAGTGCTGATTTGTTTGCTGTGATAGAAAATAAGAAAGCACCTAAGCCTGCCTTCCGAGTATCGAATAAAAAATGCAAAGGTGTCTCGCCTGCAAATCACCATTCCCCTCGATCTGTATTCTAGCGCCATCCAGGTCACCGCGTCCGGTGTTCGTATAGCCCTGGTAGTTTCAACGCGAGAACAGCCTGCTGGAAAATCCAAGAAGAATGAGACACCAAGGTCGAGTTCTGATGTTGTCCCCACGGCTGCGGACCTAGCTCAGTCCTTTTTGGAAACTCAGCCATCGAAGGAGAAGAAGGCTTTGGAGGAGGCTCTGGCCTCCGAGACAACAGACCTGGGCGCGTCCGTGGCTTCCAGCGAGGACAGCAATGAGGAGGACTCAGCAACCGGCACGGGCCAACGGCTCTATTTACCGGACTTCATGACAGACTTCCTGCAGGGTGTTGTCGACCGCATGGAGGTGGGTATCAGGGATGTCGCTCTACAGCTTGAAGTCGATGTTCCTGTGGACCATAAGACCACCGAGACCGAATTGGTCACTTTTCAGGTCACTCTCGATGAGCTCGAGGTTGAAGGCGTCACGGCGCAGGCTCGACAAGATGGAGCCAGCACGCGCATCGTGCCTAAAGATGGCAAGCGTCACATATCACTCAACACAATTCGCGCTTCCCTCATCTCAGAGGCTGACTTATTATCCAACCTTGCGAGATCGCCTTCCTTGACTTCCGCCGCGTCGAGATCTCCGATATCAACCGCGAAAAGTCCACCGTTCAATCTGAGACCTTCTCAGGCTGGAAGCGTTCGCGAAGGCGTGATGGGTGGGTCCAACGACGATCTCTCCCAAAGCGAACGAATACTACAGGACAGCGAGGAGGCATTCAACACAACTTATGAGCTGGACAACTCTAGCAGCGCAGCAGGCGAAGAGCAAGAACCTACGTCGTCTTTATCGACACCGAGGGCCTCCATCTACCATGATTTCGGCGGCCAGCACGAGGATGGACCCGGCACTGTACTAGACGACGAACCATCCGTCTGGCCGTCAGCCTTGAATGTCCCGGAAAACGACGCGGAAAGGCCTACCGTGAATATTTCTCTCGAAAACTCCATCTCGTCTGATTCTGCAAGTGATGATTCCGGAGCTCAGCCCACAGATGATCTCGCCCAATCGCAATTGTTTAGTCACGAGGAGGCAGAGAGCATGTACATGAGCGCCTTTTCAAACGGAGAATATCAACAGTCGAGGAGTGACTCGATGCCAGGTGCATGGGATTCAAATCTGTCGAGTCCTGAGGGCTCACCAGGATCCAAGGGCGACAAACCACTACGGCCGGGTGAAAACCTGTCCCACGAGGAAGAAGAGATTAGGCAGCAAGACCCAATCTTGGCCGAAAGTAAGGAGCCGTCAACACCGATTCATTCATCGTCGCCGCAAGGAGGAGAAACCCAGGCCAAGAAGGATCCGCACGTGGCACAAGATGCAGCCGCAGAGCCTATCAATGCTGCCATGGCAGACGAGACTGAGACCCAAGGGCCGAACAACATTCTAAGAGAGATCTTCTCTCTTGCATCGATCTCCGTATATTTGCCGATCAAACATAAGCACATCCAAGTGTCAAGTGCTGATGAGACGTCACAATTGGCCAACTCAACCTTTCAAAATGTTCCAGGGGCTTTCTCCGTCTATTCTACGACTACAGGCCCCACATCGTTCCACGTTGAATCTGAGCCAGAAGCCACGAAGGTAGAGGATGAGGATGATGATGGATCGATTGAAATTGACATATCGCCTCTTGAGCTACGTTTCGACACTTCCGTCGGCTTTCTTCTAGCAATGCTGGCACGTCGGCTCCTAGACACGTTCAAAACATCGCAGAAGCCCTCTGAAACTACAATCGATACATTCACCAGAGCCAATGACTCGTCGAGACCGGAAATCAAGCTGTCGATGCAAAAGATATCTATTCTCTTTGTCGAGAAGATATTTGGCGGTTATGTCACGGCAACGACGACGCCAAGCCCAGAGGTGCCGGCCTTCGAGGCCGAGACGCTACTGAGAACTGACCTGGACCATCTGCAAGCAACCTTGTCTCAAAAGGACTCCGTGGATGACACCTTGATCAGTGTTGAGAAGGTCCGTTTTGGGTATCAAGATAGCGATATACTGTCTTTCGACCAAGAAGCACAGATGCGAGCCTCAGTCAGAGACGTGTTTCCGGAAGCCGGAGCCGATGTGTCGGTCAAGATATCAACATCCAAGGAAAGCAATCGGTTTGAGATAAATACGCTGCCGCTCCGCGTTCATGTGGACTTACAGCGGTTGGACGAGACTTTCACTTGGTTTGGTGGGCTCAGTGGCTTCCTTCAGATGAGCTCTTCAATGACCTCAAGTGGCTCACCTGGAAAACCCAAGACCAAGTCTGGCAAGCCAAGAGGGGTACGGTTTGACATTCCATCCACTCCAGAGAGTTCGGCAGCGGTGTCCGAAAGCAAAATCGATGTACGAATCGGTGGCTTGCAAGTCGACTTGGACGGTAAGAAGTGTGGCATTCGTGTTCGGACTACAGCCGTCAAGATGGTGAGCCGGGATGGCATCATTGGAGTTGGAATAAGCAAAATTCATGCATCCGGGCCGTATGCAGAACGATTCCATGGTGGACCGCCCGTCATGATCACCCTGTCGAACACGCGTATCGACTATCTTCTTGCCCCCCGAGAAAATGACTTGGATCGACTTCTCTCTCTGATTACCCCCTCGAAAGGCCAGTTTGATGATAATGAGGATGAGATCATGGTAGACACGCTATTAAGGCAGCGAAGGAAAGGCTCTGTTCTGAAGTTGACCTTGGACGACGTGCAGGCACAGGTCACAAGATTGCAGCAGCTTGACTCTATCCCTTCTCTGGGAGAGGAGCTCGCTCGTCTTGGAACCGTGGCCAAATATCTTCCCGAGGACGACCGGCCTGGGTTACTGACACTTGGTCTCATCCATAACGTGGATGCTTCGGTGGATGTTGGCGGTAGATTCGGTAAGGTGAATGCGCACCTGGCCGATCTTGAGCTGGCCCATATTGCCTTTCCTTCGCTGGCTGCTTTCGGAGTCAACACCATCAAAGTCGACAGAAACAGTATTGAGGAGCTTGTTGGTTCTACTATCGACATGAGGACCGGACTTCTTGCGCAATCACCCGTTCTTATGGTACGGGTGATAGGCGATGAAATGGAGCCTGCCATCAAGGTCAGGATGCGGAACATCAATTTCGAGTATCGCGTTCCCACGATCATGGACGCACTGGGCCTGTCCTCGGAAACCACACCTCAGGAATTCGACGCAATGTTGGCGGCCTCTGTGGCCAATCTTGGAGAACAGGCGCATACCGCATTGGTTGGAAACCCACCATCGCCATCGCCACGCTCGCCGCAGGGCGGATCCACGAAGCCGACGATTGTCAATGTGGCTTTTCGTGACTGCCTGCTAGGATTGAACCCCTTGGCGCTGACATCCAAGCTGAATGTGGTTCTTCAGGATGCCCACGTGGGGGTTGTTTTGCCGGCGGGCGACGACGTGAATGCCGTTGCGAATCTGAAGAAGGCGGCTATTCTCCTCGTCGATGATGTCTCCTTACTCGAATCTACGCAGAGAGCAGGGCCGTCCAGACACCGCGGATCAGATGTCCAAAGACAGACGGACATGGTGTCTACATTGTGCTCTAAAGGCTATGTGAATATTTGCCAGATCTCTTCGGCAAGGGCTACAGTCGAAGCCACGGCAGAGCCCACTGGAGAGATGCATATCGACGTTGAGCTCCGAGATGACCTACTGGTGCTCGAGACTTGCGCAGACTCTACCCATACCTTGCTTGCACTTACGGGTGCCTTGAAGCCGCCGACTCCGCCGAGCAGGGAAGTGAAGTTCAAGACCGAAATTATTCCCGTGCAAGACATGTTGGCATCTATCACGGCCGATGCTTTCGGCAGGGCGGAAGGCGACTACAATTTCGACGACGACTTCGCCATTGCTCAGGAGCTAGGTGGTGGTGACGACATGTCAGATGGAGAAATAGTAGGATCGAGTCCTTTGGACATCGAGCCGAAGTACTTCGCCAGCCAACCCGCTGTTGCTGAAAGCATCTTCGACGCCACGTCTTCGTCCTTGGTATCTGGCCCTACAGTCACTCAGGACATGGCAGGGGATACAATTCCCTCACAGCCTGACTCACTTGCGCCTAGCGAAGATTTTGGTTCGAATTCGGAGATCGAGATCGATGAAAATTACTTTGGGCAAGACCCGACCGTACCTGGAGATGCTCATCACTGGAATTCAGCCAAGAATAGGTACGACGAAGTGAAGAAAGCCAGGGTGCCCAAGAGTCCGCTGAATGTCAGGGTCCGAGATGTGCACGTGATATGGAATCTCTTTGATGGCTATGACTGGCAACACACCCGCGAGGCCATCACGAAGACGGTGGAAGAAGTGGAAACAAAGGCATACGAACGCCGCTCTCGAGCTGGTCGAAGGTCCCTGGACGAAGCGGACTTCGACGACCAGGACGTTGTCGGGGATTGCCTGTTCAATTCCATCTACGTTAGCATTCCGGCGAACCACGATCCTCGTGAGCTAGTTGGAGGTATCAACCACCAATTAGACGACGCGGAGTCGATAGCATCCACCTCGGTCACCACGACCACAACCCGAACGGTTCCTGGCCAGTTTCGGTCCAGGGCTAAGAAGCTACGCCTCAATAGGAGCAGACGCCACAAGATCACGTTTGAGTTGCAGGGTGTTAACGTGGACCTCGTCAAATTACCACCAGGCTCGGGCGAGACAGACACCTCCATTGATGTTCGTGTCCAGAACCTGGTTGTTTTTGATCACGTCCCGACCTCCACCTGGAAGAAGTTTGCCGCGTACGACTTGGACGCTGGCGAGCGCGAGCTGGGCGCAAATATGGTGCACCTCGAGATTCTTCTTGTCAAACCGGTTCCCGAACTAGCGGCTGTCGAATTTGTTCTCAGAGCCAACGTCCTCCCACTCCGCCTGCATGTCGACCAGGATGCGCTTGAATTCATCGAGCGTTTCTTCCAGTTTAAGGATGAATCACAGATGCCATCTGACCCGTCTCCGAGTGACGAAGCATTTATCCAACGCGCCGAGATCAATGCCATACCCGTCACACTAGATTTCAAGCCCAAGAGGGTGGATTACGCGGGTCTGCGGGGCGGGCGAACTTCGGAATTCATGAATTTCGTGATTCTGGAAAGGGCCCGTATGACGCTGCGACACACCATTGTCTACGGCACTACGGGATGGGAGCGGCTGGGCAATACGCTCAATGACATATGGACGCCAGACGTGAAGCGCACGCAACTCGCTGGCGTGCTAGCTGGTGTTGCCCCAGTTCGCCACCTGGTCAATGTGGGCAGCGGCTTCCGTGATCTTATCGAAATCCCCATCAGGGAGTACAAGAAGGATGGGCGTATCGTCCGCAGCATCGGCAAGGGCGCGGCGGCTTTTGCTCGCACGACGGGGACCGAAATTGTCAAGTTGGGCGCCAAGGTGGCGGTCGGCACCCAGTATGTACTCCAAGGCGCGGAGGACATGCTGACCAAGCCTTCGGGTGAAGGCAGCTCGAGTGCTGGCGAGACAGCGTCACTCCAGACAGGATGGGAGGAAGAGGACATGGAACCAGAGGAGAAGAAACAGATCTCCCTTTACGCGGACCAGCCCACGGGTGTCGTCCAAGGCCTACGGCACGCCTACAGCAGTCTTGCTCGGGACCTTAATGTGGCCAGGGATGCCGTCATCGCTGTCCCCGGCGAGGTGCTTGAGAGGGGGGCGGCGAGGACCGTTATGAGCAGAGCGCCGACCATCATCTTCCGCCCAGCCATCGGAGCAACTCGAGCGGTTGGGCAGGCGCTCATGGGGGCAACCAATGCTTTGGACCCGGAGAACCTTAGGAGGGCAGAAGACGTATGTGCCATTCTCTTGCTGATCTTCGAGGTAACATGTGCTAACAGCTTCACAGAAATACAAGCCCGGGCCCGGGAGATAGTGGAGACCGAGGTCTCAAGGTATGTTTATGAGAAACGTATAACGTGAACAAATACGGCGCGGCGTCAAGAAGACATGCTCTCAATCAAGGCAATTCGGCGGCCTCCAGATCGTGTCACATCTTGTGGAAGAATCACCCGGCACGGCACAGAGTGAATCGGGGCCCCCCTCTCACTCAATCCTTGGTTTCCGCTTTCTTTAGTTCAGATATCCCCATTGATATTTTCTTCGTTTTACGTTCTGCGCATGGAGCAAGGAGCAGGGGGCAAGCAATTGCATAGGATGGGCGTTGGAATATAGACTCAGACTGTCAGATCGATCATTGCACGGAGTCACGGCCACGAGGTTCTGGGACCCTTTTTCGTCCTTTCTCTTGCCTCGTCCACGGACACTGTACGTAGCATATCACTAGCTGCTGCATACTCTTGCTGAGTAAACGGAAAGAATATGGACGTCGATGTAGACAAAAATCGCTCGGGCATGTCCGCATCACAAGCCTTTTCCCCTTTATGGCTCTCGTCTCCCCGCGCACTGATCTGTGGCTGCCGAGGGAGAAAAGTAAAACGCTTAGAAGCCATCGTCCTTGACCCCACTGCTCTTCTCACCCGCCTTCCTCTCCTTGTTGACATCAGCCCACCAGCGGTGCGTCTCGTCCTTGCTGGTGCTGTTGCCGTCGGCGTCCAGCTCGTCCCAGGGGTTTGGGGTGAGTATGTAATGGATGTTCTTGACCTTGTCGTCACGCCAGATGGGCTTGTGCACCCCCTCCCACCGCAGGGTCTTGAGGGCGTTGTAGATGTAGGGCAGGGCGACCCAGCGGCCCCGGTACAGCTCGCTGAGCAGGCTCTGGTCGGCGAAGTCGAGGTCCCCCGCGTGGCCGTCCATGTAGTCGACGATCTGCCGGAACACCTCGGCGCTGGGGTTGACGACCTGCAGGCCGCCGTTCATGTAGCCCAGCGGGCTCACGGCCGGGTCGGCGCCCTCTGCCTGCGCGGTCTCCGCGTCCGCGTGCTGAGAGGTGAAGGCGCAGTTCTCGGGCACCCAGTCCTTGGGGTAGTGGGCCTTGCGCAGCGGGTTGCAGACGCAGGCGTGTCCCGCGGCGAAGACGCGCTTCGAGTCCGGCCCCCCCGCGGCGGCGGCGGCGCCGTCGTCCAGGGCCATGGCCATGAGCTCGTCCATGTTCTGCAGGACCAGCATGTCGCTGTCGAGCTGGACGACGCGGTCGTACTGGGTCAGGCCGAAGGGGGTCAGCTTGCTCCAGCAGTCGTAGAAGCGCGGGTCGTTGCTGTAGTCGCGGGTCGACTTGGTGGGCAGCAGGTACTTGATCTTCTGGTGGGGGATGCCGCGGGCGTCCAGGGCGGCGAGTCCCTCGGCCGGGAAGGTATCGGTGTAGAGGGCCACCAGCGGGTACGCAGACTTGTGCTTCTTGAGCGAGTAGTCCAGGGTGAGGAGGCCCGAGAGGTAGTCTGTGTTGGTGATGAGGGTGGTCCAGACTGGGGTTTCATGGTGAGCGCGGGTCCTGGACTAGAGGGCATCTTATCTACGTGAGGACGGGCCTACCTCTACTGGAGTCTACTGCTCTTTTACCGTCTGCCATCTTGATCTCTGAAGGGGTTTGATGAGGTGAGTTGTGAGTTATGAGTGATCCGGCTAGGGAGAAGGGGAAGGGCGGTGGTGGATGATTAGAAATGCTAGGCGACGCGGCCCGGGAGACGTTGATGGCGAGAATGGGTATCAGACTGAAGACACAGGATGTTCAGGTGGACGCTGACTATTGTATAAAACCTGGAACAGTGACTTTATTCTGGGATTGCGAGGTATATATACGCGCAAGCCTCACCGTTGACAACACGTGGGTAAGGCGGTGATTGACTCGCCGCATTGCGAGGCAGAAATGGTGCGGCCAAGATAGTGCTACATTTACACACCAAGCAGGCTAAGGGCTGTTGAGTCTAGTCCACGGCCGGCTGGGGGCTGGGGGGTTGGCAGAAACATGGCATCCTTCTATTCAAGACCGAATAGATGACGCTATCAGTCCGTGAAACCGCGTGGATCCATCGGACGCGAAGGGAACACTGGGCGGTGATAGAGCGCCAGCCCGTGCTATCGACGTCTGAGGCTTATCACTCCGGATTTTGATCCCCATGCGACGAGGCTAGGATGTCGTCGTGGTGATATTCATGATGGTGTTGCTGGAATGGCAGCAACTTGGCCAGAGCAGATCATAGTAGATGAGATCTTGTTAGATCTGCACCAAACTGCTATGCACTTGCGGTTGCACCTTGACCCAATTTCTCAGAGACAAGGGACGCGAATCTGCTTGGTGACCCTCTCCGAAAGTGGATTCCGCGGCTGAGGCACCAAGGGTCCTCGATGTCGTCCCGCAGGCCCCCACACGCTCCGGTTCACGTACCCTATTTGTGCTTGGGATATATTGGTGATGAAATGAGACGCGAACCAGCTGTCTTGGCTCCAGCATCCTATGGCCAGGGCAGACGAGGGTGGAAGTTAGGAGACTCCCATTTGTAGAGACGGACTGCAATGGAAATTCTAACCGCAGACTGCAATCCTCGGTCGCATGGAGGGGTCGAATGCAGGGCGGTAGGATGGTGGGGTCCAATTGAAGCTGTCTTATCTTATCGGGCACTCGTCTCGATGACTAAGCAAAGCGAGCTCACCCCTGGCCTGTTGCCAGTTCCAGTTCCAATTCCACGTTTGAGAGCTCCAGCTCAATGACCGCGACCAAGACTCCGGCTACGAAGTCCACCCAGATGCCTCTCGTCGACCCCGTCACCATGTCTCCAACCGCCACAAAGACAGCAAAGGCCCAATCAGTCTCGGGGAAGCCCAATGAACCCCCACAACTGCACCCCGTCCACCTCAACTCGACCGCCGCCTCCCAAGCCGCCCGCCATGTCTTGCCCGTCGCAGTAGCGAGCCTCTTCCTCGCGAGCTTCAAATACCTCGTCGCCGACCCCGTGCCGACAATGACGGCATCGCTGCCCGTAGTGGCCCTATTTCAGGTCCTCTACGCATTCCTGTGCCTCCCGGCAGCCGGGTCCGGCTCGCCCAAGAACAGGAAGCACAAGCCCGGCGAGAAGAAGAAGGCCGGCGACGGGGCCGGTCCCAGCTTTATCATTGTACGCAGCCACGTCCACACCATCAATCGCTTCTCAAGCCAAGTCTGGCCGTACTGACATGCCCCTCTCTAGGCTGCCCTCCTCTCCCTCCTGCTCTCGCTGATCCTGGCGCCGCTCCTCCACGTCACCATGATCCTCTTCGGGGCGCCCCTGCTCACCCACGTCTCCCACACCTTCCTCTGCGCTGCCCACCTGTCCCTGCTCACCGCGTTCCCGCTTTTCTACTCCCACGGCGTCGACGCAAGCACTTGGGCTGCCGTTGCTGGGTTCAGGGCCCCGTTCGATGAGACGTTTGGCGGGCTGCTGGGCGGCTTCCTCGGCGCCTGGCTGGGCGCCGTGCCCATCCCCCTGGACTGGGACCGCGAGTGGCAGAAGTGGCCTGTGACCATCCTGGCTGGCATCTATACCGGATACGTGCTTGGACGCGTGCTGGGCGGCACCGTGCTCTTTGGGAAGCGATTTTGAGCGTTGGGCCGTTACCCCAAATGAGTGGTTCCGTCACCGGGTTTATGAGCGTTTTTTGCCTTGCCGGTCATCTGTTTGATGCTTGGCTATGTAGGTTGGTGTGTACGATACTGTGTCTTGATAGCTTGGCGGAGAGCAGTGGAATGATACCCTCTAGAATGTATAACACAATATGACACGCCCAGCCAGACTGAACTCGATGGGACAAACTTGCATGTATGCTCTCCAGCTGTCAAAATTCCCACACTTCCATCCACTCCCTGCCATGGGATTGTGCAGCTCCGTCTGTATTACTGGCTACGGCCATGATGAAGGCCTAAAGAGCTTGATTGTCCTTGTCATCCTACTGGTAAGTACCCAGATATCGGACCCCGACCTGGATAGGTCAATTATCCGCGGGAGCAACCATGATCAACTGGCTCGAGCGTGTGACAGCGGAAGACAGGCACAGAGATCGCCCAAATATGGGGTTTTGTCATTCGCAAAATAACAGAATAATTAGACTAAACCTTGTGCTGAAAACTGATACCTCTCAAATACTAGGGGTCTGTTCTCCCCTTGAAGAGAGTCCAAACAGAGTCTGTGATAACCACTGAGGCTCGAAAGATCGCTACTAGTAACTTCTCGAAGACCGGTTGAACAGACTCCTTAGACCCTGTCGTTGCTTCCTCTCTATAGCTTCCTTCTCGAGTCTCTGCCGGATTTCCAGCTCGACTTTGGCCAATGCAGATGCATGCTTCTTCTCTCTTTCCTCATCCGCTTTACGCTCCTCCTCTACTTGTTTCCGTGCCGCTTGCTCGGCTGCCATTTTTGCAAACATGATTTCCTCTCTCTCTTCTGCCGCCTCCTGGTGCCATGCATTCACCCGGTTATTGTAAGCCGCTTCCGCTTGTTGTCTGACGGACTTTTCGAACTCCTCGCGCTCCTTGGACATTTGCATCTGCTGCTTCTCCAGCTTCAGCTCTGCCAATTCTGACTTCAATGCCTCCAATTCCGGGTCCGGAGAGTTTGTCGGCACAGATTGTTTGCCCAGAACGGCTGCATGAGCGAACGCCGCGGCAGTTGTGAGAGGCCTCATTTTGGCTCTGAAGCGAAGGATCATGTGGTGAAACACTGCAAAATTGACTGACCTGTCACTGATTCTTCAGAAGATCTCACGCCGTTTTATCTCTGATCCGTGGGATTCATGATCGGTGTTTCCCATGGGTCCCTCCTCCGTAGTTGTTGCCGGGCGCCTCGGACAGGAACTTAAATATGCGCTGCGGCCACAGGCGCTGTTCACATGTAGCGGCGGGGCCGTCTGCGGGACACTTCCCAGCCATCCATGGCTGAAGACGAAGCTATGGGCGGACCTGAGCAGCGGACGTGGGACAGAGCCACGTGAGTGACCGTGTGGCTACGAGACATGTTCTAGAGAAGAGACTGCCGGCTCAGCTTTGATGCACACCTCGACCTTGAGGGCCGGCTCGACAATAGAAACATACGATGACAACCCTCTCGAGCTCACATTGTTGGCTTGGAAGGTGGCACGAAATGTAAGACGGTTTCTGCGCAAGAGGCCGCCAAGCAGCGCGACGGGCGCCTGCTCGGAGTCGGGTTAGCCAAGGAACAGGCTAATTGTGGTTCAATGTATTCGGCTTTCTCATTTTCCTTGTGTCATCAAGACACTGTTTAACACGTCATCTGGCACTGGTTCTCACGATGAAGGATCAATCTGACTGCTCATGTTCGGTTGCCCACTTCAGGCCTCGCCAGGATGGCCAATAGACGTGCCAATCTGGTGGGTTCTCAATAAGCAAGACTTCACCGGGAGTAGGATGGAAGAAGGGGGGGGGGGGATTTTGTCGCCATGGCTCGCGTGTATTTAAAGCTCAGCTTCACCCTTCGAGTTGCTGTTATCATTGAGTAAAAGAAACAAGATTCTCAGCTTTCGAGTACATCCCTCTCACTGTTGCGGCATTATCAGGCAAAGCGTTTATTTACAAGCTTTCAGACACTTCCTTGGTCAACTTTTTATAGGCTTCTGCGATATCGCTATGAAGACTGCTAAGGTTCTTGCATGCTTAACTGGTGTGGCCCAAGTGGTAATTAAGACAGTCCTCTTTTAAACTCACTATACCGAGATTGAAGATACTAGGCTGACTACTCTATCCCTTTTAAACCTGTCAGGTCCAAAGCCTTAAGGCGCCTATTGAGGGCTACGAGGTAGCTAACTTCGAATGGGAAGTTCAGACCGGACCTAACGCGGCTTTCCACCATATCAATGGTACGGTGCAGGATGTTGTCCAGTATCTTAAAGAGGTGGATCCTACGTACGAACTACCGGAAATCCCTATCCAAGAGCTAGGGCATCGCCAGAGCACGGTCAAGCCGCGCCAGGTAAGTATTGACTGCCATTGGGACTGGCCTACCGCGTTCGCGGGCCGCATCGATCAAGGTGTCGATTACTTGAAATCTCTTTCCGGGACGCCAACGAATGGACCCGGGCCGGGCGCCTGCGGTAGAGTCAGCTGCTCTTACAATTCAGCCATATGGTGGTGCAACGATGTGAGTGTCCTCTGCGTTTGGAGCCAAGCACAGGCTTACAGTCTTGGTACATGCAGAACTCGGTCGCCTACACTCTCCCCAGCTACAAAAATATCGCCGATGGTGCCCACAATGTCAGACAGAAATGCCACTCGACAGACTCGGAGGCAAACACGATATCCGCTGGACAGGGGTGGTTCGATGGTAACTGGAATGTGATTGTTCGGGGGGCCTCGTGTTGAAGGTGCTGAGGTGATACTCGATTACCCAACCAGCCGTCTCAATATAGTCGAGACCTTTTCTTATATCTTGATTTCTTATATCCTGGAGGAAGCATGAAAGCCGGTGTGGCTGGAACCTATGGGAATATTCTGGGCAGAATTTGGATTTGGCCAAATCCAGATCAACAGACCACTATGCGCTTGAATTTCAACAATTCAAGTATGAGCCTGAACAATTACACGAAGATTGGAGCACTCCTATTGAAACGAATTGAGCTCAAAAGTAAACTCATTTATTTTGGCAGCCAGAGACCTAATTGCCTTAGTCATTCTCACCCATTGAATGCAGTGTTTTAAGTACCGGCCAGACTGGGAGCAGGTAAGCGGTTCAAAATTGGGAGGGGAAGTTGGACCGTTTATTCTTTTAAGCGGTTTAAAATCTTTAAGCGGTTTAAACCTACTTAAGTAGTTTAAAGGAAGGAGTAATTAGCAAAGAATAAAAGGGCTTTTTAGTTAAAGGACCTTTAGCATTAATTATACCTAAAAAAGAATTAAATTTTAAATTCTTTCTTTAGCGGTTCTTTTTAAAGATTATCTTTAAAATTGCTTTCCTTTTCCTTTCTTTTCCTTTCCTTTTTTCTGCCTTATAAGGTAAATTAATAATGCTTTATATAAAAGAAGTAACTTCCTTTTTTTACTTAAGTAAATAGGTATAAATTATATTAACCTTGCTTATGTATAGCTAAATTATTAATTAAGGTTTAAATTGCTTAAGATTTTAAACTACTTAGAGATTTTAAACCGCTTAAAAGCATAAACGGTCCAACTTCCCCTTTCAAATGCCAGCGGTTAACTGCCTATTAAACGGTTCAAGCACGGTTCACGACTTCCCCACATCCCCGCGAGCCCCGGGGGGGGGGGACCGCCTCGTACTTGTACAGATCAGAAGAAAATTCAAGCATGCATTTCTTAGTGTCCAGAAATGAGACGGCATGTCCCATTATTTCCGCGGCAATGAACCGGTACTTACACAATAATAAAGGTCTCAAATGTGAATCTTTTTCTTCATCCCTCGCCCGACTATCTCACGCCTTTGATAAGGTGGCTCCGGTACGAGCGGCTTCCAAGTTGCTGCAAGCCATAAAAAAGACAGGTGCATCTGAGTCTGGATCGTCGTACGTCGCAAATAACTCCCGAATCAAGGGACTGGAGGGCGTTTCTGAGCGCCACTGTCGAGGCACAATCGCACACTCGAACATGATAACAGGTACTGTGTTGATGATCGGTTGCAACGTCAATACTCGGGCCGTCGAAGTGGCGATACATGAAGATTTAGTAGCTCATCGTCTCGGGCCGGCGCCATGGATCTTGATAGACACCTCCGAAATTGAAAAGTGCGAAATAGACCGACTAACAAGCTAATTCATCGTGGATTCTTTAATCACTCTCGAAGAACGCTTCAGCCCTCGGAGACGACAAGGTCATAAGAACAGAAGAGCACGATGGCACCAGCTGAAATCACAATAGCCATCATCGGCTGTGGTGAGGAGTTCCTTCCCAAAACAACGAATGCGGTATGTTAATATGGTTCCAGGAAATCTCGGGACCGCTCTAGCATCATATATGCTTCGGGCTGTCAAAGACGTTGAGAAGCCGGATGTGTCCACAAGGCGCCTCTTCGTCACCACCACCAGCAGCGACACCTCGCGGCGTCGGGTCCAAGATGTGCTTTCTAACTATTCATCTCGAGTGGAAAATCCTTTTCAGCAAGAAAACGTCCGTGCAATGACCGAGGCGGATGTAGTGATCATAGCCGTAAAGCCAGTCAAGCGGGCAGAGCTTTTCGGGGCGCCAGGCGCGAGGGAAGCTCTAGTACGCGGCAAGCTCGTCATCAGCATCATGGCCGGGGTCTCGCTCAAGGATATGAGCCGTCTGCTCCTCGGGCCCAACCCCAGCGCAGCAGACAGCGCGTCTCTGCAGATTGTGCGAGCAATGCCTAACATGGCCGCCAAAATTGGACGATCTGTCACGCTGTACACGGCAAACATGGAGACCTTGACCCCGAACAAATTGGAGCTTACGTCTTGGATATTCAACCAGGTGGGGACCGCACAGATCAGCCCTGAAAGCACATTTGACGTCTCAGCCGTGCTTGTCGGATGTGCTGGCTCTCTGTTGCTGCTGGCCATTGACGGGTTGTTGGATGCTGCTGTCGCCGAGGGCGTCAAGCGATCGGAGGCGCAGAAAATTGTGGTCGACAGCGCTATTGGAATGATATCACTTACCACTGCGGGCTCCCATCCAAGTGTACTGCGGGAAGAGATTGCTTCCCCTGGTGGTTGCTCCACCAGGGCATTGCTAGAGCTGGAGAGGCTGGGGGCGAGGTCGGCGTTTACGACTGCGATCCTAGCAGCAGCAGAGCGCTCCAAAGCCATCTCTGAATCGAGGTAGCCATTGTGTATCTAGTTTTACATAACCATCATTGAGTCCGTTGCACTCATCCCTCTCTGGGATACTCCCAAGTGCGTTTACTCAGGCTTCTGGGCTCAACTGGCTGATGCATGAGCAGCTGCCTCAGAGAGAAAGGTCATGGGCAGCTCCCATCTAAGCGTACGGCTGTAAGTATCAATTACGGCGAAGCGAATCCGACTTCTTGTAAAAAAGCAGAGGTAGCACCAGGGGGAATGAAGGAGTGCTAAATTGATTCAATGTGTAGCTACTGTTGCCGGATGTGTCTTTAACTATAACAATCTTGGTATGAGCTAAAGAATTGAAAACTGACGGTTCTAATCCTCCCACTCATGAATAGAATTAGATAGTGACGTTGGTAGATAATCCGAAAGGAGACAAACCCTTGCACGCAACGAAGGCGACAGAAAATCAAATTAAACCTGAGAGAATGAAATGGGAGAGATACGCTGCTCATTCAGCAAGTCGAGCCAAACCTCGCACGCGTCACTGACACCTTGCCACTTCTCTGCGACAGCGCTCGCATCCTGCTTAGTGAATGGGATCGGCGCGGTGAAGTCCAGCGAGTGGGCGAGCTGGTCGCAAGTGTCGTCCATGTCGCTGATTATATCGGATAGCTCTACGATACCCTCGACCAGCTTCTGCAGTGGCTTCTGCAAAGTCTCCATGGCAGCTACGGTGCGCTCCATGACCGATATGGCAACCTCGACGAGCGCAACGAGCATGGCGAGCTCAGGCAGGCTCAGCTTGTCCAACAGGCGCTTGCCTAGCTCGGTGGCCTCGAGCTTGTCTTTGCCAGAGCGCAACAGACCCCCCGAGGGTCTTCCAGGTCTTCTGCGCAGCATCAACACGCTGCTTGACATCGGGCTTCTTGGTGTCAGTGTCAGCGTCTTTTGCCGCAGTAGTGGTGTCGAATCCCTCCTCGGGTTCCCCATTGTGGCCTGCAGCAGCATCTTCATGGCCATCAGGATTCTCATTCTCATTCTTGGTGTCTTCTCGATTGGAAATCTCCTTGTTTCCATCAATCTCCTCGCCCGTCGTCTCGCCGCCATTTCCTCTGGTACCGCCGAACAGGACTCCTCCTGCGGAGATGACCGAGGCAACAGACGCGAGTGGGACCCCAACATAAGCAGCAGCAGCAGCAGCCGCAACCAGGCCACCTGTAGCAAAGGCTGTAAGAGCTCCCTGAATAATGATGCCATTGATCTTGTCGCGATAATCCTGGTCTCGGCGCGCCTTGTCCAGATTGGCCACGGTAATGGCAGTCCTGAGCTCAGCGACGTTGCGTCTGGTCAGCGCAATTCTCTCTCTGAAGTTGTTTGCCATGTAGGCATATGTCTTCTTCGTCTGCGCCGCATTTTTCTTCGCCGTTTCAATGGCGGAGAAGGTGTGTTTCAGGAAAATATGCATCGGAATTGCACCTGACGCTGCATTCTTGGACCGTGCCTCCTGGATCAGCGCGAGGGTGTACAGCTGTTGCACCGTGTTGTATTGAGTAGCTGCCATCTGGATGTATGTCGTGCGGATGTTGTCGACCATATCAAAAACAGTTGTCTTGTTCTTGGTCTCAGGATCCAAATAGGCCACAATGTCCTCAGAGTAGTTCAACTCGCGAAGCTTTTGAATCTCGCTCCACACGATTCTCGAGTTGGCGACCTGGCTTTGCAACTCAGGCATCAGTTTCATACTAGGGGTGACAGCCTGCAGCAGGGCCGAGTCAGCTCTCTTGGAAGAGACCGCAAGGTCAAAATCAGCTGCTAAAGTCTCTTGCGCGCTGCCGATGAGTGCCTTGCATTCCTCTGCGTCGCGGCGGACCTTGCTCCACTCTGTGGCCGTGACTTGCTTCCAAAGTTTTGGGTCGACCTCAAGTTCGTACTTGATCTGCAGCTTGATAGCCGTCATGTCATTGTAGATGGAGCCGAGGGCACGACTAGCCTTCTGGCAGAAGTCCATCCAAGTCTGCGTCTGTCCCATGAACAGCGCCCCAACATTCCTCTGGAATTCCAGATTCACTACTTCCAAGGACAGATCGTTAATCTGACGTTCGCATCTGCTCACTTCTTCGTCGATCTTGGAGCGGTTCACGCCTGTCGCAATGGCTCCGATCAGAGGCCCGGCGACTGGGATGAACCAGACAGGCGTGGGGATGTTGACGCTGTCTAGCAGTGACCTTCTGCTGGCTTCGCTTGCTCTAATATCGTCCCTGCATTTGACGATTCGGCGCTCTAGACTCTGTTGAAGCTCGGTCGCCTCGTGATTGAAGTCTACGAATGCGTTGTTGGCAAGCCGGGCACTGGCCTGGGCCTCTTTGCAATTCTTTCCGGCTTTATCTCGGTATACAGACGCCATCTTCCGGTCTTCATTTGTGGTCGGTAAGTCCGGCATTCTAGCCACCCATTCTTGGCTTATTGTACCGAGCTCAATAGTTTGATCAAGCAGGCTAACAACCTCGGTCCTGGCTTTGACTAGCAATCCGTTGAGTCGATTACTCTGAGGATCCTGCAGTGTGAATGGAAGCGAAGAACTCATGATCGCTATTTTGGACCTGAAAATCTCCGGGATTATGTCAATAAGAGGGACGCCCGTGACCCCCGACACGGAGCTGTCAATTGCGCTGCCTATGAAGGCACTCGCAATGTCCTTGGATGGTCTCTCATCGGTCAAAACATCCTCAAAGTCAAGAAGAGTTGTACCCGAGTTTTGTGAGGTAATGCTGTGCGCATCGATCGTGTATGCGTCCCTCATCTTCAGAGTATAAAGGTCGAAGTCGCCTTCCTTGAGGGCCGCGCAAGCATCAGACACTGCGTTGTTGAAAGGAACCACATTGTAAAAGGTCTGGTCGAACTCCACACTGGCGCTGGCGGCATCAGTAGTACTGACAAGATCTCCAGCCGCGTCTTCCTCTTCGTCATCAGAATCGTCTCGGGGCAGCCGGATACCGCACCCATTCAGCACAGCCAGGTAAACATCGCAAGCCTTCTCCATCTGTCTAGTGACGTCCTTGGCTGCGTCGATAGATGACGGGTCCTCCAAGATGCCGGCGCCAAGCTGTAGAGCAGTCGCCTTGTCCATGCCCTGCAAGCTGACAGCCGAGTTGAACATTTTACCCCAGAATTGACTGAGCTTCCCGTACATATCCTCTAGATCGCTGAAGTTCTTGACCACGAACTCAAGCTCTTCACTGGCTGTGGTGACGTCGCGTAACTGTGCCTCGACCTTGGAGATCTGGTCCGAGATGTCGGCCCAGCGCTTCGCGAAGATGCCCACAGCAACTAGTCCGCCAACGAACAGTCCGCCAGCTGCGATGGCGTACACAGCGCCTACCCCAGTGCATAGTGCCAGTATGGTGAGGCCGAGCCCGACGACGGCAACAGCAATGGAGATCCAGAAGGCAGCCTTGATTTTTGATTCCGCGTCCTTGAGGGCCTTCAGCTGCGCAGTGAGTGCAGTCATCTTGTCCTTCAGCAAGCTCAGCTGCTGGCTGAGCTGCGTCTTAACCGAGGAGAGATCCTGGCCCATGACATTGACTGATTGACCGCCATACTCGCTCTGGGTCTTCAAGAGAGTGGCCCACACCTTCGCATGAGAGACAAACTTCTTCGCGCTGGCGATCTTTAGATTGTTCTTTGTCTCATCGCTGGAAGAGTTCTGAAGTTCCTTGGCTGTTTCCGATAGAGAATTCAAGAAGAACTTGTGCGTTACGGCAAAGGTCTTGATCTTGTTGACAACCGGGTACAGCGCCGTCTGAGTGGTGATGTAGCGGTCCTTCAGGGACTTCGTGAGGGTCTCGAGGTCAAGCATCACGCCTGGTGAGGCGACACCCAGGTTGACGACATTGTCTTGGCGGATCCATCTCGTCCATTTCACTCGTTCCTTCCCTTGGCCATCACCTGGCTCATTGACGGTCTCCACGATTCTTTTTTACAGAAAACCGTCCTTCTGAACGCCAACAGGGCCGATATCAGTGGCTGTAAGCTGCTTGATTGGCTCAACTTGTTGCTTGTCCTTTGCCTCAATGGTGCGTTGATTGAAGTCGGGGTAGAGGTTCCAGGTATAGCCGGCATCATCATAGCCAATGATCTTGCCATTCCAGTAGGCTGCTTTGTGCATTACCAGGCCCTGCTTAGCAGCATCCTTGGAGATATTGTTCATGGAGACGAAGGTATTGTTTGGTCCAAGATCGCTGCCGTCAAGGACCTGCAACGTGCCATCTTGGGTGAGAATGAGAAGATGAAACTTGATCTGGTTTCCTGCAGCAGATAGGAGAGCATAGGGGATGATGCTCCTGAGGTTTCCGTCCGGCAGGCACTTGTCGCCAATCTTCTCCCACTCGTCATGGTAGAGCTTCGGCCAGGCAATGGAAGCTTGGCGGATGTCGTCGCTGGATCTGCCCAGATCACTACGGTGCTTCTTGCGCCAGAGAGTCGTGCCAACGGCCATGATGAAGTCACCCTGGTAGGGAAAGAAGTGGACGGCGACGCTGCTGTTGACGTTCGCTCCTTCAGGAACAGGAGAGAAGATCGACCAGACATCCTTTATACCGACTGCTGTGGACTGAGTCTCGATGTACATGATGTTGTCACCTTTCAGACCCACGATTGGAGTGGTACTGGTAAGTGTCGCATTGTGATATTTGAGGTATGGCTTGGACTACAGTGAGATTGTCAGAATCTGGTCGTGATCCGTTAGATGTGAATAGCTTACCAGAACACTATCAAAGGTGCTTATGATAGGCCCAATCGCCTCGGCCATCTTGTTGAGAGACATAGCTTGGCCACCGAGACCCTCAGGCTTGTCGGACATCCCCTCCTTAAGGACAGTGTCTGGGCTGGGCTGCACATCAGCAGAAGGCAATTCCTGTTCATGAAGTCCATAGGAAGCACTCTTTTGCTGAGTTGGATCGAAGTCGGCCTCTAGACCAGCCGTGTTATTGTCAGTTTCAGAGCTCGCCAGACTCACACTCAGACTCTGAGTGATGCTCTCCAAGGCTCGGATGACCTAAAATTCTCAAATCAGTCCTCAAATCAATTCCTAAAGCCTGAGTCCTCAGGAGGTAACTAACTCGGTTCTTGGCAGCCAAGCTCTTGGCCTGTTCTTTGGGTGAAAGGTTCACGCCATTATCAAGGCTTGTCGATTTCTCAACCTCGACACGTTGTGAGATGGCATGTGTCTGCAAGATGATATCCGAGAGAAGAGACATGATGAATATGACCTAAAGAGAGGTCGTAAACTAGTTGACGATGGATGACTGAAAAGCTTGAGATTTGGGTAAAGTATGTGAATGATGTTTGGCTTACTCAACGTTTTTCCTGGTCAAAGGCCGGTCTGACAACAATATATATACTTATCTGTGGCATTGAGAGCCATCGTATGATTTTGGCATTGGAAACTCTGCGTGGTATACGAGAGTTGACACATGCTTTTGATCCTCAGCTTCGTATAACAACGACCCAAGGTGCTTGTATGTGGCTTGTCGATGGTTCAGCTCTAGATCAATAGTTCAGTTGTGGGTTTGATAGTAGACCCATACATTTTGGTGCTGGTTGATTGTCAGTGATTGAGCGATGCTGGTTTTGCCACGGTGGAGATATTTTGACAATCTTTTCCAAGTGTTGTACTGGTACTTGGAATTTCTTTTGTGATGAGACTATTGATTTCGACAAGCCATAGTCTGACAAGATGACCTTCAAACTCATTAGAAACTTGAAGTTGTATGGCGAGTCACCCAAGATGATGCCATTTTTGGAGCATGCGATAATTCTAAAACGTTCTAGCCACAGATTGCCGGACTTTTCAACGCCCCATAGTCATCACCTGCTTTTTCAGAAGCCATCTTATAACGAGGTGTCTCAAACCATGGCGAATTTACATCGTCAATATCTGACGGTCATCAATTCCAGAAGAACGAGGGCAGAGGGATGAAAGGGATGGGCGGCAAAGCGATCCTGTCTGCTTACCTGGGTGGTTCAGCTAAGCCAAAGCCATACTTTTTCCGTGGGTGGCTCAGCTGAGCCAGAGAAATAAGAGCTTGATTCCGACAAGGGTGCTCAGTTCTGACTAGAAGACCCAATTCCAGCCAGAAGCCAGCAGCCAAGGGCTTGATTACAGCCAGGTGGCTCAATTCTCCACGGGAGATCTCGGGGCACAAGCCGGACGTAGAGGTAGGCGGTCCTTGGCAACGAAGCTGAAGGACGATGTAGATAGCTGGTAGCGAGTCCGAGGAATACTGAGCATGTGAGAGCAAGAGCGAGCATATAGGGTGGCTGGAGGCGGCATGGCTCATCCAGAGGCTGGACGGGACCTATAAAGCCGTCAATGAACCCAACCATGGCCTTCAGTATGCATTAGATACACATCTTCTCGAATCAAGTTGTCATTACGCACACCTTTCAAGAGCCCCCTACTCATCTTCTCACTACTCCGTTCAGTGAAACTCTCACAATGACATACACATCTTCATATATCACCCATGACTTTCTTTGTCTGGAACTGACACCTTCACCAGAGGAGGAACAGCGCGCCATTCAAGTCTCCCTTCAAGAATATCCACTCAATGCACTTGGATCTTCAGGCTTTCTGCCAGTTGAAGCAGCTGCCGTCTCGTCGGCCAAACGAGGCGAGCCTTCCGCTCTTGCCCTGAATATCTCTAAGCGATGGGCTCCTGGTAAAGTCCTCAAGATCAAGTTTTTGGGTGGTGACAAGGCCATCCAGGACAAGGTCAAGCAGTGGGCTCATCAATGGCTTTTGTATGCCAACTTGAGCTTCTCGTGGGTCGGAAAGAATGAGCCCGCAGAGATCCGGATTGATTTCAAGCCCGGCGGCTCAAGTTCTTTTGTGGGAACGTACTGTCTTACCATCAAAGACCAGTCCACTCGCACGATGAACCTGGACATATCTTCCGATTCATCAGAAGAACTCATCCGCCGCAAAGTGCTTCATGAGTTCGGACACGTCCTCGGTTTCGAGCATGAGCACCAGTCTCCCCTTGCCATTTTCCAGTGGAACGAAGAGTACATCTATCGGTCACTGAGAGGTCCACCAAATTTCTGGAATGACAAAGAGATTAAACATAACGTTCTCAATCGGCTCAAATCTACAGAAATTCAGGCGACCCCTTTCGATCCGGATTCCATCATGCTGTACGAATACCCTCCTGAGTGGTTCAAGAACAATGGCGGTCAAGGAACCAAGTACAATACCTATTTGTCCAAGAAGGACAAAGACTGGGCTAGCGTTTGCTACTCCCGCTATTCCAAGGACATTGGACAGTTCAGCACGGTTGAGATTAGGCCCTGGGACCAGCCGGCGTCCAGGCCAGACAAGAAGGATATCGAGTTTGAGCCTGCGTACGCCCAGCCCCCGCAGATCGCGCTCGGCTTGACCTGGCTTGACCTGGACCACCAGAATGAGATCTCAGTCGATGCATCCGCTGAGAGCATCTATGAGGATAGCTTCAAACTCAAAATTTCCTCGGCATCGTCAGCGCGCCTGTATGTGGCAGCTTGCTCCTGGCTTGAGATTTCTAGCTCGGAGGAGGAGGTTTTCACGGGTCAGTTCGATGTCACATCTGCTTGGCAGGATGGGAAAAAGCAAACGGAGACAGAAAAGCCGATCCGGTTTCCTCAAAGGTTTGACAATGAACCACCGGTTGTCGTCTGCTGGTTCAGCGCTTTGGATCTCGGCCAGGACTCCCGCTGGAAGGTCAACACCTACGTCACAGACATCAGCAGGTCCTCGTTCACCATCCACGTGGGCGCGGACCCGGCGACGGACCTTCGCGGCGCTCGCGTGACATGGGTCGCCTTCCGCCGTGGGAAAGAAGGCATGGCTGGAGGTACGTTCTCATCTGGCGACATTGAGGGCCTCAAATCCACCGGAAATGTCGAGTTCGAGGGCAAGTTTGACACCGACCCGCATATCATGATGGCACTGAGCGGGCTCGACTTCGAGAACGGCCACAATCTCCGGTTGCGGCTTAGCAGCTCGCGACTCGAGAAGAGCGGCTTTACTTGGAACCTCGACACTTGGCTGGATTCTGTAATGCACGGGGCTACCGGGTCTTTCATTGCTATTTCGCAGCCGGAAATGAGTCCGTCTTCATGGTGAGAGACGGACATAGAAAGGCGTTGGTTTTCTTTCGTGCCCCCTCAAGAAAAGAAAAGAAAAGAAAATTGGCCTCTGCCACAAATGGAATCCCACAAGTCGGTCAGGAGAATATGTTCACATGAAGAGAGCGAGTTTGGTGGGTTTCTTGAAGGATTAATCGTGTATTCGTTTCAATACTCATGTAATGAAATCAAGTTAATTGTCTTCGGGAAGCGGTTTCATTTCGGGACCCATGACTGTCTCGTGGTTCGGGAAGAATTACCTGGAATGACATACTTGCCTAGTAAATCTTGTCACATAGGAGATAGAAGGTTATCCTATAAAAGGGTATCCCAGAGGAGACTATCCCACAAGACATTATCCTACAGGGGGTTATCCCACATGGGGTTATCCCAGAGGAGGTTATTCCAACAAGATGTTATCCTATAGCTGCTGTCCTGCTTTCTAAAGGTTATGAAGACCGCAAATGATTGGAATGTGTTGGAAAAATTGTCACCTGAGAACCTGGCTTAGGCCAGAGACCAGCAGAGGATCGTACTGTTGTCCCGTCCACGTCAAGCACGCCTGAGACCCTGAAGACCTCCGCCCGGGTCACGAACAGAAAATGGGTTCAAGTCAGCGGCCGCAGTTCTTCCCGCACCTGCTCAGGGTACCCAAGCCGCTCGTAGGCCCGGAAGACGCGCATGAGCCCCTTGATCATGACCGTGTAGAAGACGCTGAGCACGAGGTCGCGCGGCTTGGCCACCGCGGCCTTGACCCTCTTCTTCGTCTTCCCGGACCCGGCCTTTTGCTCCTCCCCCGCGCGGCGCTCGCAGACCTCGAGGTACAGCTTCGGGTCGTCCGTGATGACGCAGTCCACCTTGGCGCCTATGCACCACTCCATCCACGACTTCTTGTTGACGGTCCACGCGTACAGGGGCCGCCCTTCGGCCTGGCAGCGCTCCCTGAACGCCCGCCCGCCAAGGCCGAAGAGGGACTCTTGCCGCATGTTGATAGCTACGTTGGGGATCTTCATGTACTCCCTTGCTAAAACTAGGGAGACGGTAATGTAAGTGATGGCGAAATTTGGCAGATGCTCGTGGCAGAGCCGGAGCTGTTCCGCCTGAGGTGAGGCTGTTAGTACTTGACTTCCACCTGGTTACAATTATGGAGCATGGAGGGATTCCGAAATTTGGACCGAAGGAAAACACGAGGCTGGACGAGCATGGCTCAAAACTACGAAAGCAGGAACTCACCCGCCAGCACCCAAGAATAATCCTCTGCTCCCACTTCCCCCGCGGCACCGAGGCAATAGTAGCCGCGATTCTGGGGATCATTTCCTGAGGCGGATCATCAATCTTGATGTCCAGGAGCATCCAGATCGACTCGTTCCCGGGCTCGGCCAGGAACTCGAGCACGTCGGACAGCCTGCACATGTGCTGGCGGGGCTCCTTGAGCGTCTCCAGCGTGCTGAGGTACTCCCAGTCGCAGTCGCGGACCGCCTTGTCCACGCCGTAGCAGCGCTTGAGATCTTTGTCCTGGTGGCGGGGAGGAGGATATCACGTCAGCAGGGTGGCTTGTGGCATGGACATCGTGTGAGTGGTGGGCGAAGGAGCCAGTCGGCGAGGTCATACATGAGCTATCACCACCACCCCGTCCCTGGACAGGTGGACGTCCGTCTCGATGGCGTGGGCGCCGACCTCGACCGCGCCGCGGAAGGCCCCCATGGTGTTCTCGGGGAAGCTGGCCTTGTAGCCTCGGTGGGCCACGGCCTGCGGGAAACCATGGTTGATTTTCGGCTGGGCTCTCGTCCAGGGCGCTGATGCAGGGAGGTGTGTGTCTTAGCCAACGCACTCCCGGCTTTCTTGGGGGGAAAAGATGAGCAGATCTACCTGGTGGGATTCCCTGTTTGTCGGTGTCAATGTCGGTATCGGTCTCTGTGTCCTGCGCCTTGTCTACCACCCGCTGACGTAGGACTGAGTTTGTGTTCCCTGGTTCACTCATCTTGTTTCTGGGTTGCTATAGTTTCAGGTACAGGGAGCTGTTGCTGGCGTATTAAATCGAGCGGGACTCGGCTGTGAAATAGGTAGCTGATGATATCCGGGCAGGTTGTCATGAGAGGAAGCAAATATGAGCCGTCATCTTGATGGGGTGTTGTCAATTAGTCGTGCGGCTTATGCATGCAAGTCCTTAAGTAATAATGATATGTGTCGGTCCTGCTCCGACTCGACGATGACCGGTGGACTTGTGGGTTCCTGGACCGGGCCCGCTCTCTATCAAGGCAGGCGTTGCGAGACACGACAATTAGCAGCAAGGCACAGCCGAGTGGGAAACATGTGCGTTGTTGCGGACCCGCTGAGGCTGAAGAAGGTACAGTGCGTCTTTTTACCTGGCGAGAGAGACGTGCATGTCCGTGACTGTTGGACGCCGTAGCTGACATGCCGACGTCCTTTGACCCGGAATGGCCGGCGGCAGCTGCTGGTCGGAGTTAACTGGCGGTAAGACCGTCAGCCCTCCGACCCGCATGTACCACATGCGGCAAATGCATGTGGGAAACCCGCCCTTCGTGGTGTGAGCCAGGTACTTTGGTGCTCCAACTGCAGCGGGCACTACGCCTGGCGCCTCACGCGTGCTTGATTGCACCCCACACAGACGTAATCGTGCATTTTCGTAACGATGCCTCGATACCTCCAAAAGCATGCAGCGGTTATGTACCTAAGTAATATCAAAAGAGTTCTGCACGGGCGACGATCCGAGTATAGTACTGAGAGAAACAAGTATCATCCCAACCTGTGGTGAAATCGCTTGACCTTTCCCTATCCAGGGCCCAACCCAAAAAAAGCAACCCCTGACTGTAGGTAGAGCCAGGTCCGTCAACACAGTCCGTTCCGAGAGGACCATAGACCTCCTACCCATAATCCTGCACCACAGACTGTACTCCTCTTTGCCGACACGAAAGCCACACCCGAACAAAATGAGAAACAGTAAACTAGACTACTTCGGCGCCGAAACGCACGAATCCAAATCAAATTCCAAAGTTGCCACCCACCGGCATCCCCTCCATCATGAATCCTTCGTCGCCTGCCCCAGGCATCATCGCCCCATGATTGCCCTGGAAATCACGCAAGTCCAGCGATGACAGGTCGTCGCCCCCAGACACAGAACTCAGGCTCTCCTCACTTAGGCTGCCACCCTGCGTGGCGCCACCGAAGTCCCCCAGGTTGAACGTCGAGAGGTCGAGCGAGTCGGGCGACCAGCTGCTCTCCACAGCCGAGTTCACGGGCGTCTCGAGCGACACCTGAGGGCCTCCGTAGATGGCGTCGTAGAGGTTGACCTGCCCGCCGTCAATCTGGCCCAGTAGCGCCTCCCATTCGGACGGCGAGACACCTCCCGCAGCCACTTTCGGCGGGACCTGGATGGGTGCATAGTGTTGTTGAGTCGGGGCACCGCTCGTCGGGACGTGGTGATGATTCTGCGCCGGTGAAGACGAGCCGGGCTGGCTCGCTGCATTGCCTAATGAGAGGAAGTCCAAGTTCGTCTTTTGCCCCGATGACACGCGCGCTATCATGGCGGCCTGCGAGGTGGATAGACGTTGGTCGCGGCGCTGCATGATCGACGCTGGGTTGGGCCTGACACTGTCGAAGGATGTGCGGGAGGCGGAACGATGTAGGTCCGGCCGTCCGGCGCCTGGGACGGGCGTGAGGCTTGGCATTGTCATCCTTCTAAGCTTCTCCTGCTGAGATAACAGGTCGGTTTCGCTCATGCTCGCACCCGAGTGTCGACCGAGTGGGTACTGTTGGGACTGGTGACCATGCGAGGACTTCTTCTTTGACTTCGGGGCTGGCGACGATCTTTGCGGCGGCGGTGCAGCCATACTCGTGTCCGGACTCTGCCTCGGCGGCGTTGGCAGCGAGGTCACTGGCTCATCAAGACTGACCAGCATGCTCGCAATCCGCTTGAAATCATACGTGCTGGGTGCCTTCATCCGCTCGACGATCTTGATGACGGCATTGACAAGCCGCTCGTTATCCTTCAGCATTTTGCTGTCTTGCTTCAGGTCGATACCTTGGTACAACAGTGTCATGCCGCAGATCAATAGCAGGTCGGCCTTGTTGAGGCAGAAAGAAAACGACATGCTCCTCTCTTCAAGCAGCTGCGCAATTTGTATCATATGCTTTGCTGATTCGCTCACAGATAACCGAGCGGGTGCTGCCTTGTGGCCAAGGCTGGAGCCAATAGCCGGCCTGTAGATAAGTGTGCGGATGTAATAGTATGTGAGAGACTGGTCGAAGTCAGCATCATCAAAGTCAACTACCTGGATTAAGTGGAATACATACCAACAAGGGTGACCTGCTGCCAGTAACATCCGTCGACGGCTTGTCTTGTCGGAAGGTGAGCTTCAAGTGCTGGGGAAGGTTCTCGGACCAGTTGTCGAGCTCCGCTTCAAGTGCAGACATCTGCTGTAATGAGAGATCATACGAAGTTGCCGCCGGGTAGAGCTTCTCGAGCACCTTGGCCATGATGCGAGCAGCGCGGAAGAGAGCCAAAGCAGACGAAAGCTTGGTATATTCTCCGGGGAGCGTCGGCTGGAAACCTTTCTCGGTGACATATTCATCATCTGTGTCGGAAGGATATTCCGCATGTGCGTCCTCCTCCTTGATCAACTTGGGGAGCCCCAGGATTGCAGCAGAGAAGCAGTCTAGAGTGTACAGTGTCCAGAAGACCTTCTTGCGCGTCTCGATCGTGAGGGCGCCGAACGAGAACCGCTTCTGGCTCTGGTGGAGACCCAAGCGATGAGACAGACCCACAGCGATTCCCTTGTAGTGCTGTAGGCGCTTATAGTCTGCCCGTACCGTGCAGTAAACCAGGGCGAGTACAAGGCACTGCAGGGTGTTCATGGTGTTCTCCATGAGGACTGCCTCGACTGACCGCTGCCATTGTTGCTCACAAGAAGCGATCTGGACCAGATCCGGCCTGTCGCTGGAGAGAGCAGCGATGCTGAAGACGAGGTGCAGTTGCGCCAGCTTGTGGTTGTTTTTGACCTTCTCCGGGTCGGACACGAACTCTTCATAGATACGGAGAAACGTTGGCTTGTGAATGACGGGGAATAATGGCGCCCACTCCTGGAAATAGACGTTGACACATCGGTCGGTAAAGAGACGCGGGGGCACTCTCATCGGCACGGCTGACTCTTTGGGCACGAGCGGGTAACAGCCTTGTATATGCAAGAAGGCCTCGGTGTTGAAGTCCGAGGATGGCTTGCCAGCCTCTTGCAATTTGCGCTTGAAGGCTTCTAAGTGGGAATTAACATGGAGTCGGTACAAATGGCAGGACGGGTTGGCTGCCTTACCTACGAAACCTCGCCCACTTGAGGGGCCCATGAAGTATGAGTCTGAGTTCTCAACCCCAAGCAGAAGCGGTGAGGCTTGGATCTTGAATGTGTCCTCCTTTGGTGGCGTCGGCTCTCTCCCGGGCCTGCTCTCGACAGGCGAGCTTGCGTTCGACGGCATTCCCGAGCCGGAGCTTATGGACGGCCGGCGATGATTCCCGTGCATCTTGGACAGCATGTCGATCTTTTCGTCCTTCTCGTCCAGCAAATCTTTCAGGTCGCGAACCTCAGCCTCCAGGACCCTGACTCTCTCCTCCAAACTCTCGGTGTATCCTCTGGAAACGCGCGCCGGCTCAGCTTGTCGCTGGTCTTGCACTCGAAGCCGACGTTGGCACATTGCGTGCAGCACGGTCGTATCCCATCGCATCGGATCTTCTTGCTCCTACAGCGGTCGCAGGCTTGGGCGATCCGGCTCTGCGTGCTGGTTCCCACCTTGATGACCTTCATTGGCAGAATGCCCGGCATCTTGGCGGCAGACAGGGTCGGCGCAGTCGGTGAATTGTTTGCGATCGTCGAAACAGGTACGAAGCAGTGCGAGGCAAAGGAGAAGAAAGTAACCCTCTTGACTCCAGTGTGCTCGGCCTATTGCATTCGTCTCGCTGTGTCTCAGGAATCGGGGTTCTCGGGTTTCGTGGGGAAGGTGGCGGCTCGCTTAATGTTCACGACTCTGGCGAGTCATTTCAGTCACGTTGCCAGGAAGCCGTGCAGGACCATGCAGAATATAGTGGCCCGGCGCTTCGAGTCACGGTCTTATACAATACGAGTCTTGAATGGACCGGGCTGATAAGATGAACCAGCGCGGCAGGTTACGGATGGTGGAAGGAAGGAATGTGTCAGAAATCGGAAGAGGTCAGTCGTGTGCGAGGGAAAACTAGGAAAGTTAAATCAAGACGACGTGGAGGAAGGTACGACGTGACCAGTCAAGTAAGTGAGAGGGAAGAGGGGAGGGGAGGGGGATTTTGGTGAGCAGCTACACAGTAACAGTCACGGACGGAGGACAGAACAAGACGGAGCGGGCAGGGGGTGGAGTGAACAGGCTGGGCCAGAGGCCAATTGTGACGGAGCCAAATGGCCATCGCTTGGAATCGCTAGTCCCCCAGTCAATCAACTTCCCCTTACACTCGCAACGGTGTGGGAGCCAAGAGACTTCATTCGTGGGTGCCACGAGGGAATCTGGGGTTGGACAGGGGGCTTTCTGTGGGCTCGCTGCCTCGGTGGGGAAAATGGTCATCATCCCTCAGCGCTGAGTCCTGACCCGGACAAGTGTCCCAACGGCAAGCTCCCCTCCTCCCCCAGCTCCCTCGTCCCGTGCTCTGGCCTGCCTGTGGCCGGCCCCTCGCCAGAGCACCTGCGGGACTCGGTGCGAGGTGCAGCCCTGAGCATCTAGACCTAGGTCCTAAAAGGGCCAGCCCCTCGACGCCGCTGCCCGGCCATTGGCAGAGACGCCAAACGTTGGGAGGACTAGCGACGCTGCTGCATAGGAATCGTAGCAGCAGCGCAGTAGTCTCACAAGGGATTGAGACGCCATAATGGGGCCGGGCCCAATCAATTAGGCTCTGTCCAGGCCACTGGATCTCTACCCCAGACGGGGCGAATGTCGACCCCAGGATTTGAGTTCCCGCCTCGAGTTAGCCTTCGCCATCAAGACCCATCGCCCCCGGATTGTCTGTTTCCACAGGCCAACCTAAAACACAGGCCTCAGTCGATGGGCTTCGATCCCGAAAACTCCCCGCCGTGGGCATGCAGCAGGGACGCAGGTTGCATGCAGGATCTTGTGTCACTCCCCGGCGCGCCATTTACGCTTCCGATCGTGCACCTTGGACGAGAAGAAATGACAACAAAGTCCCTTCGATTGATTGTCTTGTCTCATGTCGCCTCTGGTAACCGGTGCTGTTGCGTGCGGATGACACGGACAAGACACTCTGGCGTTTGTTGGCGAAGACTGCCGTCCTGACCGTGTCATTCAGCCAATAACCCCTGGCAAGCCTCCATAAGATTCCACATATAGGCTTTCGTAAATGATGCGGCATCTGTGGTTGTGGTGTAGATCTAGTCCTGGCCTGTCGCTAGCAGATTTTCCAAGCAAACTAGACAAGGACTGCCGTCATTTCAACGAAATTTGCCGTGGCATTGGGGATGGGCACTCCAGGCACTCTGGCACTTTTGCCCACAGCACAACACAAGTCCATCCCTTCCCCGGTCACATCAACCGTGCCACTTCTCTTGGCTCACTTGGACGATGGTGAGAAAGTGTCTCCGAAAATGCCCTGGTGCTCACACAGACATACACACCGAACCGCAAGCGTGACCTTTTAACCAGCTAATGAGCACCGCGGTGGGCGCTATGAGGAGCCCTGCCCAAACTGTCGGGCTGCGGATCCGCCTTTTAGTGAGTTGGCCGTCTCACACTGCGGCTAGCTTTCCTAACGCCCGAATCTCAATCCGGACTGGAGGAGAATGAAGCCAGGCTGGCGAGAGGGTGTTCGTGCATACGTTTTCTGCATCCCTGTGGGGTGGCGGAAGGATTCTATCGTCTGTCCTGCACTTCTCTCTGATTCGAGGCAGTGCATGTCGCTTAGCCATCTGTTGGTTTCCTGCTGCAGTGTGGTGGTTGACTACGAAGACATAACCCAATGTGCGCGCTTCCCGAGGTCGACGATTGCGACCCAAGCAACATCCTTCTGCTTGTCGCCAGTCAGCAGAAGATCGGCCTGCGGGCCCCTCCGGATTCTGCCGATAACCCAGTCCCGCATTGGACAGCAGATCGAGCATTCTGGTTCAACCTAGGTCTGATGCCTAACTGAACTCATCGCTGCTGTCGTCTTCTGGAACCTCACTCAAGCCACCCTGAAAGATCGCCATAGACCCGAGGTAGGCTGTCACCTCTTCGAGAGCTAAGAGCTCAGTCCGCTGCAACAATGTCAGTTCCTGGTCCACGTAGGATCGAGTTGTATAAAAGCCTCTCATGGAAGATGCCATGAGCTCATCCCAAGACGCCCGAATTTGTAGCCAGAATTAGCAGGAGGATAAGTTTACTCACCTGTTCCTCAAGCACCGCGACCGCCTTGTCAAGAACGTCTTTCTCTATGATTCTCAGCGCTCTCGCATTGGCAGCGTTAGATGTACTTGGTAGGTCTGTAACAGACGCTGCATTGCCATCGTCAGCCGAGAAAGGAGACAGCCGTTCCAACTGCTCCTCCAGTCGTTGAGATATCACCATATTGACTCGCAATTTGAAGACGCTGCAGAGCTCATGGTCCGACACAAGCTGGTCGAAAGAGTCGGTCATTTCTGTCACGTCCTGATCTCGCCAGAACGTTCTGAGCTCCCTATCGCCATCTGTGTCCTGCAGTAAACGAAAGTCCAGTCCATCTTCCTCGTTCAAGATCATGAGATACGCGAAGGAACTCGTGCAAATCACTTTTCCGTCAACTTCTTTGATGTCAACTGCCGGGACGTCTTGAAAAGCGTGAACCTTTGCCTTGCCTAACGGATCATCCGGCAGTGGTCTCAGAGGTAGCCTGAGGCTTCTCGCCACTGAGTGTGAGTCTATAAATCCGTAGCTGAACAGCATTTCCGCTGCGGGCTTCTCTGAGCCGTAGCTGATGTTGACCTCATCTCCCTCCTTGAAGTCCGCGCCTGGGCGGAGCAAGAGGATAACATCATCGTTGGTATTCTCTTCGTAGTAGGCGTTAGCGTCGGTTGAGTGGTTGACCATGTCAATACACGGCACAAGAGATGGCCCTGATCTGGGCAGCTCAAGGACCCTGGAGCGATACCACGCGTCGACGAGCAGCCAGTCCTCGAGATGGACAGAATCATTATCCCAGAATGCGGCATTCCAGCATTCTATATCGGATGACTTGTCGCGCAGCTCCTCGAATTCGTTGGTCAGTGCCAGCATCTTCGCATTCAGGGCAGCCTCAAGAGACGTCCCTCGGAGGAGCGAGCGTTCGTCTTCTTCCCAGAGAGTAGGCACAGGAATGGTGTCGTCCAGCAGTTTGACATACTCGGTCCAGGGATTCGGAAGGCCAGCATGTTCTTGATTGTCCGAAGAGAGGACCAGGTGGACGAGGAGAAACAAAAGGATGTCATGACGCCGGCTCTACGCCTCGGTCAGTCAGGCAAGAACTGATTAGAATTGTGCTACTGACTTTGTGCCCACAAGAGTCCAGAAGCTTCCTGAAGCTCCTGTCTTCTTTGGCGTACTCCTCGACAGCTTCCGAGTTCAACACAAGGCTGTGGGGGATTGATATTAGAGGTGCGTCTCCAATGGCAGCCGAACCGTCCTTGGCAATCAGCCCTAATCCTTTGTCTGGGACGGATTTGACTTCGACGACCTTGCTGAGATTGCCATTGTTGAAGCTTGTCCACACGGGGAGAGAATTCAGAGGAAGCCGTGGTCGAGACATCGCAAGAAATGCGAAGGGGTTTTCCCAATACCAAACCGATACGTATTTGCGGCTATTGAAGCTTCGCAATGAGCTTCGAACCGCGTCCGTTCTCTATTTCTTATGCCCCTCGCAGCCCGTCATAGTTGATTGCCCTGCAGCAGAACCCCTCCAAAGTGGGGCCCTGAAATGCTCGGGCGAGCGCTGGTCATCCCTGCCCCGCGACGGGCGACTTGCCGGCGTGAGAAATCTTGCCTTGCACCACCAAGCAAGGATAACTACAAATTGACACATACCACGCCGCCAGATCGCTTGAGCAGCTTGTCACCGCACCTTCTGACAGGTCTACGTTGGTCGCTTCTCTATTCACTCCAAAATGCCTCGTGATCCCTTAATAGGACTTGTTGGCAAGCCCAGTGCCGGCAAATCAAGCACTCTAAACTCTCTTGTACGCAGATCCCGCTTCCTCTTACGATGCTCACATTGGGCGCCTACTGACCTCGCAATTTAGACGGACGCAACCTCCAAAGTCGGTCAGTACGCCAATACTTCGAACAGATGAAGACCCTTGAGCTGATGACGAGTGGTAGGCAACTTCCCGTACGCGCCCACCCCCTCACAGGGACAGTCCTCGGGCAGTCCTGGCCTTGTCTCCTGTAACCTTCGAGCAGTCTGGCTGACCTGACCGTCCGTTTGAAACGATCAGATTCACCACCATCGACCCCCAACGTGCGATAGGATACCTACAGATAGACTGTGCCTGCCAGCGACACAATGTCGCTGACCGGTGTAAACCCAACTACGGCGCATGTGTCGACGGCAAGCGCAGCGTCCCCATCGAGCTCCTCGACGTCGCCGGTCTCGTGCCCGGCGCGCACGAGGGCAAGGGACTAGGCAACAAGTTCCTGGACGACCTCCGCCACGCCGACGCCCTCATACACGTTGTCGACGTCTCAGGCACGACGGACGCAGAAGGAAAAAACACGAGGGGCTACGACCCAAGCGTCGACATAGCGTGGCTGCGCAGCGAGATCGTGGCATGGATCAGGGGCAACCTGATGCAGCGCTGGGGCAGCATCCGGAGGAGGCACATGGCTGTCAAGGCGACGGCGGTGGAGACGCTGCAGTCGCAGTTCTCGGGCTACGGCAGCACGTCCAAGGTGGTGGCGCGGACGCTCGACAAGCTGAATCTGAAGGAGCCGCTTGAGGCCTGGAGCGACGAGACCATTGACCGGGTGGTGAACGCATTCACGGACGAGAAGTTCCCCACCGTCATCGCGCTCAACAAGATCGACCACCCGGACTCGGACGCCAATATCGCGCGGATTGCAAAGATGCAGGACCCCAACACGATTGTGCTGTGCAGCGCTGTATCGGAGATCTTTCTGCGCAAGCTCGCGAAGCAGGGCTACATACGGTACACTGAAGGCAGCGAGTTTGTAGACACAAGAGAAGACCTCATCGCGGACGGCGATCCTGACGGCGGAGGGCTGAAGGAGCTCGACGACAAGAACAAGACGAGGATAGAAAACCTCAAGGATATGGTGCTGTATCGGTTCGGCTCGACGGGCGTGGTCCAAATACTGGCCAAGGCTGCTGAGCTGCTGGGCCTGGTGCCGGTGTTCCCTGTGCGGAACACGACATCGTTCAGCTCAGGGGCGGCAGACTCAAAACACGTGTTCAGGGACTGTGTGCTCGTCAAGAAGAATAGCACCGTTGCAGACGTGGCAAGAAAAGTTATGGGTGATGCGCCCATAGCTTACATTGAAGGGATTGGAAACCAGAGGGTCGCCGAGGACGACACTATCTCCATCGGCAAGAACGATGTGAGTCTATTCCACCCTCAATCACACGGTACTTGTTCTGACCTGGGTTGCAGATCTTGTCATTCAAAGTTGGGCGAGCATAACGTGCTCGGATGCTGGAAGTACTCAAATTCTCATAGACAACGATGGCTGGGTGCCATGTATATTGTGCCTCGTCACAGCCGATCGTGCCTTGCAATTTCACGTGCATATACAAGTGGGCGACACAGAAGAGGTAACGGCTGGAACGCTGCAAAGAGATTAATTGCCAGGACCACGCCAGTCGATTCGTCAATGGCCTGAGGTTTAAGCCGGCAATTGGCGCAGGCGCATCACCATTTCATCGGCTTGTTTGTGACGTCATTTCACCATCTCTCAACACCCGGAGCTCGGGGCTACCGGAAGTCAATGCAAGGCGGCCAATCACTCAGTCTGAGGAAAATGCGAAAGATAGGTTGTATTGTGGTCGAAGCCGTCTCGAGGACGTATAGGGGTATCGTGTCATTATCTAGAGAATTGTCTCTCGGTAACCTGAACCCGCAAGCCGACAAGCCTGAGCATGGGCTCTTCAAAAAAAGGATGCAAATCCCCCTTTCTCCTCAAAGAAAAACAAGCAGAACGCAGTATGCTATAATCGTCGGTGAAAAGCGCATCGCAAAAAGAGAACTCATGAAAGAGGACGGCGTGACAGGTCGTCTGTCCCATTTCAAAATCGTATAAGGCCGTAGGTGAGCTTAGTCGTAGAGTTTGGTGAAGATGGTGGCGGTGTTGTTGGATGGCGGGTCATTAAGAGCGGCTGGTGACGGCCGGAAGCCAACTGCTGCTCGTGGGGCACATGGCAGTGTAAGGTCGTCCACTCTCTGGAGTAAGAGAGTTTGATTTGCCTTGGCCGACGTGCTGACATTTGCGAAAGCATCGCTCCTCGCTTAATACTTCAAGATAATGTAGCTATTTTGGCATCTCGTTAGCAATTGCTCGCCTCCAAGCCAGGGGAACCTTGTTTTTTGAGGGGGACGGGGCTGGGCACATACAGGGCGTGGATGATACCGGGGATGTAACCCAGGATGGTGAGCAGGATGTTGATGAGCAGGTCGGCACCGCAGCCGCGCTCGAAGAAGACACCCAGAGGTGGCAGGAAGATGGCAAGGATGATCTTGCAGATATCGCTGTAGGAGGCATTGTTAGCAAGTGAAGTGCGCCCCCGGATGACGTCTGTCCTGGGGACTTGGGGCAGAGGAGCGGGCGGTGATTTACCTTCCGGTGAAAGGCATGATGGCGATATTCGATCTGGGTTATCGACTTGAGCAAAGGTGTAATTGTGGCTTGAGAGACGGTCGTCGAGTCTTGCGAGGGAAGAAGGTTTCCGGTTATCTTTCGAGATATGGATTAGGACTACGTGTGGGAGGAAGGGTGGGCGTGGGTCAGTCTTAAGTAGGCGCAGGCGAGGCAAGAGTTCAACAGGCGCAGCGGTTGCATCAGCATGAAGGGAAAGCGTCGGCGTCCAGCAAACAAGCTTCAGTCACCTGGGACAGGGGAGGTACATCATGTTTGCCAGTCAGTCCTCAGAACTGCGTCATACACCCACCCGCCACAGGGCAGGCCAGCAGGCCAGCACAGGCCGGTCCCGCTGGGGTCGCTTGCCGTGTGGCCCGGCGACCAGCCAGCCCATCAGCCCTTTCCCGCGCTTACTATTATGGTACCGTTTGCTGCCAGGTTTTGCTGGATGGCTGGCTGCGACCGTCCAGATCCGTACGGCCCATCTGAAACCAATCTCCCGTCTGCATGTCCAGCCACCCTGTTGGAGCTGGGGCTGCTGGGGCGAGAGCTTGGAGAACGCCTGCAGACTGGGGGAGCTTGTCGCGATGTGACAATGATAATGGCTGGCAGTGCATACTCCAATCGGTACCTAGTGCCGCCTGTGTGCTGGTGTCTGCTGCATACTGCACGGCACTGCAAATGGAGAATTCTGTTCAGCGCCAACGGGATCATCCCTCAAAGGGCAATGAAAAGCAAATGAGGCCCTTCCCCACCAGCGTGCAGCAGGGCTGTGCTGTCAGGCTGTACAATACACCCCACCAGGGTAGCATTTTCAGTGGTTGTTTTGACAATCATCGTGCCGGCTGGAACGGGAGCGGGCGAGTAGCGAAGCTCTTGTGCAGCACATTGTACGATGCAGAATGTTGGACTGCTCACAGCAGTCAGCCGCCGCCGTCAGAGTCTGTCCGCGCAGGCCAATCAGAAAATATCCGCATCTCACTCGGTAGCCTCGTCTACATTGGTCGTCTGCAGCAGTAGACCGTGCAGACTTCCGCGTCCGTGCTTGCCGTGGGTGGTTTTGTCACAAAAGTGGCTGAACAGGGACAATAGAGACCCATGCCAGGCGCTCGGAGGACCCGACGACGCCAGCCCGGGAAAGCATTCACCATCCTGGGGACTGCTGCACGGGCTGCATGGCAAGCTGGCACTCGGCACCTCACACCCGCGCGGCTTGCCTTCGCGCCCAGACTTCCTCTATCTGGTATCCACCATTGGTCTTGGGACTCATGTTAGCGACCGTAGAGATTGCGTGTTTCTTCGCCTGCGGTATTCTTGGCTGGGGCGTGGGTCTGCGACCCAGCTGCCGTTCCTCGCAACACTCTGCAGATGATTGAACCCCTTGGCCGTCGTCCTAGGTACGTCATCCCAGGGCCTGGGCCTGCTGCGAGCCTGTGAATGAAGCCAACCAAGCAGTCTGGCAGTCTGGCACTGGCAGTCCGGGTTTGCCATCGACGATCATCTGATCTGCGCTGGCCGAAGGTCAGGAGGACTGGTTGGGGCCGGGGATCCGCGTGGCTCAGCAAGTGTGGCTCAGCTGTGGCGTCGATGGGACGACGTCGGTGACTCGTTGGTCTTGTAGTCCGTGCTGGTTAGCAGGCAAGCCGATGACAACATCATGTCGGTCATAGGATTGTAAGTCTGTAACATGTAGTGCAGATGCCGGGATTCTGTTTTGGTTAACTAGTCCCCGCTGAGTGCTTGATCGTCTTGATCATGGGGTTACCTCCAGTAGAGCTATCGAAATGTCGAGAGGCGATCACTGCGCGGATCTCGGGATTACTAGGAGGTGCCACGGTCGACCAGGTGGCAGCTGGTGGCTCAACTCTGCCTCGCCAGCATGGAACTGGCGACGGGCATCTTGCCATTGGCTTTTGGACTGGTAGCCATTAACCTCGTGTTCCGATTTCGTTATACAGCAAGCAATGCTTTTAAAGGCAGAGTTGACAATGGCATTCGACATTGAAGGTCAGTGCGAGACTGGAGGTTGAAGGCATGGACCGGTGGGGACCACTTGCCAGCTGGCGGCCAGCTGCATTGGCCAGCCCACAGTTTGGCCTCAGCCGGCTTCCAGCTATGCGCCGTGAACTTTTTCGTCGGCGCGAGGCTTGAACTACCACTCGACATCGCAAACATCACCACCTTTCCCAAAACCATCCACCAACGGCGCAGGATATTTTAACCTCTTTGCGTCCTCTTCCACCCCAAACCAGAAACAATGGCTCCCCAGACTGTATGTACTTGACACCGCTTTGCTGCTGGCCCAGTCTTTCGGCCAGAGAGATCATGGCGTGATGCAGTAGGCTAAGGTCAATTTTTCAAAATCGCAGAAGAAGGGCAGGTCTTCCAAGACCACCAAGAAGGTAAGCAGCATCCCTCCGAATTCGAACCCCACACCCCAATGCCCGGGCGCGACGCTGACGAACACTTTCACTGTTACAGTTCATCATCAACGCCTCGCAGCCCGCCAGCGACAAGATCTTCGATGTCTCCGCCTTCGAGAAGTTCCTGAACGAGAAGATCAAGGTCGAGGGCCGCGTCGGCAACCTGGGCGAGACCATCCAGATCTCCCAGGTCGGTGACGGCAAGATCGAGATCATTGCCCACAACGAGCTGTCCGGCCGGTACCTCAAGTACCTGTAAGGAACATCCGTCCATTTCGAGAGCTTGGGAGAGGGATATGTCTGGGGGCAAGATGCTGACCGTAGTGTTTCGCACGCTAGGACCAAGAAGTTCCTGAAGAAGATGCAGCTCCGTGACTGGCTCCGTGTCGTCTCCACCTCTAAGGGAGTGTACGAGCTCAAGTTCTTCAACGTCGTCAACGACGAGGCTGATGACGACGACGAGTAAGCGACAACCAGCGCTCTCGAGGAAATACCGGACTGAGCCGCGATGGTGGACCCTATCTGAAAAGGACTGCCGTTGGTGGTAAAAGGCGGGAAAGCATGGGCCTCCGGCCAGTCTCTGGCCAGCCTCTGCTGACTGGTTACTCTGGGTTGCGTAAGCGCAGCACGGCACTGCCTGACTCCCTAGATAGTGAATACTATCTGCGTTCCGCTGAAGTTGACTGGAGTTGGATTGTCTCTATACGCTCGTCTGAAAAATGTCTGGGTATCAATGACCTTGTGACTGTCTGCCCCCCAAGCTCTATGCCTTGGACCATGAATTTTTCCTGTGCCCTCTTAAGGAAGTGTCCTCATAACGCCTTCAAATGCAACCAGGGCCATTGCGTTGGCCGGGAACGCCCTGAGAAAACACGGCAAGAATCCTCGCCAGTATCCCCTCAGCCCGCTCTCCCTGTGTACCGCCACGGCCGCTTCCCTCCATGACCTGAAACGCCGTGTACCGTCGCCTAGACTCCCGCCCAGTGGATCCGTCATGATGCGCTGCTTCACAACATCACTGGGGTAGCTCGTCAACCAGAACACCTGGGCGCTGAGGCCACCGGCCCAGAAGTTGATCGCCGGCGCGCTCAAACTCGTCGAATTCTTCATCCACCGGCTGAAAATATCATAGCTGCCCCACCAGAAGAAGAAGAAGCTCCGGAACAGGAGCGTAGCCGTCAAGCCGTGGTACAATCCCCGCACCCCATGCGCGCGCCATATCTTGCTCACGCAATCGATCGGCCCGGTGTACAGCCTCTCGTTCTTTTTGGCGGCGTACTGGATCTGCAGCCGCGCCTTAACATGCTCCACCGGCGCCGCAACGAACGAGACCGTCGAGCCGGCCAGGATGCCGGCCAAGCCATGGCCGTGGGCGGGCAGCGGCAGGTTTGGGTCGTGCAGGGGGTGCAGCGGCGGATTGAAGATGTTGTCGCGGAGGAGGCGCCGGTAGACTGTCAGACTGCCCAGCATTATGCTATCCATGAACATCCATCCCACCAGCGGAGGCGTAGCGCCTTTGTACAAGCCGGAGAGGCCCTCGACGCGGATCGTCTGGAGGAGGCACTGGAGGGGTCCAGAGAAGCGGGCTGCGTCCGTCGTCTGCAACCTCACCTTGATGGTGTCAAATGGGTGACCGACTTTCCAGCTTGTTAGTATACGCCATCAAAATAAGAAGAGTCTCGTCTGTGTAGGAGCAGTAGGGTTTGCATACCTGAGAGCTTCGCGATACCGGAGAAGACGCCGGCGACGAAACCTTTGTAATTCTTGGCCTCGACGGGCTTCTCCTTGGCTTTGACAGCTTCTGCCATGATCGCTGCCTCCTGCTCTTGGGGCTGAGAGCAGAAAAGCCAGGGCAGATCAAGCTTCACCGCGGCAGTTGTAACAAAAGGTCAAGAGTCATTGCTCTGGGATTTTCTGTCCGGGGACTTGTGGTGAGGTAATCGACCTCGGGACGTGGGGCCCCAACGATAGCTACGCTCATGATCCCTGTCGCGGCTGGGGAAGCTCTGGCATCAAATAGGGTCCAAGGTACCTAGGTAGGCTGTGGTGAGACATTTGGCACAGAATGACCCTAATCAGGCGTCATGTACATTTTATCGACTCGCAAGGCTTTTAAGACTTACCAGTCCAAATCCAACGTAACTGTGAGGTTGATATTGAGCAGGCCATATATTCGGATTCATAGGTAGACTGAGCGATGGTCGACTATAGTTTGAACTTCAGACGACCATTGACGCATTTAGCTGTAAAGGGTACATAGCCAACGGAAAACTCGGTGTTATTTAGGTCCATAATATACAAGGCGTCGGTAAAAATGTCGACTACTATGAGGTCGAACTTTAAACATCCCGCTATTCGGGCTTCGACTTGCTCGAAGTTCCTCTCCCTTGAGCACCACGACAAATGGAACTACAGTTGCTTATCCAACAAAGATAAGCTGCATGCTCAGTGCTCGATAGTGGATGATCTTGTATGGAATGAATGAAACCTATTTGAGAACCTTTGCTGGTGTGTTCAGGGTCGCTTACTCAGCAATGCCATCTACTGGAAGAATGCTTTCTCACTTGCAGGCGGCGGCCATGTAACGAGACACACGAGGGCTTCTAGAACCAGATCAGGGAACCAAATGGGGTTGCTGACAGCCAATTCAATTGAAGTATCTCGCAGAGTGTGTGTGTGTGTTGAGAGAAGCTAATGCTAGGCGGGCTACGGAAGGTGTGGTGTATTAGAAGAGAGGGGAGTGCTTAGTCATCCCCCAACAGGCCAATTGGAGATTACCAATTACGATATTGCCTCCTTTTGAAGTAGCACTGTCTTCAAACAGCGTTTCAATTATTTCAGGGAAATTTGGTGGGATTCACCGTTTTATCCAGATGTCAAGTTTTCTCCACGCTCAGAGTTAGGCGTACGATGGAATTCAAGGCAGAGTTGCCATTGTCAGAGATTGCTACAAAACGCAGAAGACGACTAGGAGCCTTGGGAGCACAAAAACACGTGTATTCATGCGAGAAGAGAAATGCGAGCATGCGAGAGCGAGAATGCCATTGTGAGAGGAGGGCGATCGGCAAGCGCAATAAGGACCGCTGATGTAGCACAATGACCTCCCTCGGCTTTGGGGCTGGATCATCGTCTCCTCTTTGATGCGCCATAGAGGGGTGAACGCCAGAATCAAGGTTCGTCTTTCGTGGCTCTTCTGATCTTAGTCTTGCCTCACTTCATCCATATTATGCCTGACGTGTCCCCTGGCCCTTCGGCGCCTACCTGAATTGGACTCCACGTCAATGCAACACCAATCGCATCTCAAGGCTCGTCTGAACCTTTCCTCCCCAATGCAATGACTTGGGTCTCAGGAGGTGGGGATCAGGTTCCTTAACGAAAGGTCGTAGACCACGTCCTCGACCTTCTTGACCGCGTACTTGACGCCATCCACTCGCTTTCTCAGGATGTCGTTCTTCAGGTTCAGCAACTGGAAACCGGCGTGGATGTCCTTGACGAAAGTGCTGATCTTCACCGCCAGCTCGTGGTCTCCCAGGGTCACGGCGTTCACCGTCAGCCGGGCGAGTTCGTCTGTCAGGCCGGTGACCGCCAGAAGGTACTCCTCAATGGTGATATGGAAGGCATCACGGTCTTTCAGGTTCACAGGCACTGCCATCGGGGTGTCAGTTTAGAGCTGGGCTGAGCCGGGGTTGAGAGTGAGTGCTGGCTTGACTGACCGTGGAAGACGTGCTCTCCGACCTCCTCGAGGGTGAGGAGCCGTCCCACTCTGCCCTCAGGAACAAGGGCGCCACCCAGCCAGCCGTGGAGAAGCGCGGTGAGGACTGCATCCTGGACGGATCGAGTCCACTTGCTGTTGTACCTATAGAATCGCAAATCAGCACCGTGCAACGGTCCTAGTGAGATGGTCTTGCATACTTGTAGTAAGGGTGTTGAGAAGCGACCTCGCTCAGCTGCGAGAAGTCCTCGACCTCGGTCTTGATGGCCGTCTCGACTTGGGAGAGCAGCGCAGGGTAGTGAGACCTTGGGGTCGAGTGCACCCGCGACAGGAGACCTTGGGTGTAGGACACATCGCGCTCCAGCTTCTGGATGATTCCGTTGAGATCATCTCGCGCCTTGGTGTCCTCGTCGATCTTCGACTTGAGGTGTTCGAAGATCTGGGGGTCGATCATGCCTGACATTTTGCTGTGGAGGCGTTGCCGCGTAGGCCCTGGCGTCCGCTGAAACTCTTCCAGGCCAGTCTTCAGAGCAGTGGCCGCAATGTTCTATCTCTACCACAAGCCTGGAGCTACTAATTTGAAGGCTTCAGATAAGCTTCGAGAATGGAGAGCTCGACTTCGCTGTTGACTCGTGGATGACTGCTTCAATCTGCAACTGTGGTCCGCTCCAAGATTGAAGAGTTCGACAGTCGATACGTTGCCCCGAACCCTGAGACGTCGACCATCGCACCCTCCCCATTTGCACTTGTTGTGAATGCAAGCCCGACTAACAAGATCAGCCTTGAGAGGAGGGCTACCTCCCAGTCACCCAGGACAATGAATGTTCACTTATGTATCAAGTATCAGCGGATTTCAATTACCATAGCTTTGGTGAGGGGGAGCCGGCACTCGGAGAGCGACATGCTCGTCGAAATTTGAGTTGAACCTCAAACATCTAGCACATGGAATATCATTACTTAGTAGCCTAAGCAGAGAAGTGACAGATTGGTATTTTTTGCAGACCTCTCTCTCTCTCGAGGGTTCAGAAAATATTGATTGGTATCATTAGACATTTATTGTATAAGCCTCGCCTTCTCACATCATATTGCTGCCCACCGTGCCTCTCTCAGGCTCCACGCTATATCGCGGTGGATATTGTGTAGGTACGTTCGCTTGTTTGGAATTAGACCCTTCTTTCCCTTGTCCCGGATTGTCCTTATTTAATCCCGGCTCAGTGATTTTTGGAAATAGTGACAGATTCGGTGCTTTTGTCGACCCTATCCCCGTGCTTTGTTGTTGCGACGGATCGCTGCCACCCGCACCACCTTCGGCTTGTCCCACCTTCACAATGGTGATGTTCGAAGGGTCCATTGTTTGGCGTTTCGTCTTTTGAGCATCGACCGAGGCACTCGACGAAAGTGGCCAATTACTGCTCCTCTTCTCTTCCCTGCTGAATTGTGAGGATGTCGCAACCCCGATCATGGGCTGTGGCTCGGGCGACTGTATCCGGGTTCGCTCTTCTCGTTGTTCCTTCTCTGAACTCTGATGCCATCCCTTATTATCCCATACCATATTACTACTGCCGGTGGGACTCAGAGGTCTCTTGATGGTGCCTTTGAGCTCAGCAATCCGTCGCTTCTGCTGTCGGTTCCGGCTCCGTAAGAAAAACAAGAAGCCAATTAGAGACAAGATGAATGTGCCGGCGATTGATGCGACGATAGCGATGGTTGTCTGTGTCACGCTGATCGCGTTGCCCTGGGCGGTCATCACCTGCGTTTGTGCCTGGGCCTATATTGCATACAGTCAGTCGATGTCATGAGCTACCTCGGTGTTTTCGAAAGCCAAACTTACCCTGACAGCACTAGCATTTGCTTGTTCAGCCAATACAGATTGCCTCGCCGCGGAGGCAACCGCAGCAAGACTACCTGAAATACTCGCCAAGGCGACTGCAGCGTTGTTCGATGCTGTAGCTATGGCTAGATTGGCGCTGCTGGCCATGCTTGCCATCGCGATGGCAGCACTGTTGCGGATGTTCTGAACATCTTGGGCCGATCGTATTTGTAACTGTTGTATCGATTGTGACAGCACCTGTGTGGACTGCGATAATTGCTGAATCGACTGCGAGAGCTGTTGAGACTGCTGAGAAAGCTGCTGTGATTGCTGAGAAAGTGTTGCAATATTGCTACTAGCCGTGACGAGAGCGCTGCTGAGGGATGAGATGGTAGCCGACGGGTTGGATCCTATTATCACGTTGACTTGGCGCGGTAATAAAGCTGTCGGTGTTGCATACGCCATATTGTGCTCAATGTTCGTGTACCTCTTATAGCGGTCCTGGTTCAGAGTATCTTGGGCGACGCTGCGTCTCCGCCAAGACTGATTGGCATTTGGCGATCACTCTACAAAGCTTCGGTGTGGACCTCGCCCACAGCAGTTGATCCACAAAGGGCGTTGACAGAAGTATAAAGGTCGATGTCGGGAAAAGTTATTTGCGTTGCGCTGCGGGTGAAGGCAAAAGACAAGGCGATATTAGGACGAATTATGAGCAATTCGAAAGCTATTCCTCATGATGTTGAGAAGTTTGTGAATCGGGTCGAGAAGAACAGGCTGGGCTGTGTACCGAGCCGGAGGAGAGGGTAGATGAGAAATTGACACCATTGCGCCGTTCAGCCAAGACAAGGCGAGACAAGATGGAGCGCTGTCAGGGGATGCGCTCCGACAATGGCCAACGGCTCTGTCGGGACTGATGCTACGAAGACTTCGGAAGGCACTTTTCGGTCCAGTACGGAGCCTTCCGAGAGGTCGCTGCATGTTTGCAGGACTCGAAACACTTGATCACGTTAGCCCTTCACCCCGAGTATGTGTCGGGCCCATTCGCCTTAAATCCATCCGAAGTCGTGATTCGACGAGATCAGCCCGTCAGAACTTGAGAAACCGACTGAAAACACTAGATCAGGATGCTTATCGACACCGGATAACAACAAGACTGCCAAATCGCTTCCTGATATTGTTTCGGGAAAATTCCAATTAGTTTCCTCCACAGAAGGCCTGCAGGTGGTCATGGAATTGCCACCCGTCCGAGCCGGATTGTAGCTTTGCCGGTGCCGTCAGCTATGCTTTACGGTGAACGAGATTACATTCTCACCTGGCAGTCTCACTTTCCACCGATTCCATTGGTTGAGGTATCGGAAAAGAAGCAAAACTGTATGAGTGTTGCTGTTTGCCATTCGTGGGCAGTGGAGGGACTGCGATTGCAGGTATGATTGTAGTTATATGCCAACGATTTATGATCATCAAAACTCAAGAGAGGTTATTCTTCCATCACCTGCGAGTTATGCCTCGTTTGGTCTGGTTTCACCCGATGTCATGAGGCTCACCCTTAGGTTGGAAAGGGCCGGATGGGCATAGCACACCCGTGGACTCAGGTGCGCTAGTTCACCACAAGAGCTGATTAGATCTCCGTGGCTCAAAGCCAGTCACCATGCTTTCCAGGCGATCAACCGAGCTGCACAATCACTGTGCGCTTGACGGCTCAATACCTTGTTCCGTGTGGCGAGGAAGACTGCACCGAGTAATTGGACTGTTCTACGACATGTCAAGGCAGGACCCAAGTTCACAGAAGCTGTTGGCAAGTACGACCCTCGCACTTAAAAGGCTACTTTAGTTATCCCCTCCAGGGCACGTAGCCTCTCAGAACTTAAATAAAACAACATAAATACATAATTGCTTCCCATATAATTATTATATATATAAAAAACCTATTAATATTAATTAATAATTATAAGTATTATAAATTAATAAAATAAAAAAGGCAACCTTATAAGGATTTCCCTAACTTAAAAATTATATCCTCCTTATTAATAAGCATTATATAATAATAATTACTTCTTTAAGCCTTCTTATATTATTAAACTCTTTAAGTAAATATTATAAAGATTAAATAAATTAAGTAATATTCCTTATAATATTTATATATATATTTATTATTATTTAAGAAATATATATTTATTATATATAAAACTTTATTAAAAATAAACTTATTTTTAATTTTTTTTTAAAACTTAATAAAACTTAATAAAGTTTTATTTTATTAATAAATAAAGCTTATAATTATTATAATTATTAAAGCTAATATAATATTATATTATAAATAAATATAAATTATGCATTATGCTTTTAATTAATATAAAAAAATTTAATAATAAAAGAAAGCCTTAACTTTTAAGGCTTAAAAAAATTAATAATTTCTTTTTTTTAATAATTATAATTTACTTATTATTAAATTATTATTATTAATTTATTCTTAAATATTATTTATTTTATTAATATTTCTTTATTTTATTAATTTTACTTTTTATAATATTTATTATAAAAACTTATAAATATAATTAATAATATTAAAAAGCTATTAACTTTTATTAAAAGGTATATAATTAATAAAATGCTTACTTAAATTTTAATTAATTTAACTTATTATAAATATATTAATTTAAAATTATAATTTATAACCCTTATATAAAAAGCATTAATAAAATATTTAATTACTTATTTAATAAATACTTTAATAAGCTATATATAATAAAACCTTTATAATAATAATCTTTTTATTATTTATTATAAAAATTATATAATATAAATATAAGTAATATTTAAAGTATTATTAAATTCTTATTAATAATATTTAAAAGTTTTTCTTTAAATATAAGGTATTTATATAAAATATAATAATTAATTTATAATATTATAATTAATTATTATAACTTAAGCTAAAGAAAAATTAAAATAAATTAATAATAAGCTTTATAATGCCTTATTAACCTTAAAATTAAATATAAATAAATATTATATATAACTTTAAAAATAATAATTATAAGTATAATCCTTATAAGAATTATAAGTAAGCTTTAAATAATAATAATTATTAAAAGGATAATCCTTAAAATAACTTTTATTACCGCTATTAACTTTAAATATATAATTATAAAATTTAAATTTAATAATATAATTTATTAAAAACTAATATAATTAACAAGGTTTATTATTATTAATAAAAAGATAAAAATAAAGCTTATATTAAAGATATATATTATATTTAATATAACCTTAAGCTACCTTAAAAATACCTTTATTAAATAAAAAATATAACTTATATAAAACTTTTTTCTTATAATATATTCTTAATAAATACTTAAATTTAATAAAGTTAACATAATTTATAAAAACCTTTAATAATTCTTATAAATATATTAAGAATTTATATAACTTATTAAATAATAAAATAAAGATATTTTTTAATATTTATTATTATATTAAAATTTAGTTAAATTAATTTTATATAATTTTTCTTTAAATACTTAAAGATTAAGTTAAGATTTATTACCTTTATTTTATAAATTAAATTAATATATTTATAATAACATACTTTAAAATTAAAATATATTTTAATATAAACCTTAATTATTAATATTATTATATAAATTAAATAATAATAATATTTATAAAAATAAAAGCATAAAACTTAAATAAAGATTTATATAAAGTTTTATATTTTAATATTTAATAAGTTATAATTTTATTAATAAGCATTAAGCTAAGATTATATTAAGAAAAATAACTTAAAAATAATAATAATTAAAGCTTATAAAAAAAGTTTTAAATTAAAAATAGCTCTTTTTAAGCTAACTTAATTATATAAAGAATTATTTTTAAACTTAAGATTTATAAGAAAAAAAATATAATTTAATTATATAATTATAATTTATATTATAAATAAAGTTTTAAATTAATATTATATTAATTATAAATATAATAGCTAAAAGCTAAGAAAAGAATAATAATTATAATTTTAAGCATTTTAAAGAAATTAAAAATTTAATTAATTAAACTTAAGCTATTTAAGCTTTAAGCAATTAAAATCTTATAATATTAGCTATAAAGCTTAAAATAATAATGCTTATAAAGAAGGAAAAGAAAAATAACCTTAAAAAAAAAAGATATTATATTTATAAGAAAAAGAAATGTTAATTAATTAAATATTTAGTTAATAAATAATATTTAATAAAAGAAAGCTACTTAATATAATATAAATATAAAGATTATAATAATAACTTTAATACTTTTTTAAATAAATTTAAAAAATATAAAATAAATAATAAAAATAAATTTTATAAATATAAAAATAAATAAAATTAAAATAATAATTATAATAATAATACTTATATTATAAAAATAAAACTTAATAAAAAGGTTTATTATATAAATATTAATTTCTTAATTAATAAAGTATTTATATATTAAATTATTAAAAATAATATCTTTTAAATAAAGATAATTATTATAGCTAGCTAATTTATCTTAAAGAATAAATATAATTAAACTTACTTTTAAGGAATTTTATTAAATATAAAAATATTATTAATATTTATAGCTAAATATAAGCAATTCCTTATATTATAATAAGAAAACTTAAAGTATTAAATTAATATAATTATTATAAAAAAAGCTAAAGTTAAATTTAATAATAAAATAATTATTAATTTACTTAGCATAATAAAGGTTTTTATCTTAATTAATTATATTAATTTCTATATTATTTAAGCATAAACCCTATTCTTGCTTTATTTAATAAATATAAATAGGCTTTAAGTATATTATAATAATATTATAAATAAAATAATTTCCTTTAATAATATAATTATTATATTAATACTTAAAAAATAAGGTTATTTATAATTTTTCTTAAATTAAACTATTAATATTATATATTTCCTTTTAAAAATAAAAATAAAGAAACTTTATTATTACTTTAAATACTTATTAATAAATTAATTATATTAAATACTTAAAAAGGCTAGTAATTTAAATATTAATAAATAAGCAATAATAAAGATTAAAAAGATATATTATTATTATTAAATAAAAAAACTTATATTTAAGCATTTTAAGTTTATATTATATAATAATTATAAATTTAATTATAAAATCTTAATTAATATAATATATTTAAATAAATATTTAGTTCTTTATATTATAAATTAAGTTATTATTTTTTAAAAAGTAAAATTCTTAAGATTTATATTTATAAAAACTGCATAATAAATACTATAAATGCTTTAAATTAATATATATTAAGAATTATTAAAAATCATTAAATATAATATAAAAATAAACTTTATATTTTTAAAATTTTATTTAAAAGCATAAATAATAAGAATTAAATATAAATAAGTCCTTATAATGGTTGCAAAGGTATGAAATTCAATGCCCCCGTGAATTCCAGGGGAATACATGGGGAATCT